TAGATGAGCACTTCCCATTATATGAGCACTTGAATTTGAGCATAAAAACATAGAGAGCGCAAATTTTCTTTACCTAGTGATTAGATTTTACGTTTTGGTAAGCCATACGTGTTATCAAATGATACAGTGCAATCATATCTCGAGTCCCTTTTCTGCTACTGATCGGCCTATTAAATTATGGTTCTCAAACTTTTTATAGTTTCATGATAAAATATAAAAAAAAAGAGGTGAAAATTTATCACAATAATGAAAATAACACACATCAAGAACTATGTAACATAATTGAATTTCGCCATATGATTGATGAATCTAATGTAGCCAAGGCTTGTTATGACCTGTTACATCGATAACTATGTCCCTCAAGTAAAGTATATTTGAGGAGGGGGGAAAGTTTGTTGCCCTTAAAAGAAATGATTATTAGAGAAATGCCTAAAAAAGGCACCAAAGCAACCCTTTTTTTTTATATATAGTGAAAGGGGATTATTTAATTGGACCCTCTAAAAACTTGATAGCACTAAAAAGAATTTTGGAGCAAAAGGAGTGGAGGCCCCCATGTGACCACAAGGAACAAATTATAAGGTTGAAGGAGAATGTATATTTAACTTTTCCCCAAAAAACCCTATGAATATAATTCAACTCCAAAAGATATATATAGAAGTAGGGTTGTTTCAAGTCTGGTTCATGATATTCACTGAAGTATGTGTCAGTTTATATACAAAATCAGCTTATATAGAGTGATCATGTTTTGATCCTGTAAAGTTTGGGTAGGATAAAGTCAATTTAAGATTGGGTCATTTTTTACCATGTGACCTATAACAATAACTATTGTTTTGAAATTCATCATACATACATATTTGTAAAATTTTACAAGTTCGGGTACTATAATGCAAGGTAAAACTATAAAAGGTACTTAAACATGATTTTACCACCAACATTTCTGGACCTATTTTTTAAAAAATATAATATATAGGTATTAAATTGTAAGAAAAATAAATTCTGGATAACAAAATTTAATTGTAAAAAATTCAGCTCATTGATTGATTTGAGCCGAACAGTTTTTATTCAGTTGAGTCTGAACAGGATAGTCAGAATCAAAGAGAAAATAATGGGTAGAAAATGCTAGTTTTATAAATTGACCTTCCAAGAACCCTAGATAGAAGGCCCCTCCTTTTCTGTTATGAAGATCCTAATATAATTCTCATATAGGTTTGACTCATGAAATTAAAAAATATCATTAGCAGCACTTTATTTCCCTAAGCTCTGTATAAAGAAACAACTGCTCTTTAAAAGACAGAAAGAAAAAATTATGGAAAGAACATTTTTTGAAGTGAGAAATAAACCAAGCGATAAAGAAAACCCACCAAAATGACAAATCAAAACAATTGGAGAGTATTAATCCTTAAAAAATGATGAGTCAGAATGCCTATGTGAGAAACGATTATACAAAATCTCTTAATTTATCCGTGGTCGTACAATATTCTTATTATTTTTATAAATCACATGACGTACTAAATATCTTCTACCTGTTAAAAATAAACTAAACATATTCTAGTTTTAGTAATTAAGACGATAAGAACCTTTTTTTCTCTCTCTAATTTTAGAACTAGAGAAAAATAAAATAAAAACTTGGAGCTGGATATTTTTGAACTTCAAAAGAGCAGCAACAACAACAGAAACGGGAACAAAACAATTTAGTGTATGTCATTATCTATTGCTTTGTTTATCTTTTATTTGCTTCTTTTTACTGATTATGAGGATGAGAGAAAGAAACCGCAGCAAATGTGGCGTCACTTCTTGTTATCTTGTTACGACGAACAATTATTGGGATGGAGTTCAAACTTATTATATAGTAAGTGGGTTCTTTTATTTTTGGTTTTGTAATATTGTTGAGTTGACGTAATGATGGCAGCTCTCAAACAGCGGTTTTGCGCCCCCCTTCTCTGTTTATGCTCCACTCCTTCCAACTTAATACAACCTCCTGAGATCACTTCCCATTCACATTATCCGTCGAGTTTGATGAGTTGATGGACACCCCAAAAAGGAACGAACCATCCTTGCTTTCATCACCATTTTAACCACATCCCTTGTAGATGATGATGATGTTGAGTAGAAATTTGGTTGAACCGAATTCATAGGGTTAAATTGGTTTGGGATGTGATCGTTAAATATGCTAATTTAAATTTTTTTTTTATGCGGGACACATCGGTTTTGGTTTAGTGGTCGTTTCATTTTCATAGATAATGACAAATTTTCATGAAACAATGTTTCATGAAACAATAATACAAGGTTTCAAGTAGGGACGACAATTATCCATCTATGGATAATTTTGTTTTTGGTAGAAATTCATGGATAATTTTACCTAAACTCAAATAGACTCATTGATTATGGGTAGGACATGAGTTAAGTATATGTGGATTTGGGGGTTTGTAGATGGGTTTGGCCGTTTGGGTTAGGGATGACAATTACCCACACATGGGTAATTTTACCCAAATCCAACTGAACCCATTGATTATGGGTTAGGGTATGGGTGAAGTATATAGGGTTTGGGGGATGTAGATGGGTTTGGGTAGGATTTGGATTTTGCTTCCATTATCTAAATGAGTATGGGTTGGATATGGATACCCATTTGGTTGAGAGTTTTAACTACACATAGAAAAATTGAACCTATTTATAAAATTAAAAAAGTTAAGGTATCAAAATGAAATACTAAAAAATATAGATACTAAATGTAATTTTCCATCGATATTTTGAAGACTTATATGTAAAAAATAATTTTAGGTACTAAATCTAAAGATCTACTAAGTTTAGGTATCAAAATCAAATTGTAATTTTCATATGGGTATGGGTAAAACCCAACCCAAATAAATGGGTATGGGTACAAACCCATCAAAATTTACCCATATACCATATATTTGGATTTCATACTCAACCCAATTGGGTTGGATAGCAAAATACTCATTGGTATGAGTAAAGTTGTCATCCCTAGTTTGGGTAGGGCATGAATATTGCTTATATAATCTAAATGGGTATAAGTTAGGTGTGGATACCCATTTTCATGAGGTTGTTTTAACTACACATACAAAAGTAGGACATATTTGTGAAAACTTAAAAAGGTTAGGTATCAAAATGAAATACCAAAAGATTTAGGTACTAAAATATAGTTTTACTTGAAGATAGTAAAATACCCATGAGTATGGGCAAAATTGCTATCCCTAGTTTCAAGTAGAAACAATGCGTGGATTTGGCTCCTATAAATATATTTGGATGGATGATGCAACAAACAATCAAACTAATTCTTCTTCCGGAAAACTTATAAATTTGCTTTAGGGTTCTTAAACCTAGAAGTTAAAATGGCGATAGTTTTATTCTTAGAAAAAATTTTCTATAGTTCAAAATTTTGTTGAAAGTGAAAATATTTTTTCGGAAAGTGAACATAGATCACGACTCTAACATAATTCTAGTCTTGCTTTTGGGCTATCATACGCTCCACCCTCACAGCTTGGAACCCAACAAAAGAGGGATGGGTTCTACACTCTAATTGCCCTCTAACAAGAAATTCTTTAGAAGACATTGTTTTGCTAGATAGGATTTCTTATGTCATTTGCAAAATGAGAGATATTGATTTATGTCGTTCCATTCCTTATGACATTCATGTTACCATCAAAATCCTCGACCTAGATAAAAGTATTTGTGAAATTCTGATACTCTTACAATTTACTTGAGAAACCAAACTTATGGACTGGCCTTGTAATTTTTTAAGGATACAAAAGGGTGCGTCAGTGGTCAGTTAGTGGCGGAGGGAGGCAAGGAGGAGAGGGGTTCTAGGACCTCATTTGGCAAATACATAGATTTTAGTGTGATAATTCAAGTTTAGGACCACATACTTTCAACGATGTTTGCTCACCAAGGACACCGATTAACTCAAAATTCATTAGGCATACAAACATTAGTTGTTGACAATCCATTCTTAACCAATGATTGATGCGAGAATAACAATGGTATTTGTTCTTCCTCGATTTTTCTAGAGAAAATTCTAACAACATGACTTAAGATATAAGTATTTGTTATCGACCAAAACTCATGTTGTATGAGTTTTTCATTGTTTTAAGCCTGTGTTTGTAATTTTTCTTTCCAATTTGAATTAGGTTTTTTGGCTCTTCCATTTAGGATTTAAGAGAAGGCACCTATAAAAGTCTTTTCACTCCTTTACAATCTGTACAGTACTTTCCTCAATATATTGAAACTGATATCTCATTCTTGTAAACAAACTAATGCACACCGTGTCAATATATCACATATAATTACGGCTGCAAATGAGCCAAGCCGCTCGCGAGCAACTCGGCGTTCGAATCGAAAAAACTGGTTTGACACTCGGCTCGTTATTTAACAAGCTGGCTCGCGAGCCGACTCGTTAGTAAACGAGTCAAACTTGAGCTCGACCATGCTAAGTTTGATAAGCTCGTGGGCTAGCTTGACTCGGTGGCTTGTTGAGCTAAACTCGCGAGCTGGCTTGTTTAGAGCTTGTAGAAGGATTAATTATTCTTATGAATATGAACTTTATGTTAGCTGTTCTTTTTAGTTTATAGTGCTCTTTTTATCATTTAAATTATTATTTGTACACATTTTTCAGTAAGAATGATTTCAAATCAAGCTCATCTTCAGCTAAGCTTGTACTTAGCTTGACAAGCTGTGTTAATGAGCATTTATCGAGCTCTACCGAGTCGAACTCGAGCTGAATCATTTTTAATCAAGCCGAGCTCGAGCTGAATCATTTTTAAACGAGCCGAGATAAAGTTAAACAAAAACTCGACTCGACTCGACTCGTTTGCAGCCCTACGTACAATCATACATCTCATCAATAGCCGTACAGGAGTTACAGCTCCTGAGTCCTGACACGACCATACATAAGTATGAAGTATCCCGACTTAATTTCACTAAACTGCTCATAGTAATTACCACGACCTCCATAGATTGAAGGAGTGTTCATCGTCTCCTCCCCAAGTAACTGAACCCATTAATTACTAGGCCGTAAGAGGAGAGGAGGCAGTCCGTGGTAAATAATTGGTGCAGTAAAAAAAGAAACAGGCAAAAGTGGGAGAAGCCCCCCACCAAAACTCCAAAGACACTCAATAAAAGTACAAACACCAGCAACCGCCGTTCATGCATCAGCATTACCCTCTTGCAGGAAAAGTGCCAGGAATCTCTCCACCTCTGCCAGCCTACAATGATCAGAGCAAGGCTCGGAAGAATTTTAGGTAAAAAAAAAAAAAAAACTGGAAATATATTACCACAAGAAAACAGTCGTATCGAAAGTTATACGGAAAAATATGCAATTAAATTTTTGTACTAAAATCATAGTTCCACAATTTCCTACCTCTCAAAAATTGCCTACCATGATTTAATCGATATTTCTAATGTGCCCTACTGGTACAGTAGACTTTTGTGAACATTGGGAAAAAGAAATAGTAAAGAAGAATTAACCTTTGAACTTTAACCAACCATAACTGTTTTTGGGACACGGCTGATGGTGTCATATATAACCATGAGCTTTCCCATGAAAACCCACTAATGGTACTGTTGGTGCTGTCCATCTTTACAGCCTGAAAAGACCATTTAACAAACCCTGCTTGCTATTAATACTGAAGCATGTGTGGGGCACAACAGTAACATGGACTGTATGTGAGAACGGGAGGGAGGGAGGGAATAATGTTGAAAGTAGGGTGGAAAATGGGTGCGTTGGTTGGGTTTCGGTGTTAACTGGTCGATCCGATTTGGTACATTTTACCTGTTAGAGCGTGGTATATGATGCACAATTGAACATCTCCCAACAACATGAGTTATTGAGATCAATTGGTTATTGACATGGCACCAGAGCCTTATGTGACCGAGAGGTCTTGTATTCGAATCCTTGTAACCCCCCATTTGTTAAGCACATGGTATGTGGACCTGTGCAAACTTCAAGCCCTTGTGACTGGCTTTCGTTTGAGGGGAGCGTGTTAGAGTGTGGTATATGATCCACGATTGAACCTCTCCTAACAACTCGAGTTTTTGGTATAAACTGGTTCTTGACATTACACATAATTCATGGACACACTACTCGGGTTGGGTTGGGTGGGTGACGGATGGGTGCAGTTGGATCATAGATTAATCCGCAAGTGCAATTCATTCCCCACAAATTAGTAAGACCGCATCAATTAATACACCTCTCATCAATTTGTCACCTATGGAGATGTCTAGTACTTGTATAATTTTTTTTATTACTTTATCAATCAATTATGTCGAGAAAGTTTACATTTTTTATTTAGATACAACTAACAATTTACAATTTGTGTATTCATATCAAATGGAAATTATATACATAACATAATAACCAATACTAGTAGACCAAAAATATTCTTTATTTTCCACGTTAAGAAGTCAATGGCCAGTGCTTACTGTCTGTTAAGAAATATGGTAACTATTTGTTAAAGAAACAACTATTTCCTATGTAAAGATGGGGTGCAAGTCATTCGAATGACCCACAACCCACCCGATAAGTGCTGGTAGGAAATTTATTGATTCACAATCCACCCGCAACAATCATCTGTTCACTATGAATTAGATTATTTGCGAGTGGGTATATGTCAAACCGCGAATTACCCACCAGCATGCCCACCCCCTAGTTGAAACCAGCAAGATGACAACTGCAGTTATCAAATTAAAAAACATTCATACACTTTGCTTGTGTGGGTATGGGCTTCTTCTTGGGTCATCAAATCATTGTTATGAGACCAGACCACACACACAAAAAGAAAGGGATCCGTTAAGTTTTGGTTCGAAAAGCTAGCACTCATTTGGGCTCCGGCGTGAAATCACAATAAGGAAGGCCCATAACTCTCTATTAAAAGCCCACGATTTACATTAGACAAACCCCGTCACGTTTCCCGCTAAAATAACAAATTTCAAATCGTGGTTCTGGAAGCCTTCCGGGCCAGAACGATCCAACAGAGGACCCGATAAACCACGAAAAACCCGACCATAATCCCCACATTCTCCCACCTTCCATCCCTCTCCAGCCCTCTGCTCCTCAACACGTCACTCCCCGTCAAAACACACACCGCCGTCCCCGGTCCGCCGCCGCCCTGCCACCGGAAACACTCCTTCCTCCGGCTCCAGTACTCGTTCGTCAGCAGCGAGTCCAGCGGGTACCGGTACAGCGACACGTAGTACATAAACATCCAGTACTTTGGGATCCTGTCCTTGGGGATGAAGTAGCCGGAGAACAGGAAAAACGCCCCCAGCACGGTGCAGATCAGCGAGTTCCCGGCGATGAAATTGGGGGAAACCGCGGAGAGAAACATGACCAGCGAGCTGGCCATCAGGACGATCAGCCAGACGGTGAAGACGAAGAATCCGAACGCGGCGATCGAAGGGTTCAGCCCGACGATCCAGTAGACCGGTGCGGAGAAGATGATGGCGACGGCGAGGAGGAAGGGGAGGAAGACGATCGTGTTGGCGATTAGGTAGCTGGAGATTCTGTACGCACCGCGGGAGGCTTCCTTCATCAGCACGCGCCGCTCCTGGAGGTAGATCGGGAGGGCTTCCACTGTGGAGGAGAGGAGGAAGCTGAGGCTGAACGCGAACAGCCCCAATCGCTCCGCCACTCCGCTGCCGTCGGAGTTCCGTAGCTTCACGTACACGCTCCCCAATCCCAGCCCTCCGACCAGCGCCTGTAGCGTCCTCGCCGCGAAGAGCTGCTTCGTTCTGTATATCACTTTCCAGAATCTGGAGCACAGGTAAGCGATCTCTTCAAGATCGATTGACCGACGGTGACGGCGGTAGCGGTGGTTCCCCGCAGCTGCCGCGGGCCAAATCCAGTGCCGAATCGTCTCCGATTCACTCGGAATTGAATCGTTGTTGTTGTTGTCGCCTGATTTTGCCAATTCCTCCAGCGTGCCTACGATTTCCATGGCGAATTCGAGCGCGTTGAGCTGATCTGGGATAGAAAACCCTAAATCCCCAATTTTATCCTCTAGGGTTTCCAAGCTGCCGTGATGGACGACGGAGCCGCGAGACAGGACGAGGAAATTGGGGATGAACTGTAAAATTCTGTAACTCGGCTGGTGAATCGAGACAATCACAGTCCGCCGCTTCACCCTAGCAATGGCGGAGAGATGTTCGATCACCTGAAGCGCCGACGAGCTGTCGAGCCCCGATGTCGGCTCGTCGAGGAGGAGAATCGGCGGGTCGCAGATCAAATCGACACCGATCGAAACTCGCTTCCTCTCTCCACCGGAAATTCCTCTGTTGGATTCGTCGCCGACGTAGCTCTCGGCCACGTGGAGGAGGCCGAGCTCCCGCAGCAGACCTTCCACCCGCTCTTCCTTCTCCTTGACGGTGAGGTCCTTGAGATGGAATTTCGCGCTGTACATTAGGGTTTCTCTGACGGTGAGCAGAGGGAGGAGGTTATCGTCCTGCGCGACGAACCCGCATATCTTCTTGAGCTGGGAAGGGGAGGAGATTCTCCTCCCGTTGATGGAGATGGCATTGGTGTCGAATTCGTGGTTCCGAACTCTCCCGGCGATGACGCGGAGGAGGGTGGATTTCCCCGTGCCGCTGGGCCCGACGACGGCGAGGATTTGGGCGGCGTCGGCGGTGAAGGAGACGGAGTTGAGGATGGTGATTGGCTTGGGGGTTTGGAGGAAGGAGAAGGAGAAGGTGGAGGATGGTTTGGGGGAAATGGTGAAGGAGAGGTTGGTGACGGCGAGGTGGGATTGCTGCGGCGGTGGAGGCAGGGGAGGTGAAGAGAGGTAGAAGGAGGAGGAGGAGAGGCTGCAGGGAGTGGTGGATTCCGCTGGTGAGTCAGAGGTTGTGGAGAAGAGGATGGCGGCGTCTTCGGTGGCCGCGGCGTGGTCGGGCGGCGGCCGCCGTGGCTGGGGATGGAAGCAGGATGGCATTGTTGGATTGATGGAAGAGATTGAGTTGGGTGGAGAAGAGTGTATGTATGTAGGGCGTGGTTTCGGTTTTAGGTGGAAGAACAGGTGAGTTTGGTGAACGGAGAATGTTGACTAACTGCTTGTTATTGTCTTTCTTTTGTGTTTGCTTGTTAGTTCTCTTCTCACTCAGCTCCTTTCCATGGCTGATTGGCGGTCATTTTTTTTGGCAGTAGCTCAGGTGGCTTGAGGAAGAGGTTACTGTACTATTTATCTGCTGCTGCTGCTGCTGTCTGCATTTCCGACTTGACTTGCATTGTTGGTCACCTAACAGCCAAGGTAGGTTTGACTACGCTAGCGTCTGTCCTTCCTTTCTATTGATCCATATGGATCCAGTAGGCCCGTCATCCACAAGCAGCCAGATCCAACAGTTGAGTAGCTCATTTGGAAAACCGGCCCGGCCCATTAGCAGCAAGAGACAAAAACCTGATAGCCGTCGAATTGAGGAAAGAGAGAGGGTTATCCGCAGTGACGTCCACACACCAAACTCCTTCACTCTCGTCCCGCCACGTGTGCTGAAGAAGCTTCGTATTTCTCCAGATCAGGCGGGCCCCACCGTCCACCACCTCCTCGGTATTTATCCCCTCCTCGAACCGTGCGACCTGAGCTTCTCTCAATAAATTAAAACAAAATTTTATTTATTATAAAAAAATCCCCGATCGACTCCCCTGTTTGTCTGTATCATCGTCTCGCCCTCCTCTGCCTCCATTGAAGAACAAAGGGAGAGGGAAGAAGAAAGGGAAAAGATGGATCATGCGGCGGATGCACTGCGGACGGACTTGATGACGATAACGAGGTACGTGCTGAACGAGCAGTCGAAGCACCCAGAGTCCCGCGGCGACTTCACCATCCTCCTCAGTCACATTGTTCTCGGCTGCAAATTCGTCTGCTCCTCCGTCAACAAGGTCTCTCTCTCTCCCTCTCTGTTCATAGATGTTCCTACTGAATGAATTGAATTCAAAACAATCCGAATGGATGAATGAATTCGGTTTGCCAATTTTTCCTTCTGCTAATTGGTGCGTGTACGGTAACTGAAGTTAATCTGAGGAGGGTGGGGGATCTGCCGTAATCCGTTTTTGCTATCTTCTTTCTTAGCTGCTAAATATTTTTTTCTTCTTACCTTATCTGATTACTAGAGCTTGAAGGTAATCTACGCATTACGTTTCGTCAATCCATTTTCATAACAAAAACCATAAATTGTCAAACAAAAATATGGTGACTAGTTGCTGCGTCACCTTAAAACTCGGAGAGATATTGGGGGAGACTTTATACAAACAAAAAAAAAATTGTTAGAATTTGTTATTAATCGTTTCTATGATATATATATGTGCAGGCTGGTCTGGCGAAATTGATTGGGCTTGCTGGGGAGACCAATGTTCAGGCAAGTTTGACTCTCTGGGCCCAAAAATGTTTTTTTTTTTTTTTTTGCCTTCATCCTTAGGAGCCAGATGACCCCAGAATCACATTCTCACTCCAATTTCTTTCTTTTTTTTCTGCATTATGTTGAGAACATATTCTTGCGACAAACAGAGAAAGAAGAACCCATCACCTGGGTAGTTTATTCGGTTGTGATTCATGCTGTGTTTATCACCATGAATCGGCTAACAATAATTACTGTGGCTGTAGAGGATATTTATGTTAATTACATATATTTACATTATCATGATTAACATGTAGGGTGAAGAGCAGAAGAAACTGGATGTGCTCTCCAATGACGTCTTCGTCAAAGCATTAGTCAGCAGTGGCCGCACTGTAAGTAACACCCTCTCCACTTCCCTTTTTCTCACTCTCACTCTCAGACCAAAATACATGTCACTACTGCAAGTACTTTCTGACTGTGACCATCATGATATTATTTAGTGCATTCTTGTGTCTGAGGAAGATGAAGAAGCGACCTTTGTCGAGCCAGCGTTGCGTGGCAGGTACTGTGTCGTCTTCGATCCCTTGGATGGATCCTCCAACATCGACTGTGGTGTCTCGATTGGGACGGTATAATGACTGGAACTCAAATTGAATACACACTATATATAAACTAGTTTTCAGTGTTTGGCTAGCTCATGCTTTATTGTTGTTTTTAAAAGTGTTTGTAATGTTTTTGGTTTCTGTGTAGATTTTTGGGATTTACATGGTGAAAGATTTTACTGAGCCTACCCTAGACCAAGTGTTGCAGCCAGGGAAGAACATGGTTGCTGCTGGTTACTGCATGTATGGAAGCTCCTGCACGGTACAATATTATAAGCCCGTGTAATCTGAATTAGTACCCGTCTTCGTGTCGAAAAACTCAGATCTTTCCTTTATAGCTTCCTCCAAATGCGGATTACAATGGATTTTCATTGTGGTGTTGCAGTTGGTGCTGAGCACAGGGAGTGGAGTGAATGGGTTCACTCTTGATCCATCCCTTGGGGAGTTCATACTCACTCACCCTGATATTAAGGTTACTGCACTTTTCTGAATTGTTGTTGACTTCCAAATCAACTTATAGGTTTCTTTCTTTTGAGTTGTTCTATGGTGGGAACTTCATTCTTGCCCAGATTCCAAACAAGGGCAAGATCTACTCTGTAAATGAAGGGAATGCCAAGAATTGGGATGGTCCTACAGCCAAGTAATCAACTCCATTCCAGACATAGGTTATTGTCTAATGAACTTGTTTCTTGTATGCCTTACTTTGACAATTTTATGGCTGATCAACTCTTTAAGGTATGTGGAAAACTGCAAGTTCCCTAAAGAAGGTTCCTCGCCGAAGTCTCTTCGATACATTGGAAGGTAGGTAACTATGGGGGAAAAAGGTTACCTGCCAATCTAGTCAGTTTGTTGCCTTATAACCTTTCATCTTTGATATTCATTCATCAGTATTGCATTTCATGAACTTGTTTGTAATGCAGCATGGTTGCTGATGTGCACCGCACGTTACTATATGGAGGCATATTCCTGTACCCAGCTGACAAGAAAAGTCCCAGTGGCAAACTTCGGTAAACGCTTTCGATTTGTTATTTGCATAATTGCATTTAGTACTCTGTTACCTAGTAGTAGCAAGCTTTTCATAGTTTGATTCAAAATTGATGAAATTATGGTTTCCATTACAAAACTAGTGTCTTGTACGAAGTCTTCCCGATGTCATTCCTGATGGAGCAAGCTGGAGGTCAGGCTTTCACAGGCAAGGAAAGGGTAAGAGCCTTGTTTCCTACCCGTTGTCGAGTGATTGAAGTTTCGTCGTATCGTTGTTGATCTCGTGATTCGAATCTATATATGGTAAAATCAGGCACTAGACTTGGTCCCGAAGAAGATACACGAGCGATCTCCGATATTCCTGGGGAGCTACGACGATGTGGAGGAGATCAAAGCGCTCTATGCTGCTGAGGCAAAGAACTAATGGATGGAGGAGGTGCTGGTTTTTCTTTTTCTGCAGCATAGCTGTTGTGTCTAATGGTGGACTTTGCATTCATAGTATCTCGAAGAAGTTTCAAACAAATTGTCTATTCTCCAATACAGTGATAATACACCTCTTTCTGGTTATGTACGATATATATATACCAATCCCGTATTATGAACAAGCTATAATATAAATGTTCGTGGAAGTGTGTTGTTGTAGTCTTGTGATTTGCAATAAGGCCAACAAGAAAACCCATGATAGCATTTTACAGACCCATAACTGAGCACAACATTCAACCCACAATAACAACATTTTGCCGACTCATAACTGCAGCCCAATTGACAAAATGATAACCTTTCACGCTATTTTGAGCTTCTTATTTTAATTTAATTTAATCTGATTGATTTATTATTCTTCTTCACATTTCTGGTGTTCTGACTTCTGAGTATTAGCTATGAGATGTTCCCAAGTTCCGATGAATGAGAGATTGGTTCAGAAAAGAGAGCAAGTTTCTGGTATGAAGCCTGACTGCACTGCTTCTTATGACACAACTTGGAGTTTGACAATCACCACCCCGACCCCTTAATTTAACGAGACCAGCATATTGAGTCAAGTGGCGCTGGCTGGCTTGCTTTAATATTAATGAGACTTTCTTCAATATTTTCATGTTTATATAAACAAGGCATGTACATTCATCTTTAAAGTTATGTTTGTGTTCTGGAAAAAAAACTATGTGTTTTAAAACGATGGCGATTGAAAATAATCTATTGCATAATACAAAAAATTAAAGAGTTCATAAATAATTTTGTTTCAAATTATGTTTTACATAATGTTACGACTATTTTCATTTGAGTATTACTTAAACAAGTTGAACCACAACTCATTTCTAGAAAAGAGACTTCAGGATTCATTCGACGGCCCTGACCATGTGATTGGACACCAATTTTCTTTAGTGGCGATTTGCCAAGAGATTTCTTTGATAAGTTTGATGATGAGTATCAAGATACCCTTCCCTTTCAAACCCTTGGACAAATTTTCAAACACCACTTTTTTTTATATAATGGCGACACCAATTTTTATTAAGAACTTTTGAGTTTGTAGCTTGCCAAATCAATTTATCGGCTCCGGTAGACAATAAAAACAGATCAAGGGTACCTAACAAATGCATCAAGCTCTCCCCTCCCCCTCTCAACACCACCTCTAAGAGTGTATTTAAGTGGTATAACCCAAAACTAACCTCTCATTCTCAATGTGGACACACTGCGAGACCTTGACAAGTGGGGAAACAGCAGCGGCTGCGACTCGTGGAAAAACCTCGACAAGAGCCCTTTCGAGAAGCCAAACATCTAACCAGAAAAGAGTGTCATCTCCTGTTCCGATCTTAATCTTCGCAAATCTCCAGAAATCGGCTTTTTGTTTAATAATTTGCCTCCACTTACCCAATCCGTGCCATTCGACGAATACTTCAAAACCAGTAAGTCCCTCCACCAAACGTCTCTCTCACTTGAAAACCGCCAAAGCCATTTGCAGATGAGCGCCTTGTTCTGCAACTCGAGGTCATTGATACCCAAACCTCTCCATTTCTTTGGTGTTTTGCATCTTTCCCATGCTACTAAGTGGATCTTTCTCTATTCACACAACCCAGACCATATAAACTCCAACTGCATACCTTCTATCTTTTGGATTACGGCTTTGGGTGCTAGATAGAGTGACCCTCTAAACAAAGGTTGGCTCACCAAACAGGCATTACTCAACACGACTCTTCCACCTAAGGACAACAAGCCTCCTTTCCAGCTTACCAATCTCGATTGCATTCTTGTTATAGCAGGATTCCAGATTATGGACAAAACATATCGAGATTGAGCCGGGAGAGGACGCTGTCAGGTCGAGGAGAGTACACATGAGCGCTCCGCCCCACCTATAGGGTGGGTACTATGACTATCCACTCCAAAACAAACCAAATAGATTGGGTAGCACGGATTAGGTGAAATTGTCATCCCTACTTTTACCTCAAATTTTCACTCCATCCAAATTAATACCCTAAAACCCTATTACGTGATCCCGCTCACGATTCACCGGCTGAATTGGCAGGTTTTTAGCAAGTATTTACATCGTTCTCATTTGTTTGATACAAGAATTAAGATGGTTTGAATGATTATGGTAATGCTAAAACATCATATACCAAAATTATCCATGTATGATGTATCACAAACGATAGAGGAAGAGTGATTCTTATTATGTTCCAAGTCCGTTCATTCAATGCGACAAACCAAATTCAGTGGTTTCCTAGTTTCTCCACCCACGTTCCCACTTGTGTTCCTTTCCCATCAATATTTAGTCGTCTCTTCCCTGTTGTTTTGACCAATATATGCCAACAAGCATGATGGGCACAGTTCAGGCCACCCATTATTATATGTAAAATAGTCATCAACGTACCAAAAGAAATTCTCTTGCCATCCAATCCATGACCCAAATGGCCGCCCCTCTACCTCTACGGCTCTACTAGATGTGTTTACTTGGACCAGTTCGTTTTAGACTAGGATCGAAAATGAGACAATTTGACCAACTATTCTAATGTTCTTGCAGATAATAACGAGATTTACGATCGAGTACTAGGATTAGAACTCATGAATGGGAAGATATGAAAAGAGTTGAAATGCAACGATTTGCATCTCGAGGTAAAGCAACATATAATTAACATAAAGTTAACAACGTGTGTTGTATGTCCATCAAACACCAGCCTTAACTTCAGTCAAGAGTGTTAATTGACAAAACACGCCATAGAAAGTATCCTCTATTATTTTTTATGACAGAGAACCTTTACTCGTGGTCGTCAGTTTGGACTAGCTGGAAGAATGATGGTTTAAGACCAAAGGGAGGGTTGGATGCACTAGGACGGATGCCCATAACAACCCTAAGTGCAATGGGAGTAGGAACATGATTTTCATGCTAAAACTCAACCACTGTAAGTACAATCACACTTTGTGTGCTACAACTCAGTCATCCACCTCAGGACTATGATACATCTCTATCTCGGAATTGCTACAGAAGGGGGATCAATGCTATCGCTAGGTACACACGACCTTGTGTGTATCGTGACTTACCAACTTAGCTATCATTTTATAGACAAAAATAAACTGCGGAAATCTAAAATTGTGACTTTTCCGTTGTTGGAGGATTAGTATCACTTTGATTTTTTTTACCTTAGTAAATTACATTCTTAACTACATCTTTCACGTGTGTTACTTCTTCATAGAATAGGATAAGGTGACAACCTCTTAATGGGGTTGTCACTCTAACAACCTACTTCTACATTGTGGTTTTTCCCCTTTTTTTTAAATCGGCGGTCAAAATTGTTTCATGAAAATTTTGAAAACAAAAAAGTATTACTTCTTATTCCTACCCCCTTCCATATATGACGTTCCATCTTCGTCTCTCTCCCAAACCCTCACAATTCACTGTTTCCTCCCCTCTCTCCCTAGCAGCCTGAAGGAAGACGGTGAAAGCCGCTCCACAAACGACAAAGGCATTCCAGACGCCAACGACAACAACCCTCTCATCAACGACAGTGGCTCCATTGTGTTACTGATCCCATTGATTTTTTGTTTTAAAACTCGTACCTAAGCTTTATATTAAGATATTGGTTCGCCTAAATTGGTATTGGTTTTCTGAAGTGGTAGTGTTTTTCATGATTCAGTACTGATTTCTTGTTTTATTTTTGTAGTGGTATTGATTCGTTTGAATTGGTGTTGGTTCGTCTAAACGGAGACAAAAAAAGAATTGAGAAGAAGAATGCATAGAGATGGCCAGTGATTTCTTGTTTTATTTTTGTAGTGGTACTGATTTGTTTGAATTGGTGTTGGTTCGTCTAAACGGAGACAAAAAAAAAAAAGAATTGAGAAGAAGAATGCATAGAGATAGCCAGAGAAGCAGATAGGGGACTTAGAAGAGAGGGAAAAAAATGTAATTAATAAATATTTGTAACTTTTTAAAATGTAATTATTCAATTTTATTTTTCATACACAATTTATTCTTAGTTGTCACCATGACCACTAGTAAGGTATGCACTATAACAAGTATCCTCTTCACAATGAAACTGGAGATTACATTCAATAATCAAGACTAAAAAAGCAAAGCTGATTAGCTTTAGGTTAAAGATCCATAAGAGGTTTTGTTAAAGTGGTTGGAAATGTAACTTTAATCAAGCTAGAGTGTCTTACAAGATAGCAAATTGAGAAATTAATTATATCATCATGTATAGATAAAAATCTTGTAGCATATTATTTATGTCATAACATAAGTTGTTCCACTTGATGGCTCGAGGTGTTACTTTGGATAGTTGACCAAATTACAATGATGGAATTTTCCGATTAAGATTGAGCATATTTTGGAAGGTGCTTTGGAAAATCCTCATTGAAAGTCATTATCACTTATCATCAGGCAACTATCCATTTATTCAAGTGTCACACACAAGGAAATTAACAAAGATAATTGCACGAGAGATATATTAAGATGTATAATAAATTCCGTATTAATCAATTGATTTGCCATTTTGAAGAAGCCTATTTATTTTTACCTTTTCTTTCTCATAGGGATGTAATTTAATTACTTATATATGATCATCCGTTTACCATGGATCTCATATTAAGATGTATAATAAAAATCCAGCCTATCACTACGTATTATTATTACCACTAGTACATAATGAATGCACATGAAGGATTGGAAGTATTATTTTGAAGGGGCTAGCATCAGGTGACTAAGAGGGGGGCCTTAGTCACATGACTAAGTAAATCTCAGCCCTTCCATCTCATTAAAATCTAATGGCTACAATTAATCTACTTTAATGAAGGGCAAAATTGTAAATTCATGATTATTTTTATTTTCAATTATTAAATAATTTTTTTCCGGCTCTTCTCTCTTTGCCGTCCGTCTCGTTTCTTTTTTTTCCCCGCCGGGATCCGCCATCGCCGACCAGGGAATTCCATCGCCTGTGCGGTCACTTTTTGTTATGGGAATTTATTCCCCAAGTTCCCGCGAGAGAGAGAGAGAGAGAGAGAGAGAGAGAGAGAGAGATTTTGTACTGTTAGTATGTTTTGTATTGTTTTGTCGGTTTATTTTGTAATGTTCGTACGCTTTGTTATTTTGTAATGTTTGTTGGTTTTTTTTGTAATGTTTGTACGCTTTGTTATTTTGGAATGTTTGTCGTTTTTTTTGTAATGTTTGTAAACTTTGTTATTTTTGTGTATCGTGTTTATCATTTTTGTCAACCATGTTTGTAATGTTTTTTATGTCTAAAAAACACCCGGGTTGACTTTGGGAAGGAGCCCATCTATATAGGGATGGAGCCTACAAAGTCAACCCAGGTGTTTTTTCAGTTCGTATGGATTGTCGGTATAGTTTGTCATTTTTGTCCACCATGTTCATACTGTTTGTATCTCTAAAAAACACCCGGGTTGACTTTGGGAAGGAGGCCCTCTATATAGGGATGGAGCCTCCAAAGTCAACCCGGGTGTTTTTTCAGTTCGTATGGATTGTCGGTATAGTTTGTCATTTTTGTCCACCATGTTCGTACTGTTTGTATGTCTAAAAACACCCGGGTTGACTTTGGGAAGGAGCCCCTCTATATAGGGATGGAGCCTCCAAAGTCAACCCGGGTGTTTTTTCTTTTTGTATGGTTTGTATTGTTTGTCGGTCTAGTTTGTATTGTTTGTACAGTTCATACGTTTGTAATGTTTGTATTTTTTGTCGCTCTAGTTTGTACTGTTCGTATGTTTGTATGGTTTGTACTGATTCTAAGTCCGGTTTATATACTTCGTAATTTTCCATAATACCCAAACTACCCCTGTCATTAATTAAATAGCCCTTCCCACTTTTTAACCATCAGATTGATGTGTCCAGATCTAAGGGCTGAGAGGGGCTTAGTCAAGTGACTAATCACCCCCCCTTAGTCACCGGATCCGCTCTCATTTTGAAGGCACCTTTAACATTTCTCATGCATCAATCCTTGTGTTTCACTCGGAGAACCAATGCCTTATATAAAAATATGGTTATAGTCGAATCTCATTAATGTTGGAATCGAATTTGGTAATACTCCAACCTCAAATCTAAAATAAAATTCGATATGATTGCTCAAACGCTCATCTTCTTATAAATTCTAATAAAAATGGTTTGCTATATCCTGTTTCCTAGGATAGTTGTCGTATAATGGACCAAGTTGACATAATCGTATATTGAGTATGTATCCATCAACGTATTGAGTTGTTCTGCCACTAATGCAAAGGTTTGGATGGTTTTTGAATAATGTATTATGGAATAGAACAAAAGACAGATAAGATAATGGTACATAAATCATCTAATATAACTGTTATATTTCTTATAACACAAGAGCAACCTACGTTATGATTATCCTTAAGGAAGAAAATTTAGAGATTGAACATTAAAAACCCAATGAAAATAGTTTATCAAAAACTTATTTACATGCTCGATCGCCACAAGCAAGTAATGAGACAGATTAAATTTCTGTAAACTTGTAATGAACTCAAAGGACATGTTCAACTTCACTTAATTTAAAGCATACTTTTACCAAACATATACTTCAAAAGGAAAAAGGAAGAAGAAAAAAACAAATTGAGATGGCGTTACACGCTAGTTGGTGAGCTTTGTTTAATCCTTGTTAATGGATGGTGGTAGAATGGATTTAAAGCTGGGCTGAAGTTGTTTCTAGAGAGAGAAAACAGAAGAAGAGACAGACAGAGGAGCCTTGTGGTAAAGTCATACAGAGAGAGAGAGAGAGAGAGAGAGAGATCTGACAAAGGGCAAAAAAGGAGAGGAAGATCGAGGTGGGTGTTGGCCGCCTATCTATTGTTTTCTTCGCTTGCTCGTTGTTCCTCTCTTTTTCTCTCTGCTTTTGCTTTTCTTCCTTCTTTTACTTTTGGGCTAGATCTCGTTTCTTTCGGCTCCCCCTCTTCCCCCCTGGATTTCTGCTTGTTTCTCAAGAATTTCCTCCCAGTTTTTCCGGGGTCTTGGATAAACCTTGCCGTTGCTGGCTGCAGCTCATTGTTCTCTTCTGGATTTTGGTTCACACTGGGTTAGATCTCTTTTCCCTCGAAAGATTTCCTTGTTCCCCTGTTTGGTTATTGAAAGTCGACTCATTTCCATGTTTGATTTCTGCGTCTATGATGCCGATTGTGATGTCAAGCACCAAGCTTTGTGGCCATGGTTGAAGTCAACTCTTCTTGCCTGTCTTTGTTCTGGGTCTTGCTGGTCAAATTTGCTGGTTTTGGTGGTACTTGGCTTTTCTGGGTTTGGATTTTGAATACTGTTTCTCTTTTTGAGCACTGGGTTGGTTTCCATTTCAGGCTTTGGCGCATTGAATAGGCTAAAGTATGGAACTTTGAATTTCTTGAATGGATTCTTGAATCTGGGTTTGGTATATGGATTCCTGAATGTTTTTGAATTTCTAGTTCCAGACATCCGGGTGATCCAAGCTGAGTTAGACTCTCATGTCATTTAGGGTTTTGTTTGCAGAATGATCTATTGATCATATAGACATAATTTTCGAACTAGCTAGCTGAGGCTTTACCATTTTGGAATCTAATGTGGATCATGGTTTGTGTAGTCCACCCATGTACAGTGTTGTTTTTTCATTTGATTGCACATTCTTACTTAATTTGAATGTAGATGCACTTAGTATGAAGTTTTGATTCGAAAAATTAGTTCCAACTGGGTTTCCATGTGAGCCTTTTGTCTGATGGGAATCTTCTTTCACTTGCTTTCTGCTTTCCCCCTCATTTGTCACTTTTACGTCTTTCTTTCTTGCTTGTTAAGCATATAAACATAAATCTGAAACTTGTTTTTGTTGATTCACAGTTCTGGTCAATTTGTCCTGAGGCATGATCGCTGATCAAACCGAGTATAAATCTACTTCGAGAAACTGAGTCAAGGAATTGACTGAGTTGGGAGCTCGGAAATTGCCAGTCTTAGTGTGGTATGTCGTTCCGTAGTATAGTTCGTGATGTGAGGGATGGATTTGGGAGCTTATCGAGACGGAGTTTCGATGTTAGGCTGCCAGGTCATCATCATCGAGGGAAATCCCATGGTTCAGTTACTGATGACTCACATGACCAGCCGGCAGTTGTCATCCAGAGCAGTCGTTGGGCTAGTCTGCCGCCAGAGTTGTTGCGTGATGTCATCAAGAGGTTGGAAGCAAGCGAGGGCACTTGGCCTGCTCGTAAGCATGTTGTGGCATGTGCTGCTGTTTGCAGGGCGTGGCGAGAAATGTGTAAAGAAATTGTTAGGAATCCCGAGTTCTCTGGGAAGATCACTTTCCCAGTTTCCTTGAAACTGGTAAATACATAATTTTCCATATGTTGGCTTATTGTTACATTTGTGTAACTGCTTTCTTAGTTAGCTACTTCATTACTTAACAACAAGCTCTTAATGTACATACTTGTTGTACTTGTTAATTGCAGCCAGGGCATAGGGATGGGCCTATCCAGTGTTTCATCAAGAGAGACAAGTCCAAGTTAACTTACCATCTTTTCCTTTGCCTTAGCCCTGGTAAGCTGCTTTGGTTGTTAAATTCTTTTCCTTCTTTCAATTTGTAGTATCATTTGAGTCTAGTAGAGAATCTTCTTCATCTATTGTTCCTTATGTCCTCTAACGGCTGATTGCGGTACAAAGTGGTGACCGCTCTCCGTTATCATGGTATGATGCACCTTGAGTTAAGTGTTTTACACAGCTCCATCGTTCCAGTGATGCGCCATAATTAATGGTAGCATATTGCTTTAGCCCTTATCTGATAGCTGCTTTCCCTAGAAAGATTAACTGTCTTTTGATGGATGCATATTTATTTACCTAGCTCTCCCTGAAAAGGTAAAAAAAGATGCTACCTTTCAAGAGCTTCAGTACTGTATCTTACTGTCCGTAGTGTGAATTTGCTCTGTTGTGTTTTCTTTTCTGATGATTGGGGGTCTTAAGTGCTGCTCTGTTCTTCTCTCTTCTGGTTTGTTTCTTATATACCCCTTGGAAAAGTTATGTTAATCAATAATCCATTAGCTTGTAGGCATTTGAGCTCGCTGTTAGCACTCCATCTCTCAAATTCGTGCAAAAATAATCACTCTGCAACTCCCATGCTTTTTCAGTAGCTAGCCTTACCTTGCTGAAAGTGGACAGTGAACTCATCATTAAGCTCAATGTGTCATCTTTGTTATCCATCTGTCAAACATTCACATATCGATAAATCTGCCGTGCATCTTGTGTGTAACTTTCATTCTTATACCTAAATGCCGCCTTCTGCTCCATATATTTCTTTGGACAAAATGTTTCATCAAATTACCTACCTTTCTAAAGCTCCATTCTATTCTATGTGAAGTTCTTGGTCTCTACATAATCAAATTTACCTTTGCTGTTCTTTTCAGCTTTGCTTGTTGAGAATGGCAAGTTTCTTCTCTCAGCTAAACGTACCAGAAGAACTACTTGCACTGAGTATATCATATCCATGGACGCCGATAACATATCAAGATCAAGTGGAACATATATTGGAAAGCTAAGGTAAATTTCTTGTCACTGTGCACTGGCTCTTAATCTAGGGAAAGAATGTAACTTGTTGAATTTGTGATAGTTCATTGATGGTGGCTTTCTATCTAGAGTAATATATCATTATCATATCATACCAATGAAGGTTTTTGGTCCCTTATCAAATGCTTTATATCTTAAACTAATTTCAATGCTTCAATTTCTTCAGGTCAAATTTCCTAGGCACAAGATTCATTATCTACGACACTCAGCCACCCTACAATAACGCTCAAATCTCACCACCAGGTCGAAGCAGAAGATTCTACTCCAAGAAAGTCTCTCCTAAGGTCCCTACAGGAAGCTACAACATCGCGCAGATCTCCTATGAGCTCAATGTGCTTGGCACCCGGGGACCCCGCAGGATGCACTGCACTATGCACTCAATTCCCACTTCATCACTCGAACCTGGCGGTTCAGTCCCCGGTCAACCTGAGATCCTCCTCCCTCGGTCCCTCGAGGATTCGTTCAGAAGCGTCTCGTTGTCGTCCGAGTTCAGCAGCTCGAGGTTCTTCGATGTTGCTGCGGGGCCACCAAGAGGCGGGGGAGACGATGACGTGGAAGGGGAAGCGAAGGACAGCTGCCCACTCATTCTGCGGAACAAGGCTCCCAGGTGGCATGAGCAGTTGCAGTGCTGGTGTCTGAACTTCCGTGGCAGAGTCACAGTGGCATCCGTGAAGAATTTCCAGCTGATAGCGGCGAATCAGCCAGCAGCTGGCGCGCCTACTCCTTCACAGCCGCCGGCACAGTCCGATCATGATAAGATCATTCTGCAGTTTGGTAAGGTTGGAAAGGATATGTTCACTATGGATTATCGGTATCCGCTGTCTGCTTTCCAAGCTTTCGCCATATGCTTGAGCAGCTTCGATACTAAGCTGGCTTGTGAATAGAGAGGGGGTACAGAAATTGGGAAGAAAACTTAAAAGGGAGGGTTAGGAGCTATGTCTGTTGTTGTTGTTGGTGGTGGTAGTAGTGTACTAGTGTATTTATGTTAATCCGAATGTGGTTAGGATTCCACGAGATGTGGGTTGTTGTTGTTGTTGCAAGAGAGGGAAAAGCTGTACAATTTCAGTAGGCAAGAAGTGGGAGATGTCTCCCCTTTTTCGATCAAGTTTTCTTTTCTGAAGTTTGCATTGTAATGCCTTCTATGAAAATTGTTTGTTTTGAATTCCCTCAAGTTCAAGGGATGCTTCTGTAACTTTTGGATCAATCAGATGATGAAGGTGACTATCTCTACCTTTTGTATCAGAATCTTTAACTTGCCATAGGAATGACAGATTCGTTGGATTAGATTGCTGTGATGTTCATTTTACCAGAGATTTGGTACCAGGGATGGCCATTACTGTTGCCTTCACCGCTTTTTCCTTTTTACACAAAATCCTCTCTGATGTGTTATTTATATTCCCTTTTGGAGGATTCCGATAACAAGAAGTTGTTCAGCTGTTGTTTTCTATTCCATTTCCTTTTCCTGTCTTAATCTCTTGCCCAACTTCGAATCCATATATGAAAAAGATGGGGGGAAACGAAACAAGATTAGCTCAATGGCATGTTCATTTGTCTAGGCTTTTGTATTATATGAAAAAAGTTGATGCGCAGCGAGTTCTTAGAATAATGTGGCCTACTACAAATGGTCCATGAGGCACAATGGGATTTTTTTTTTTCTTCTTCTTTTGTTTTTTAGGAATACGCTAGTGATATAAAATTGAATTATTGGAAAAAAAAAACTCACAACTTTAACGTGCTAATACTAGCTCAAACCAATAAAAGCATTTCGTTTTGATGACTTTTTTGTTTAATTTTGAAGGGGATGGCCATTATTAATGTTCAATTTTAAAGGGAGAGACATGCTTGTCATTTTTGAAATGGGGGAACACGCGTGTGTGGCGCTGCTCATTTATTCTGCCTACCGTCTTGATCACAAGTATCATGAAGCATACTAGAAAACATATACCAGATATACAACAAACAACACCACAAACAACATAAAGTAGACTAAAAAGCTTATAAAGCATACCACGGTCGTTTGGTAGATGCATATCTAAATGATGTATTTAATGAATGCATGTATTGTAGAGAATGCATCATTTTGTTGTTGCAAAATAAAACACAATGCATGTATTTGATTGTTGATGTGACATTTGAAATCATTCAAAACGAATGATTTAGAATATCAACTATTTGGTGAGATTGTTGAGATTGTGTTTTGAGATTATGAATCAAGTTTTCTTCTTTTTTTATGCCCTTATCAACTTTTATATGTCAGTTGACTTTTATATCTAAAAGGAAGGGTAAATGTGACTTCATTCAAAAAGTGGGTTTCTACCACATTCCTAAAAATACAATCACAACTACCAAACATTGTAATCTTAAAATGCAAGCATTTAACCAATACATCAATTTATAATGCATGCATGCATTCATACAATACATCAATTTTTTTTTTATAATGATGATGAACTTTATTAAATGAAAACAACAAAAAGTACAAGACAAAGACCCACGAGCAGTAGGCCAAGAAAGAACACAAGTACAATACATCAATTTTAACAATCGCAAATACAAAACGAGCTAACCACACCATAAAATTCATAAAGCAGATAAGAGAACTCAAAATTGACCAAAAGTTCTCTGAAGCGTATTTGAAACTTCATAAACCCGACAACAAATTTTTTGAAGCAGACCATAATCCTTATAAAGCTAACTACAAGTTACCTAAAACATATAAAAAAAATATATATGTGCAATCACAGCACAACTCTCATAAAGTAGACCAGAAAATCCTCATATTTTCTTTAATGGACGGAGACACAACAATTTTAGAAAACTACTTTTGAAATTTGAATTCAACTAGAAAAATCAAAATTATGACTTCGAAAGTTCTTCAATCCAAAACAAAATGACTTCTGCGATGTGCACTTGATCCGGATCCTGAATTCCGGTGTAATGACTCCCACAAAATATTGGACATTCCCTTCCCAAGTTTTCTGGCCCAAATTTATGTTGTAGATTTAGCTCAAAGAAACAAGCCCTGATCCAAACCATTAGCCCAGCTATTTTCTTTTTTTCGAGTCCAACTACTGTTTTCTCTGTTTTAGGGATATGGGAAATTTTTATATGGTAATGAATATCCTCTGGACATAATTGGATAGAGCAAAATCTGAATTCAAAATATTTTTGGTGGGTATGGGTAAAATATGAATTCGAATACTGCGGGTAATGAATATATAAGGGTTGCTCACTATTCATTCTGAATGTGTATATATATGTATTTATCTAAAAATTGTCATTACATTTTATCATATTTTATATACATATATAATATTGTCATCAAATTTTGTTATTTTTAACGATTTTTCTTAGTCCTAGTGATTTATCGTTGTACCTTTTCACTTATGTAATGCCAATATACATGTAATTATTAACATGTTTGTTAAAGTTACGGAGAAAAATTATTATTCATGGATAACCGTGGATATCTGAAACCCGATCGGATAAAAATATGGTTTCAATTTTCTATGAGATAATAATAGGTGGGGATGAGATAGCATGACTACCCCCTAAAGAGTTTGGAAAAATGGCACCCCTATTAATTATAGGCTTTTAAGGTAATTGATTTGTGTTGCATTTAATAAGCTATCTGAATTAAAAACTCATATTAATTACGTTCCTTTTTTCAGTGCAATTTTAGTTCTACCAGTGCAATGATATCAGTGTACATGTGCAATGGTCGTTGTATCAGTGCAACGGTAGTTAAAAAAAAGAATATAATTAATATGAGTTTTTAATTCCCAAAGATTATTAAATGCAACACAAATTTAATATCATAATTAACTATAATTAATAGGGTGTCATTTTCCAATCCCACAGAGGAGTTAGCAACCGATTCCTAATAGGTGGCATAACATGTGTGATTAGTTTTGCAAGTTAATCTGAGAACAACATTCATTAAGAAGAAGAAAACCGTTTAGATCATCATGAGAAAGAAGATGTGCGGAAGTATGAGATCAAGAAATTAAGGAAGTATGGTGGCGTACAGTATACCATACTCTAAGTAGTCAGGAAGTTATTGGATGTACTTTCTTGTATTTTGATGAGTTTGAATTGTCGATTATTGTTATTTTACCAAAGGGATTTACGAGTTTGAGTTTAGAAAATTTAGATTTGGGGTTTATATATTAGAGATTAGGGTATAGTATATCTCCTAAAATTAATTTAATTCATGGTCTATTCGGTTTCACTAAAAGTACGTGGAGTATAGTATACTCGAGAAATACACCGGTATATACAACAAAGTAAATTTGAGAAGAGCTGTAAGAGTGAAATTGTAATCTTTTCTTCGTATGTTACATTCCCACAATGCATTTATGAATTCTCTACTTTATCAATTACATTTACAATAATAACTCAAAGGAATTCCCAATTAAGATCATTGCATATAACATTAAACTCAAAGGTCCTTCATCCCTCACAACTACGTAGGATAATCAATCCACACAATATATATAATAAAGCACTCCTGATCACAAACTCAAACTAATTAGCAGAAAGAGGAAGACAGAATAATCAAAACTAATATATACATATAACTTATCTAGCTCCAATGATTGACAGATTGAGAGAAGTGAGCACTGGCCGGCCGGCCGGCCATGGTTTCTGCTAGCCGGTGGCCATCTTACGCTCTATCCTCCTTCCATGTATGTGTCGTTACGAGAGGTTTGAATCGTAGTAACAATCGCGGCGATACGAATCTCAACCCTTTGAAAGTCGTTAGCCATTGAATCGTGTCGAACTCCATGGTAACGATGATAATTTGGCACTTGATCAGCCATGAGAAAGCTCTCAAATCTTTTGACAATTGAGAAACTCTAAAATAGACACAACAGAAAGATAGAGTAAAGAAGAAAGCAAGTACTTGAATATTATATAGGCAGAGGGTTGGAGGTGAAAGCAAGAAGCCATATGGAGGGGACCACCCTACATACGCATGATCATAGCTCTTAATTACAGACTAATTAAAACCTAAGCCCATAACTAAACTTTGGGGGGAAAAAGGGTTTAGAACAGACAAATTGTGTAGCATGATACTATGGGTGATATAGTTATATTATGAGATGATAAGGTGATTAGAATAAGATATATATACACACAGACAAAAAGAGAGTGTACATTGGAGTTATATACGACAGCGGAAAGCAGCGTGAAGTATTTCAATATCTATAGTCGGTCTGCGAGAGTGCGTGAGTCAGGTATAGATAGGGTCGTTTGGCCCGGGGCAGGGGTCAGGATCTTGACCTGTATTTAGAAAAGAAAGGCTGCAACAACTTGGGTTGATAATTTAGAGTAAAAGAGAAATAATTGTTACATCGATACCAGAGAGACTGTGACTAATGAGCTATATACAATATTAGAAAGGCCGGGGTTGAAATCTAAATTAGCTGGTAATTAGATCGAAATTATTGAAAAGAAACGATTTCGACATCATCAAGTCTTGGAGGATAGTGGTGTAAGAGGGAGAGTTACCTAACTATACAAAATAAAATTTATTTTCCAAATAGTCAATGATCACTTTAATTAGTGGAAGGTCATAAGTCATACCTGAATCATTAACGATTGATATGGGAGTAGTATCTTATCTTAATATATAGATAGATAGATCAATATGCAATGAATACACAACTTGGACCTATATTGCTCGAAGAGCCATTTTCTGTTCATGAAGGAATGACAATTGAGTTTTTAGCCTAAACTTAATTGGTATACACACTCTCTCTAACTGCGATTGAGTCTCTATAAATAGGAAAGTCTCCATAAATGAAGTAGTGTCATGTACAATGCATTCCCATAAATGGAGAGAGCCTCCATATTTGGGGAAATTTGTAAAAAGACTCAAAATTGGGGATGGAAATTGGGAATGGGGAGGGCTGTGCAGGTGGGCAGGACAACCGCTAGCCCGCCACTTGGCTTTTTTTCTTTTCTTTTTAAGATGTAAGGGGTTAATTGGAGTTTAATTAGATCAATAATTTTCAAGTGTTGCGTGTAAGAAAAAATTAGATCAATCATTATTTGCCAAAAAAAAGCGGTCTTGAAATTTAGAAAATTTTGATTGGAAATTTTGTATTTAAAAATGATGATGAACTATAAAAAATTAACATGAACAAATTATATTAGATGATCATAAGTAAATTTTTAAGTAAAAAATGATGAAAATGGGAATTATCTCCAAATTTGGAGATTGTAGCATTGGAGAAAAATGATGAAAATGAAGATCATCCCCAAATTTGAGGATGATGACCCTTAAATTTGAAGACTAGTATTGAAGTTGGTCTAAGGACAGCTAAATAAAAGAGATAAAACACAAGAAAATGTTTTTATAAGCATTTTTTTCTTAGTATTCTACCCATAAAAATGATACATGACAAAGTTTTGAGTTGAATGATTGAGATATACTTTATAGTTTTAAGATAATATTATTATCGTGAAAGTGCCTACAAATGTTAACAAAAAAACAAATATGCTAGCTTGTTAGGTCAAATTAATTGTTATAGTGGTTCACAGATTGCTCACGCCCCAGGTTTTGTTTTTTCATTATCAACCATGATGATTTAACGTTTAACAATAAATTAATGAAGTGATTTAGTTACTTTAGTATTGTTGGCCAAGTAGATTAATTGATGGAAATTGAACTTATTTCCTTCTTGAAAAATTAAAAATGAAGAAAGCTAAGCAAAAAAATTAATAATGCTAATAATAAGTAGGGATCAATAATTTCACCTTTTTTATTTTCTTTAAAAAAACACATGCACAAAGAATGAGTTTTGTTATATGGTTGGGGGAAAAAAGTTTAATAAGGGTTCGTTTGGAAGTTGCGATAGTTTTGTTGACATTGTCATTATGCATGTATTGTTTACAATGCATCGTTTTTTATTTTATTTTTTTAGCATAAACAATACATGGATTGTTTCTGTGATGTGACAGAAACTATCACTCATTTTGAGTGATTGTTATATCTCAACTTTTAGTTGTGATTGTTGAGATAGTTGAGTTGAGATAAGTCCGTTAAACTCCAAATTGGGCCATATGAATTTCGGATGACATTTTCGTAATTTTTTTGCCGATAAAATGCCATTTTCTTTGGATTTTGAAGGTTACATATCACGAATTCGGCATGAGCCTATTCTTCACCGACGATTACGTCCATTAAGCACCGATTTTGGCATATTTATTCCGGGTCAATTTTTGCCAGATTCCAAAGGGGTACCATCACTGATTTTGGACGATTTTCCCGAAATGACATTCTCATTCAATTCTGGAGGCTACAAATCACGTATTCAGGCCAAGACTATTCTCCAACGATAATTTTTTCTATTGATCCTATTCTCCACGGATGATAAGTCCATTAAGCACCGATTTGAGGAAACTTATTTTCAGATGGCATTTTCGTAATTTTTTGCACGACAAAAGGCCATTTTCATTGGATTCTGAATGCTACAGATCACGGATTCGGCCTGAGCCTATTATTCAACAATGATTACGTCCATTAAGCACCGATTTGAGTGTATTTATTCCAGGTCAATTTTTGGCAGCTTCCAAAGGGATACCATCACAGATTTTCGGCGATTTTCCCGAAATGCCATTTTTTCGATTCTAGAGGCTATAGATCACAGATTCAGGCCGATACTATTCTCCACCAATAAAGAAGTCTATTGATCCTATTATCCACGTCTGATAAGTCCATTAAACGCCGATTATAGCCAATTTATTTTCGGATGGAATTTCGTAATTTTTTGGGCGACGGAAGGCCATTTCATTAGATTTTAAAGGCTACAAATCACGGTTTCGGCCTGAGGCTATTCTTCAACTACAATAACGTCCATTAAGCACAGATTTGGGCAGATTTATTCCGGGTCTATTTTTGGTAGATTCTAAAGGGTACCATCATCGATTTTGGGCGATTTTCCCGAAATGTCATTTTCTTTCGATTCTGGAGGCTATAGATCACAAATTCAGGCCGATACTATTCTCCACCGATAATTTTTTCTATTGATCATATTCTCCACGGATGATAAGTCCATTAAACACCGATTTGGGCCAATATATTTACGGATGGCATTTTCAAAAAAATTTGGGCGACGAAAGGCCATTTCTTTGGATTTTGAAGGCTGTAGATCACCAATTCGGCCTGAGGCTATTTTTCAACGATAATTACGTCCATTAGCATCGATTTGGGCAGATTTATTCCCAGTCAATTTTTGGCAAATTCCAAAGGGGTACCATCACAAATTTTGTGCGATTTTCCCGAAATGGCATTTTCTATCGATTTTGAGGCTACAAATCACAGATTCAGGTCAAGCCTATTATGAACCGATAATGCATTCTATTGATCCTATTCTCCACGGATGATAAGTCCATTAAGCATCGATTTGGGCCAATTTATTTTTGGATAGCATTTTTTGTAATTTTTTGGGCGAGGAAATGCCATTTTCTTTGGATTTTGAAGGCTGCAGATCACAGATTCTGCCTGAGGCTATTCTTCAACGACGATTACGTCCATTAGCACCGATTTGGGCGGATCTAATTCGGGTCAATTTTTGGCAAATTCCAAAAGGGGTACCATCACAGATTTTCGGCGATTTTCCCATAATGTCATTTTCTTTCGATTCTGGAGGCTACAAATCACGGATTCAGGCCGAGGCTATTCTCCACCGATAATGAAATCTATTGATCATATTCTCCACGGATGATAAGTCCATTAAGCACCTATTTGAGCCAATTTATTTTCGAAGGCATTTTTGAATTTTTTGGGGCGACGAAAGGCTATTTCTTTGGATTTTGAAGGCTGAAATCACGGATTCGACATGAGTCTATTTTTCGACGACGATTACGTCCATTAGCATCGATTTAGGCTGATTTATTCCCGATCAATTTCTGCCAAATTCCAAAGGGGTACCATCACAGATTTTGGGTATTTTCCCGAAATGCAATTTTCTTTCGGTTCTGGAGGCTACAAATCACGGATTCAGGTCGAGGCTATTCTCCACCAATAATGAAGTCTATTGATCCTATTCTCAACGGATGATGAGTCCATTAAGCACCAATTTGGGCCAATGTATTTTCGGATGGCATTTTCGTAATTATTTGGGCAACGAAAGTCAATTTTCTTTGGATTTTGAAGGCTACCTGAGGCTATTCTTCAACGACGATTGTGTCCATTAAGCACCGATTTGGGGGATTTATTCCGATTCATTTTTTGGCTGATTCCAAAAGGGTACCATCACAGATTTTGAGCGATTTTCCCGAAATGTCATTTTCTTTCGATTCTGGAGGCTATAGATCACGTATTCAGGCCGATGCTATTCTCCACCGACAATAAAGTCTATTGATCCTATTTCCCACGGATGATAAGTCCATTAATCTTCGATTGGGGCTAATTTAATTTCGAATTGTATTTTCGTAATTTTTTGGGCGACGAAAGCCCATTTTCTTTTGATTTTGAAGGTTGCAGATCACGGTTTTGGCCTGAGACTATTCTTCAACGACAATAACGTCCATTACGCACCGATTTGGGTAGATTTATTCCGAGTCAATTTTTGACAGATTCCAAAGGGGTACCATCACTAATTTTGGTCGATTTTCTCGAAATACATTTTTTCCCCGATTTTAGAGGCTACATATCACGGATTCAGGCTGAGACTACTATCCATAGATAATGAAGTCTATTGATCCTATTCTCCACGGATGATAAGTTCATTAAGCACTGATTTGGGCCAATATATTTTCGGATGACATTTTCGTAATTTGGGCAACGAAAGACAATTTTCTTTGGATTTTGAAGGCTACATATCAAGGATTCGGCATTAGGCTATTCTTCAACGATGATTGAGTCCATTAAGCATTGATTTGGGGGATTTATTCCTGTTCATTTTTTGGCAGTTTCCAAAGGGGTACCATCACAGATTTTGGGCGATTTTCACGAAATATCATTTTCTTTCGATTCTGGAGGCTACAAATCACGTATTCAGGCCGATGCTATTCTCCACCGATAATGAAGTCTATTGATCCTATTTTCCACGGATGATAAGTCCATTAATCTCCGATTTGGGCCAATTTAATTTCGGATGGCATTTTCGTAATTTTTTGGGCGACGAAAGCCCATTTTCTTTTGATTTTGAAGGCTGCAGATCACGGTTTCAGCCTATTGCTATTCTTCAACGACAATAACGTCCATTAAGCACCGATTTGGGTAGATTTATTCCGGGTCAATTTTTGACAGATTCCAAAGGGGTACCATCACTGATTTTGGGCTATTTTCCCGAGATACAATTTTCTTTCGATTTTGGAGGCTACAGATCACGGATTCAGGCCGATCCATAGATAATGAAGTCTATTGATCCTATTCTCCACGAATGATAAGTCCATTAAGCATCGATTAGAGCAAATTTATTTTCGGATGGCATTTTCGTAATTTTTTTGTGCTATTAAAGGCCATTTTCTTTGGATTTTTAAGGCTGCATATCACGGATTTGGCATGAGGCTATAAGTCAACGACGATTACGTCAATTAAGCACCTATTTTGGCAGATTTATTCCTCGTTAATTTTTGGCAGATTACAAAGGGGTACCATCACAAATTTTCGACGATTTTCGCAAGATGCCATTTTCTTTCTATTCTGAAGGCTACTGAACACAGATTTAGGCCGAGGCTATTCTCCACCAATAATGAAGTTTATTGAACCTATTCTTCGTGGATGATAAGTCCATTAAGCTCCGATTTGGACCAATTTATTTTCGGATGACATTTTCGTAATTTTTTGAGCGACGATAGACCATTTTTGTTTGGATTTTGAAGGCTATAGATCACGATTCAACCAGAGGCTATTATTCAACGACAATTACATCCAGTAAGCATCGATTTGGAGGATTTATTCCGGGTCAATTTTTGTCAGATTCCATAGGGGTACCATCCCAGATTTTGGACGATTTTCCTAAAATGCCATTTTCTTTCGATTATGGAGGCTACAGATCACGAATTTAGGTCGTGGCTATTCTCCACCAATAATAAAGTCTATTGATCCTATTCTCCACATATGATAAGTCCATTATGCACCGATTTGGGTCAATTTATTTTCGGATGACATTTTCGTAATTTTTAGGTGACGAAATGCCATTTTCTTTTGATTTTGAAGGCTATGATCACGGATTCGGCCTGAGGCTATTCTTCAATGACGATTACGTCCATTAAGCACTGATTTTGGCGGATTTATTCAGGGTCAATTTTTGGCAGATTGCAAAGGGGTATCATCACAAATTTTCGACGATTTTCCCGAAATGCCATTTTCTTTCGATTCTGAAGGCTACAGATCACGGATTCAGGACGAGGCTATTCTACACCGTTAATGAAGTCTATTGATCCTCTTATCCACGGATGATAAGTCCATTAAGTTCTAACTTGGGCCAATTTATTTTCGGATGACATTTTCGTAATTTTTTGGACGATGAAAGGCCATTTTCTTTGAATTTTGAGAGCTACAGATCATGGATTCGGCCTGAGGCTATTTTTCAACGATGATTACGTTCATTAAGCACCGCTTTTGACGGATTTATTCCGGGTTAATTTTTGACAGATTCCAAAGGGGGTCATTCATCCCTTTAGATTTTGGGCTTAATCTTTATTATTAGTATTTTATATCTATAATTAAAGCTCAATGTATTAATTTTATACTGTTTTAAATTCACAATCAAAATCCAATACTCTGAAAAGTAATTAGTATATGGAGGGCTTTTGTAGGAGGCCCCCCAACACACCCCCAATGCTACCCTTGTGATTGTTGTGGTGTGGTGATGTTCTAGTCTACTTTATAAGTTTTTGGTCTACTTTATATCATTCGTGGTATGGACGTATAGTTTGTTGCGTTCTGCTTTGTATTTTGCGAGACACGGAATGAATGAATAAGAAGAGCCACACAAGTGTTCTCCCTTATAATTTTAAAAAACAACAAGCATGCCCCTCTCTTAAAAAAACAACTTTAATTGTGGTTAACTTCTTAGAAATTAAAAAAATAATATCAAAATGAAATGTTCATATTCAATAGAATTAGTATTAGCACTGTACTAATTATCATCCTAACCTTTACCTTCATCCTAATAGTCCAAATCACAAAAATCCTTCATATTTCAATTTTTCTGGGTGCACTCATATTTCAAACTTAATATTTTAACCAGATATATTCCATTTTTCAAATGGCACAAAGAAACGAAGAAGTAGATTAACCTAACCGATATTAGAACTTTGAAGTTTAGTGCCAAAGCCCAAATTCCACTCCAAAGTCCAAATCTAAAGCCCTGCACCCTTTCCCCTGCCTTCCCCCCGGCCATGCTTTGCCAAATGCCAACTGCCAAGTTATCTCTCCATGCTCCCTCCCTGCAACAGAATTTTTGACATAGCGATTGAAAACCCGGCTGCAGCTCGTCAACATTAACCCGACGAAAAACTTTCCCGCCACCCTAAAACCGAAAGCAGTAAGAAAGTTTGCAACTTTGCAAGATGCTGGAGGCGAAGAGTCTTAGAAAAGCAGCTGTGCCCTCAACTCTTATCCCCAATCCTTCCCCGGGAAACATCCAGTCTTCCCGCCTAGCTCTCCATGTATGCCATCCCTTTTTTCACGGTATCATTGTTTCGCAGGTTTTGAAGTTTCTTCAATTTGCTCTATTGGGTTTTATCTGGCTTCAGGTTAGCGAGGATGGTTCTTCTTGTTGGGTCTATGTCGCTTCTGGCTGTCACATTTACAAGCTCCAGGTACACTAAAGAACTTGGCTTTACGCCCGGCCCTTTTGATGATTTTGTAGTTTGGCAATGTTGAGATTGCAATTTGTTTCAATTCTGGTTTTGTTTGCTTTAAGTTGATTAGAAATTCCATCAAGGGCTTGTTAAACTGGAACATAGAAGAACTGAAGTTGTTGGAGAATGTAGTATATATTCGTTAGGTCAATCATTTACCACGCATTTGTTGCAAATGATGGTTGCTTGAACTGGCTGGTATGGTGCTGAGCAGACCCTTTTTTTTAACTGTCCATAGATTCCTTTGGAGGGTACTTCCATTGATAAAGGGAAAGAAAGCCTCCTCATTCCTATGCAGTCCGAGGTACATTTTGCCCTGAACTTTGGGGACCTGGTTATCAGTTTTCCATCGTATGTTGAACTGAGGTAATACTGATTATAGTCTTGAATAAATAATATTACCTGATTTTGAAGGTTGTGGAGTCTTCAATAGTCAACCGTTGCCCACACCGCTCTGAGATTCAGAGTATTGTGCTCTCTGAGACTGATAGTAAGTGTCTATACAAAGAGGGATAGGGCTTTATGTTGCTTATGTGTAGAGATGAATTTGTTGTTAGAATGTCAGCCTTGACGGATTTGGCAGTTGATAAAATCATTTTCAGGCCCTGGATACTTGGTGCTGGGAAGCGTGGATTCTTACGGCCATCTTATTGTGTCTAAGCTAGATAACAGTGGTAATGGTAAGTAATTGTGTATTTGTGATCTTTTTGCACATGATGCTAATTTTATGCATAACTCGTGTCAACTAATTTGGATGATTAGTGGTAAAATGTGGCAGTAACATAATCAGTCCTTTGCTTCTACACCGTTCAGATGTTGACAGACTTATATATTCAGTACTTCCTCGAGATTCTGGAGTAGGAGAAGGCGGTTGGGCTGGATTATGTTTCAGTCCAACTCAATTATTGACGGTACTGTTTCATCGTTGCACTTATCGTATTTTACCACAAATAACAGAAAACTAGTGAACTTATCAGTCTTAAAACTGTCTGTTCAATTTGGTGAATCTTACTCTAACTGGACTCTTCCCCTTGAATCTTCATCTCTTCTCCAGGCGGCTGTAGCGCGTGAGTTCTGCAAAACTGTTGACGTGTATGACCAAGACATTCATTTGCAGACATTACATACGTAAGTAGTAGATGGAATAGTCTTAAGTTCCTTTTACCAAGCTTAATTGAGCAACCATGGCTACCAAAATGCCAAAATTCCAAATCTTTCTAGTTCCCCCTGGACTTGCTTTGTCTTTTATGTTCAGATGTTTCTTCCAACATGTCTGTTGTTATGTTTCAGACTATGGTATCCATCCTCTCTAAACTATATTCAGGGCTTGAGTAATGATGAAGGGAGTTCGATACTAGCTGTCACGGAAGGATGCCAGGCAAGCTTTTCTTTTGCCTTGCTACTGTTTTCTTGTTCCATAACTTACATTCAGCATGAATTTGATTTGGGTTCATTTGCTGGACTGCAGTTGAGCATTTGGGACTTGAGAATGAAAGAGAAAAACGGTTGTCTGCATCGGATCACTGGGTCAGTGGGAGACATCTTTTATTCAGTTTGCAGTTCTTCAACTGGAAATATTGCAGTGGGCGGTGCTGATCGTACTGTTACTGTTTATGATCCCCGTAGGTTGGTATTCATTCTTTTGTCAACTTATGTTAACCTTTCAAACATAAAATGTTTTAATTTGGTTTCCGGTTTGATTTTAGATGGAAACCACTATCGAGATGGGTGCATTGCTCAAAGTATGAGGTTAGATTTTTTTGGTACGCGTGATCTCGCTAACTTTATTGTGCTTCTGTCAATTGAGGCATTTGTGCTCACAACTCATTTGGCTGCATTTGCAGATAACTGGACTTGCATTTTCATCAGTTAACCCTGACTACATATACATCCAAGGAGTAGATTATGAGGTGATTCTTTTAGAAGCTCCCCGAGCTAATTTTCCTTGGAATGCTCATAATATATCTTGATATCTCAAATTCTCTATAATGCTAGTCCATGAAGCTAAGTAGTTTCATTGAACTAAAACATTATTTTCGCCATCATTGTTGTCTGTACCTCTTTTATGATTGCACGTCCCTCTAATAATGCCTATTGTTTCATGATTTGCACTTTGCATAAGCAGGTTCTGTGCGGAAACTGGAAAGAGACTAAGAAGCTCTTCTCTTTTAGAGGAGACTCAAATTGGCTGGGTTTCAGTAAGGTGTCTTTCTTCTTCCCCTCACTGCCTCACCCCTCTCTGTTTTTTTCTTTTCTTTCAGCTGTATGATACCCTTTTGAAAGCTGTGCACTGCCGCTCTTATACATTTATTTAATCACAATCTTTAGGTGTATCTAATTCACTAATTGTCATCATGGCTTCCAATTAAATGATGAATTGAGTTTCTAGTCGAGGAATTTCTTTGTGAGGGAAGATCTAGGAGTCTTAGCTTAGAACAAAACTTAACTGCAGTCAGAATCTAACATGCATGTTCCAGGAGCTGTTTCTCCTTTTGCTCTCCTTGACTTTCTAACAGTAATTGTCAAGATTTAGTCCTATGATGATGGTAATAGTGGTTACATGCTTTGTCTATGGCATCAATAGTTGTAAAACCAGCCACAATTGTTGGACAGAAGGTGAAGAGAAAAGAAGATAACCGGATGAAAACCAAATAGTTGAACTGTCAAAGCACTGTAGTATTCGTACTAAAGCTCTCGTATTTTAGAGGCCTGTATTTTGGTATGGTTTCCATGTTACTGGAGCAATAATATGGAACATGAAGGCCATTTTCCTCATTGCAGTACTGACAGGACAGCATACTAGAAGGAAATGATATGTCCCGGCCCTTATAGTGCTAGGTTGGTGGGACATGCACTGCGAAGTTGGTTTGCATAGGGTTCGTTCTAAGTTAAAGAATGCTTTGTGAGTTTCTTCAACGATGAACTCAGCATTCAACTTTCCAGGGTGTTGTTTCAGTTGTACTGTAAAAGAGCAAATAAATGCTAATCATCCCAACAGTATAATATTATCATCATGCTACCCCTTAAGTTTTGGATAGATGTTACCCCTACCCTTTTGGCATGGTTTTGGCAGGATTGTGAGAGAGTAATCTGAAATCCTGTTTTGGGTTTCCTATCTGAATCTTGATAAACCTCAATACTAATGAACATTCGAGTTATTGTGGTGAAACGGTGTGATTCTTAATACACGAAAAGTGACAGCGGCAGGAACAGCTAATCTCACATGCTTGTTCTTATGATATTTGATGATGCAGAGCTTCAACAGAGACGTGGTGGGTGGATGGAGTGATTCAGGTAGCATCTTTGTGGCTGATGTTAGAGGTGAAGAATGAGTGTGCTGGAATCTAAACCCACCACAAAGCTTCCTGCATGCAAACATGGTCACCACTGGTAGTACAGTGGTGGTTCAGCAGTCTTTCTGATTGATGATCCCCACTGATCCACCACGACCCCATGTTTGTATTCCTGAAAAATATGACACAGCAGGACATCATAACGTGAGATGAGTGCATACTTTTTGAACCAATCAAAGAGTCTAGAGGATATGGTTCCTTGGTCCTGGAAGTTTGAAGCATCCTGAAAATGGGCGCATTTTGACTTGGAATTGTGAGTTCAATCGATTCATTGACCTTGTAGATCCATAGGAGGATGGATTTGGTTACATGTTGGTTGGTCAAGTCCTGGATTTCTGTGAAAATGTCAATTCAAAGGTTTTGAAGGATTGACTGATTGGGATCCCTGATCTTTTTCTATAAAGGTTTTCAAAGTCATATTTCCCAAAGACTTCATGAATGGATAGATTACTTGGATCCTGTAGAAGTGCGTTTTGACCCCCAAGATTGTTGAAACTTGAAAAGTTCTTCCTACAATTAAATAGAGTCAGTCATTAACAAGACGGTAGATCCTATTCCTATATCTTTGCTAACCAAATTAGGGTAAATACCACATTTGGTCACTTAGGTTACTAAATCATGTCATGTTTAGTCGCTAGAAAAATTTAAAATAAATTTTGGTCACTCTAATTACTGAAACATGTCACATTTAGTCACTCTCCCATTAGTTTCCGTCCAACTCCATTAACGAAGTTGGACGGAGGCTAACGGAGAGTGACTAAATGTGAAATGTTTCAGTAATTCGAGTGACATTTATAAATAAAAAAAAGTATTTCGAGTGACCGGAATTGGACGGAGGCTAACGGGAGAGTGACTAAATGTGACCTATTTTAGTAATTCGAGTGACCAAAATTTATATTAATTTTTTTCTAGTGACCAAACATACCCAGGTATGATTAGGGTGGAAGTCGAGTAATATCACAAAATTGATATCAATTTCTAGATGAAGGGAATAGTTGAGTTGAAACTTAATCTTTTAAAATAGATGAAGTGGGACTACCCATTTGTCAATTTTCACTAATTAGCCTATCATGTGACGCGAACGCGAACGACACAATTAAATTATCACGATATGGAATATGAATTTGTTGAATCATCACGATAAAAACTTTGGACTATCTAAAATTACATGAAGCCTAATGATCTAAATAAGGGCACCACGGATTAAGGCACCAAATAATCTACCATGGCAATCTCCAACTTATGTGCATATTGAAGAAATTATAATAACACTTTGTGAGTGCTACGTCGCTGTTTTTCATTTTGTCGTTTGTGTTCTTTTACAAATATCAAAATGCAATGATAAAAAAAAAAAAAAGGGATTTATGTATCAAAATTCAAAATACAACGATAGCGTTGAAAACTCCTCAATTAGCTAGAAAGGTACATTTCAGAGCATGTTGTATTTTTTTTATTTAATTTTTTTGGCTACGTAGTACAATACCAATATAGAAATAGAGTAGAGGGGAAATAAGATAGAGACATACAAAATTAAGAGGTTGGCAGCATGGCTATTACTGTGTCATGGTGGTGACATTTGTTTAGAAATTTGAAGGTAGTTAGGCCATCTATTCCAACACTTATTATAGCCCCATTGTTATATGATTGTCCCAAATAAAAGCTCCCAATGTACATGTTCACGTGTTCGTATTGAATGCCCAGTAATTTGTGATGGAAGTTTGGTTTGCGGTTAACAACAAATCTGAGTGCAACAAACGTAGTTTTGTCAGTTACCAATCATAATATGCGATTAGTGGTTTAATCGTGGTTGATAAAATTTTGCATTTTATTGTTAGTGATCAATCACCAACCACTGTGATTAAACCACAATAGTCACACAAATCGCATTTATCCATCAATAGTAATATTAATAAGCATAGGGGTATGCCTATGGTGACATGTATGTCACCGTAACTTGTATTTTTCGGTCGACCTAATTCTAATAGTGGTCGACCAAATACACTAATGTGAGCATCCTGATGATTTATCACGGTCGACCTTTAAAATGTAGTGGTCGACCGTTTGTAGTTTAAGTTATCATTGTTGGTCAACCACAATAAAACATCGGTCAACCTTTTCATTGGCGTCAGAAGCAATGGTAGACCGTAAAGGTATATAGGTCGACCACTTGATGTCGGTCATTAACAAAATGGTCGACCATTTACAGAAAGAGGTCGACCATATAGAAGATAAGTGTTGTATCCATTTATTCATCACCATTTGACGTAAAATGAAGATTAAGAGTGTTGGTTTTGCGGTCGACCTAATCTGGTACGAGATCGACCAAATACAGGAAAATCAACCTATGCCCTGCGCCTTTTTTGCTTATGTATGTCGATGTGGGTGCCATAAATTCAATTTCGAGCAATTGTCAAATATAGATCGACCTGATTGAGATACGAGTCGACCGAATGGTATTTTGCATGCAACAAAACATCAAATTAAACGGTGTAAATTACGCATTAGACAAGATGACGACGATAGCTACATTAGGTCGACCTCACCATCGACGTGGTCGACTTCTTGAATCACGTACAACAGCAACCGCAAAGAATCTTCTTCACAAAAGCTCTAACCGTAAAAAAAAACTAATTCAGAGTTTCGGTGGCGGTGAAGGTGACATATATTCGTATTTATATATATTTAGGACGAGAATGAGTCGAATTAAGTGGTAGACAAGTTAGAGTTACCTTTCTGGTGTTGAAATCCTTAACCAATACGGATACGGTGTGTACGCGATCGACCTCATACTTATGTGGTCGACCTCAGTTAATCAAGATGGTCGGCTTATGAGGTATTTGGGTCGACCTTTCATTTTGTGCGCTTCGCAAAGAGGTCAACCATTTGCTATAAAAAGGTCAACCTCGTCGTTGAACCTCACAAAACTGAAACGACAGATTAGATCGACCTAATCCTTTATAAGGTCGACCTAATCTAAAAGTGCAGATTAGGTCGACCTAATCCTATATAAGATCGACCTAAAAGTGCAAGTTACGGTGACAAAGTCCTAAACATAGTTATCAATTTTTAGGACTTGTCTAAATCTATTAGTTAGTACTTTACTAATTTATTTGTTGTATTGTTGAATTAAATATGGAAGACTTATATTTTATGTTGATTGTTGAATTACTTACGGAATAAAAATGATGTTGAATTGTTGCTAATTTGCTATTGCCCTAACTTTTATATCTTCCCTTTTCTTTGCTACATTTTCTTATTTTGTCTATTTTTTGTTTGATATTTTCTCCATACATCACACATGGGTCTCACATTTTGTTATCGTTTATGTTCTCGATTGTATTTCTCTATTTTTAATTTCTTTTTTGATTATTTATATATTTTTCAAATTTATAATAAATATATAGATGAATTTATGATTTTAATAAATTGATTTTTGTTGTTAACCGCAACTGAACTGCATCAAACTCTGCGGTTTGTGGTATAGTTTTGAATAGTATAGTTTTGGATGACGGAGAGGTCTTGTTATCGATGGAATTTTGATGACCCTCATTTAATTGTTAAGCACGTGGTATTCGGAACTGTCCAAACTTCAAGCTCATATGATGTGACTTTCTTTTGTGGTGTATATTAGTAAATGATATAAAATCCATAATTAAATCTCAACAACTGGAGTTATTGAGACCCATTTGGTTATTGACAACTTTCGAAGAATACTTCGCCGATATGAAACATTTTTAAAATTAGTTGATCAATACCTGATTCTGTAATGATTCATCCCACAACAATACATATATTTTTATTCCAGGTCCGGGGCCAAAATGGCTACTAGAATTTTAGTAACCATCCTAACACATTCCTTCCATGTCCACTAGCTCATCATCAGAACTTCGGCCATGATATAATCAATATATCCAAAATGTGCTCTACCAAGTATCCAAAACAAGGGATATATTGTGCATTATTTTCTGCTGAGGAGCAGGAGTGCAATAAATTAAATTAGGAGGATGATTCATCAAACAGAAAAAAGTAGGAGGATGTAAAGGCCTCATCGTTGATAAAACTATTTGACCCAATCCATGCCCAGCGATACGATATATGGAATCCTCTTTTCTCAAATCAAATTCCTGTTAATTATTGGGTTAATGCCACATTTGGTCACTGTGATTACTAAATTGTGTCATGTTTAGTCACTAGAAAAAATTAATATCAAATTTGGTCACTCTAATTACTGAAATAGGTCATATTTAGTCACTTTCCGTTAGTCTCCATCCAACTTCGTTAGTTGAGTCCGTTATGTGCTGACGTGGCTAATGGGAGCGCCTAGTCAGCACTATTTTGGACCGGAAATGGTCAAACCCGACCCGCCATGTCACTAAACCCGCCATGTCATACACCCAACCCAACCCGAACCAGAATCAAACCCTTTCTCCTTCGACACGCAAGCTCTGCCCCTTCCTCGAATCAATTCCCCCCCACACACAAAAAAAAAAAAATGGTTCATCATCCATCCAAAATAGCTCCCGATCAGAATCCCTTTCCTTATCCAACAATGGATCCCCTTCGCTGATCCACCAAAAACCCACTTGCCCAGTCCCTCAAACGCCTCCACCATCACCACTATGACCCCCGAAAGCCTCCTCTCCCGCCGCCGACTACCGAGAAGACAACCACCACAGGACTCCGACGTCCTCCCCTTCCCACTCTACGTCACCAACGCCTTCTTCTTCGCCCTCTTTTTCTCCGCGGTCTACTTCCTCACCCGCTGGGGGAGAAGATCCGTACATCAACCCCTCTCGACGTCCTCACTTTCTTCGAAATCCTCGCCTTCCTCGCCTCCTTTGTCTACCTCCTCGACTTCTTTGGCATCGACTTCGTCCAGTCCTTCCTCCTCCGCACGGACGACAACGACGAATCTATTGACGGCCCAGCCAGTGGATTCGTCGCCGCCTGCCCCCAATCTCTTGATTGTGCAATTTTCGCCGCCACTCCTGACCTAGCCGCCGTGCCTTCCTACTCCCTCAAATCCAAATTGGGGGGACTGAATTTGAGGATTTTTTTTGGTGGGTGAATTGATTCGAGAAACGAGCAGAGCTTGGCGAGGAAGGAGAAAGGGTTTTGGTCTGAAATGGCCACTAACACGATCGGTTTTCCAATTTTGTTTTGTTAAGTGGGTTAGGGTTGGGTTAATGGGTTGGGTTGGGTTAATGACATGGAGGGTTTAGTGATGTGGCAGGTCGGGTTTGACCATTTTCAGTCCAAAATGGAGCTGACTAGGCGCTCCCGTTAGCTACGTCAGCACATAACAGACTCAACTAACGGAGTTAGATGGAAACTAACGGATAGTGACTATATGTGACCTGTTTTAGTAATTAGAGTGACCAAATTTGATATTAATTTTTTCTAGTGACTAAATATGACACAATTTAGTAATCACAGTGACCAAATGTGGCATTAACCCGTTAATTATTTTACTAAAATTATATTACCATTATAAAACTATTAAAAAAAGCTTCAAATGGATCAAATTATAATAATCTATAGTATAGCTCCAATTCTATAAACCTACTATACTTGAGGGCGTGCACTGTGCTTAGAAAATGACGTTCCAAGCTTTGCCTATTCTATTCTATGATGAAGTTTGGTTTGCCTAATCAAAGATTCTTTAGCTCTTCCATAAATCAAATGGTCATTGTTTAAGTTAAATAAGCTTATCATATATTATTCATTACCAAAATAAAGAATCATACAATATTGGCCGGTTTACCTAAATTTGATAAAGAAGAAAAAAAAAATCATTTTTCCAAAGAGATGAAATGCTCTCACAGATAAGGTTTTTCAGTTGCACGATAAATGCAGACAGTTGGATTATATTGCGTACACTCCTCCGAAAGTCCCTTAATTTTGGTGCAGTATTGAGTTATATATTGACCTAGCACCTAGCTTGCAAACATGAATCTCAACTTCCATATTCGTAATCCCAATAGCATCAGGTTGACCTTATCTCTTCATCGATTCATTCCCAAATAATCATTGCATTCTCACGATTCATAGCCGATCTACTAATTTCTTTATAGAGCGAATTAGTGATCCAACATAACACTAGCACGAGAAGTGTTATCTCCCAGAGATAACGAACTACGATAAGCTTGTATTACAACATCACATTCTAATCGATATATAGACAGTGATCAGAAAGCCGAAAGTATCTGAGTATGTTTGAACTTCTTCTTCCATGCTCTCACACAAAAATACTCATATCCCTACTGATCAGTTCAACATTTGCTGGAGAAGAATAATTCACTACTTACTTCATCGAATTCTTAGTAGTTTTATCTTTCGTTTTCTGATTAAAGTTTTAAGTCAACACATACTTGTCTTGTCATATGCGTCCAGCCAAATGTCAACGAAAATAATGCATTCGATTTCGACGAGTCCACATATTCCGACGACGCCCCTGGCCCCTCTAGTAGCTATTAGAGATAAGTCAATTTTGTCGTTTATACTTTGTAGCATACGTTTATTGTAATTGCCACCCATTACTACTATTGGCTGTCACTCTAATATATATTATACATATATATACACTAATCAGTTTTAAATATATATATATACCCACTTTTAGTAGACGACAACACACTAAACTGGTGAATCACTAATTTAATCAACCTTCAATAACTAGTATTCTTGCTTGTAACGTTTTGTTTTGTTTTGTTGGAAGAAGCCTGTAAAAACACCACTCTCTTATGATATGAACTTCGTATGGAATAGAAACATTGTTCGTGTCATAAAAAAAAATCAAAGGGTGTGGCATGTATAATTGGTATATATATATATATATGGACAGGAACGATCAAGAGGGTGCGCTGGGAGACCCTCCGGCAAAGAGCCTTGAAAGGGCATGAGATTTTCATCTGAGTCTTTTAGTTAATCCGATCGTACATTTTAATAATAATAAGAAGTAGGAATGACAATGGGCAGGTTCGGGCGGGTTTCTTGGTATCCAGACCCGCCCCGTGGCAGGTCGGTCCAGGTCGGTAATTTATCACGGGTCGCGGGTCGGGGCAGGTCAACCTATTGGGTATGAAATTTATATGAAAAACATTAGAAATAGTCGTTATTTTTATTATAAGATCAAGAAAACAAGCAATATTATGATAAATGTAGTTAATTTCTTGGATAAATTGAGATTTTCACTAATTTACAACTTTATTATAGCTAAAATATGATGTAATAAAAGGAAAATCCTAAGTAATTTGACTAAAATTACATGTAATTTAGGAAAGAACGGGTCAAGAAAGGGGCGGATCAGGGCAGGTCGGGTCGACGAGAGTACCCATGCCCGCCCCGTTCCGCCTACGGGACGGGTCGGACCCGCCCAAAACAGGCAAAACAGGTCGGGTAAAACGGATCAGTTCGAAATTATCATCCCTAAGAAGAAGGTATTAAAAAATTGATTAAAATAGAATAAGTTCCGCCCTAGCTAGCTTGTAGACAACTGGATTTCGATGGAAACCCAGAATTGGCCTTCTCCTGTGAGTTTCAACTAAGTAGCCCTATCTACCTATGCCTTTGGGCAGCCTCACAACTCACAAGGCACCAGCTTGGCGCTAGGTCCGGCACGACGGCGCCATTAAATGCATTCTCCCCAAACCGACTTTCCAACGTAACCAGAGCTTGTAAGAAACGGATAACATGGGTGATGGGTTGTTTGTAGGGATAGTCGGTCAGCCGATCGTGTCGTTAAACTAATTGATAACCGACAGTTAATCGATTATATTGTTAATCGATTATACGTTATTGGTATGGTAATGGTTGGCTGAAATGATTTAGTGACGGATCGGTTATTTATCTGCATAACTGGCTCGGTTAACGATTAATCGATAACTAGCCGGATATGAACGTTTGTGTTTCACTCTCTCGGAATGGTTAATCCCCCTCCCCTCGAAAAGAACTCTCGAATTTCGAATAGACAATCTTCTCTCGGCCGCTCCGACCCTCTTCTTCTATTCTCAATTTCCTCCGGGTGTTACCCAAAAATTCAAAAATGCAAAGAGCACTGTCGATTTTTGTGATTGAGATGTAGGGATCAAGAGTGGATTGGGAATGCTCAAACGATTTATGTTGGAGGAAAGATAGGAAAAACTGCGCTCCGATTTCTTCTATCAATGGCTTCTCTCAGCCAGTCCGCACTCGTCACTCTTAAGTCTTATCCTTCCTCTCTTTGCTTTGCTTTATTCTCTGTAACAACCACAAATGACAAATCAATGATAAAGGTATTAAAATAGGAATTAAAATAGGAACACCACTTATGTAGAAAAATAAAAGAAAATGCATACTTAAAATAGAAAACGAAAGCCATTTGTTGGTTATCGAGTGATTATTTTGATCTAACCTTTGAGAATCACTTACTAAGTGGTTACTGGTTAGTACTTAGTTAGTTAACCGACATAATACAGATAATTGACTATACAGTTATGATTAACCGACTAATATAAACAATGTGGTTAACGTTAACCAAAAATTGCTTTACCAGTTAACCAATAACTAAGTTAACGGTTACTGCTAACTGAACCGACTAACAACCTTTTGGATATGTTTAGAAACGTATTTTTATAATTGATGTGTTTTAAATATGTGCGAAAAAATATTAGTTGTTAATAATGAGATCATTAAGATCAAAATATATAATACTTTCAGTCTTGTAAGGTCACAGTACACATTTCCGATATTTTCCTTATAAATGAAAAAAGAAGAGGAATATTGGAGAGTCTAGGTTAGTTAAGAGAAAACTACTCCTAAATTCAGACTTACACTTTTCTTTAATTATCATCATCATCATCATCATCATCATCATCATCTAAAACAATAATCTTGCCATGGGTGCCTAAGTTTCTTATGATCTTTTATTTGTATAATAACTATATATTATTATGAAATTAAATTTCAAGTACATGAACCCAATTTTGAATAATCAACCAATACACATAAATCAATTTCAATTATGTTGTTGTGTTCAACTTGAAAAATTAATAATTGCACAAATTTATTGCAAGGATTCATAGCCACCTCAACGACTTGGATATCTTTCTCATTGGGGGCATGAACTTTGAGGTGACAATGGGGTATGTATATGAATTATAATAATAATAACCAAAAATTATTATCATAAAAAATAATTAAAAATAAATATATGTTTAATTTTTTTTTTTTTATCATCCAATCATACATTTGGCTCCTTAACTTTGAATATCTTATGTTTTTCATGATTCCAGATCATTACTGATTAATAAATAATATTACTAATTAAATTTCTTACATATGCAAGCAGCCAAGCAGGATTGAACTTGCCAAGAAATTCATGTGACGTCGTGCCGACACTAGTATTGAAGCCAACTAATATTTATCATCTCGAGTTAATCAGGACTTTTACCAGAAATATCACTGTTTAAAAAAAGAATTCAAAAATACCACCCAACCCCAAAATATTCGAAAAATAACACCTTTTTGGGGTTGGGTGGTATTTTAGGAATTTTTTTTTAAACAACGGTACTTTTGGATTTTTTCCAGTCAATCAAGAGCTACTACTATCATGATAGTTGAAAAAGTTTATATTTTCATAAATTTTATGACTTAACTACACTAGCATATATACTAAGTATCAATATCATAGTAGTTCTCACTTCTCTGCATAGGTTTGTTGTTTGTAATATAAATATTGTTTCTTAAAAATTTCACACTACTCCTAATAAACTAAATAATCCAGTAGAAAGTTTCATTTTCACTTTATTATCTATAATAATGGAAACCGGGAAGCACGAATCCTATATGAAATAACAATATAATTCCCCTCGTTTCTAGAACAATATAACTCCAAACTCCCCCAGTTTCTAGAACCTCATTTCAATAAATAGTAGAAAACTTTATTTGTTTTTTAGGGAGAGAATTGGATTCTATGTATAATTGTGCGGGGATAATTTTTTAGCCTGTAGTTCTCACTCGTCTCATTTTCGAATCATAATAATTTTTTCTCAAAGATGATGATATATATAGGCCGGTTCAGTCCCTTTCGGTTGTCTCGTTTTCACCTTTTTTTTTTTTTTTAATAAACTCAAGTATGCAAATTTGGTCAGCATAAAGAGAAAAACTGGAGCAATTTTTTGTTTTTTGGGTTTTGGTATTTGTGGGCTAAGTGTTAGAACCAGTTTCATTATGTTGAGGATTATGTTAAGGAACTGGGTCAGTATAGGTAGGTTAGTTATATAGTGAAAACAGTTAGATAATTGATTGTCGATTGACAAGGTTGGAGATTCGAATTTCCATTCATCTAGTCCTCCTGAAAATTTTCACCGACTACCAAAAGTGGCTGCAAGCACCCCCAGCTTTCTACGTAGCTTCATCACTGATCACAACGTCACATACAGTGTCAAAATCAACGAGAACTTGTTAAATTTTCTAGACTGGGAAATGGATCAGACATAACTCTTGCTAACAAAAGGCGACATCATTACTCATCTACTAACAATTCATTTGCAACTTTCAATTCTAATTAAGCGTCATTTTCTGCCGGATTTAAGCACAAAATACACATATAGAGAATACATAACGTATTTCTAACACATAGGAAATGATGTACATTGAATCTCGCCTTTTTTAGAGAGATTTACTATCCGTAGTTCATTTTCAATATATAATCTCCGCATTATATTTTCCAGATATTAATTGTTTAAAAAATTATAATTTTTTATATATACATACATTCTTTCCTAATCAAAGGTTACGAATAACTCCTAAGACTTTGGGGATAATTATGAATTATCGGTAAAGTGAGGTATGACTTATGAGTTTGAGTTTCGAAACCATCTAGAATCCGAATATTCACTTTCGTGTGCCTAATCCGCTATTAAGTACACGCGTTCAGTTAATTAAAAAAATTATTTAGCGGGGTTTCTCGTAAAAACAAAATCAACCAAAATCGTCGAGAAACGGGAAGAAACAAAACTAAAAAGAGAAGAAAAAAAAAGACCGAGTCAGTGAGTGAGGAGAGGAGATCTCGTCGTCTCGTCACCAACTTTTACGCGCCAACTAAGACCCAGCTGGCACCCCTCCCTCCTCCGGATTCTCCTCATATCCGACCCGACCCGTACAGCGTGGCAGTCTCACGAGCGCGCCACCGTCACGTCACACCCCCCATCCACGTCACCAATGTGGCCCCCACTTCAAACTCTCCTGTCTCTGTCCTCGTTTGGCGGACCCACGGGTTTGCCTCAAGAGGCGCGAAAATATCTGACGTGTACTCCAGCGCGTGGAGTCCGTGTGGACGAAAACTCGCTGCCCTCCTCACCGAGTTCCGACTCGCATAAAAAAGCGCTCGCTTCGCTTCCTTCTATAAAAGCCCTCCCGCCACAATCGTTTCTTAATTAGAAGTTCCCGCAGCTCTATAATTAGTAATTAAAATAGTAAAAAAGGTAAAAGGGAAAGTTAAGCGGAATGTTAATTATTTAATTTAAAATCCCACGTTTTCTCTTTTATTATCACATGCTAATTCATCATTACTGATCATCTTTAAGTCTTTACTTGAAATAGTAACCAACCGATAATTGATAGGGCTTTTTTAAGTACATAATAATAATTCTCTTGATGAGATTTAAGTGCGCCCTTATAACAGAATAGTTATCATTTTAATTATCTTATGTAGGGGTGGTAAACGGTAACCCGGTAAACGGTTTACCGTTTTACCGAACCGATAATCGACGGTAAACGGTTTACCGTTTTACCGAACCGATAATCGACGGTAAACGGTAAACCGTTTACCGGCGGTATCGGTAGCCGAGCGGGAAGTTGGGGGAGTCGGTTTACCGGACACGGTATCGGTAAATACCGACGCTAAATCGGTATTACCAATACTGAATCCCCCCTCCCTACTTCCTAGTGTTGCGCTGCGTTTTGTTGCTTTACCCCCAAAAATATATAATATTACATACATGAATGTAAGTATAGGCCTAAAAAATATTGTAAATAAGAGTTAATAATAAATTATTAATTATAAAAATGATGAAAAAAACTCAAAAAACTCAAAATATTACAACATCACCCCACTTCCAGAAATTTGGTTCGGTAAATATTTGGTAAACCGACAGAAAAACCGCCCAAAATCGCTTCTCACGGTATTTCGGTAATACTGGTTTGTAACCTTTTACCGGTAATTCGGTAATCGGTAAACCGGTTACAAATCGGTATCGGTAATCGGTAACCAGTTTGGCCAACTTCGGTATACCGAAACCGGTAAATTCGGTAAACGGTAAATTGTTTACCGACCGAATCCCACCCCTAATCTTATGTGTCAAAATATTCTCAATTCTTCATTGTAAGTTGTAACAATGAATATAAAATGAATGAATTTATTATTTATAAAAAAAATGAAATGAATGAATTATTCTCAATTCTTCACTGTAATCAATTCTTCATTGATCATCTAAAACTTGTTTGGTATAGTTTAAAAAAATAATTCACCCCCAACATTCTAACTAAAAAACTATGAGTAAAAGATCATTTTAATTGTAATTTTACGTAGGGGTGTGCAACATTTTGGATCGTATTCGATCGTACAGGACCAAATCAATGTGAATCGAATCATACACTATTTTGGATCGGATGGAATACACTATTTGTTCAATCCTAAACCATATATACGATTATACATACGTCGTTCATTATGCATCGTGATTTTCATAAATTTGGTTCGAATCGAACTGTTGCACACTCCTAATTTTACACTCTATTATCCTATTAGACAAATACCAAAAAATCCGATAATTGAGATATAATTATAAGTTAAAAAATATATGAAAATCGAAATTGTGCCATAAATCATGCGCCACTCTCCTCCTCCATTTGTCCTTGCCCTAGAAAATAATTATTTTCCCTTCTAAAAAAAAGAAACGAATTTTAACCAATTTTTGTGGATAAATATTTTGTTCATCTTTTTGTCTTATCCAATGTTATTATTATTATTCTAATTAAGGTAACACATTTAAAAATTTCAAAAAGCTTTTTTAATTTAACCTCTCGATTTAGACGTTCCGTCGTCGTCTCTCTCTCTCACAACCATAAAACGCGGTCCAAATCTTCCCAATAAAATGCCGTCTGGCTCCAATTAGGGTTTCTCATCATTCCCCCACCTCTTCTTCTTCTTCTCCTCCTCTCCTTCCTTCTCCGCACTTTCCATCTTCTTCCTCCCGGTCTCTTTCAGCTGCATCTTCCGAGTTCGAAATTCTCGTTCCGATCCCGATTCCGGCCAATTCGACCTTCTATTTAACCTTAAATGCGGATTTGAGGGGAATCGATTTTCCACGGATTTCTCCCGTTCTCTTTTCTTCGTGATTTCCAGCTCCCCATTTCCGGTTCCCGTTACAGAATGCCGGCGACTGATTTCCAAGGATCGTCGGCTGCATTCGGGAGGGCACTTTTGAGTCTGCGTCGCGATCAGGTCCATTCCATGGACGGCCACGGCCACAACAGCCACGAGAGCTCCGGTCTCGAGTCGGAGCTCGAAGCGTTTCAGAAATTGGTAGGGGAGAGGTTCCTCGATCTCTCATCGGCTAGATCTGACGATTTGCTTTCCCTCGCGTGGATCCGGAAGCTGCTCGATGCTTTCCTCTGTTGCCAGGAGGAGTTCAGGCTCATTTTGTCGAGAAACAAGTCTTATTGCGGCAAGGCGCCGTTGGATCGATTGGTCCACGATTTCTACGAGCGGAGCGTCAAGGCCCTGGATCTCTGCAACGCCGTTCGCGATGGGATTGAGCAGATCAGGGAGTGGAGGAAGCTGTTGGAGATTGTTCTCTGCGCCCTGGATAACCAGAGGCTTCTCGGGGAAGGCCATTTCCGCCGAGCGAAGAAGGCGCTGATCGATTTGTCCATCTCCATGCTCGATGAGAAGGAGTGCACCGCTGCTTTGGCCCACAGGAACCGATCTTTCGGCCGGCATCAGTCTTCTTCCAAGGATAACCATCTGCGGGCGCTTGGCCATTTCAGGTCCTTGTCCTGGAGCGTCTCGCGGTCGTGGTCTGCAGCTAGGCAGCTCCAGGCCATCGGCAACAACATCGTGCCGCCCAGAGCCAATGAGGTTGTGTCTACAAGTGGTCTCGCCATTGCTGTCTACACCATGAACTCTGTTATGCTCTTTGTAATGTGGGCTCTTGTGGCGGCGATCCCATGCCAGGATCGGGGTTTGCAGGTTCATTTCTCGATTCCCAGACACTTCTCCTGGGGTGCCCCTATATCCTCAATGCACGAGAGGATATTCGAGGAGTCGAGGAAGCGGGATAGGAGGAATGCTTGTGGATTGTTGAGGGAGATTTATCAGATGGATAAATGCTCGAGGGTGCTGTCTGATTTGGCAGATTCTGTGCAGTTTCCATTGCCGGAGGAAAGGGAGCGCGAAGTTAGGGAGAAAGTCCAGGAATTGGGCCAAATATGTGAGGATTTTAAAGAGGGGTTAGAGCCTTTGGAGAGACAAGTCAGAGAGGTGTTCCATAGAATCGTTCATAGCCGGACGGAAGGGCTTGATACTCTGGGAAGAGGTAATCACAACGATGCACATTGAAGAAATTTGGGGATTGAAGCGACGAGAGAGATGGCTCACAGTGCAAGCAGTGAAAATAAATGGGTAATGAAAAGAAAGGAGGGTGCTTGTATTTATTTACCATCATCAGTATATGTGTAAAGAAAGGATTTTTTAGGATTATGGCAAATTGGGGACTTTGGATCCTGGCTCCTACTGATCTCCAGCTTGTGTTTTTATTGTATAATCGATTTTCCTCAGTAAATTGCTTCTCCCTTTTAGTACCTTGTTTCCTCTGTTGCACTTGGCCTTTGAGATAGGAAGTGATAGATCTTGTTTCGCCTTGATACAAAGATGGAAATAGTCTGTGTTGTTGTTGAACATTCAGATTGAGAAACAAGATAGCCAGAGTATATTGTGAATGAGAGCAATTCTGAGGTACCTACTTAACCGTTTTCACCTGCGCGTAAGATATAACTGTCACTTGTAAATATATGTATGATATATCTATCTTCACCAGAAACTTCCTGTTATGTCTGGAGTTATAGATTTTAACAGCAAGGCTAACCTTCACTCTTAGGTGTTCTTTCATTGATTGCTCTCATATCCCTCACCAGCCTTATCTTGGCTGTCTCCTGGAGTAGGACATGGGCAGATTTTGTTGTTTATCATATCTGTATGCAGATATTCATATAACCGGCTGCTGTTAATGCTAATCAAACTCTCTTCTGTTCAGAACATATGCAGAAGAAGTACTAATAATTTGTTTATTGCCTCGTGTCCTGACTCCTGACCATTCTTAATAAACTACTGCAAAGTATGGAGTTTGTGTTCGCCGTCATGGGGACATTGTGCATCGCTGGGTGCAGAGGTCAAGGTCCATACTTAGTCTATCCTGATTATAGATAGCTGTGTGTGTTCTGACTTTGACTTTCTCCCATGTGGAAATTCTTCTTGGGGTTCAGTCTAACTTATGCATCTTCGTTCAAATGATACAGAAGTGGTGTTTGGTTTCTTTCTTCTTACATGGTGGAAGGAGTCTCCAATGGCAGCCATGTGAGCTTTGACTTTGACTCAGTCTCAGCTTCTGTGCCCACTCATAAATGGGAGGGAGGCATGTAACTGAAACATCTATCTGCAAACTGTTGTGATGCTTTGTTTATTGTTAATATTATGGTTTGTTGACCCCTGTTATCGTGATCCTCTCTCTTATGTGTTTTCAGATTTTCTTAATGCTTCAATTGCCGAAGAACTTGGGACCTGTATCATAGCCTTAACAAGTGCTGCTGCTGCTGGCTGGTTGTAATGTAACGATCAGCCTGCATTATTTTAAACTGCTGATCTGTAGTGTTTTGATACTCTGGCATGAGGGTTGAAGACATTCCTAGATTGACCAGCACCAGATTGTTGTTATTAACTGTCACATGGATGGAAATGGGCTTGAAGAAGGGAGCATGGCATCCAAGTTGACAGGAATTTGCTGTTTTAGCTGTCGGCGGTGTGTGGAAGAAATGCTTCATGAGAGATATGTTTATTCTTGGCCATGTGAGGCAGTAACGTGCAGTATGCCATTCAGTAAAGTATATACTTATTTGTTTTCTCAGAATTCCCCAAATCCTCTGCTTTCCGAAAGCTTCCATAGCACATTTATATATTTTTATCTTCTAGAACAAAGATCTATGGGAAGCCTTGCCTTATTACCCATCTTTTGTCTCACTATGTTCTGGTTCTATTTCCTCTCTCAATCTACCAGCTGGTGAATGGTAACTTGGATGCAGCAGTAAAATTGAACAAGTTAGATCTACCTGGTGGAAGGTTTCAGTATTTCAGTCTAAAACCATGATATTTGCTGGTTTGTGGTGCAGGCATTGGCTGGTGAGAGATGCTGCTACAAGCCTACAACTTGAGGAGTGGTGACCATGTTTTGCTCACGCCAGCAATTTGTGTGAGCAGTTATTACCTCCCCTAGCTATAATTGCAAAAAGCTGTTTTCTGTAAGGTTTCTACATTCTATCAATCAATCTGACTCTCTGTACTGTGTACATTTTCTACACCGTCAGCAGCTGTGCCCATGAGGCGACAGAGTCAATTGACAATCCGCAGGCCATTCATGAACCTGGGGTCAGCCTAAACAGATGCAAGAAAATTGAAGTTTCCTGGCCAGAAAGAAAGGGACTCATCATCAGCCTTGGCATACCAGGTGGGGCTGGAGGTCAACTCAGCCACTAGTGGGATTCGTGGCAGGTACATCAACAAAGACCCCGCTTTCCTAATATTGCTATATTGATTGATGGATGCAGAACAAACAAACAGTTTCATGAAAAGAATAGATGGAAGGTATTTTTGAGTGTGATTAATTCTTGACTAGAACTAATCCGCGGGGCAAACACTGATTAGTCAGTGTCAAGTCCTTGCATTAGGGAAAGTGTGGCCATTTGGGCATTTTAATGCTTCAAGGGAAAGGTCCCTTTCTCTTTCAGTACCCAACTCAACTAGTGGGTGGGTGGTGCAACTGTGATTCCTGAGTCCCTCGACAGGAATGCAGGTGATTTCACAGTAGCCTATTGCATTAGAACCGCCAAATTTCCTTTCATCATGGGGTGTTTGGTGGGCCAAATGAAGTGAAGGATGAAGTCTCTTGTGTGTCTCTTGGTGTATCATCCCCGCCCCATTGCCATCACTACGACAATGCATGGGCCAAATTAGCTCTGTTGCATTTTCTTTGGCAGTCTGATGATCATCAGAAAAATGGAGAGCGTCGAAGGTGTGGCAGATTGGCATCCACAAGAGGCAGCTCACTGGTTTTGTGTTGTTCTAATTTGAGATGTTTTGATGTTCTTGTTGGGTTTCTGTTAAGTGAATGACAATCTCTTAAAACTTTTTTTTGTTAGCAACAGCTGGGGAGGATTTGAGAACCAGATGTTTTGGAAACTCCATTGGTTTGGGGATTGGGATGGAAAGAGACGCACAATATAGCTTAGAAGAGGTCAATTCTTAAAGATAGATTGTGGTGAGGGATTGTGGACCAAAAGCTTTCTGGCGAGGCAAATGTAATTCCGTTTGGATGAAGCTTAAAATGAAGTTTTATTCTGAGTTTTCAATTAAAACTGTACTTATCTTGTTCTGCAGGAATTCTTGTAACAGATGGTTACTGTTGACCAAAATACACAATTCACCAACTCTGAACACACCATAAACTCATCAGCTTCTTCAAATTGACAACTATGAACACATCAACACCGAGAAACTACTTTTTTTCTTCTGGATCTAATAAAACCAATGACTATTACTATGATTGACACTAGAATGCTCGATCCTGCAATCACCGCGGGACGACACATCTTGGACCTCTTTGAAACATCTTCGACGTTCGATTTATCCGATGATTCCACCCGTTTGCCTTCACCAACTGAATTTGCCGCCGTCGTTTCAGTCTCAGGTTCCTGCTTCTCTGATTCATGTTCTTGCGGCCATGTTTCTTCCATGCGAGCTTCATCTTTCTTCGATTCAGGTTTGCTTTCAGGAACTCCTTTGTCTCGAATTTCATTATCTGTCTTCTCTGATTCAGCCATTTCCGATTTTTCAGGTTTCCTTCCGACGATTTCCTCTTTCGATTCCAGAGGTTCTTCTCTATCCAATTGCTCTTCCATCATAGTTTCTTCTTCTTTCTTGCTATCAGGTATGGCCTTTGATGAAGCAGACTCTTCTTGGGATCCTTGTTTCTGAATAGTTTCGACTACCTTTTCTTTAACCTGACCCTGATCTTCTTGTTGCTCTTCTTTTAACGATTCCATCGAATCCTTTCGACTTGGAAGCTCCTCAGCTTTAGGATTCACTAATTCAGGTCCCCTTCCATCACCCTCCTCTTCAGGAACTTGACCAGTTTCATCATTTCCAGGCAGCTCTGCATCAGGAATCTTTCGAGACTCTTCAGGCGAACTACTACCACCAGCTTCAAATTCATCCTTGACCTCCTCGATCGAAACACCGCGAATTCCTTTCTCGGATTTGGGGATGAAGATGGTGAGGACCGCTTCGTCATCGTTGAACTTAGCCCTGATCCGGTCCAGAACGACCGCGTCAGGAATCCTGAAGACTTTCCTGAAGGTCCTGAGCTCCACATCTTTCTTGTACATGATCAAACCCATCATCACCATCTCCTGGACCGGCTTCTCCCCGCTGATCTCCATTTGGTTCCCTTCTCCATTGATCTTTATGCTCACGTTCTCCCTTCTGAACCCTGGAGAAAGTAGCAAATTCACTTGAAAATGGGAATTCCTGGAAGTGGAAAGAAAAGAAGGGAACTTCCTAGGTTTTTTTCTATTTACCTTTGAGATAGGCAATGAGGATGAACTTGGAGTTGGTTTCTCGAGAGACGAAGAGAGGGCCCGAATGGTCTTTAGAGATCCGGAGATCGGTGAAGGAAGTTATGTCTTCTCTGGTGTGTGTGATCTTCAATCCCAGTTCCAGCTCCATTGCTTTGATCTTGTTGGCCTTGCTGAGGGTTCTTTCTTTTACTTCTTGTGCTCTGTTTCGTGGGTTTGGGAAAGGAAAAGGGTTTGTTTTGGGAGGGAAAGAACGGTGGTATGGGAATTGGGGAGGAGGAGAAACGAGGAAAAGGTGGCTTCTTTCTTTGTGTTGTGGGGAGGATATGATTAAACTAGCAGAGAGTTAAAGCACATATTCATTGCTTGTGCTATGCTGATTTTGTGCCTTAGAGAATACAACAATGTCGTATGGAGCAAGTGTTCTTGGTTTTGGCGGGAAGCTAACGGCTCTTCATTTTAGGGTTTGTTGTGAAGAAAACTAAGAAATGTTTTCACCGAATCGAATTGTACGAAGGTAGGGTGAAACTCTTGATTCATTTTCAATTATATGAATGTTAAAGGATAATGTTGGAGTACTTATCATCGAATCTAATCATGCATTCGAGGAAATTGCTCGCAAGGGGACTTTCACTACTACGTAAGCCCTACGCCTCAATCATCACATTCGCTATCCAACAACGATTGTTGGATACGTGAAACGAGAGCGCATTACAATCGCTTTATTTTTTTCTCTCGTGTCTTGTGTGTACTATAACCACAATTAAAGAAGATGGGGCCAAAAAGGAAATAAACTATGAATCAAGGTGAAATCTGAAAAGGAAACCAAAGGGAGGGGCCAAAAGTACCAAATGATTCCTAAAGCCCACTTATCACCAAAATCATCATTATAATCACACTCACTCATCCCTCTGCAAAGCCACTTTGGACCCTCTTTTTTAGCCATTCTCAAATATACAAACACCACTTTTCCTACTAATCTTTTCCATACAAATCATCCATCTGTCTACCACTAGAATAGGCATATCACATTACATAATAGTTAAAAGATGGGAAAGCAACAGTGCTTTGGCCCCTTAGTTATATCTTTTCACAGCAGCAAGAACACACCCCAAAGACCAACAATTTCTGCACCAATTGAACTCTTCCTCCACCTCATCATCTGCATTTATCACCACAAATAGTTCTCATTCTCAAGCAACATGATATGATACAATCCTAATGGAAATGTAAGAGAGATTTGTGTTCGAATCTAGGTGGTACGAATTTGATGTATCGTGTTGGACTATATGTCGAATTTGTTGTTGTTAGTAAGCTCAATCGAAATAGGGCAGCAGAACCACAAACAAAGAAACCATGGGGATCATAGTCGGATAAAAAAATGCATTTCGTTTCGTGGTCCTGTTCAAAATTCAATTCAATCCGCTTTTTTCCTTTTGACAAAAAAGGTATTCGTGGAATCAAAACCAAATTGAATTACAATCCGTCCAAATATCAATACGATCTAACTCGGTCTGGGTTTGAACTTATCTTTGCCAATCCTAGTAATAGTAGACCAAAAAGAACTGTTACAAAAGATGTTATATTAATTTGAAATCATATTTTGTACCAAGTAATAATGGGAGAACTATTTGTTTAGAAAACAATCCAATTCCATTTTCTATTCTGTACAAAAGAGTAAAGTTAATTAGTAATTACCTGTTGGTGGCCAGCACTAGCCGAAGTGGGCAAAGGACGGATAGTGGTGGAATCCACTTCCCCTGTCGGCAGAGGGACCGCCGGATTGCTATTTATGAACGGCATTCCATCTCCTTTGTCCGGCAACATCTTCGGAACCCTCATCGGAGCGCTAGCACCTCCATAAACGCCGCCTGGGGAGGCACTTGGCTCCGGCGCCGGCGCCCAAGCAGCAGCACTCTTCTCCCGCGGCTGAAAGGGCCACGGGTACGCAGGAGAAGACGACACTACTCCCCCTGAAATCGGAGACGCCGGAGCCGCCGCGGTGGGAGGAAATTCAGGCGCCGGAGACTGGGGCGAGACCTTGATGGCGAGCTTCTGGGAGTATTGCTCGTCGCACGACGAGGAGGAGGACCCGTTGGAGAAGGCAAAGTAGAAGAACCCAGGGCGGGAAGTGTGCCACTGCAAAATGGGGGAGAAAACCCAGAAAGAAAAGCACAGATCTTGTGAGGAAATTGGCGGGTTAAGGAAGGGAAATGCAGAGATGCATGGAAGGTGTTCGACGAAATTACCGAGTAGGAATGGGAAGGGGAGTTGGGGTTCGTGAGCAGAGTGGCCTGGCTGAAGTTGCAGAGCGTGAAAGCGCTGAAGCTCTGGAAGATGTAGAGGTTGTAGCCGTACTTGTGCTTGAAGACTGCAAAAGGGTAAGATTCAGTTAAGAAATGGATTATGGAACAAAGTTGAAACCAGAATTGGTGAAATTCATTATGAGCGAACTTACTGACAGAGTCTCCAATGTACACGGAAGGGTTGTTCCATGGAGAGACACCATCGACGAGAATGGTGGTGGAGGAATGGCAAGGCTGAGTGAGTAACAGCAGGGGAAACAGTAAGAAGAAGAAGGAGAAGAGAAGATGAGAAGGCATGGAGGTTGAGGAAACAGTTGTGTGATGGTGGTTGTGGTTCATCTTCATCATTGTTGGAATCATCATCATCATAATCTCAGTGTTGTTGGGGGTTTCCAGGTTTCAGAGTGGTTCATAATTAGCTCAATAAATATGCATATATGGCTGTGGGAAGTGATTAATGAACAAGGAAGAGAGAGGCAGGCAGAGAGGAAAGTAGAAAGAGGGGTTTTGAGAAATGTGTATTGTGGGGAAGAAGGAAAAGAAAGGAGACTGTTGTAGGATGTCAGGATTGGGGCACTCAGGCTTTGTGCTCTGTGTGTTCTCTTTTTGCTTGCTTGTCTAGTTGTCTATTATTTTTCTCTTTTGGGGTCAATGTGGGTGACAGAACAGAAGCAACAACATGGGATGTATCATTGTAATTGGAATTGGAGTTCACATGTTCTCTTCCTCTGGTTCTCAGATGTGTAGGGTTAACAGTTTTGCACTATCTCAGACAATTTGGGCTAACAAACACATTATGCTTCAGATGGTTCATGGGAGGAGATGTGTACTTTGAGGTGAAAAATATGTGGCTATCCTATATGCCAATCCATTGCATCAGGTCTCATGTGCTCAATGGTGTCTTACTGTCTTGTTCACTATAATGGCATCTCTCCCATTCTGGGTATTTTCATCCTCTTTGGGGTGCTTTCTCTATTCTAGGACATTCAAGTGAGTTCTGGATGTCTTGCTCCTCATAAGTTGTAGTCTACACATGATAACACGAAGTTCATCGTCGAGGAATAACTCGATTCAACATGACACCGCTCTCAAATATTTGATCTATCATAAGAACGTGGTATTATAACCTATTAGAGCATTAAAGATTGTCTTGTTATCTGTCTCAAGCATTGCGCCAATCAAGTATCATATATGACCCCATTTTGGATGTCATGCCCATCTGGCCAAGCTCATGCATGGATCGATTTATCAGACTTGGAACATTTTCAACCAACCGAACCAATAGCAGGCCCAAAAAATTTATTTAAGGGTGTTCTCTTATTAAATTAAATTAAAATATTAAAAAAAATTATAGAAGAAAATAAAATGTTAAAAAAATAGAAATTAGAAAATACACGACTAGTACAACATAGGCGAAGACCAAATAAAGCTTTAAATTCAATTTCGATCCCAAAATAAATTTGTTATCCCTTTCCCCATCCCTAATATTTTGTTTGTTATTCGGTATATATACCAAATACCAAATTAATTATCTTCAAACTTACCAATCAAATATATAAAACCAGATACTTTCATTTATTTATATTATAGTTACATTTATGTTTTAAATATAACACCAATTAGGTTGTAGTGTAATGGATAACATTTTCTCCATAGTGTTATGAGTTTGAATCACAAAGACTCACATTTCCCCCCTTAGTTTCCTCCAAATTCAAACTACTACTAGAGAATTTCCAAATTTTAGAGGTGTCCTCAGGCACTCCTAAAGGAGCATGAATCCTCTCCTACTCCAAACTAGCATGAATCCTCTCCTACTCCAAACTCAAACTAGCATCGAGGATCCTTAATATTTTTCTCCAAATTTTAAGGATGTCACAGGCCGCCTTGATCCACCCTTGAACCGAACCTTCTATCTCGAGCATTATACCGGCTAGAATTTTAGTTAACTATTATCTTTGCAAAGTTCTCATCCATTCATTTACAAAATTAAATATCCCTATCAGCAGCAGCCTCAAAGTAATTAGCTTTTTGTTTTCGGCCAGAACAGTAAAAGCTGGAATGATTTCGTTCGTTGAAAACCTTTCAAACCATTAATTACTTTTTTAAGATGACAAAGAAAAGGCATGCATGATAGAGAGAAGGGAATCATTGAGGGTTTTTCTGCTCACTTTTGCTTTGTTAATTTTGGGTTGGAGTTGGGATTTGAAGAGTAACAGGCTGTGGGCAAACCATGATGGGGATTATAATTCAAAAATGATTACTTGATTATTATTATTATTATTATTATTATTAGTATAAAAAAGTACTATGATATCCTCAAAACCTTTTCTTTACTTTTGTTTTTCTTCCTATTCAAAGGGTGGGTTCTTGTTCTTGGGAGCTGAGGATTTTATTGGGGTGGGTAATAAAGGAATCCAAATAACTTTCTTTCCCTTTCTTCCATGCAAATGTTATCTAATTTGTGTTGGTTTCCTCTCCTTGAAGAGCTACTCACAAATGAGTACTCAATAATGAAGATAAAACATTACATACATAGGCATATATGCCAAGATTACTCTTCTTTACAAGGTTGACCTTTACTGCTTTAGTTGCTTAGCTAGGGGAAATTAGATGGGTAATGAGCAATTAGCAATGAGAACAAACAAGTCAAGTTACCTTTGCTCTCATGTTTCGGGATAATACATACAAACAGATTATTTATCGAGTGTTAGCAAGAATCCGTTTTTTTCCCCCGATTTTAGAAATTGTTTTTTTTTAATGAATATTATGCTTGCAGGGTATGCAGTTTTCTTTCTTCTTCTTCTTGTTGTTATAAAACTTATAATAGATCAATCGTAGCTCTAAGGTCCAGAAGAAATACGTTTTCATATATCCATCGACCATCATATACATATATTAACCAAGTTGAGGCAATTTTGTCGGGGAAAAGTTTGAGGATTTCGTCACAATTAGTAGTGATTCGTCGGCCTCATGATCATGTGTCATCGTCTTAACTATTGATTGTGCTCTCACGTTTAGTTATCATCATCACGAATTCATACACGAGTCGCGTTGTCTCTTGCCTCACTTTCATTTGGCTTGCATATCCAAAGTTATCGCTCACTTTATCATATGCTCTTTCGCCACGTCCTCTCTCTAGCCTCGCAGATCAAGTGCTATCCCTTTCACTGCTAATTTTTCAAGAGAGGGATAGAGATTAGAGTGGGAACATTTCTTACTGTAGCCTAAAACCGATAGCCGATTTTTAGCGGTAGAACCACGATTTCAACCTAAAATACCATTTCGTTAACTTTTGCGGTACAACCTCCGATATTGTATTACAATCCTTACATTAAACAAGCAAACAAAGCAGAATCACTACTGAAGGGAACTAATCGATGAACTCAGATTGTGCTCTCTAGTTTCCAAGCAAATATACCAGAGCATGCATGCAGAAATATTCATCAGGGAGCAGAGCATGCGTATCAATGGGGGTTTGAGTTCAAATATTTTGCGACAGTCGAAACAAACAAACAAACGGGACGAAAACAAGCATGGCGACAAATGACAAAATTCCAGTACTGTTGGGCTTTGTCTGTAGCGGCCGATCCCAACTCCCAGGAATGGGATTAGGTGCTAACCCCTTATAGGGGTTAGCACCGTGATAATTAGCAAAAAACGCTACTAAAAATAACGAAATCACTACGGATTATTATAAAATCAATACAACATCTAAGTTAAATCATTACTAATTCAAACTAGTAGTAGTTTTTCCCTTGGCTAGGACGGTGCTAACTATTGTACAATTAGCACCGTAGCCGTTCCCCAACTCCCAACTAATCCCCGAAATCTCTTATTGGAAGAAGTTTAACAATGCTACTTATACACATACTAATATGCTAATTCGAACTCAAACCACTTATGTATGCTTGAAGTTTGCTCCAAAAATGGGCCGCGAGGATTTAAATAGAAGATCTCTTGGATATAAAAGACTCTGATAATGTCAAGAACAAGTTAGTTTCAATAATTCGAGTTGTTTGATGAAAGAGAAACAAAACGAATCGATTGACCTATGAGAGCCATCATGGCCATGTGAAGGGCTTCTTCATAAACTCGCCAATGTATAAAAATTAAAATAAACTACAGTTGGAAATGGAAACCCAGCAAAAGCTCCCTCCATTTCTCCCCTTTCCTACTTACTCGCAACCAGTGCTGTAAAACGCAGGCTATATAAAAAGAATACTAATGCTTCTTTCTTCTTCTTGTTCTTCTTCTTCTTCTTCAACTTCAACTTCGTTTGCTACACAAAAATAAGCCAGTAATGATCTGTAGTCTGCATTACCGCCTCATGATGTTCATAATCCATCTCTTCAACTATCTTATCTACCTCACTGCGCCTCTCACTCTATATATATATACCCCCAAAAGCTCTAATAATATTAGAATCAAGTCGATCCTAAAGTGACTGCGGCTCTATTTTTACTGTGTTTCCTTAGTCGAAGGAGGGTGGCTCTCCCAAAGTTTCTGAGACCTTACAATGCTAACTACATTCGTATCTACCATACCCAAGACCGAACTCTGCGCAGCGTTCGTGGCGGTTTTCGCCTTTCCACCACAGGGAACACCTTCTCCATAAGCTGCAGGATTCACCAAGAAAAAAAAAACAAGGTAAATCAACAAAGGATACAATTTGCATACACTCTATGTAGTTGATCAAATCCAAATCACCGATGAAAACTGTGAAAATGCCTCTAGCTCGGTTAAAACTATAGGACACTTCCACACGACTCGAGTCCATGGAATATGATTCCACATTTATGCACTGCAAACTGTGCATGATAGCAAACGACTTGTTTTTCGAGTTCAAATTAAAGATGCAGCATAGACGAGATCCACAGAAAGGTCTACTATTAGTCTTGGTCACAGTAAGGACCCAAAAAAAAGAACTTTGGGTTGCCAAAATCCATGAAAATTATCTTCAAATCCGTATGGATAGGCTTAGATGATTCTTGGCCTTGGTGGAGTTTAGCACAGTATGAGGATTTCCAGCCGATAGTCAAAACAGTCTCCGTACAGAACAACCAGACATGCCTATCAATCCAACCTACTTCAAACTAGATACCTTGTAAATCAAAACAGGACGATCCTATCTCTCTTCCGCAAGAATAGTCCAATTGAGCCAGAGAAATTCAAAGGGCCAGAGCTTCATAGCTCAGTAGTAAGCAAAGTGGAAACAGAGTGTTGCATCCAAATGTCATATGGCAACTTCATTTTCTAACTCAATTATGAGGGTGAGAGATAAAGGATCAGGCTAGAAGAAGGTAAGTCTACAATTCGAGTTCCACAAAACTCTGATTGCATTGGCCAATTGGTGCAGATAAGTCACATGCTTATGTGAAATTCCACGCATGTTCCCTCTATATACTAATATCACGCAACGGCATACCCAACTACCCAGTTGATACCATGGATGGTGGAGAACAGGGTCAGCGCTATTATAGCAACTGGTTCGAATGGCAGATATTACTGATGATTACTAAGCAATACCACTTCATAGTAAGAAGCTACTAGAAGAGGCACTCGTAATACCTAACCTCAATATGCAAGTAGCTGATACCAAGATAATCAGAACTGAAAATCCCATCTCTATGGCATTATAAAAAAAAACTGATTCTTTCTATTCTAATTCTGTAATAAACTAACAGTTCCAAGTACACCAATTCGAATTAAGGAAATGTTCATGTTGGTGAAAGATGAGTAATCTAAGAAAGCTTACATACCTGCTTTAGCCTTTCTTTTGCACGCTCTTCCTGCACCGCAAAATTCATTTACCAGACATGAGAGAAGCATCCACAACTGAGTGCAAATATGTTGGTTTTCCAATCAAACAAGTTTAGATATGTGATATTGTCCATTAAATTCCAAACACAACTACAGAGGCAATCATACATCCACACGCACACGAGATCACGAGGCATAATTATAACATCAATCACCAGCTGTCTCCAAACGAAGCAATTCCGCGCAACATAACAGAACCAAACCGATAATGAACAACATTTCAATTCTATGTTAGAGCCAGGATGATGCAAGTCAGTGTTTGCCCTGAATCAAGCTTGACTTCTTATGGATAAGACCAGATTCCCACTTAAGTGAATGTCGATCTATCAAAAACCAAAACTATTCTGGTTGATGAAGCTCAATTCACTAACATAATCTACGTCTTTGATTAAGAACTCCATAAATGGGAGGGAACAAGAGTAGAGCTAAAAAGACTGTAACTTGAGAGGAGCCGCAAACTAGTCTCATAGTGGCAAGAACATTATGGAATCAAAATCCAGAGAAGTCAGTTAAAACATTCAATCGGGTACCTTCTCCCTCAGCAGCTGCTCATTTTCCTCTTCTAGCTTCACTGCCAACGATTCCAATTCGACTTGATAAGCCTGAAGCAACCAGAAGTGCATAAGCCAGTAAGCATACACATCATAGGATCAAAATCAATACCAATCAAGACCACATCAGGTGAATATAAACATCAGTCTCTACCTGTTTCCTCTCCCTGGACCTGGCAGCTGACTCCCGATTCTTGATCATCCTCTTCTGCCTCTGCTGCGCAGCCTTATCCAATTGCTCCAAAACCGGCGCTCTACCTCTCTTCCCTCTCCCCACACCTAATCCCCCGCCGGAGGGAGCCACCTCCACTCCATTCCCGAACCCGACGATCGAGCCTTCAACCTTATCCAGCATATGGATAGCATTCGGCGGCGGCACTGGCACCGGATCAAACGCGAACACTCCCCCACTCAACCTCTCCGAAGCTAGCTCCGGCATCTTCACCTCATCCTCGTCGTCGTCGCCGCCGACCTCCACCGCACCCGCCTTGGCGAGGAAATCCTCCAGAGTCATCATCTCGTCCGGTTCCTCCTTCAATTCCTTCCTCCCGGACACAATCTCCCTCCACATGTCGTCCACCGTCTTGTTACTCCCCGGCGGCGTAGGGGCGACCGCAATTGCCATTTCCTGATCGTTACTTCCGTTTGCGTGGTGGCTGGATTGGATTGCCGCGGCGGCGAGAGAAGGAGGAGCGAGGGCAAGGGGAGGAGGAGGAGGAGGAGTCGGGGCGTCCATTAGGGTTATCTGAGCGTCGAGGAGCGTGGGCTCCGACGAGGGAGCGGAGTAGACGTTGTGCAGGATTCCGTCGACGGTCATGTTGGAGGAAGGGGAGTTGCCGACGTTGAGCGGCCGAATGGTAGTTGAGCGGTGTTTAGAGGAAGAAGAAGAAAAACGACGCGATCGTGAAGCTGTTGAAGACGACGACGTTGAAGCCAGATCCGAATTCTTCGGCTTCGACGACGCCATCACCTTCGACGACGCCATTTCCGCCAATCTTCTCTCTCGACACACACACTCTCCTTCCGATAAACTCTCCGGAAATTTTCTTCGACAGTTTCCCCCAACTCTCGCGCCCTTTTTTTTTATTTTCCTGGCCGGAAGGAGGAAAAAAAATCGCAATTCCGATGCCGGAAAATTGGAATAGCTGCTTTTGGGGCTGAATCAGTGACCTTTTGACCTTCTTAGGGTTTGGGGATTTGGGATTTTCCGACGAAGTGGAAACAGTTTGGGTGGGAGTTTTGAGGAGTCTGGTCTGGACTTGTTGTTTATTCTGTTGGTTGGGATCAGGGAGACGGGGGCGCGTGGTGTCATCACGGCACGCCGGCGCGTGAAGGTGTAGTCTGTGAGCAGCGCCGGTTGCCGAATGCCAAATTGCCGATAAATAATGGTGGATTTAAGATTTTCTAGGTTATTTTATTTTATTTTAAATGGTACTCTTTTCAGCTAATGGCATTTTAGTGCCTGTAATATGCGATTTCAACAAACACACTACTACATAATAATTTTGAGCAAAAGAACCCTTACAGTGTATCGTTTATTAACTTTTAGTCCTTCTGTTAAAAAGTCCATCCAAATCTGTTATTAATGAAACTAATTCATGCTTAGGGGAACACATTTCAAATGTTTAACATGCAATGTTCACTCAAAATCCATCTTATACTCGTCAATTCTCCCTAACTAATTGTTATAAAACGCACTGCTACGGATCGGGAAATCGCAGGAATCGACAAAGCAAGAATACGAAAGCGAGAATCGAAAACACGACACACGATTTACGTGGTTCACTAACACGATTTGTGTTAGCTACGTCCACGGGCGAGAGAGAGCCAGTTTCACTATATCAAGGAGATTACAGATTACAGAGGAGTATGAGAAGTATTTATAATATGATTCCCCCACTACCAGTCGTAGCGGCTGATAGTCCGATTCAAGTCACATCAACACTAATTAATCTTGACACTCCACCAAACCTCAAATGACGAAACTGAATTGAAAAACTAAGATCAGACATGTGAAATTTGAGAGTTGCATTTAGTGGGGAATCCAAAAAAAAAAAATCACCATATATGACATTTGATTAATATACGAGGTGATTGTTAAGAATGAGTCAGTCCAATAAATATTGGATTTTGTCATGGATTTTGGCTAATGGACTAAAAGCATAAAAGCAACACAATGCACCGGCTTATTTGTTAAAGATCATAATTTTATGTCGCCTTTATTAAAATGACATAATTTTAATATAGTGACTAAAAGTCACACGTTCTCTTCCTCTTCCCCACCCAAGAAATTCTTATATTATATTACACAATTTGTTCTTTTAAACCTCTTGATTCAGTATTCATCCTAATTTGTTGCTAATAAGTAACGAGTTCATCGTACAATAGAAACCGCATCCTCTGTGTACTACTAACAATCAACCTTTTGCTCATCAATCATGCCCCCACTAACCAACCTCCTAAACCCAACTGTGATTAATTTATAGTTAAGTTTGAGAACATGCAGGATTTTGAAATCAAGTTGAGAAGCGAAACTATAATCAACAACCCAAACGAGGATCAAATCATCACGCTCAACAAGCATTAACGAATCTAATTACCAATGAATCTATACACCAACGGTAACAAAGAGACTAAAAATGGATAATTAACATAATAAAGAGGCTACTTATTCATTCGAAACCATTAACAAAGTGATGTAATTTGTCCGAACGACATAATAGAATGACTAAAATTAACATAAACCTTTATATTTCCTTTTTTTTCCCCTTCCTCCAGTTGTCCTCCCACTAGTTTTCTTTTCTTTGACTGGATTATGGTTGATTCTTATTGATCTTTTCATTGTGTCTAGAATCATTGGTACTTTTATATAGTGTACTTGGACTTTCTATATTTGTTTGTGCTAGGCTACTTGATGTTTTGTCGATTAAACTAATGCGACGGACGGCTGGCTAGTGGCTACGGCAGAGCGGCGAGTTGTTTGGTGTCGTTATTCTCGCGTGTTTGATTGCTTTGGAGTGGACAGACGACTCGTTGCCGTCCGTTCACCGATGCATTGCCGGCGACGGTTTTATTAGGGTGGGCTTAGCACTGCTATATTGGCCTTGCTTGCTGCGATGAGCAACACTGAACAGCCTATATTAAACGACTCTAGCTTGAATTGAGCTGGTATACTAAAACTTTTTGTTGGACTCGCTCGTATTTGCTTGCATATTCAAAATCTTAACAATCACATGTAGTGAGATATATAATTTAAGAAACTTATGAATTATCAACAAGACAACTCATAAGTTGTAGATCGACTTGCTCATAAGACGATAGTCGAGCTCGTTCGCTACTACCACACTATGAGCCAGCTCATGAACTCAAAATGAGCTGGTACGAGTATGAGCTCAACAAGCCATCGAACTGAACTAGGCACAAGTCAACCTTGGCTTGTTAGTAAACGAATCAAGTGTTGAACAAGTTTGCTCGCACAACTCAAAATCTTAACAATCATATGTGGTGTGATATATAATCTAAAAAACTCATGAATTGTCAACCCTGTAAAAAAGAACTAGTTTTTCCCAATCGAACACCTTCATATCACGATGTTATCGAACGTCGAACCGCTCCTGAGAAGGTTGACTTATTCATTGCCAATCAGCGCTAGCATGCTAAATGCTGCCGATCAAACATGAACATGCAAATTTCAATCATTCAACACTAAAGCCACTTCTACTTATTTTCACTATCATTCACTTTATTATGCACTAATAATTATGCTTCTATGTCCTGTTTTGCTTGAGTTTGATCACAATATTTGCTTCCATTAACAATTTCTCCGATGCTAATTCACAGGCAGTGAAAGAACCCACAAAAAAATTGGTTCGCCGAAAGACCCACAACTAAGCTCCCAATCTCACTCGCAACAAATATCCCCTATTCTTTCCTTCATTCAATCCACTTCTCTTCCCAATACGTACCACTCATAGCTGTACCTGTATGAAAAAGCTAAAGATGGAAGGAATCAACAATGGCTTGGAGAGTCTTCCGTGAGTTCTGCCACTGTTTCTCGCTCGCACTGACCACGAACAACACCACCGTGCTCCCTTTCGCCGTCGCCTTCGCCAGATTGTGCGCTCCCGTCAACGCGTACGGCGTCTCCAGCTCATACTTGTAGTACTGCACACACCAACAACCAAACACACACACAACCCATCCCCTGTTTTTCAATTACTCTGTTTTTCAATTGCTCTGTTTTTCAACAATCACGAATCCGAATTGACACTACAAAAAATGCTCTGTTTTTCAACAATCACGAAATTTTCGAAAACATTACCGTCTGGTCGCCGTTCTTCTCGACGGACGCAAGGAGCAGCTCCTCCGGATCGTACGAATTCCCCGTCACGAACGGCCCCAGCGAAGCAATCAAGTCTTCAGGGGACCCAATCTCTTCGATGGTAGCGGTCAACTTGTTGGTCAATCGAATCAGAGGAGAAGCCACCACCTGAACTCTGCCCTGCCTCTCGTCCTCGAACTTCACCTCGACCCACGGCTCGGCGCATTTGGGCTGGCAGTAGTTCCCCGAGAGAATGTTGGCGACGCGGGTCTGCTTCCACGAGGGCGGGAGCACGAACTGGTACGGCTGCACGTTGCCCGCGCGGAGGGCGGGGGTGTCTTTTTGGGAGGCCTTGAAGAGGACGAAGGAAGGGTCGGTTGGGGAAGGAGGCAAGTAGGAGCCGACTTCGATTTCTTTGGCGGAGGCGGGTTTGGCGATGGCGGTGGAGGAGAGGAAGGGAGCGGATGTGAGGAGTCCGATTCGGTTGAGGAGTTGTCTTCTGGGTAGGAGGAGGAGCGGCGGCGGCGGTGTGGGGTTTTGATTGGAGGATGGCGGTGGGAGGGTTGGAGGGAGTGGCGGGTTTAAGGAGGACGCCATTTTTGGGGATTGGAGTTGGAGAAGGGAGGAGAAGAAGAAGAAGGGGAAGGAGATGGGTAGTTGTTTTGCGGAAGAGACATTGCCACATTGGCGGGCGTTTTTGGTCTTCCTTATCCATTTCCGCTCTAATCCTGACCGTTGTAAGGTAAGCGATGGCATTTATGGGCCAATTTGTGGGTTATGGCCCAGGTTTTGCTGGGTAACAATGCTGGAGTAAGGTCTATTGCTAATTGGGCTTGAGTTTGGGCGTCGGCTTGGGTTTGGTGTGTTACAGCCAGGTCGTAAGTTCTAGCTCAGAAACCCAACCCAACCCAACTCAACTGATGACTTATTGACCAACCCATATTGTCCAATTCTCTTCTTGTATCTCACTCTAATTTTGTTGATATCTAATTTTGTTGATATGATTTCAATTAGATTATCTGTAGTTAGAGATGACAATTTTGACTTGACTCGTTTTACTCGATATGTTTGGCTTGTTGCGGGAGGGGGGGGGGGGGGCATGGGTACCCTCATCGATCCGACCTGCCTCATTCTCGACCCGTTCTTGCCCAAGTTACATGTAATCTTAGTCAAATTACTTAGATTTTTCCTTATATTACATCATATTTTAGCTATAACAATTTGTAAATTAGTGAAAACCTCAATTTCTCCAATAATTTAACTACATTTATCTTAATATGGTTTGTTTTCTTGATGTTATAATGAAATTAACGAATATTTATAATATTTTCCGTGTAAATTACCTACCCATTTGGTCGAACTACCCCGACCCATGACCCATGATAAATTACCCGACCTGCCACGGAACGGGTATGCGTATCATGATACCCGCCCCCGACCATGCCCCATTGCCATTCCTATCCGTCGCCGACTGAAAGTTACTATGGACTTATGTATGTTTGAGTTTCTATTCTGGGCCTAATATGTAATTTTATTCTTTACCAAATTGGATTATGGTTAGACTGTTTGAAGAAGTACTATATATATAATTCTCATATCTTTATATCTTTATGTAATATGTAATCTCCTATAGTGAAATCGGCTCTAACCTGTCCGTGGACCAGCTAACACATATTGTGTAAGTGAACCATATAAATTTTCGCCTGGTTTTTTCGATTATCTAATTTCTTGACAACGAAAATTCAGGGCATGCATGCATGCATCTGTCACTAGCAAGCTGTCTAGTCTAGCTAGCTCCATCCTTGATACACAAGCTGCAGCTCGCTCTGATGATTTCATTTCCTGGACCAGAATTGTATTTTGTCATTTGTGTATACGGTTTGCTTTAGTTAGATCCACCAAAACAAACAAATAATAACGTAATAGCTAAGGCAGAAAACGGGAAAAAAGAGGACGAAAGCACAATTATCGTTACAAATATATTTTCTGGTTCCAAACGACCTAACACACGTTTACAACAGGGAAATACGCCTTTCCATCAATTTTGCGGCTGAATATGTACAAAATCTAAATATACAAAGGCATCGATGCCAACTCCTTGCTGGGCCTGTATTAGATATTCTCCATGATTTCCTTCTACCTTCACGATTTCCTCGCTCTCATGACAACCATATTTCCTCTATTTTGTTCTTTATAATTGGTATCGAAATCAATGGCGCAGCTAGCAATTTCACTTAGTTATGTTTTAGATTAAAAATAGCAACACAAAGATTTTGATGTTGTGCCATGGATGTGATTTCATATTTTTCGAAAAGTATCTAAATTACAATAACCATTCAAATTATCAAGGATGTCACTCTCTATATTCCACCACTCGTCTTATGCATGAATGTGTTCGTGATCACAAATTTCAATGCAGAACATGTTCTTTTCAGCACTTGCAGCGGCATGTAGGAACAATGACAATTTCATAAGTTGATACAGTAATGAAAATATTCGATATTTTTTCACACGGTCTTTTTTCTAATAAATTCAAAAATTACCTTTAATCCTGCAAACTTCTCAATTGTCCTCACATTGAATATGAACATGGGGATGAAGGTCAAGATGTAAGATTAGAACTTGTAGAGAACTTATTAGGATAAAATGTAGCAAGTTTTAACAATATTTTCTTTGCCAAAATTAACAAATGAATCTTCTGGGTTTAAACATGTCAAGTAACATAGCAATTTTGTATTGACATCATTGAAGAGGCCACTAAGCAATCTTGTAACTACATATTCAAAACTATTATACATAAAACATGTATTGTCATATAGCTTAGTGGTGGAAATGATGGTATTTTACAGGGAGGTCCTTATTTGAATCTCGCTCCCAAATAAAGACGTCCGAGACCTACCTGAATTACAAGTGCCTCGCCACTAATCGAAAACATATATGTATTTTATACGTTTAAAATTTGTAAATGATCATTCGTAAAATCCCATAAATATGATTATTGAACCGTCCTTTTTCTTCCTGTTAGAGTGATTTGATATAAATATGATACGCACTGATGAAGCTACACGTCAATGCATGCATGCATGCTTTATTGGCTTGAACTTCAAGTACACGAAATTAGGGTTTCTTATATATAGCATATCTGATGATCATCAATCCCCTCCAACCTTTCCAGTTACGTAAACTACATGGTCGCCAAACTAAATTTGTAAACCTCAAATTTTGGACGCACTGAAAGACAGGTGTCGGGATAAACTGGTGCCACCTCAACTCCATCATTATCTATGTGTCAAATCCGTAAGTTTTTTGCCCCAAGAATTTACAATTCAGTGCAAGTTTGAACAACCTCGTTCGATAATCAGATGACGAGCAAATACATATCCGAAATGATTCTTGACAATTACATCTTTCTGTTTAAAGGGCTCTTAATCAATATAACTGAAAATACAGCATCGTATAGCCATTCATAAGTAAACAAAATCGGGAAAGGTGAGACTAGGATAAGAAAAAGATATACGATACTATTTTTTTGTTTGTTTGTTTGTCATTTTCTAATAATTCGAGATATGAATGAATAAATAACATTTTGAACCCATTTATACGATGAATATCGCGTGTTACAAGGCACGTAGTTGATGATGACAAGAGTTATGAATTGATATATCCCGCGCTTGTCTTGCTCATGTGTACTACAATTGGTGGATTGATTTGTATCGAACCGCTTTTAATTAAGTACATAATCACAAATATTTTAGCTGTGTGGATTGCAGATTAAAATAAAATAGATCGGAGGGAATAATATTATGTCATTAAACCAGCCATTTGATTCTGAAAACTCGAGTGTTTTGAACGATCTTTAATTATGAAACTTAATTAACACACTTCTCAAACCAAAGTCTACTCCCGACGACTCATATATGGGCTTGAAATTTTGCTTATGTCCAAATATCATGTGGTTAACGGTGGTCACGAAAATTCGAACAGAAATAAGAAAACCCCTCGATCAGATACTATTTTATTAAGCCGTTAATTTCAATAACTCGAATTGTTGGGAGAGAACTCATTATAAATAACATAGTACATGTAAATCAACCAAAGTGTTACTCCGAAGTTCTGCAAAACCATACGACAGCAAAGTGCCAAACTTGTAAGTTGGCGCACATAACTACATTGTAATAATATATCAAATCAAATATGTAAAGACAAATAGAGAGTTACGTTGATGCATAAGAAACAAACGAAATCATTACCCTTTACAAAAGTGGCCTGCAAATCCGCTGTAAAGCTTGCAAATGAATTCTAGAGGGAGAAATTTTAAGTTTGTGTAAACCTCCTTCTCTCCTCAATAGTTATCGCCAATTGCAACAAACAATATAACAACAGAAAAAGATAGCAATCAACTCGTAAACCTCAATACTCTTAATTTGCATGCATCATATATATATATACATAATCCCTTCATACTATTTCACATATCAACAATGTCATAAATCTTTTGGTCTAACAAATCCCCATTGATATTCCCTACTAGCTACAAAAAAATCAAAATGTGGGCTAAGTTCAGAGCTTCCAAGATCAAGAAAGGTCAGTGTGTGTTGTAATTTGTGACCATTTTTTAGATTAATCTACATTTCATCGACCACAACATTTACGGATTTTATATTTAATTATGTTGGTTGATATCGCGCGCAGATCATAAAGTTTACTCAAAATCATCAGTTCGCGACAGAGGGCTGAATCTCAGCGAGGAATACCACAGAACGCTACGAACGCAATCCTACGTTGCGTTCTTCAGCAAAGCTCAAATCATGGCCAACCATCATCACGATCGAACCCCTGAAGAAGAAAAAGAAGATCCCATCCTCCTCCTCCTCCTCGAGCCAGAGCAAAACTCCATCCCTGCAATCCTCGAATCGGCCGCGGTCCTCTCGAAGCTCCCGGAACTCACCCCTTACTTCCGCGACTTCTTCGACTCCACCGCCGAGGCCTCGCGAATCTGCAGCGGGCTGCTCGCCAGCGTAGCGCGAACTCACGCCACACGCCGGTTCGCCCACCAGCTGTTCGACGAAATTCCCCTGAGACCGGCGGAAACAGAGTCCCGCCGCGTCTGGGAGCTCACCGCGTACATCGCGGAAGCGAACAATCCGTTCTCTTGCCCCGACGGCGATCTCGATTTCGGGAGCATCCGCGAGGGCTACGCCGCCGTACTGGAGAGGTTGAAATCGAAGCGGAGGAAGGTGGCGAGGAAGATCAAGTTGGTGGAGTGTGTGAACAGAGGTACGGGGATTTCGATCACGGCGGCTTGCGGCGTGCTGGCGGTGACGGCGGCGGTTCTGGCGGCGCATACGCTCACTGCGTTTGTGATGGGACCGCTGGCGGTGGCGGGCGGGTTTAATCCGGTGAAGAAGTTGGTCAGCAGAGTTATGAGGTTTAAGGTACTAAATTTTGATTAATGGTTGTTATATTAGGGTGATTAATTGATTTTATTCTAGATTTTGCAAAATGACATTAAAAAAAAAATCTTGCCCAAGCATTCTAAAATAATGTATTCAAAATATTATTTCAGGGTAGTTCATCAAAATGGTCACATAGATTTGGACTTGTGACAAAATGATTACAAACGTTTAAAACGTAACAAAAGACCATACAAGTATTACGATATAACAAAAATGGTAATTTTTCTTGTTTTTGTCCACATTTACATCAATAAATTACCAATTACCTTGTCGACACGGTGCAAAATTAACCAAAAAAAATACGAGACACCCAAACAACCCGTAAAATTACATTTTTTTCTCGAGCAAGCTAAATTGTCATTTTGAATGCAAATATGATGGGAAAGACATGTAATAACTGTTTTGTTATATCATCGTTACATTTTAAACAATTTTGACCATTTTGTTACTAGATCAAACCTACGAGATAATTTTGATTAATTACCCAAATATTCTGTCAACAAATGCCTGCCGTATAAAAAAAACAAGTTACAATTCAAACCATTTTAAATGTAAACTTCATAAAAACGAAGAAGATGATTTTCAATGTTTGTTGGCCTTAAACATTTCGAACGTACCTACACCATGTCATTTAGTCAGATAGGTATACATGTGCGTGGTTTTCCTCACCCCGAGTTTTACGTAAAGTCCCGATTTTGACTGTACGTAGGTAATGACGAGCGCCGAATTCTTGAGAAAGCTGCGACGACAACTGGACATGGCCGCAAAAGGAGTCTACATACTGAACCGTGATATGGACACAGTGAGCCGGCTGGTGGCCAGGCTTTACGACGAAGTGGAGCATGGAAAGGAGATGGCGAGGTTCTGGTTGGAGAAGGGCAAGAACCCTAGCGATCGGACTTTGTTCTGTTCGCAAGTGGTGAACGAGATGAAGAGGAGGGATGTCAAGTTCAGGAAACAGGTTGATGAACTGGAAGAGCTCATGTGTCTGTGCCTTCTCACCATTAACAGAGCTCGAGGCTTGGTTGTCGAGGAGCTTACGAGATCTGGAAGCTCTACTACGTAGAAAAAGTTTGTAAAAAATTTGTATGTATTTGCATGCCCTATATATCTTGATTGAGTTTGTAATTGTTAATTGTCAATAGCGGGATGGAATGTGTTTTCATGTTTGGGGTTTTTTTTTTTCCTGATGGATCTTATACCACTCTCTAACATGCCCCCTTAAACGAAAGCCAACCCATGGATTTGAAGTTTGCACATGCCCACCATACCTTGTGCTTTAATCAACTGTTAATATTGGGGGTCGTGGAGATTCGAACACACGACCATTTGGCCAAACCAGCTCTGATACCATGTCAAGAACCAGTTGCTCCCAATAACTCGAGTTGTTGGGAGAAGGTTCTGCTGGATCTTATATCACTCTCTAACAAAATCATTCGATTTGGATTCATGGATTGTTGACGGATTTACAAGTTCATTATCTATGTTTTTATATTTTAGAATTTGGTACCCTACAATTTTTGACGGAAAAATAGCATTGAAAATTGCGTTTTGATAACTGAAATTATTTATTATGACAATTTAGTACATAAAATTTTCAAAATTTACATATTGGTCTAATATTTATGAATCCACTAATCCATTTTCCATCTCTACTTCTATTTGATGTTTTTTTCTTGTTGGCTCCTTAATTAGTAATTATATTAGACTTATCTCATCAGTCAATTTGAAAACCTTTTCTAAGGAATCCATATGACACTAATATTGCACCATACAATATGGACTATTATCGATAAGTGTAGGCGAAGAGGGTATTCCCCTTACTCTGTCCATTTTCGACCCATTTTATCTAAATTGTTATATATACTTTAATTGGAAATATTCATGATTTGCACTTTATTAAATCATTTGTTAGCTATAATACAATTGTAAATATGTGTGAACATCCATTCATTGAATACTTTAACTATATTCATCATGGCATAATATGTTTCTAGTGGCGGAGCCACTTGAGGCGAAGATAGGTAATTCATGCCACCTTGGTAAATACCAACTGTCCCCATTATCGTAAATAAATTTATGAAAAATAATACTTTGTGATCTCTATTTAACTTTTAATTCGTATATTTTGTAACTGAGTTTAATATAAACAAAACTCAAAACATAGAGGCGTTTGTTGCTATCAGTTGTCATTACAACCATTGAAAGAGCACTTAGTGTAATGAGCAAAGTAAGGAAACACTTCAGAATAAAATGAGTAATGAAATCATGAATAACTTTTCGGTGAGATATCTTAACATCTCTCGTAATTTACATAATAAATGTACTTTACAAAAAATTTCACAATATGAAAAAAATATCATGAAACTTACGTTATGGATCTACCTTAGATGAATTTTGAACTACGTCCTTAGTTTTTTCTCGAATGTTTAGTAAAAAATTAAGGTTTCTAGTATTTTTCCTTTAAATACCAACCCATATGAATCAACCTATTTCTAACTGCATTTCAAAATAAAATACCCAATTTAGATTCCAAAATAAATTTATAAGTCGACGCACACTCTCTATTCAATCCGAACTAAGCCAAGCATAGCTTGGCTAGGGTTGTAGTAAAGTGATTCAGTCGTATTCCAAGGGAACTCTAAGCTTACTATTACTTCGCTCTGAACTATTATCTAATCGAATCAAAGGTTTCGGTGAAGAATCTAATCTAACCTACTTCTAAAGGTGAAACAAACAACCAAACAAGTGGTTGGGAGACCGCTAGAAATGAGATGGTTTCCTAGAATTGAATTCTCCTAGCTATAGTCGGTAAGTTGAGTTTAACAAATATGATGTGGAACTCTATGATTTGGGGATTTTTCCAACAGGATTTCTCCCTCCTCCTAGCGTTACCCACAAAGACCCAATGTCACCTCGATCTAAGCTTCATCACTAGGGATGCTCTCATAGTTCCTTTAAAATGGTTATCTATCACACACTACTGGGAGTCAGATCTGTGCTCTTGTGAACCTCCCAAAGTATTGTTCTAGGAAGGCACTATAGAGGCAGGAGTTTGGTCGCCTCATCCACCTCAAAGCCCTAAGATAACTCACTATCCTTAGTGTGCTAGATGGCGCACACCCGTCTAACCCTAAAACTCCATACCTAACGTAGAAGGTCAAGTAGGCTAGTGGAGAATATTAGAGTGACTTACCCAAGCATAACTAAACACACATGAAGCATAATTGACTAGAACCACATACCCATAAATAAACTCATTCAAATACCAACTACAATCTAGGCTTCATCCATTCTTAATAACCGTTAGAGATTCAAGTCATAGAGAGAGAAAGAAAAATACAAACTAGAAGAGAGGAATGATGGAATCAAACTTCTTCTCCTTGCTTGAACCTTCTTCTTGCTCCTTGGGTGGATTGGATCTTCAATGAAGCTCTCTCAAGGTGTTTTCCTCTCTAAAACACTCCAAAATCCTAACTTTCTCACTCCAGATCGGTTCTCCTTTGTCAAGTGCAGAAAAGAGATTATTCTAGGTTGCTGGTATACAGTGGTCACGACTTCGAGTGTAACATCTCATTTCGGCTAAAACCCATATTTCGATCGTTAGAAAGTTCGCGATTTAAAATCGAGCATTTCGACACTATTTCGGCGAAAATCGAATTATCGATCGATCGGATAAGTATACGTATTAATTTTTATATATATATATCCTGTCCATTTAATTTCCCCACCACCACCGTTCATTTTCCATTTCTTCCTTCTTCTTCCATTTCCGAGAGAAACGAGAGAAACAGAGCACGCGCGGAGCTCTCGACCCAAAATTCCAAAGCTCAAAATCTTGAGCCCTAGTGATCCAAAAATCCCGTAAGTAATGCCTAATTCATCTATACATCGTGTTTTATCGATTTAGAGCTTTAAAACGAGTTTTTGGTTCAGGAATTTCTTGAATTCCCGATCAGCCAAATTAGGGTTTCGGAGTATCCGGAAGCCGGATTGAGCCCAAATTTCATATACGAGCTTCCTGCAGCGAGGTAATCAATCCTCTAGTTCTAATCCCTGAATTTCGGCTATTATTTAGGCCGGGGTCCAAACCGCTGAATTTAGCTCCGGCCAGGGTTTGATGTGTTTTTATCGAGAATTTGGCCTGGAGCCCAGAACTAATATTGACGGGGATACTGCAGGGGATATTAGGACGGTCTCGGATTTTAATTCGGGGTTCGTTCGTGAAATTGATGTTTTAGTACGGGAGGCTAGAACCGGTGTTTGAACGACCAGAACTGGTGAGGGATTAGCACGGCATACCGGGTTTGTCGTATCACGATAATTATATTGATGCTTAGAATTGACCTAGGTGAACTAGAATGGCATGATTAGGAGTGTATGGAATTTTGTGCTATATGATGAACCCTGGACTGCTGTATGATATTATTGACTTGCCCTAATGGATATGAACCTTGTTTATGTGGATGATTGCATACATGTTGCCATTTGTGGCTTAACTGTTGATATGACTTTATGGTTGTTCGATAAGGGGTTTTGACATGGTGTGATATTATGGTTATATTTGGATCCATAAGTGGGGGAATAAACTTCCCAAGGTGATATTATGATGTTTTAAGGAGGATGACTTGCACGAGGGTTTATCCCGAGGAAGTGCAATTATACGACTCCTGATTTACCTATGTTGAGCCAATTGTGGCCTGGTCAAGTACATGTGCAAGTAACGAATTATGATTAAGCAAGATGAGATATGAATCATGTATAAGGATACCAAATATGAGTGTTGTGGTCTCACGGTCAACTACATAGTAATTAGGGCTCCCTATGCTATTACTCTATTATGATATGTATGATAGTCACACCTCTCATGTGGTGGTGACTGAAGAATTCTTACGAGATATGACCACACCCAGAGCGGTGTCGGGGTATGACTACACCCATAGTGGTGTGGGGTATGTATGACCACATCCGACGGGATGTTGGGGTATGTATGACTACATCCGACGGGATGTGGGGTATGTTTCCCGGGAGAGTTATTAGCATGGGAGTAGCCAGGCGCCTATGATTAAAACATGATAAGATGCATATGCATAAGTCAAAGTGGTTGAGTCTTTTGCTTATTGGGATATGATGATGGCTGAGGTCCGATCCTAGTGTTTTGGCTTGTCTGCTAGATGTATAGTAGGGGTATGCTCTGTTATGAACTCACTATGCGATGATTATCTCACTCAGCTATGAGCTGACCCTCTTTTATTCTTCTTCTCTGCTTATGCTATGTGTAAGCAGATCATCAGCAGCAGCAGTAGATAAGTGTTAGGTGGGAGAGGAGCTAGAGTTGAAGCCAGGATGAGGTATGGTCTTCAACTATTCTGTGCTTGGACTACTACTTGGGATTTTGGCCAGTGATCCACACCTTTCTGTAAAAAATGTTTTGAGAACATTTTCATGTGCATACTAGCTTCGAATGTAGTGTGAGATATCCACAGGTGTGGAAAGTTAATGATATGTGTATATGTTGTGTAACTGTGTAAGTTGTGACGATTATGGTATGTATAAGTATGGTATGCAGTTAGGAAGTATGAAAAGTGTGACTATGGCTAAGAAAAGCCAATGCATATGGTTGTGAGTATATATGTTTGTGATGAATTATTTTGCAGGTTAAGTTGCAAGAACTGTTAGCCCATTACGCGAGTTATTCATGTCGAAATTTTATTTAGGTAAATTTTGATAATTAATGTAACGCCCGAGATTAATTCCGCTGCAATTGTATAAACAATATGATTAGGCAAAACGTATAGGGTAGGGTGTTACATCGAGGGCGTGACTCGATGGTCATGGTCGTGACCAGTGGAACGCTGCTGACTCGCCCGAAACATCGCATTTTGACACCGTCTTTAAGCTCCGAGATCACGACCTCCTTCATAAGATTGCAGCAGTGATCTTTGTGTCACGGGCGTGATTTTTTTTTTGTTTTTTTTTTTTGCGGTCAACCGCACCATATCCGTGATTGGGGTGTCAAAAATTTCTACCTTCTTCTTGGTCGCCTGCTGAGGTTCGCGACCACTGTTCACGACCGTGTACCTGGTCACGGCCTGGTCACAGCCGTGATGTGTGGCCGTGACCTGTGCCTTTTCTCCCCTTCTTGCTCATACGCTTTCCAATCATGCTCGGATGAACTCCAATCGATTCTTGATCAATTCCAGATGAATATAAGACCTGGAATTTCATCACAAGCTCTTGAAAGAGCATAAAATACGACAAAGTGGGGTCCCTATGCAAACCTTCATATAAAGAATACTATGCCAAAATGCATGTTTTACAAATAGGAACGAAAATAGGCATGAATATCTTGATATGTGGCTTAGACACGATGATTTAACATGCAAATGCCTTAAGAATAAGGGCTAAATAACACATATTTTCGATGTTATCAATAACCTGCCACATCATAATTTGTGAAAGACTTCTAACATTTTCCCCTATAAATTTTAACGAACTATTAACTTTTTTGTTTTAAATCATTTTTTTTTGCACAGTTAAATCAGATTAATTTTGCGCATCAAAATTATATTCACTTTGATATATTTTCGGAATAAAAATTTGAGACATTTAGTACTAGTCTAAACCATGGTGGTATTGTTTGGTATTACATAAGAGCATACCACGTGGTATGAGAGTGTATGATGATGGTATGAACAGACTAGACTGTAGAATTGCTGAATATATGATAGTAGGAATATACTAACTGTTATTTACAACTTTCAACATTGTGTACTACAAGATACCCCCTATACCAGGGTGGTATGTGGTGATATTTTTTGGCCCTGTACTTTCCCCCATAAAATTGTGGATCCAATAGATCATGATCAACACATTACTTTTGTGCAAAATTTTCAAAATTGACTTAAAAATGAAGGTGATACCATAAAGTATGGAGGCGGTAAAAAGTGGTATGAAATTTTCCCCACGAAATATATTAAAAATGGATCTCATTTTTCCGGTCACAACTCGTTTCATCTGTGCAAATTTTTTTAAAATCCAAATTAGAATGAAAAAAATAAAAGAGATGAAGAAAACTAGGAAAAATAAATTTTTTTTAATTCTCACCCTTAGATCCGAACTCTTCTGGATCCATTCTAAATTAATGGTCCAAATTTAGTTATGTAAGAATGCATAACGAAGGATTATGTTCCTATCCGCAGCGGTTTAACTCATTGTCATCCCTAATACCACTTTCCTTTAATATAATAAACAAATAAAATATTCCTCAAAAAATGAAGAAGACAAATCAAAATATCTAACGGCACCTAGATCACTTTATTTAATTAATCATAATTAACAAAACTAAGATTGGGTTTATGCAACGTTTTCGTGCCTTACTAGTTTTCTTCTTTCCCTCAACCCTCGGTTACGGACTGACGGACAGATCCCGAGAGAGAGAAAGGAGACGGACAGACAGAGAAGTCACCACAGTCAAATTTCTTTCTTCCAAAAAAAAAAAATTCTTCCTTCCTTCCTTCCTTCCTAGTTCCTACCTTCCCATTAGAAAAATAATTCTCGCCTGCCCTTTTGGGGATTCATCATTAGTCCAGTCAAGCTTTTTTGGTCATCAATTGGTCACCAACAAAAGAATTTCTGGAGCCAGAGCGTCATGAGCAGAGGAGGCAGAGGCAGCCCCATACCGCATTGCATTCAATTCGTATCCTTTGTAGATGTGTAAATGTAATAATAAGTTGGCGTCGCTCTCATCTCCATTAATCATTCTCGCCATACCTTGGGTCCCTCCGCCCTTCTGCGTGTTTTCCTTTCCCACCCTTTCCTTCTACTAATTATTATTTGATAACAGAAAGAAACACGTTCTTGCTCCTGCAAAGCGTGAGCTCATTCCTTCATTTTGTGCAACCGACATAAAAGATCAAACCTTTTCTTGTTTTTGGTTAACTGGGTCTCTCACCTACCTTTCTGGGATTGACGGGTAGGTTTGGGTTTACTGACTTGTTCCCTTTCTGGGATTTCGGAGATTCCTTCTGAAGACCCTTCTATCTGTGGACCACTGCGAGGTAAGTATCCCCTAAAAAAGCTTGCTCTTTCTCTGTTCTTGAAACTTCTGTATTCTCTGCAATTTTCGTGTTAAGTGTTCTTTATAGCTTTACTAGGTTTCTGAGGTTTTAGCGTGACCGATTACCAAGTTGTTGTGTTGCTTTTGCTGAAAAGGGTTTAAGATTCGTGGTTGGGGTTTTGCTCTACTTCGTATGGGAGCTGCTGGTTTTAAGTGTTTGGAAGTTTTATGTCCTCAGGTTCGGGGATTTGGCAACAGTTGTTGATTGGAAGAGGTTTTTGGATGTTGTGCTTTTTCTTGTAGGGTTTAACTGTTTGTTTACTCGCCAAGAAGCTAACTTGGTGGGGTAGGTCCCCATTCTGGAGATGAAATTGGAAGTTCATTGATTTTGGCTCTATGGTCATGTGGTTGAATCTGAGTGATGAAATGGGGGAAAGTTGTAATGATCATCCGTTAAGCAATTCGGAGGAGGGAATCGACGACCGTCAAGCAGGAAGTGGTGAAGGCTTCAGGCAGATTGGTGGTGCTGTTGAATCAATGACTGAGGAATCTAAGCAGCTGGAAGAGCAATTGCCATCAGTTGCAGATACAAAGGCAGACACAAATCAGGATGCAAAGTCTGAGCAACGGCTATCAATTCTCGCGACACCACATCATGAAGGATCTGATGCTACTTCTTCCCCTGTAAGAGGTGTGTAAACGTGATGCCCCTGTGCTATTTATCTTCTGTAAACTGGATTGCTTGTTAGCATTACCGTTCTGGGATTGTAGTTGATAGAATAGTTTGTCGTGAGGAAATGGAGTCTATTTTTCATTTTATGTACTGATTGTAGACTGCACTGGAATCCCAAAGCTAGTAGGTCATGCTAGAAACACTTATTTGATTGAATTTGGTCGATCATGTATTTGGAACCTTGATTTATCGCACTCCTGTTCGATGTCCTCCCACCACTGAAGCAAACGAATTTCTCCTCCTTTGGTTCTAGTTTGGCTAGCTGGTCCTTGTATCTAAACTTTAAACTTGTATGTTTCTTTCCAAAATACTTCTCTCATTGCGAAAGTTTCATCTAGCGATGAGATATACTTAGTTGTTTCCCCCCTTTTATTGCATTTCCTTTCTGCAAAATATTTGACACATTCTCTAACATCGGAGCCTCTGATTTTCAAGGCTTGGACCACAGCATTAGTGCACCCGCTGTGGCTCACAGAAACCTTGTGGTTGATGATAAAGATAATATAACCTTATATCGGTCCATCACGGAGAAGCGGTCAAAGCATGAGCTGAAGTTCGACAGATTGTTAGACCATGAACAGGTGACTCAGCATACTGCCTACATCTGTTTGCAAGCTGATGGGTGACTTGTCTCTTCTTCATTCACCTATGTCACTTTCAAATTAATCTTTATTCTTTATCTGCTGATTTCAGAACAAGCTTCTTATTGAGCTTGTCCGAGTCCAAAATGATGGAACCGTGGAAGTAGACATAGACAGAAATGATTCAGTTGCTTCAGATTTGTTAGAGCTTCATTCAGTTGGAAGTGCATCCTTTTATATCAATGAGGACACTTCTCTAGTGAATAAACCAATTCCAAAGTTGAAGATTGCCATACTTGTGGTTGGAACAAGAGGAGATGTGCAACCTTTTCTTGCAATGGCAAAGAGGCTTCAGGCATGTTCATTACCTTACTAACTTTGTAATTTTTATTTGTTCTTTCATGTCTTAAAATAGTATATCGTTTCAGAATTTTTTTTTTAATGCGGAGTAGTTAGTTGTTTACTAAGCTTTTCTTAGCACACTTAGCTGCTGCCCACTTGGGACAATCAGGTTTCATTCTTTCCCTCTAATGCATGATCTGAAAATTTCATACAGGAATTTGGTCATCGTGTTAGGTTGGCAACTCATGCCAATTTTAGGAGCTTTGTGAGGGCAGCTGGTGTAGACTTCTATCCCTTGGGTGGCGACCCTCGGGTCTTGGCAGGATGTAAGAGTTCTATTTCTTTGTGTTGCTTTCTCATGTAAATCGTTTGGTGTGGAAAAATATATAAAGAAATGCCATAGCTGATTGCTCCTCCTTAAAATGAAGATGTTATGATGTAGCAGGGGAAGATGATCAACTTCTTGGCTATATCATGGGGCGTGTCAGGCTTTCTTATTTATAACAGGGTGCCTTTAACTCTTGATCCTTATTGGGTTACCTTTTGTTTAAGCATGATATCTATCAATCTATTACCATTCATATAATAATAGTCGATGTGCATTTTTCACTCTCAAAGTAAGCCTTTGACCTACAATTTCTAACTTAGGTATGTGGAGGCTGTAATTCTTAAAACTTAATCCTGGAGTAATTGTCATAGCTCCATCCTGCATCTTATCTTCTTAAAGTTTGTTTCTTATGCTTATTCTAAATACCTGGTGCTCATTTCAGATATGGCTCGTAATAAAGGTTTGATCCCTTCCTCGCCTGGAGAAATATTGATTCAGAGGAAGCAAATGAAGGACATCATTGAATCCCTTCTTCCGGCATGTACGGAACCTGATCCAGAGACTGGCGTGTCATTCAAAGCCCAGGCAATCATTGCCAACCCTCCTGCTTATGGTAAGTAAAGTCTCAGCTCTCTTATAATCTGGTTCTTCAGTAATACTAACTTACTCTTTATACACCTCGAGGATGACTGTCTTAAGCACTATTAGAGCAATTAGGTTCTTCTGAATCTTTTGATAATATTCATTTTACTTGTGTCATTTGAAGGGTTTTGTTCTGATTCCGTGGCAATTTCAATGCAACTGGCCTTTTGAATTGTCAACTGTGATTTATTCTATCTCTGCAGGACATGTACATGTGGCTGAAGCTCTTGGTGTGCCAATCCATATTTTCTTCACAATGCCATGGACGTGAGTATTGACCAGAACTCTACCTCATCAATAAATCAACCGGCTCTATTGATATATTGGAGACTATAATATGCTGCACAAATGGATGTCTGTTTTTATTTATCTTATTTGCTTATTTCTTCATTATCCCCTTCTGTGTATGCGTTCTAACTTCCATTTTCAATAGGCAGGCCAACATATGAATTTCCTCATCCTTTAGCTCGTGTACCTCAAAGTGCTGGTTACTGGGTATGTTTTTGCGTATTTCCTTTTCTTATGTACATTCTTTTCATCCAGTTGCACTGGATTAAGTTACTCCTGGAAATTTTCTAATCTATTTTTTTCATTGCTGGACCCAGATTTCTTACATTATTGTGGATTTACTGATATGGTGGGGAATAAGAGGATATATAAATGACTTCAGGAAGAAATTGAAGCTCTCACCTATTGCATATTTCAGTATGTACTATGGATCAATATCTCATTTTCCAACTGGTTATATGTGGAGTCCCCATCTTGTTCCAAAACCACTTGGTAATTTTCTCCACCAATTTGCATCATAAAGCCATGTTTATGGTTTGAGGATTAGATTATTGACTTCATAAAGCCAATATGCAGATTGGGGACCCCAAGTGGATGTTGTTGGATTTTGTTTCTTGAACCTTGCGTCAAAGTATGAACCTAGACCAGAGTTTGTCCGGTGGATACAAAAGGGGAAAAAGCCTATATATATTGGGTTTGGAAGCATGGTATGGTGACTCTTGTAAATTGTTTAATTTCTGCCTTCTATTCCTCGTCAATTTGTCATATTTGTTGGTCACAGCGAGTGAATTATTGAGCTAGTTACTTCTTGTGGATGTAGCCTCTTGATGATCCACAGAAAACTGTGGAAATAATACTGGAGGCATTGAAAGCAACTGAGCAGAGGGGGATAATCGACAAAGGATGGGGTGGCCTTGGGAGTCGTACGTATTTGCTGTTGCTTTTGTTCTTACTGTTGTTGAAAATATAAACTTCGTTAAGGGTCGTTTCCTTGAGATTCGTACTTTAACCTAGCTAGTGGTTTCTCATAGTAGTGCTTTTCCACCCATATGAAACCATGCCATGCTGAAGATCTCCCGTTTCTTGCAGTTATGGAACCTCCAGAGGATATCTTCCTGTTGGAAGACTGCCCTCATGATTGGTTGTTTCCTCAGTGTGCTGCAGTGGTGAGAATTATTGCGACCTCTTACCAACATAATTTGTGGCATATGTTTATTCCTAAAATGGTGGTTTTGCGAGTTTATGCAGGTTCATCACGGTGGTGCTGGAACAACAGCTACAGGACTGAGAGCCGGGGTAAATGCTTGTTTCATTTGTATAGGCTCCAACCAGTCCATCTCGTCCTCTAGGATAGATCATCTCACTTTCAAGTTCACCTTGTAATTTGCAGTGTCCAACGACCATAGTTCCTTTCTTTGGAGATCAGTTCTTCTGGGGAGATAGAGTGTACAACAAGGGACTAGGACCAGCACCGATACCCATTTCCCAGCTCAGCGTTGAGAACCTTTCGAGTGCCATAAGTTTCATGCTTCAGCCAGAGGTGCTTATCTACGTGCCCTTTTTTCCCCCTTCATCATCTCTTGTTTTATCTTGGTTTTAGTGCCCGGATTCTGTTTCTGGATTATGAATAACCCTCTGCCTGTCATCGTCCGAAACCTCTCTCAGGTGAAGTCTCGAGCAACAGAGCTGGCAAAACTGATCGACAACGAAAGTGGGGTAGCTGGTGCAGTCAATGCTTTCCACCGCCAGTTGCCTCCAGCTCTGCCTTTGGCACCATCAGCTGCATCTTCAGATACCGACGAAGAGGTTCAGTATGGCGTGCAGTGGGTGTTCGCTCAAATCGGGAAGCTTTGCTGCCTTCCTTGTAGTCCCTAGGGTTTCTCTCGACTCCGGCATCTGCTCTTCATGTACAGGGTTCCTCCTCCTTTTGACTTATACTAGCAGTCTCCTCTGCAAGCTCCCTTTTTGCTTGTGGTGTAAGCTTAGCTTTTGACATTTCATTCTTTAGATTCATGATATTGGTTATAATGGTTACTGGTGGTAGAGGGTATATTATATAACCTCATATAGTGTTTATTGCTTTCCTGATAGCTTGATTGGTTCTGTAAAATCTAAAAGAAACCTGCTTTCTCATTCCTATTCTTGATGACATTGAAGTTACAACTTTCTATAGATTTTGATGTCTCTCCACCTGGACTCCATGTAATAGCTGATATTAGCAGGAGCTGCATAGACGCCACATTTGAAGTACAAGTCGCCTGGGCCTTGGTCGTGGTGCTGGAACTTCTGCTCGCCGTCCAAGAACACGGTCACCATGCCACGGTCGACGTCGTGGATGATGTTCAGCCGGAACCACCGGTCATAGAGTCCGTCGGCCACTTGAGGGTAGCTGTAGAACCTCATTTCTCCCGGCGCGTAGACTCTCAGAATCAATGTGGTGGCGCCATGGCTCGCGCCGTGAATCTGTGCTACTGTGGCTCCCGACGTTCCGTTGGGGACGAAACCGTGCCCTTCGAACTGCCATACTCCTGACGAGTAGTCCAACCCCTGAAAACCAATTTGGAGACAGATGAAATTATATTTCGTATGAAGTGTATACATTAAACATATTATGCACGATAGTTTTGCCGAGTAGGACCAGACCTCACAACTCAGCTTAGTAGCTGACCCAATTTTCTTTCTTTTTCCTATTGTCATCATGACTTAGAGAGAGAACTTATTCCGCTATGGTCATGTTATCGTTTTCTCCTTTTGATTATTTGGCAAAATACACTTGTATAGCCAAAATTTTCATGCGCGTTTGTGTCAGTAATAGTCAAATTTAGGATGTCATCGTACAGGAGCAAACATTACGTACAGTGATGCGGATTTCGGTGCGCGGCTGGGTCCGGCTGGTGGGATGGTGAGGCTTGTCGTCGGCGTAGACCCACATCCGGTGAACGCCGCCGACGAAGCTGTATCGCTGGTGGAGAGGGACGTCGTATGGCTTTTGCAGGACCAAGTTCGATTGGTTCAGTGGGATCTCTGTGAAGCCGACGGTAGGATCTGCAGCTGCTGCTGATGCATTGCAGCGATGGATCATCGGCGCCAGAAGAAGAGGGATGGTAAAATTTATTAGGCCGTGGAGGAAGTAGGAAAGCTTCATTTTCTCTGTTAGCTTCTTCTTTTGTTTTTTGGTTTAGTGAGTGTTTGGAAGTTAGAATGGCTTCGTGTTATGTATGTATAATAGTGGTTGATGGTTTCATCTATCTGGTCTTCTTGAATTTGGCTCTATCTATGTGTTCTATAAAAAAGAAGAAGAAGAATTTGGCTCTATATGAAGATCACATGCAAGAAAAAATTACTTCCTTAGCTATAAAATTGGGAAACTTTAGGGATCGTTTGTTTCGAAGTTAGTGATTTTAAATGGTGTATTGACCTAATTAATGTATTTGCGAGATTAAGGGGTCGTTTGGAAGTTGCGATTGTTTTGTTGAGATTGTCATTATGCATGTATTGTTTACAATGCATTGTTTTTTTGTTTTTTAGCAGAAACAATACATGGATTGTTTCTGTAATGTGACAAAAACTAACTATCACTCATTTCTGCTGATGTGACATACACAATCACACATATCAAACGTTGTATTCTACAATGCATCAAATTCGACAATACATGTATAATATTATACATGCATTCTCAACAATACATCTATTTAACAATAGCAACTTCCAAACGACCCATTAGATATAAAATTCATTCATTAATGGTTAAGGTATAGCAACATATCATAAAATTAAGTTAATTCAAGATCTAAATAACGCTTTTTTAAATTTTTAAGAGTATACAATGCCTCTAGATTTACCAATAAAATCCACCTACAATTTAATATATTTCAATGTATCAAGAAACCAAACAACCATTAGAGAATCTTGAGTGTATAGGCTCAACGATTATATACCACCAACTAACAAGTTAGCACCTCCGACACCATGTGATTACAAACTCGGGGATTGAAAGATGATATCCTCAGTGAACCAAAAGACTGAAAGAGTATTATCCCAATAAATTAAAACTATATTATCCCAACAAAACTAAGTATTTAAACAGTGACGCAACCTTGCTTTGATTTACATGTTTTGTTTCTTTTGCGGTTAAGCATTTCTATGGCCGACTTTAGGCATAGGATAATGCTAAATATTTTACAAGCGCGAGTGCAGCCAAGAGATCAAAACAATACAGAATTGTGAAATAGTGGCCGGCGGACACTTGTTGGAGATAAGATATATACATCTTGATTTGTTTTAAGTTATCAATTTTGTTCATTGCTAGTATTATGTCGTCAACATACACTAGACAGATAACAATCCAATCATGCATAGAGTAATCTAAGCAAGATTCGAATAAACCATTCTTCACCTAGGAAGAAGTTAGCTAGCTAGCTTGGTGAACCCTTGAATACTAGCTAGCTTAGTTATGATGATAAGGACCTTTTCGACTTCCATATCTTCACTATAAATTTTTCGATCCATCTTTACTATTTTTTACATAAAAATGTTCTTATACTTTGGGAAAATGATCAAAACATGCTATTTTGTCAAAATTTACATAAAAAAACTGTTACCCACGGTCGAAATTTGGTTTGGACGACACAAATGTCTAAAATATCCCTACTAATTTCACTTTAGAATTTTTTTTGCCTCTTTTGTATAGATAAATAATTCTAATAATTTCACTTTGACGAGACCCAAAGAAATAAAAACAGGGGACAAAACTGACATTTTCCCTCCCATTTGTCGATGTCGGTCGTCTAAATCTCGGTTCAACCCTGCTTGACAATTTTTTCAATAGAAATTTCAATAAATGGCCATGTTTGATAAATTTTCCGAAGTACATGGGCATGTTAGTCGATGTAAAAAATAGTAAACTGACGTGTTTGATAAAACGACATAGTATAGCGACATATTATACCTATAACCCAACTCTTTTTCATAATCAATGATTGGTCATTAATTATAAGATCAAAGTTGGAATCTCTTTAGTCATGTTGTTGGTTCATTTGTTTCCTAATAATTTCCGTAAAACATAAAAACAAACCCATTTTTCACATTTCTCTTATTGATGAGTATTCAACTGATGATCAGTAGATCAAACTCACTACTTCCTATAAATTTTGATGTCTCTCCACCTTGACTCCATGTAATAGCTAATATTAGCCGGAGCTCCATAAACACCGCATTTGAAGAACAAGTCGCCGGGCCCTTGGTCGTGGTACTGGAACTTCTGCTCGCCGTCCAAGAAAACGGTCACCTTGCCGCCGTCGACGTCGTGGATCATGTTCAGCCGGAACCACCTGTCGTAAAGCCCGTCCGCCACGTGGAGAGAGCTGTAGTACCTCATTTCTCCCGGCGCGTAGACCCTCAGAAGCAAAGTGGTGTTGCCGTGGGCCGCACCGTGAATCTGAGCTACGGTGGCTCCCGACGTGCCGTTGGGGACGAAACCGTGGCCTTCGAACTGCCACACTCCCGACGAGTAGTCCAGTCCCTGCCAGCAAAAATCATCGGGACTTAATATCCGTTACCCTACTCAAAATAATTCGAGTTTTATCCATACCCTATACCCACATAAGAAACGGGTAGAAAAACAAAACCATACCCATACTCGTTCGGATTTCTGCCGGTATCATTCCACGGTTATCTATAGATAATAATTTCTCTTTACAACTCCAACAAATATGTTAACATTCACACAGTGTGTTCTCACATTATATAAGATGAAAAATACAACTGTAATTCACTAGAATGAAGAAAACTAATTAAAACAACACAATTTCTTGAAAAATATTATATTTATTTCGCTAAATATAAAATATGTTAGAGAGAAAATTAATGATTTCTAGAGAACATACATATGCATTTGTATAATCGGGCGGATTCGGGTTGGATAGTTAGAAAACTATGTCTACCTATTACCCAACAATATTCGGGTTCACGTTTTGCCCGTACCAACTAAAAGTCCTTCAGGTTCGGATTTTACCCAACCCGATTATGCGGATTCGGACGGATATCCACGGTTACTGATATTTTTGCCATCGTTAACGGTTGGGAACGATTGAACTACTGTTAAACCACATAAAAAAATCCAACTACTAATTTTTTTTCTTCCTCAGTATAACTTACGGTTTCACAAATATTTGATTTCACCATTCTCGAGAAGATACAAATTAGAGAGGTTGACCTTCAATCCGGACGACAGATAATCTGACTTCAAATCGTAGCAACATAGATTATAGATGGTAAATTACGTACGACGATGCGGATTTCGGTGCGGGGCTGGGTATTGCTGCCGGGAGCTTCAGGCTTGTCGTCGGCGTAGACCCACATCCGGTGAGTGCCATTGATGAAGCTGTAGCGCTGGTCGACAGGGACGTCGTATGGTTTGAGGATGACCATGTTTGATGGATTCAGTGGGACTTCTGTGAAGCCAAGAGTAGGATCATCAGCTCCATCGCAGCAGCAGTAGATTGCCAGAAGAAGAGTTACAGTCATTATGCTGCCATGAACATTATAAGAAAGCTTCATTTTTATTTTATTTTTTTGTTTGTTGTGGTGGTGGATGATTGTATAGTGACTGACTTCTTCTCTTCCAAAGTTTGGCGAGTGTTTTTGGAAATTGAAACTCTCATATTGTATGTATATATAGCTAGCATATAAAAAAGAAATTAAAGATTGGTTTGTTTTCTTTACGAATTATTATTGACGGCAATGATCCGGTTTGATATTAAGAATTTCGGTGTTGTTAAAATCAATGGAATCTTGACATAATGTAGGTTGATTTCTCCGCGATTGTTTTCGTGTCATTGTTACAATTTGTGCCTTGTTTTGCAATACGTTGTCTTTGTTTAATTTCTATGCACTCACAATATCTACATATATCTTGTATTGTTCGATATGATAAAAACAATCAGTCAAAATAAATGAGGGTAGTATTTCATATTTTAATTGAGATGGTTGGATTGTTTAGTGGATCTTCCTAGTTACATAGCAAATACAAACCAGAGTCTGCAATCCCCCCCAAACAACAAGTTTATCTCTTGTGGAGATAAGATTCAAGATGACTAAAAAGTGGTATTTTGGATGCACATTGTAAATAAGTTATGTTCAAATGACACATCAAACGACGCCTAAAGCGCACTATGCTCCGCTTCAACAAATGAGAGTTTTCGGTGGACTCGGTGAACCACGCGCACTATGTTCCTGCTAGCGTGGCTACACAGTGGAAGGGAAGGAGCCTAAATCGACCCATTCTTTTTTTTTTTTCAAAGAAAAAGAGCAGTACAAACTCTCGGATGAGACTAAACAGCCACTGACCATTCCGACAAGCCTCTGACCTATCTTGATTAAGACCGAAAATCTATAAAAAATGGAGCCTAGTTTAAGCTGTCAAACAAATGCTAGAATGGAAAATAAAGAATAACCACTAGTAGGGAAGGGGTATGGATGGAGTCCCGCTCAGTAAGTTGAAATTGGTCCTGAAGGCGAACATCGTTTCCAGAAAACAAAACTAGTTAGGTTGAACACAATATATTGAATTCTTCAAAGTAAACACTTCTAATAGAATCTTTCATTCTTCTCAGTTCAATAATGCTTCATCTTCTAGCTCGTCAAGCCCGGAAATAAAAGCGGATACTGGCTTTAACCCTATGGAAATTGACGATTCTTTTAACAGTGGGCTTGCCCTACCATAATGTAACTCCCGTCGCTTCGACAGTCCAGAGTGCTTCTGTTCAACAGTAAAATTGGAAAGGTCAAAGCAATGGCCAACGTAGGCGTCAACAATTTCTTTCTTTTGCTGATCGAGTTATCTTTGACAAGTAAAGTGCATTACACATGATGGACTTGACTTAGACGCTTGATAATGGCTTAATCTGCATGATCTACTGAATCTAGCTACTAGTCAATTATGGGTTAAAGTATAGCATCATTTCCCAAAATCCAGTTAATTCGATATCTAGATAACATTTTCTTTCTAAGAGTTTACAATATCTCAAAAATTACCTTTGAGTACGATAAAAACCACCTATTATATAATATATTTCAATATATCCAGAAACCAACCAACCATTATGGAATCTTGAGTTTTCTAGGCTCAGACGATTGAATACCACCAACTAAAAAGTTAGCACCTTCGACACCCTATAATTACAAATTGAACCTTGCATAGGGTGTTAAATTATTAGAAGTCATGCTAGATTAATATTTTATCAACATATGTGTGCAGCCAAGAGATCAAACGGATCAACAATACAACCTTTAAGTTTCGTCACCAAGTATGAAATAAGAGAATAATAAAACACAGGATTATAGAGGAGTTAGGAATAAGAGTGGAAGTAGCCAAGGAATAAGCACAAATTGTGAAGTAGTGGCCGGCGGTCTCTGGTTGGAGATCAGATACATCTTGATTTGTTTTAGGTCATCAATTTTGATAATTGCTAGTATTATGTCGTCAACATGCACTAGCAACTAGCAAGATAACAATATAATCCAATCATGCATCATTTAGAACGGATCGGGAAATTAACAATACAAGAAAGTAAAAAATATACAGATTTACGCGGTTTACTAATACAATATATTAGCTAGTTCACAGCAGAAGGTAACTAGTTTTATTACTTGAACATATATAAACTATAGAGAGATTGAGAAGTGTATATAGTACTTATCTGAACGAACTAAGCCTAATCAAATCTTATAAATAATAAGGTTAGTGACCAATCACAAAATATAAAACCAAAACGAATAACTAAGCCTAATTCAAGAATTTAGATATTTAAGGTTGTCTATCAGTTATGTTTCATGCTAGTGTGCAATTTTAACTTGTATTCTTTCAATATGAACTGCTTGTTAAGAGTTATCTTTACTCTAGTTTAAGAAATTTTCAAATTTAACTAAGAGCAGTGAAATTTTAAATATGGAAAAATAGTTACTTGAAGTTTATTGTATTTATGTTTAATATTATAAGTTTCAGTGACAAAATTTATGATAATTTCCGTGATCTATATAATTTTATACTTTCACGTTATACTTTCACGCTTAGGTGTCTATCCATAATTTCAATCATACATAAAAAAAAAGCTATAGTTTGACTACATCGTCACTCAATGCATACTTCTTGCGACTTGGAGTCAACCTATGGTGACACAGATGTTGCAATATGGCACTTTTACATTGCAACATCAAAGTGATAGTCATCCTGGCTAAGTGGTATTTGTTTATGTAGCATGTCCTTTTACGATGACGATATATATGGTAATGATAATAAAAAAAAAAAACATGCATTATGAAATACTTTTTTTTCAAAATATAGCAAAAGTAATATTAATGTATAAATTATTATTAATGTTGAAACTAAGGGGAGGTCCGAACCGGCTGATGCTGAAGAATCAGCGGATACGTTCTTTCTGTATAGATTTTTAAAATTTTGAAATATAACTCAATTAAAAAATGAAAAATAAGAAAAAATATGCTTTGACTAGTTGAAAGTCTTCTCTCTCACCTAGAATCGATGGTGACAAAGAAGACAAAACAGAGAGGACTTGAAAATTATCAGGTCACCCCTCCTTTTTAGTTTTGAATCATTTGATGGGTAGGTAGATGAATGACAGAAGATGAAGATTTCATCGAGTTTTGTAGATATTATAGATTTTTTTTTTAACCTAAATGCTCCCAATATTATTTACTAACTTCACATTATTTGACTTCACTATCCATCTCATCATTTCTTTCTTCTCAAATATTTTCACCGTTCTTACATCCTCTCAAATTTCCGTCCCAATTCGTGGCTCGGTAAATAATATTCCACTTAACAATTCAACTCAATACTTTCTATAAATTTTGATGTTTCGCCACCTGGCCTCCATATAATAGCTAATATTAGCCGGAGCCCCATAAACGCCACATTTGAAGTGCAAGTCGCCGGGACCTTGGTCGTGGTACTGGAACTTCTGCTCGCCGTCCAAGAACACAGTCAGCATTCCTCCGTCCACGTCATGGATGATATTCAGCCGGAACCACCTGTCGTAAAGCCCGTCCGCCACGTGGAGAGAGCTGTAGTACCTCATCTCTCCCGGCGCGTAGACCCTCAGAAGTAAAGTGGTGTTGCCGTGGGCCGCACCGTGAATCTGAGCTATGGTGGCTCCTGTCGTACCGTTGGGAACGAAACCGTGCCCTTCGAACTGCCACACTCCCGACGAGTAGTCCAGCCCCTGTCACAAAAAAATCACAAGGTGTTGGTGCATTTAGCGATGGGCAATGGGTTGGTCCATACCGGACCAAACTAGAACAAATCGATGTTTGGACCGGACCCCACCGAATCAAATATAATTTGGTTCGGTCGCTGGTCTCATGAATTTTAATAGATACCGAAGGAAAAATGAATCGAAGTGACATTTGGATCGGACTAAAGCGAACCAAAACGGACCGAATGGTTCACTTACACAATGTGTGTTAGCTAATCCATAAGTATGAACGTATAATAAAGACAGTTCCACTATTGAGCAGATACAAAATATAGAGATTGAGAAAACCCTGTAACTTTCACTCGACGGCAGATAATCTGTCTTTTTAAGTCATAGCAAGATCTGAGAGATATAGACAGATTACTTACCGCGATGTGGATTTCGGTGCGGGGCTGGGTATTGCTGCCGCGAGCGTAAGGCTTGTCGTCGGCGTAAACCCACATCCGGTGGACGCCGTCGATGAAGCTGTAGCGCTGGTCGAGAGGGACGTCGTACGGTTTCTGGAGGATGAAGTTGGATTGGTTCAGTGGGATTTCTGTGAAGCCAAGGATGGGATCATCACCAGCTGCATTAATGCAGCTGTAGATTAATGCCAGAAGGAGAGGCATAGTGACTATGATGCAATGAACAAAGGAAAGCTTCATTTTTGCTTTTTCTCTCTTCTCTGGTTTTGTCTTGGTAGTCTATATATCGATGATTGTGATGAGTAATGACTTTCTTCTCTTTCAAAGTTCATGATTTCATCTATCTGGCCCCCACAAGCTATTTATTAGAATGGAAATCAGTACGGTATCGATAACTCAGTATAAAAATATTAAGTATGAATGTCGTTGTATTTTGGTATATATCGATCTCAATCACGTAATTGCATATACCCAATAATACTCCAAAATGAATCTCGGTCCCTACCCCCTAAAATAAATCGGTACTCATTAATACCAAACAGTGATAAATTCGGTACGGAATTCTATATTTCAAATACTGGTACCTAACTTTCAACCCTTTGCTTTATCGAACACCGCGCACATGAAATAAAATAAATTAAAGAACCATTTGTTTGTTACACACGAAGGTTGAAATTAATTAGTTTATGATGATGACATGATATCAGAGTTGTTTCGACTAAGTGGTTATGTGTTTGAATCTCCACGACCTTCAATATTAACCATTGATTTAAGTAAACATGTATGATGGGTTTGTGCAAACTTTAACCTCGTGTATTGATTTTCTTTCGGAAACCTCGACTTCTTAAAATTAATTAAATGTTTTAATAATATTAGAGAATCTTTAGTTCACTAGCCCTACGAATGAATACAAACAACTAACAAGTTAGCACCACTGAAATATGTATATCCTCAAAGTTAACAAATAATAGTGTAATTATCCCAACACAATTAAGTACTTGAACGGTGACGCAACCTGCTAGATTTACATGTTAAATTACTAAAAGCTAAGCTAAGATTAGTGGCCGGCCGGATTTGAAGTGGAAGTAGCCAAGGAATAAGCACGAATTCTGAATAGCGGCCAGCGGCCTCTTTAAATTGGTGTTTTCTAGTTAAGTCTTGTTACTCTTTTCCCCCTAAATTTTTTTTTTAAATGATCTAGTATCTTTTTCCTTATGTTCTTCAAATTTATTTCTCTATTATGCTTCTCTAGTTCTCCAAGGTGAGTAACTTTTACATAATAATTTAATCAAATATGATACTTTCCTTAACTTAATTATATTATTAAATTGCACATTATATAAGAATATTTATGCAAGATCATTCTATAATACTTATGTAAATTACAAATACGTTAGAAATACCTTATTGATTGATAGTCGTTTCTTATATATTAATTTAATGAACATTGTCGGTAATAATTAAGACACTAGATAAAGCTTACATAAGAATAATTTTTTTTATAATGGTGATGAAAATTATATTAAAATGGCAAAGAACAAAGAAGTCCAAAGCTCGTACAAACCAAAAAAGAGAAGCGGGTTCAGAAGCATTGAACCACAGCAACTAGAAGACCAAAAGGAAGACAAGAACAAAGCAAAGGGGCGAGAGCCCATCAATTCATATATAATTATTTCTTATATATGGATGAAACAAACGTATTACATAAATATTCGGTAATAATATCACGAGACTTCATAAAGTCTATAAGATTATATTGTCCAAACACGATTTAGGTGAATTAATTTGACTTCAACCGATGAGTGGATAAAATTCTAAATATAATAATAGTCTTCTACCCACGCTTTGCACCGGACCAAAAAAAAACTATTATAATATAAAAGAAAAAAAGAACATATTTCTAACAAAATCATTCAATTGGCTACTTTCTATAAATTTTGATGTTCCTCCACATGGACTCCATATAATAGCTGATATTAGCGGAAGCCGCATAAACGCCGCACTTGAAGTACATGTTGCCGCCGGGCCCATGGTCGGGATACTGAAACTTCTGCTCGCCGTCCAAGAACACGGTCACCCTGCCGCCGTCGACGTCGTGGATCATGTTCAGCCGGAACCACCTGTCGTAGAGCCCGTCGGCCACGTGGAGATAGCTGTAGTACCTCATTTCTCCCGGCGCGTAGACCCTCAGAATCAAAGTGGTGTTCCGGTGGGCCGAGCCGTGAATCTGAGCTACGGTGGCTCCCGACGTGCCGTTGGGTACGAAACCATACCCTTCGAACTGCCACACTCCCGACTTGTAGTTCAACCCCTGCTAGAAAGAAGAAAAAAAAAACACATTTATTTAGAAGAAAAAGAAAATTTAGCTCCAGTTTTGATTGAAGGCAGAAGCTACAACCATCCCCAAACCCTAATGAAGATTCGAGCTAAGAAAAAAAAATTCCTTTATTTAGTGCGGTAATTATATGTTACATAAACTCTTAACTGTTTGGTGAGTCACATGGGTCGAACAATGTTGTAACTAATCCCAAGCGATTAAAATATTGGATTCGCCTTAGTGAAAAAGCATTTCAATAACTATTTTATATTCGAGTTATGAGAATTTTTTTTATTATTATTTCTCCTTGTCTCTCTTAAACTGAACTCTCCGGCCATTAACCATCCCTAGTATTGTAGGTGGCGACCTTTAGTGATTACAATATAACCAATAATTGATTCCAGTAACTTGAGTTATCGAAAAAGAAAAGATTGAGATCATATAGAAGTTTACATACAGCGATGAGGATCTCGGTGCGGGGCTTGGAAATGCTGCCGCGAAAGTGAGGCTTGTCGTCGGCGTAAACCCACATCCGGTGGACGCCGTCGATGAAGCTGTAGCGCTGGTCGAGAGGGACGTCGTATGGTTTCTGGAGGAAGAAGTTCGATTTGTTCAGTGGGATTTCTGTGAAGCCAAAGGTGGGATCGTCAGCTGCATTACAGCAGTAGATTGCCAGAAGGAGAGGGATAGTTAACATGATGGAGTGAACATAGGAAAGCTTCATTTTTTTTGCTTCTTCTCTTCTCTTTTCTTGTTTTGCAGAGTGGTTGTAAGTTGAAACTCTCTCGTGTTACATGTATATATAATTGTGGGTTATTTTACGGTTAAGCATTTCTGTGACCGGATTTAGTCATAGGATATTAAATTATCCTAAGCCAAGTTAATATTTTATCAGGATGAGATCCAAGAGATCAAACGGAAAATGTATACACATCTTTTTGTGTTATTGGACTTCTTTGTCGTTTCTTGCAGCTGTTTTGGAGCTGAACGGACTTTTTTCTTTGGGAAGTGAACGGACATTATAATTAGAAGTTATAGATTTAGGAGTGGAATTAGCCAAAGGATGATATGAACAAATTTGTGCAATAGTGGACGGCTGCCTCTAGGTAGAGAATGGATAGTTTTGTGGGTTTTTTTTAGTAAAAACTATATGATTCCTAATTTAACCTATTCAAACAATTTAAGTTATTGGAAGTAATTGGTTCTTAATATGGTATCAGAGCATTCCGTGACCAAGAGGTCTTATGTACGAATACCGATGACTCCCATATGTTCTGTAAACACATGATGTCTGGGCCAGTGCAAACTTCAAGCTATTGTGTGTTAGTAAATGGTACATGATTCATAATTGAACCTCTCCCCCAACTCGAGTTATTGGGATCAACTAGTTCTTGACATTTTTAGCATTCGTTTGCGTGAGTCATGGAGACTGTAGAACTCGGCGGGAATTTCAGGGAGCTAAACCCTCGTCATGTTTGATTTAACCAAGGATTGAAAAACCGTATCGTCTCGGTAGTTCAACAAGAAAAATCTTTAATCGAAGTGAAATCGGTAGACGGTATATAGTGATATGAAACCGGTGAACCATGGTTAAACTACGATTTCAAAATAAAATATCCTACCACTTACTTTTTCGATACAACCTCTGATAAGATTTTTCAATCCTTTGGTTCCATGGGTTAAACTACGATTTCAACATAAATGGGCCTGAATAACCCGCTAACAAAAATATCCTACCATATCCTTTTAATGGTTAGGTACTACTAAAAGGATTTGAATCTCGCACGACTGAAATTAGAGTAAAGTAGGAAGAATTTCGTGTTATGAGATAAATAACATATTTAATGTCAAAATACATCAAATCAAGCACTTCTTTCTTTCCACGATAAAATCAACCTTTTCACTCAACCACTACAATAACTTTCACAATTCACTTTTGACACTCATTTTATTCATTAACAAAGAACATTCCTTCAAAATTTTCACCCCTAAAAAAAAATCACCCCCTTCGTAAATCAATTTTCTTACCCACTTGTTACACTTACATAAGCTTAGCTCATCACTAGTACTTTTTGTAAATTTTGATGTCTCTCCACCTCGACTCCATGTAATAACTTATATCAGCAGGAGCCGCATAAACGCCACACTTGAAGTAAAATTGACCGGAACCTCGATCATGGTGGTGGAGCTTCAGCTCGCCGTCTAAGAACACGGCCACCATGCCGCCGTCGACATCATGAACCATATTTAGTCGGAACCATCGGTCGTACAACCCACCGGCTACCGCCGGCAGGTAGCTATAGTATCTCATTTCTCCCGGCTCGTAGATCCTTAGAATCAAAGTGGTGGCAGCGCCGTGACTTGCACCGAAAATTTGGGCGACGGTAGCTCCTGAAGTTCCATTGGGAACGAAACCGTACGCTTCGAACTGCCATACTCCCGACGAATAGTCTAGTCCCTGCCACAAAGTTGTAGTGAATACTATATACACCCGTTGGAGTCAAAACGCTGTCAATCGTCATATTTTATATGATGGACAAAAAAAAATTACAGGAATTTGCAGAAAAATCATTCAAACTTTACTTTATCGGAAGGGATTTAGGGTTTACAGAATTAGGATTAGGGTTTAGAATTTTGGATTTTGATAGTAACATGAATTATTTGGGAGTTGTTGTGACCCTATGTTACATCATATTAGATAATTAATGATACAAATTAAAATTCAGAATTCAATTTTTTAAAACTAGTTTTAGGAGTGGATGCATAGTATATACTCAATTTTTGCGAGTTCACCATCAAATCATGTATACTTTTTTGGCACGTCATATATATTGCGAAAGATTATTTGCCGCAAACTTCCCTTTTATTTATCCTTTTTAATGAATGGCAGTTACTATTGAAAATTTTATTATTACAGACGGAAATAGTTGGAATTCAGGTATAGAAGATTTATTACAGTGATGCGGATTTCTGTACGTGGTTGGGTATGGCTTTTCCGATCATGTGGCTCGTCGTCGGCATAGACCCACAGTCGGTGAGTGCCGCCGGCGAAGCTATAGCGTTGACTCAGAGGAACGTCGTACGGTCGTTGGACGACGAAGTTAGACTGATTCAACGGGACCTCCGTGAATCCAACGGTGGGATCGGCGGCTGCATAATTATTACAGTAGTAGGAGATTACCAGAAAGAGAGGAACATGAATGGAGTGAACATAGGAGAATTTCATTTTTTTTTTTTTTGTCACAAATGATTTTCTTGTCCAACCTATATAATTAATGAGAGTTTATAGGGTCATTGAAGAAAGAGTGCGTCCATACGACAGTGAATTAATTTGGTGGTATCAATGCCGTCGCTAATTCCCAAGTTGATGATCAGCTGTCTAATTAATTTTGGGATTAGTTACATTGATTCAATTTGAGCTCTTGCTAAATCTGACTATAAGTTGGATTTATTTGAAAACAATGTTAACATAGGAACGAAGAAAAGTTACTTAAAATCTTAAACAGTTAAACGCCTGTAGTTAGCACTTAGCAGGCTGTTTTTATTTTTTATTTTTTACTCATCACACTCAATGGGGGTGGGTAATGAGTGGTGGGTTGGGTGGGTTTTGGTTTCAGATTTACGTACTACTTTTTTATTAGTAAGTCGGTATAATTATGATTCGTTGTCCAGTCACATTATTTTTTGGGTTGGGTTGATGGTAGATGGGAACAGTTAGGTCGTGGATTAACCCGTAAAAGCAATTTTCCAACTAACAGTATACTACTAACATTTATAAAAGTCACAAATTCTTAAGATAGTAACAATTCAAATACTTTCCATTTTGTCTCCTATGAATCTATATAGTATTTGCATCAATTTTTTCATTACTCAATCAACTAAATAACAATTTGGTGTTGAAAATAAGGCAAAGCCCATAATACATATATGGCACAATGAAGACAAGTCCATCTCAATAAAGAGGCCCACAATTTAGCCCACCACAGCTATCATATTATCTGATTTTCACTTTTGACTATTCTCCCTCCCTACAAGTCGTTGTGTTGTAATTTGGTGTTGACATTGGAAGCTTTTTATGCATGAATTGTTTCCTTGTGTTTGAGTTTTCTGGATAGACGAGTTATTTGGAGATAAATAATTTATTTGAAAATAGTTTATCGAAATGCGTTATTTGGAGAGTTAGTTATTTACAAATAACTCAAAACAAGTTATTTGTGATAGTTTCTAGTCTACCTCGCATTATTTCAAAATAACTCGTTTTACCATTTGTTTTTGTCAAATACTACATATGCATGGTTCTAACAAACTAGATACTTTAATCCAATTACTACTGATAATGAGTTATTTGACTTTACAAATATCACATAGACACAGTTACTCCATCCAAGCCACCCCGAGATTTGGTTAAACAAGAGCCAAGAATGACAAATTACTAACACTATGTCCCAGCCACTGAAAGACTCTACTGAGACAAAAATGGTTAAAATCCCCTGTGTACGTATTTATGTGCAGTACTTCTTATGCATCATCTATTTGTATTTTATTCTACTACTTAAGCATTTTTACCATGGGATTACTAGTAGTAAATCTATTGTTCTATGGCACAACCATTGTAGAACACACTGTAAGTCTGTAACTTAAGTTATATATGTACAAGTAATTCACATAAGAATACCACCATGAATACAAAAATAAAAATATAGAAGCACATTATATAATCAATATTAACAAAAAAGTAATGGGTGAAATAACCAACCATATAGTCCACAATATACTGGTAAATAAAAAACCCTCCATGTTTTAGGTTTACTATTTTCTGTAAATCTTGATGTCTTTCCACCTGGACTCCATGTAATGGCTGATGTCAGCAGGAGCCGCATAAACTCCACACTTGAAGTACAAATCGCCGGGACCCTCATCGTGGTGCTGGAACTTCTGCTCGCCGTTCAAGAACACCGTCACCATGCCGCCGTCAACATCATGAACAATGTTCAGCCGGAACCACGTGTCGTACAGGTCGCCAGCCACGTGGAGGGTATCGTAGTACCTCATCTCCCCCGGCTCGTAGATCCTCAGAATCAACGTCGTCTCGCCGTGACTCGCACCGTGAATCTGAGCCACGGTGGCTCCGGAGGTTCCTTTGGGAACGTAACCGTGACCTTCGAATTGCCACACTCCCGACGAGTAGTCCAGCCCCTACAGACACAGGCAGAGTCGAGGTAAAAAAAAATGTGTTCATTAAAAAGTAGAAGTTCAGTTTGTACGATAAATAATTTTTTTTTATATAAGTTAAAACACTGATACGTACTATAAAGTATTGTAAATTTCCTCGAATCACTTACTGCGATGCGGATTTCGGTACGAGGCTGGGTGTCGCTGTCGGGACTGTACGGCTTGTCGTCGGAGTAGACCCACATCCGGTGAACGCCGTCGATGAAGCTGTAGCGTTGGTCCAGAGGGACGTTGAATGGTTTCTGGAGGACGATGTTGGACGGCTTCAATGGCACCTCCGTGAAACCATCGGTGGGATCGCCGCCGGCAGCTGCATGAATAGTGATCGCCAGAAGGAGAATCATCAAAACCTTCATTTTTTTTTCTTCTTCTTCTTTTGTGTTAATTAAACGTGTTGATTTGTACTGTGGCGAAATTCTCTTGGTAACTATATGTGAGTATATATAGTAAGTCCAAAATTTGTTGCCTGTTTAATTTCCCGTAGACGATTGGATAGTTTCGAAACAATGTATCCATATTTGTGGTCGCCAATCTGAGATTTGATTAATGACGATTTATTCGAATTCACTAAAGGGTTGAATGTAATTTTATTATTACTATGTGAAGTTTTTGTTCTAACTCTCTCTTTGAGCTAGAAATTCTTCTCACGGTGGTTGTCACATTCATTTAGGAATTCGTGGATGATACATTTTATTGAAATATATAGTCCCAGATTATATTATTTATGGATACTAGTCATCAATTTGAATAATGCGTTTACATTGTGAAAAAAAAAAACATAGATCTATAGTTACAAAATTACTCTCAAGGTGAAGTGATAAACGAACCATGGAACATTACGACATGATCTATCTAAATAAATACATGTGGCTATGAGTATCATTATGAACATTTCGTATCATATATTCAACAAAAAACAAAAAAAACAAATGTTAACATTTCCATTCGACAAGTACAAGAGTCAATGGGATGCGTATTAATTCGAATTACTTCTTTGGTATACTTTCCAAAGTTATTGTCATTGGATCAAAAGTACTTTCCGTTTAATGCAAACTGCACTTCATGCATGTTGAATCTGACTGATAAGTTGGATTTATTGGAAAAGGATTATCTAAATGGTCAGAAGTATTTAAAAAAGAATACATCAGTGTTGGAATTCGAAATCAGTGTCTTTTCGGCGAAAGAAAAATAAATCACAACCAATAACTAAACAAATTTGTTGTAGCTTTGTAAATTAAAAGCATACCGAAAGTAAAATTTGAAAAACAGAGGAATTCTATTACATGGTTAGCTAGACAATTAAGTCTCCTTGAAGCAGTATTTGGCGTTTGATACTTCGATTTCATATTTTGATTATTTTAATTCAATTTTAATAATAATTTATTTTCATTCTCTCCATCTTATAAATCATGGATAATCTTAAAATCACAAAAGCAAACATTTTTTTATTCTAATATTGTACATAAAATTGTAGTATTAAATACGTAGAAACGATGTAAAATTATAAGTGGTCGGTTCTCTAACAAAAATTTAGTCCGATTAACAGCAAGCTATAGAAAGATATCTCGAGAAATTGCACTCCAAATCAATCAAACACAAAACGATCAAAGATAGACGAGAGAAAGAAAGCAAAATCTTATACCAGCAAAGTTTCATTTCAAGTAATGGGCTGAAACTGAAGCCCATTGGATATATCGACCCCAAAAAAAGGAATGAGGAGAGTGTAAAAAGGAAAAGCCCAACTCCAGCCCAACTAGTTACAAAGCCCAAAATTTTCTTTCATTTTTTCTTGTACATTTTGATATTCTTCCACCTAGACTCCATGTAACGGCTATGATCTTTCGGCGCAGCATAGACTCCACATTTGAAGTAAAAAGCCGGCGCCTTCCCTCTTGCATCGTGACGGAAAACCTCCTTGCCGTCGACGTAGACGGCCACCTTTCCGGCGTCGGCGTCGTGGATCATGTTGAGCCGGAACCACTTGTCGTACATCCCACGCGCGATCACGTCGCCGGAGTAGTACCTCAGGTCGCCGGAGTAGATCCTCACCATGACCGTGCTGGACACTCCGCTGCCGCCGTGGACCTGCATCAGGCTGGCTCCCGAAGTGCCCTTGGGGACGTACACGTGGCCTTCCATTTGCCATACTCCCGAATGATAATCAAGTCCCTGCAAAAAAAAAAAAAGTATTTTTAAATTGGTGAAAGGAGAACGAGAAACCGAAGGGTAATTAAAAATGGCAAAAATATTCTATCCGCTCAAATTCTTAAAATTTGAATTAGAATTTTTTTAACATGTATGAGTAAAATCTGAATTCGAATATATGGTGATTAATGGGTGGATATTAGGGGTGTTTATACGGTCCGGTTAAATTAGATCAAATTGATCCGGTTCCAGTTCGGTCTTTTTGGGAAAATAAGGACCAAAAATTGGATTTGATACAATCCGGTCTTGATCCGGTCCGGTCCCAATTTTATCTTGATTTTAGGTGTTGGGGGTCTCTTATCCGGTCTTTATCCGATTTTTTACCTCAAATCTAAGCCCGAATATGAGATTGTATTGTTTGCTATCATGTCCCAGTCCGGTCGCGGTCCGGGTTATACGGGTAAAATCAAATAGTCCTGGACCAAATAGCCAGCCCTAGTGGATATAAATTTCTCATTATACAATCCGAACTCGTCTGATTCATGTACACATGTACAAGTATTTTGTCTAGATATGTTCATTATTTCTCTCGCTATATTTGATATTTTCTATACAAATATAATATTTTCATAATTTTATTTTTTACTTTCTTTTTCATTCTAGTAAATTATTGTCATAATTTTTCATGTTGTTGTTTTGGTTGGGTCGAGCTTACACCAGCCATATTCTTTCCTCTTTCTCCTCGTGTATCCTTCCATGTACAAACTCCTTTCTTTGCTTTCTAATGATTACTCACATTCATCCAAAAGATCAAATAATTAATTACCCATTAATAAGCAAATGGATATCCAAAACCCCAACCAAATAGCGGCAGCATATGATTTTAATTTTCTACCTAATTCTTGTGTGAGTGCATGAATAAAATTCGAACTATATATTCTCGTAAGAGTAACAAATATGTAATATCCATCCCCTTGACCCAATCCGTTAGTCATCCCTAATTGCTGCTGCTAATGATCTTACAATCAAGATATCTTTCTCAATAACTCGAACTAATGGATTATTAGCCATTTCTTTTTTTCATCATGCAACTACTCGCCAAATGACAGTTAAAAAAAAAAAGATGATTAGATTTCATCATTTTAGATCAAACAAAATTAAAGACAGGAAGAACTAACTCTGATCCGGATTTCGGTTCGTGGCGGGGTGTGGCTGCCTTGGCTATGAGACTTGTCGCTGCCGTAGACCCAAAGCCGACGGACGCCATTTTTGTAGCTGTACCGCTGGCTCAGCGGAAGGTCGTACGGCCGCTGAATGTCGAAGTTGTGCTCGCTTAACCGCACTTCGTGGAACCCATCCGTCGGATCGGCTGCAGCCGCCGCCACTCCTCCTAAGAGGATGATAATAATGGCTCCTATCACTATAAGAAGTTGTTCATCCAAACACGTTGATGAACAAACTTTTCTGATGATTCTCGTCATTTTGTAAATCATATTTACAGTCGTATATGGGTTTTTGATGTGTATGTATATATAGTGGAGTTAGAGAGGGTATATAATAATTCTGTTCGGCGGCGAAATTACATCCGTCCAGAAAAAAACAGGGAAAGGGATGAGATCTATCGAACGTTTCACTTGCCTCGGTAATTGGAGGTGCATTATTCTGTTGTGGAGCATAGTTCGATAAGTTCAAAGGGTATTTATTATTATTCACCACTAGTAAAAAGGAAAGTAGAAAAACATGGAGGAGGGGAGAAAGAGGGGTTGCAGTCTTGCAAATAGGGGTGGCTATACGGTCCGGTCAGGTTAAATTGGACCAAATTGATCCGATCTTTTCGGGAATATAAGGATCAAAGATTGGATTGGATACAGTCCGGTCTTGATCCGGTCCGGTCCTAATTTGATCTTGATTTTAGGTGTTGAGGGTCTTTTATCCGGTCTTTATCCGGGTTTTTTACCTCAAATCTAAGCCCAAATATGAGATTGAATTGTTTGCTATCCGGTCCCAGTCCGATTCCGATCCGAGTTATACGATCCGGTTTTGGCTAACACCAAACAGTCCGGACCAAATAGCCAGCCTAGTTGCAGAGATTCTGTGATTTGGGATCATTGCGCATCCTTTTTCTTTCTTGTGTTGTATTATATTATATCCATTTTTTTGCTGTGATTTCTGTTTTAGATCTTCCAAAAGATCCAAGGGTTACTTGTCTTTTTTTTATGTAGGTATTGCTGGCTGGGCTTGCAAAGGAGAGGTTTGGTTGATCTTGTGAGGGTCAAAATTAAAGAGTTCTTTATGGACTATGGGAGGAAATAAGGGGAGTCTTTATTGTGGGGTGGGTGTTGCTATGATTTGAAGCTGTTAGATTATATATCATCGACTAGAAATTATGGGGTCTGTAATCTTTTATTTTCTAGATTGGACTAGGCTAGTCAGGCTACCTGGAGAAAGTGCTATATATAGCTTCTCAATCTCTATAATTTGTATCTTTTCAAGTATGGTGAAACTGCTCTCTCGTGTCCGTATACGTAGCTAACACATATTGTTAGTGAATCACATTAATTTTTGTATTCTTTAGTTTTTTTTTTTTCATTGTCGGTTTCCCAATTCGTTCAAATAGTGTGATATAGGATCCATCCTGTTAGTAAATTAATCAAAATGGAATTACTGATTATTATTTTAAGTATAATATTTATTATTATTAAAATTATTGTTATTATTATCATCGTGCACTAATAATATTAATAATTAGCGTTTTATTTAGGAATGATAATATAGATAACATTGACTTATAGAGTTTGAGATCATGATACATTGATGTTCTTCAAATTGTGACATGTGATTAGAGATTTGTGTACACCTAAAGGATGTATGTCTTTAACTTATTTATTAAACACATACAAATTAATATTGATTGTAAACATATCTAGATAGCTCTTTTATAGAATCTATTGTATGAGGTGATCATAGCAATCACAAAACATAGAGTAAAATTATATAAGAATACCATCATGTATTACAGAAATAGCAAAATAAAATTAAAGCACATAAATTAAATAACATAGAAAATATTATCAGACGTGGATAAAAATTTTACAGCACGTGAAACATACATTCCAATGAACGTACTATCCAACGTGGCAACGTCCACGTATTTGTCTACTTTACTTTCTATAAATCTTGATGTCTCTCCACCTGGACTCCATGTAATGGCTGATGTCAGCAGGAGCCGCATAAACCCCACACTTGAAGTACAAATCGCCGGGACCCTCATCGTGGTGCTGGAACTTCTGCTCGCCGTTCAAGAACACCGTCACCATGCCGCCGTCAACGTCATGGACGATGTTCAGCCGGAACCACGTGTCGTACAGGTCGCCAGCCACGTGGAGGGTGTCGTAGTACCTCATCTCCCCCGGCTCGTAGATCCTCAGAATCAACGTGGTGGCACCGTGGCTCGCACCGTGAATCTGAGCCACGGTGGCTCCGGACGTTCCTTTAGGAACGTAACCGTGTCCTTCGAATTGCCACACTCCCGACGAGTAGTCCAGCCCCTGAAGTTTAATTACCCAAAATTGATAATACGAAATTTAAGTATTGTCTGACATGTATATGATGTATAATAAAAATCATAATAAAAATTTTGGTTACTCGAAGAAATCAATATATTTGCAACCAAAATTTAAATATTTTGGTTGCAAATAATACATGAAATTAGATAAATTATGTATTTTGAGTATGGGACTATATCTATAAGAATTCATCACTACTCATTATTTTATTTGGATAAATTAGTTGCATATTGCACTAGAATCCCCTAAAAGCCACTTTTTATGACCAGTTATGGATTAAATTATGCACCTGAATTTTAGAAGTGTTTTTATACGGTGAAAGTTGAAGTTGAGTCAAACACTTCTATAAAACTTACAGCGATGCGGATTTCAGTACGAGGCTGGGTATCGCTGCCGGGACTGAAAGGCTTGTCGTCGGAGTAGACCCACATCCGGTGAACGCCGTCGATGAAGCTGTAGCGCTGGTCGAGAGGGACGTCGTACGGTTTCTGGAGGACGAAGTTGGACGGCTTCAACGGCACCTCCGTGAAACCATCGGTGGGATCGCCGCCGGCAGCTGCCGCATTATCACAACCGAACAATAATATCGCCGGCAGAAGGAGAATTATAAGCGTCATCGTTTTCCCTTTTAAGTAAGTTCAACTTGTGTTTGTATTTGTGAATTACTCTAGTCGTGTGTGTGAGTATTTATAGTGAATTTTTAAGAGGGTTTAATATAATAGTTTATTCGCAGTCGGCTCTCTACGCATATTATTTAGTCTCTATCTAGTATGAGTTTGAACGTAACTTTAAAATTATTTGTCTATGATTTTTATTTTCGTATATTCTGATAGACCGATTTACGTTTACGCAATTGCAGTCTAGCTTGTCAACTTTTTTACCAAAGACAAGGCAAGAGCTTTGGTTATCAAGGAGGCCAATCGATGATGGTGGCGGAAAGAAATTTGGGGGACGGGAGTTTGTTTCGAGGCATCTTGAACGGCGAGTGGATTCGATCGGGTCTGCCAAATCAAAGTGTTGTAAGATATTCAAAATCTACTTGTGTAGGGAGAGAATATAATTCTGAGGGCGAGGAAGACGGGCTTGGTCTAGCGATAGTATCGCTAATTTTGAAAATGGATGTTCGAGATTTGAATTTCTTAAATTGTACGTAACCATAAAAAAGTAAAAACGTATATCACTCTTATATGTATAAAAAGAATATAACTTGAGGGTGTAAAAATGATTTCCATATCGAGGAAGTATCGAATAGGATGTACGATATCCAGAATGTACTTATGTAGGAGAGAGTATAAATCAGTCATCATATAGGCACAAAGTTAGTATAATTGGGAGATTCATCGAAGAGAATGGGGAGAAAAAGGATTCTTTTTACCAAGTTGTGAGAGGTTAGACAATTGATGAGGAATATGGTTGCGGAGAAAGAAGGAGCAGAACTTGGAGGAAGAGGCTTGATGAAGAAGAGTGAGACTCGTTTCAACAATGTGACGATGATTTTTAGTCCTGCCAGGGCATTGACTTTGGGAAGTGAGAGGAGGGAGTTTAAAGATGGGAACGCCAGTGAGATCAAAGAGATGGTGCGGAGCTTAAAATTTGTGCTAGTGGTCGGTGCAGATGCGATGAATAGTGGTTTGGAAGTAACATCCACCTTGTGTTGGAATTTTTGAGAACCCTAGAACATAGAAGATATTCGATGACGTGGAAGAACCAAGAATATTGAGTAAAATGATCGACAATAATAATAAAATAAGAGAAATTATTAATATAAGGACAAGGAGACCGAAAGTTGAAGTATAAGATAAAGAAAGACGAGTATTAGTAATAGAAGAAATATAAGAGTATAGTTTGTGTGTTTTGTTGACAAGACAATTATTGCAAGGAGGCAATTGAAAAGAAGAAACTAAAGCAATTTTTTTTGAAGTATATGATTGTTAGGGAAAAAAATTTGATTGATTTTTCTTCTTATACAATGTATAGATTGTTAGAAGAAAAAAAAAAGATTGATTTCATCGATGGACTTATGAGTATTTATAAGAGTGGTACATGAATTTTGAGAACATAGAGAATAGGAAGAGATGAGTTTTAATGTGTATATATTATGGGGCTTGCTATTTGCCGCCAACCAAATTGCTATTTGCCGCCAACCAAAAAAAAAAAAAGTATATATATGCATCTTTGGTTAAGGAGTTTCACAATCTACAACATATCCAACTTTCAGAGAACGTATTTAATCAGAAAAATTCAACGTCGCCGGAAAAGTCGCCGGAAAATCATCGATGAAAAAAAATGTATATATATACATCTTTGGTTAAGGAGTTTCACAATCTACAACATATCCAACTTTCAGAGAACGTATTGAATCAGAAAAATTCAACGCTCGCCGGAAAAGTCGTCGGAAAATCATCGGGAAAGCCTATCCTCGACATATAATGCGTACACGCATCCATGAATCATCACTAACCATCAGACAATGTGGGCAAAGTGCTACACGAACCATGTGTTTCAAACCCTAAACCCTAAGTGAACCCTGAACCCTAAACCCTTTGTTGATGTGACTTGAATCGGACTATCAGCCGCTACGACTGGTAATCGGGGGTCCAGGGGCAACGCCCCGGTGGGGGTGCGGGGGCAACGCCCCCGGCCCACGGTGTATGGGCTCAATGTTATTTGGGTTCGGGTTCTGGGCCTGGTCTGTAACCGTTTCCTTTGTCATATTGGATTAGGTTTAGACCCACATGGAGAAGTACTATAAATACTTCGTGTTAGTGAACTACGTAAATCGTGTGTCGTGTTGCAATGCTCTATTTATATGTTGTTGTTTTTCTAGTTGTATTTTTAATGACCCTAGTGTCATTATGAACTTATGAATTTCATTATGGATTTCTAGCGAGTTCGGGGTCGATTGGACGAAGATCGGGCGCGAGGCAAGTCAATCGTCGGTCGCCGGCACCGTTCTTCCGTCGTCGGCTAACCTCCCGTCGCCCTCAATCGTCGGAAAACAAGTAAGTTTACTTTTTCCGGCCAGTTTTCCAGTTTTCCGGTAAGTTTTCCAGTTTTCCGGCGAAAAACACGGCGGGCCGAAAAAAAATTGCGGCCCGAACGTCGCCGAGCCGAAAAAAATTTGTGGCTGGGACGACGGCCGGCCGAAAAATTCTTTCGGCCCGGCGACGCCACGGTCGCAAATTTTTTTCGGCCGGCCGACGAACACGCCGCCGGAAAATTTTTGGCCGGCGTGTTCGGCGACCGGCCGAAAAAAATTCTTTCGGCCCGACGTCGCTCCGGCCGCAAATTTTTTTCGGCCGGCCGACGAACACGCCGCCGGAAAATTTTTGGCCGGCGTGTTCGGCGACCGGCCGAAAAAAATTTGCGGCCGTGGCGTCGCCGGGCCGAAAGAATTTTTCGGCCGGCCGTCGTCCCGGCCACAAATTTTTTTCGGCTCGGCGACGTTCGGGCCGCAATTTTTTTTCGGCCCGCCGTGTTTTTCGCCGGAAAACTGGAAAACTTACCGGAAAACTGGAAAACTGGCCGGAAAAAGTAAACTTACTTGTTTTCCGACGATTGAGGGCGACGGGAGGTTAGCCGACGACGGAAGAACGGTGCCGGCGACGGAGGCACTGGGAAGGAAGGGAAAATTCAAAATTTAATTTTTTTTTTTACCGGCGACGGAGGCACTGGGAAGGAATAGAAAATTCAAATTTTGAATTCTTTTTTTTTTTTTTTAGTTGGCGGCAAATAGCAATTTGATTGGCGGCAAATAGCCGTTCACTATATTATATATGCTTAGTTTTCTACGTGGTATGAATGGTGTGATAAATCCTCATCATAGATCATCTTTAGATTACCAAAAAAATTATAAAATATTCAAACATGTTGTGCTTCCTATTCTAAACTAGTAAGCACATCTAACTCACTTTCCATAAAATTCTGTTTGTATTACCTGTTGACATTCATGTGTCTCTTCCAAGTCAGTATCATATTGCCAAGTCAATATTACTAACAAAATTGCTAACTGAAAATTAACATTTGGCTAATTCTTAGTATTTTGATAGGTTTTGATAATATAGAAGAATCTAAAAAAAGTTTAGATAAAAAATAGACATTACCCTTTAATTTTCAACTCTCATTTACGTCTTGTAGACATTTCTTTTGAATTGAAAACTAAAGTGCCAAAACAATTTATCTTGAACATCTAAACTTCATAAGTATCAACAACCATTTGATTCCAATAACTCGAATTGTTGGTAGATGTTCAATACACCATATAATAAAACATCCCCTCAAACAAAAGCTACTCATATAAGCTTGAAGTTTGCAAATGTATCAGAATTCAGACATCATGTGCTTACCAATGGAGATTACCAGGATTCCAACAGAAGATACCTCTTAGTCACATAAATTGCTAATACCATGTTAACTACATAGTGAGCAACAACAACTTCCACACATGATCACGATCATAATCAATTCACAAAGGCACAACGTTTCCTAATCTCCCCTTGATTTCCCGTCAGTACGCCAATCCCACCCATCCTCACCATCGATTCACCAAAATCTCTACCAAAACTCGACCCAACGCCATAAGTCGACTGGCGCTTCACATAAGCTCGAGTCGCAGGATCGTCGAGAAGTGCTGCGTCAGAAATGAGGAGACCTCTGTTTTGCGTTACGCCTTGGTAGAAATGTGTATCGAAAGTCCTCGAACTTTTTTCGGTCGAGCTCAATGCCGATGCCGGCGCCATCAGGCTTGCACTTCTCCCGGTGAAGTTGTACAGCCTGCGAGTGATCACGGAGCAACTCGCAACGCCAATCGTGTGCGCCCCTAAAAGCAATCGAATGAGCTAGATAGCAAAGGATTGTGAAACCGCGTACATGGTTCAATCATTTCGTACTCACTAAAATCGATCATAATTTTGGAATTCGGTATTTTCGGGGTGGACATAGACGATACGATAGAGTTTCTAAGGCATTGATAAACATATAGTACAAGTGACATTTGAGATCATACGAAGAACTTCGAATCAACCAATAAATAATGTATTTATTTTCCATAGAAACTATCATCGTTTAGACGAACAACTGGTACACTTATTGTACAGTTTAAAGATCGAACAAGCCTCTAAGTTTAAAACCCTAATAATGTTACATTGTGATAGTATTCATAATAATTCCAAAGAGTTACGCATGTTGAAAACTTGAAGCCCTGTTTTTGTTTCTCTTGTGTTGACTTCTTTGGAATATTGGACAGCCGGCCCCATGACTTCGAGAGAGCTTGGATGCATCTTGTTGGCGTTATCCGAGAATACGGCAAAGTATCATGATAAGTGGAAGTAATTAACCAAATGTGTTTGCTAAAGTTGGCTTGATTATGGTGGTGGTAGATGAGTTGTTTTGTAAATTATATTCTCCGGGTCACCGGTTAGTCGTGAAAAATCGTAGGTTCTTAAGGTCCGTATAAAAAGAAACACTAAAATAATATTGGTAAGACAAACCATGGATGACACAAAGACACATAACACTTGAAATGATAATTTATCAAGGTTAATGTTCAAATTTCTCGAGGTTAATGTTGGGAGAGTGGTGAATCGGTGATGATTAATGAGTTGTCGTGAATCGAAGATGGTCGATGGTGGCTAGTGGCTACTGATAGAGAACTAGATGATGTTGACCGGAGAGAACGAAGAAAAAATATGGGGTGTGCCTATGATGACATGCATGTCACCGTAACTTGCATTTTTCGGTCGATCTCGGTTAGTGACACCAAGCCCATATTCCCAAGTGTTTGTGAGATTAAATCAAGTTATAGAGACTAATTAAGGAGGTCCAAGATGATTAAAGGAGCCCAATCTACCAAGGATAACTGGATTAGGGATGGCAACAAAACCAAAACCCATGGGTACCACCCGACCCAACCCGGTCAACGCGGGTAAAATTCATGTTGACGGGTTTTGGGCCGGGTTTGGGTTTAAACTCGTTCACTATTCATCGAGTTGGGTTTGGGTTTAGGTAAACCCGACCCATGGGTACCCGCCCACACCCATATAGTTAATTTTCTCGGTATATTTAATATTCTAAACAACTAATCTTATTTATGTTTGTGGAGATATGTCTAATTTTTTCTTTCAAATTGTGTAGAATGAAGTTGATGTTATCGAGTGGAGAGTGAAGAAACTTAATTGAAAGGAAGAAGCTTTCAATTAATCATGTTATTTATGGATAATTTGTGATTTGCTTCAATTTTCTTGAGTTTTCTAGATTGGTGTTTTTATATATGGATAGTTTGTATTGAGATATTGATATTTGACTTTAATTTTGATAGAAACTTGTTATTGTAAATTTTTTACGACAAAAACCCGTGGGTACCCATGAACCCACGGATACCCAGCTGGTTGGGTTGGGTTTGAATTTTTCAAACCCAGTAGGTTTTACCCCGAATTTTTTTCACGGATAAACCCATGGATTTGGGTTTGGCAAAACCCGACCCAACCCGACCCATTGCCATCCCTAAACTGGATAAGGGGTCCAAGATGAATTAGATGACGATGATGGTTGGAGTACCTAAGAAGAAGAGAGCACATGTCTGTTGACTCTGTTGTCACAACTCACATGGCCAAGAATTAATTATGTCATCGAATTGAAACTAATGGAATATTTTGGTGACCAAAAGGGCAACTTTCTCACCAGTTCTCTCTTCTTGTTAGGGCTGGGAATCCAGACCAAACCGTATGGGAAACCGCGGTCTAGACCGTATCGTATGGTTTGGTCTGGACCGTGAGACCAGAACTATGGTCTGGTCTGGTTTGCGGTCTCCTCCTTTAGTGCGTGGTCTGGACCGCGGTCTACCGCAGTAAACCCTAACAGACCGCGACACACTACCTACTACCTTGGACAAAAATAACACTAAATTGAACCTCCATATGTGTATTTGAAGAACAAAGTTAGTTGATTCTTCATCTAGTTGAGAGCCAACAAATTGCAAAATGATCGCTTATATGTTATCTCCTTATCAAAGTACCACACAAAAATTAGAAAGACTCATAAATAATATTCACAGATAATGTCTAGACTATGGACTCGATAAAAATTAAACACTACAAAAAAATTCGTTCACCTTGATGAGATAAGGAAAATTATTGAGAGATATGCAACCATCTTAGTGGTTCGAAATTACCTCGACATCATCAAAAAGGTTATCAACTGGGAGAACCTTCAAATCACTCGAGAGAGGAGAGAAGCGGTAGCACAAAGAGGAACAATGAAATAACGCTATTTGAAAATTGAAAAAACCCACTTCTATCCTCATATTTCTTCTCATTTAATACGATCATAATTTTTTTGTTTCACTAGCATATTGGTCACTAGATTTTTTTTATAGATACAGGTGAAGGGTTGGAGAGCGAACAAGAGTTAATTTTTTTTTAACATGGTCTGTCTGGTCTGGACCGTATAGTATATGGTCTGGTCCATGGTCTGTGTTCCAACCTCTCCGTCTGGACCACAGACCGTATCTATGATCTGGTCTGGACCAGACCGCACTGTTTCCCACCCCTACTTCTTGCACTTTCCTTCCAAAAATTTGTCCAATCTCCAATCTAATCTTCCTCGCCCAGAAAAATACAGATATTTCTGTGCTTGGATTCCTTCACCTCCAAAATCGTCGGAATTTCTTTCATCTCTAGCAGTCGCATTAGTAGAGAGCAACCGGAAAAGAAAAAAAAAACCATCTTCCCACCAAAAAGAATGGCGATTTCTTCCATCTCTGCTTCGTCGGCAATCACATCTTCTTTGGGAACCCCAAATCCCGGGAGCTACCATTCCTACTCTTCCAAGCTATCTTCGTTTTCCTCCGCGACACAGCTTCCGTTCCAGCTGAAACCTAACTGGCTCTCCAGTACTCGAATTTCGTCGCCCGCTGGCCCCTCTCGAATCCTGCTGAAGGTAAATAGAGAACTCGGTTGACTTTTCTATGGCGGATTTGAATTGATGGGCTTGCGAGCTTCAATGGCGGATTGGAACTAAGTTGATGGGGGTTTTTCCCTTTTGGTGTGCTTTGGTGTACATTTTCGATTCCCTGGCATTAAGAAACTAAGCTGGAAAGGAAATTTGACTACTCATCACCTACCGGTGGTTTTCTTTGGTTGTATTGTCTTTACTGTTTTCTAGGTTTGCAGAAGAACTCTGCCATTGCTCTTCTTGGAGTCTGTCTATGGAATAGGTGTCTCCGCCGAAGCCCTATTCCGGAGAGACCCTTCGTCTCCAGTATGAACCCTCCAGTCTGAAAACACATCTTATATGACTGATGACATGATCACTTAGTTGGAAGATAGATATTTGGGCAAAATGTTGTCTACCTAAAGATTGAAACTTTGAAGAACATCAAGAGTGAAATCACAGAAGATGCTGATTACTAATCAGAATTCGCGTTGTTCTTGAATCACCAGTCAGGATGATCAGATTTTGGGTCTGGGGATAGTATAACTTGCCAGTTCTCAACCCTGCCTAAGCTTAGCAGTTTCTTGGATTGATTGCTCATTTCTTCTATTGATGCTTAAGCTTTGTAGACTTGAGAATCTTCAGTTGCTTGCCCTTCTAGCCGTTGCTTGTTGATAACTCATTAACTCAACTGCTGTGGTTTGTCTTCTTTGTTTAAGTCAATTGCTGAAACTGATGATTCCCTCATGCCGGTATAGCTAGGTAGCTACTTTGTGCTTCGATATGATTTTCTCTTCTAATCATGAGTGTTGACTTTGAGTGACATTTCGTCTTGGTAGTATCCTTTTAATTGCAATTAGACATTTTATTCGTAGTTCACGCTCTGTGCATCTCGTTTTGAAATCAAAGATTGTGTTTCTGATGATCACCCTATTCATCGACAGAAAGATGAGAGATTTCTGTTTGTTCATGACAGTTCCTTAAGCAATACTTAATTCCTATTGAACCCTTTGTGCCATTGCTCCTACGGAGTTACTATAGCAGAATATTTCAGTGGATCCTTGGCAAACAGATGAAAAGGTCATAATGTATTTTGCAGCGAACTAGATAGTTGATAGTTGTTGCAGCTTCGGTGTTCAAGAGGAAGGTCTAATATATCATGGGTCTAGTTTCTTTCACCATGAATATCTTGTGTATATTTACTGTCCATGGTTTTGAATCAAGTATGCCCAGTTGATTACTGTTAAGGTTAATTCACAGTCGAGGTCGGAATAGGTGGATCGTTTTTTAGCAAAGTCCATCAGCATTCTACTGTCCGTTCTGATACATGTTTCTTACGCTTGAGTTTATAGAAAAGTATTGATTGTAGAATGTAACTCTGAGACTCTTTGCTTAAGCTTTGTTGATAGGCACTACTATTGTGGTGTGTTTTTCCTTTTAATGTCAATTGCTGAATGCTGATGACTTTCATTCTTTTTATCCTGAGTTTGAGTAACTTTTTCTCTTGGAGAAAGACCGTGTCAATATTTAACCCTTGAATGCTATAAAGATCCATGATCCTTCATGCTTCACAAGTTGATTTGGTAGCATCCTTCTGATTGCAATTCGACATTTTATGCCTAGTTCACTCTCTGTGCATCTCGTTTTGAAATCATAGACTGTGGCTCTGATACCCTATTCATCAACAGAAGATGAGAAATTTCTGCTAGTTAATGACGCTTCTTTAGTCAATACTCAATTGTCAATTCATATTGACCCCTTTGTGTCATTGCTCCAATGGAGTTGCTGTGGTAGAATATTTCAGTGGATCCTTGGCAAACTCATGAAACGTCATAATGTATTTTGCTGTGAACTAGATAGTTGATAGTTGTTGGAGCGACTCAAGAGGAAGGTCTAATATATAATGGCTCTAGTTTCTTTGATAATGGATATCTTGCGTATACTTACTGTCCATGGTTTTGAACCAAGTATGCCCAGTTGATTACTGTTATGGTGAATTCGCAGTTGAGGTTGGAATGGTTGGATCGTTGTTAGCAAACTCCATTAGATTCTACTGTCAGTTCCGTTACATGTTTGTTATGCTTGAGTAGTTGAGTTTGTAAAACAGTATTGATATGTGATTGTAGAATGTGATTCTGAAGTGACTTTTGGTTAAGCTTCATATGAACTACAGGTTTTCACCTAGTTTGAGTGCTCAAAATGAAACCTTCATAGTTGGTAAATGTGGGAATTGCTCACAACTGATTTGTTGGGTTCTTGCTAGGTTTCTGCAAAGAAGGAAAGCTTCGCCAACTTAGATGAGCTGCTGCAGAAGTCAGACAAACCCGTACTGGTCGATTTCTACGCAACCTGGTAATAACAATCTCCCATATTATGTCCCTTATCCCCGAATGGTCATTTCTGTCTGCCCCTTCCATAATTCATCCAAACTGGTTAATAACTCAGGTGTGGACCATGCCAATTCATGGTTCCAATTCTGGAGGAAGTGAGCGGCATCATGAAGGACTCAGTCCAGGTGGTGAAAATCGACACCGAAAAGTACAGTGCCATTGCTACCCAATACGACATCCAGGCACTGCCCACTTTCATCCTGTTCAAAGACGGGAAGCCTATCGATCGCTTCGTAAGAGTTCATTTCTCCATAGCCCATCCCATCTTATTTCATAATTCCATGAACAACAGTTCTCAATGCGTCAAGTTTTGTTAAATTTTGGGTTTCAGGAAGGTGCATTGCCCAGAGACCAACTCGTCCAACGCATAGAAAGCTCTCTTAGCGTCCAGCAATCTTAAAAGCTTCTTCCTTCCTCGTCCAACTTTTCATGAAAGCTCAGAGATTTCCAGGAGAAAAAACCAACGCTCCATTGCCATCCTTCAATCCCTCCATTTTTCTTCCCTTCTTGTTCCCCATAGAATGTAGATCATGACGAAAGACAGAAAGACTCTGTAATTGCAAATTGATGGTTTCCTAATGAAATATTGTCCTCTTGAAGCTCAGTTTCAGTGTTCGTTTCTCATCCTTGCTTGTTAAATAGGCTAAAGAAGTATCGGATAGAGGCGAGGGAGCAATGGCGGAGATGGAGATGAGAGCTCGAGAGGATGTGGAAATCGGCCGCGACATAACGCCGGCGATTCCACCGATCTCCTTCTCCCTTCACGATGCGTTTCTTCACTCCCACTGCTCCGCTTGCTTCTCCCCTCTCTCCGGTCGGCCGTTCCCACCCCGCCGCCACTGTCATCTCTCCTCCTCCTCCTCCGTCTTCTACTGTTCTCCTCTTTGCTCCGCCGCCGACTCGCCTCTCCACTTCTCCTCAGCGGAATCCAATCTCCTCGCCTCCTCGCCTCCGTCGCCCTCTTCCGAGTCCTCCGCGGACCTCCGCGCCGCGCTCCGCCTCCTCCGGACGAACTCCGCCGCCGCCTCCGGGGATCGGATGTTCGGTTTGCTTACCAACCGCGAGAAATTGCTGGCGGAGGGAGACGAGATCTCCGATCGCGTGAGGAGCGGAGCTGCCGCGATGGCGGCTGCGAGGGGAAAGGGGAACGGAGCCGCCGAAGAAGAGGAATCGGCGATTTGCTTGGTGATCACCAACGGAGTGGAGGTTGTAGATGAGAAAGGGCGGGGAATCGGAATCGCCGTTTACGATTCCGCTTTCTCCTGGATCAATCACAGCTGCTCTCCCAACGCTTGCTACAGGTTTCTTCTCCCTTCCTCAGAGCTCTCCCCGTCGCCAGATCTCCGAATCGTTCCCTCCGGTCGCACGGTAATCTTAACTTCAATCTCCATTGCTTTTATCCGGTGCGATTTCTTTATCACTGCAAAATTGAGTTGACTGACCGGTGGTTTTTCAGGTGGAGAATGCTGCAGCCGCCGGCGGAGTCGGATATGGACCGAGGATCATCATAAGGAGCATTAGAAGGATCGAGAAAGGCGAAGAGATCACCGTGGCGTATACAGACTTGTTGCAACCAAAGGTATGATCAGTAAAATAATCCTTCCCACATCAGGATTGGCAAATATCCTCTGATTTTCACTCAATTTTCCAACCTTCTCTCCAGGCAGCAAGAAGTTCAGAGCTCTGGTTGAAATACCGTTTTATTTGCTGCTGTAAACGCTGCAGTTCATCGTCATCTTCATCTTCATCTTCATCCTACGTTGATCATGCTTTGGAGGTACGTTGTTTCCATAACTGACAGTCACATCCTTTCATCTATGAATCCCCATGATTGATCTCATTACCTGATGAACAAACATTCAGGAAATTGCTACTTCTCAAGGTTTTGACATTGTTGAAGCAACTGGAAGGAGGTTAACTGATTACGTAGATGAAGTCATAACAAATTTCCTCTCAGATGATGGCGACCCCGAAACTTGCTGTCAAAAACTCGAACGCCTTCTCATCTCCGGTCTCTCGGGTCTTAGGTTGCATCCGCTTCATCACCTCGCCATCAATGCATATACTACACTGTCTTCTGCATACAGAATCCACGCCAGCACCAGCAACTTGACATATGACCACCATTGCCCTGAAGCTTTCAGCAAGACCAGGACAAGTGCCGCATACACCTTGCTTCTTGCCGCAGCAGCGAACCATCTGCTGACCTTCGAGCCTTCGCTGGTTGCTTGCGTGGCAAACTACTGGGCGAGCGCTGGCGAGTGCTTACTAACGCTTTCCTCGAGCTCTTCTCCTCCTCCTTCTCGTGTTGCTCAGCAGTACAGGTGCTCGAAGTGCTCGTTCGTGGATGCACTGAAGGCGGTTTCGTATGCTGATTTCGAGAATGTGAAGTTGAAGTTGGTCGATTGTATCGGTGGTTACACACGGAGGTCGTGGGGTTATCTTTCGAAGGGGTGTGATTACCTGGAGCGGTTCGAGGATCCCATGGATTTGAGTTGGGTTCAGAAGTGGCCGGGCAGTAGTAATCGGGACGCGAAATGTGGGTTGGTGGTTGCAGAAAGTATGGATGATGTTTGGCAGCTTGGTGCACATTGCTTGGCTTATGGAGGGTTTCTAGCGGCTGTATGTTACGGGGAGCAATCGCCTTGGAGTAACCAGGTTCAGAGACTTCTTTGAAGGTGACTCAGATCCGTAACTGTCGGCAAAGTTCCTTGGTTTTGGTAATTTGGTGGATTCTGAATCGTGCGGGCTTTTCTAACTTAGTTAAGTATGGGCCTATTGGATGGGCTTTTCTGCCCAACACTTTCTGGATCCTGTCAAATTTTGAGGCCCATATCAAGGATTGAGGTCCTTTTCCTAGAAATGATCTTTTGCACTAGCAAGTAGCAACCCACGTGGGAGAACAAACATGTAGCACAAATCTAGGGTGGTGGGTAGGGGTGTCAATTCGGGTTCGGTGTTTTGGGAGAACAAACATATATCTTTTCGGTTTTTTGGGTTCGTTTTGGGTTTCGGATTTTTTTGTTTCGGGTTCGGTTTTGCTTATCGGTTTTTCGGGTTCCGACTAAAAACCTACAATGAATAGAACTCAGTCCGTATTTTTAGGCATTCAGGTTTTTGGGTTTCGGTTTTGCTTTAATCGAACCCGAACTCGATAAGGAATTTTCGGGTTTCGGGTAACCAGAACCCGCAAGTCCTTATCAGGTTCGGTTTTAGTAATTTTCGGTTTCGAGTTTTTTCAGGTTTTGGTTTGGGTAACCGAACCCGACCTGAACTGACACTATTGATAGGGCAAAGCCATTATGCCAATGAGCGCAAGGTGGCAGTGAGTAATTGCATTTGCGTGTTGGAGAAATGAATGGACGGCAGTTGTACACGTTGTTGACAGTTGAAGGCTTCATGCAACGATCAGTTGCGACAACTTTGAAGGCAGTTTTTGAGTGAGGCTTTCTCTGAGCTAGTGGACATGGAGATCGATGAAGCAGATATTAGTGATACGTGTTTGCGATGAATACCCTAATAATAATAATACACCCAAAACAAATCCATAGCACAAACGGACAGGAAAGCACACATCTAGGGTGGTGGGTCGACTGCATTGATAGGGCAATTGGCGGAGGAGCAACTTTGCAGTGAATAATGGCGAATTACGTGTTGCGAACGAGTAATGAATGGCAGTTATCATCGACAGTTGAAGAATGCTTCTGTATGAAGAAAATAGACACAGGCTGTGGTGTTAATTATACTAGTGGTGGGGCAAGCAAAACACACATAAATGAACTCACACGACTTGGCACCACAAAGGAGCAAAAGTAAAGTAAAGAGATTGGAGGATCTAGCTAGGTGCCAAGGGGATATGCCTTTGCCGACAGACAACTTCCCTGCACACAGCTTCCACTCTCGGATAGGGGAGTAAATTCGGGTTCGATTTTTCGGGTTTACCCTAAACCGACCGATTATATACATTTTCAGTTTTTCGGGTTCTGGTTCGTTTCGGATTTTTCAGTTTCGGGTTCGGTTTTGCTTATCGGTTTTTCGGGTTCTGGCTAAAAACCTCCAATGAATATAACTCAGCTCGTATTTTTAGACGTTCGAACAGTTTTTCGGGTTTCGGTTTTGCTTTAACCGAACCCGATAAGGAATTTTCGGGTTTCGGGTAACCAGAACCCACAAGTCCTTATCGGTTTCGGTTTTAGTGATTTTCGATTTCGAATTTTTGGATTTTTTCGGGTTTCGGTTTGGATAACCGAACCTGATCCGAACTTGACACCCTACTCTCGGACTCGTGATGAGTCACTCACCTTGTTGTTATGGCCTTATCTTTGTATTTGATTGGCCCCGCCACCGCCGAGTCACTGTTTGGTACGTGTCCACAGTTAAAGGAAACCGTCGGTCATTTGGCTATTAGGCGACGCGGGCCGTCCGAGGGACACAACACGGTATTCTTCGGGATATTTAGGACGCCGAGCTAACGAGCTCCAAAACCTTGCGACCTCAAGTTCGATCAATGGAATTAGTTGAGTGATTTATTTATAAATGATAGCTTAGTTGAAATATGATAAAACCATCGCCTAACATAAATGATTAATTGAATCTTTACTAATTGAATTTGTATTGATTTTATTTTTATTGACCGACACACGTGTTTATACAAAGAAAAAGAAGAAGAAAAAAAAAGAATGCTATGGATGACAACCGATTCGTATGAGGTTGGCTTTTCATATATATCATCCTCGAGCCACGGTTTTAAAATAGTAACTATCCTCGCATCAAAACTATGTTGGGGTGTAACATGTCATTATCAAAACCAATCAGTATGCGGATTATTCGAATGTCAATGTAAAATGAAGTTTCTTTAATTTGTCGCATATTTTGTTTAAAAAAAAAAGAGAGAATAAACAAAATCTGAGATCTAAGAGACAACTATAATGTTTTAGTGATACGGATTAACGAAGTGTGTAAAGCGAATGAGTCTAGAATATAGTTACAACACATATTCATATGGGTTCGGTGCATGCGGATACTTAAAAATACCAAAAACCGCACCCAATCCACTACTCTCTTTTGTCGGCTTCGAAGAAAATCCACCCAAAATTAATATCACCTTGGAATTTCCCTCGACAAATCAATTCGAATTCGACTGGGTACTCAAGAATTGTTTCGCCATCCTAATACTACTGATTAAATTAAGTTAGTGTGGTGAATTGAATTCAAGTTAGGAATGGTAGCTTTGTAAGTGTGCATTGATGATCAATGTCGACTCGACGTAACTCGGATCTTTTGAGTCAAATTATCCGTTAATAAGGAGTGGACGCCGGACGGTGCCAATTACGGAAGAAAAGAAGAAGAAAAAAAACTTATCGGTTTAAACCTATAAATAGACCACCCAACCCAACCGCAATTCCCACACCATCTTCATCACTTCCCTTCTCCCATTCTTCTTTCTTCTACAACTAACTAAAACACAACAATGGCGGACGAGGAGCAGACCACCGGCCACCGCGACCGCGGCCTCTTCGGCTGGGGCAACAAGGACAAGTCCGACGACAAGCCCTCCTCCGAATACGGCACCACCACTGATGACCAGACCGAGCTGACTGAAGGCGGCCGTACCTCTAAGTACGGTTCCGATGACCAGCCCGACTCCGGTTATGGAGCTGCCGGCGCCGGCCGCACCAACTATGACTCTGAGAGCCGGCCGACTGACACTGGCTACGGCGGCGCCACCAGGTTTTTACTTTTTTCCTTTTCTCTCTTTCCCAAAAGAAATATATAATTATTAAAAATGAAAAAACGATTCCGCTGGGGATCGAACCCAGAATCTCTGGTTTCGTAGACCAGCGCCTTATCCATTGGGCCACGGAGTCAATTCATGTTACGAAGGTTAAACGAATGATAATATTTTTTTCAATTGCAGGTATGGAGAGTCTGATGAGAAAACCACCGATACCGGTTACGGCAGCGGTCGAACCGGAAGCAAGTACGGAAGTGACGATCAAACCGATCAGGAGGCGGGGTACGGCCGAAAGAATACCAGTTACGAATCTGACCAGACCAAGACTGAAACCGGCTACGGGGATGACCGGATCGCTGAAGAGACCGGCGGTTACGGTCACAAGAAAACCAGCTACGGGTCCGACCAGACCCGGACCGAGAGTGGATATGGAGGCGGCAGAGGTGACAACAAGTATGGGTCCGACGAACCGACCGGTACTTACGGCCAGGAGGAGAAGTCCGATTACGGATCCGACCTGAACCAGACCGGATCCGGCTACGGCGCCGTGGGCCGCGACAAGTACGGTTTCGACAGCAAGGCCGCTGAGGTGGAGACCGGTTACGACCGAAAGGAGGCCAGTTACGGGTCGGACAAGACCGAGTCCGGGTATGGCGGGACCGGTATTGGAGCGGGCAGCAAGTACGGTTCGACCGATGATGATGACCAGACCGGTTACGGGAGCACCGAGAAGTACGGACGTGATGATGAGAATAAGACTGGTGGTGGTAATGATGAGGATAATTCTGAGGGGAAAAAGAAGCACCATGGTTTCTTTGGCTAATCATCACGAAAATCCTAAGTTACGATGGATGCTTCGGTTTAAAAAAAGGAATAAATAGCTATGAATAAATCATAGTATTTGTGGGATTGTTAAAAATTAATTACTTGTGTAATGCGTGTACTTAATTATCATCTTGTTCACTTATAATTTGTTCAGATTTGTCAGTTGTGTAATATTTGCTCATATATGTGAAGCTGGGCTTCCATACTTCGTTGAGCTTAAACCTTTGTATGTTTTAATTATCAGTGTGGAAATCTTTGTTAAATAAAGAATGAATGTAGCCATGTGTGTTGTGTATAGATTATATATTGTTGGGATATCCTCTAATGTTGTTGAGCAAATACTAATTATTAGCCAAAAAAATTCTACAATTTTAATTATAAACCAAAGTTTTCAAAATACAAAATGAGAAGTGTAACCTCCACTTCCCATGATCACCATTGTTAGATCAAATTATCGCTACTCAATCAGCTTGCTTAGAGAGTTGGTGCTTCAAGCCAAATAGACTAGAATGGGAATTAAAGCAATGAGTTGATCACCATATCTGGGTACCACTGGTTTCGGTCCTTCATTCGCTTAACTCTAAACTAGAATTGATTGGACAATTACCGAACGAAGTATTAAATATAGAATCTATCATTGTTGTTCTCAGTTGTGCATCTTAGAATGAATATATATATATTTGTTTCTTAGTAACGTAAGCTAGGTGTAAGCTTACCCCCACAAGATATAGTAGAAGGATAAGAACTATAGTAGAAAAATGATGTTGCGAAGAACAACATCAATGTTGACCAACATACACCAAACTTGAGAAGTCACCCCCACAATGTCATGGTGTAGAATGAAATACAAACTCGTCGTATTTTCGTACTTGAACAACGAAGACAACTAACTGCGATCCGGACCACGAAATGCGAAGGGCCTGAGTATTGGTGGATTGGGCTGGCAACAGGGCCTGAGATATGGTCCAGAAGTGGTCGGATCAAGGAAAAGCCGTTTGCCATGGAAGGACCCAGGAGGGTGGGTACATGGGCCTGCGTTGTGGCAGATTGGGCTTTGGAAAGATAATTGTCCCAAATGTTTGGCTGATTTGTTTAAAACCGTTATCAAATGAACTATGAAAAATTAAATAGTTTGACAATAATACATATACAGAAATTAAATAAATAAAATAAATACGACCATATATATGCATATTAAACGAAGTATTTACTAATTATGCCGCAATTTCAACCAGTGTGCTCAATTTTCTTTTTTTCCCATAATCCAAATCCTACTAATTAATTAAAATCGGGTGAATTGGATGAGCACCACAGTTCCAAAAAAAAAAAAAACTACTAATTAAACAAGTATGTAATTGTAAGTTTGTAACTACTATCCGTATGATGACTAACAAAATTCCAAGATGCAGAATTTGGGAAATCATGTATTTTGTTCCTTACTAAAATGTGAAGAATATATAATTGACCTCACAACAGATGTGACGTCGTATGTATTTTGTTTCAGTTTCTTAGTAAGATTTTGGGTGCGTCACATGATCCTTTTGGAGTTTCATGGTGTAGCTTGTAATTATCCTACCTACTCGTCAATGTAGTCAAAATCATATTTCCATGTAGAAGCGTTTTTGTGACCAAATCCAATCGCCAGTTGTCATTGATGATCAATTCATCATTGTATCAGCCAAGCCATCAAATGCCAGCAGCATGCAGAGTTTCGTAAACAACAAGTCAATTGAGAATACTGACTGCATGCGTTTTGTCAGGGGAAACCCACTATTGAGTATTTTTTGGTAGGGGTGAAACTGGGACCAAATCCAAATTATCCAACCATGACCTAATAAACTACTCTAAAACATCCGGTTCGCAGGGGGTCAAACTACAAATCTGGTCCGGTTCGATCTTATTTCTCCTCGACTCTAACTGGCTCGCTTAGGTCGCGGGCTGGGTCGAGTTTGTGGGTCGCGCCTAAGTCAACAAACTGATATATGGACAATTATATTTTGGTATCCAAATTTATTTATTTTTTCATACAATTCAGTACCTAAACTTTGATTCCTACGAATAGGTCCGGAAATGTTGTTGGCAGAATTACAATTTAGTGCCTTAATGTATTTTTTTTTATTTCATTATAGAACCAAACTTTTGGAAACTCAACAAACAGGTCCAATATTTTTGGTATGAGGAAATTCTGAAATTACTAGCTGTTATGGGTCGTAGGACCAAAAGTAGTCACCCTACTCTAAGTTAATTAACACGACTCTAACCCACCCCTTATCGGAGCAAAAAAGACAATCGAACCCTAAACTAACCCTATAAACAAACTGTCGATCGGCCTGAACCACGTTAATGGATTATGGGTATCTAGGACCAGGCTTACACAAACCTGGCCACAGGAAAATGTTTAGGTACCAAATTAGACAACATTAAGAATCTTAAAATCAGGAGTATTTATTGAATTGGCACCAGCCAGTAGGGGTGTCAGTTCGGGTCGGGTTCGGTTACCCGAATCGAAACCTGAAAGAATCGAAAACCGAAAACTGAAAATTACTGAAACCGAACCCGAACCCGATAAGGACTTGCGGTTCCGGGTACCCGAAACCCGAAAATTCCTTATCGGGTTCGGGTTTGGTTAAAGCAAAACCGAAACCCAAAAACTCAAATGCCTGAGAATACGGGCTGAGTTCTATTCATTGGAGGTTTTTAGCCGAAACCCGAAAAACCAATAAGAAAAACCGAACCCGAAACGAATCCAACCCAAAAAAACCGAAAATATATATAATCGGGTCAATTTCGGGTAAACCCGAAATACCGAACCCGAATGGACAACCCTACCAGCCAGTTTATATGTCCCCACGTTAGCAACCCCTCCATGCCATGTGATGACAAGAGGAAGAACCGAAGAAGAATAGGTAAAAAGGCAAATGGAAATGGAGAAAGTGGGAGAGAAGAAAGGGAAATAAGGAATTCACAGACCGACCAAAAGATTATTATTTTGGCTGTTCAGTTGGGGCTCCCAAACCCAAGAAAACTAACCCCACCGGCCGGCCGGCCACCACCACCATCCACCTTTGCCGTATTATCAATATTCCCCACACACGCTTCAGACACTTCTTCCACACTCAGCTCAGGACTCAGCTCAGGAGGACCATATGTGTCAAAATAGCAAGATTCCAAATATGCTAACACATGGGAGATGAGATTTACCTAGTTTTTTAAGCGATAATTGTCGAAACTAGTTCACAGCATAATAATATAATGTATTCTTTTTTTTTCTTCTTCTTCCTTCTGAATCCCTGAATTTGAAGACGATGAAACGGATATCAATTTGTTTGCAAGAAACCGATGTCTAGCAAAAGCTACAACTTTCGCGAGCAAGTCTGTCTGCCATTTGTTCTTCTGAGGTAACGTACGAGAACTCCATCAATCCTTCAGCTACCAGTTGGCTGATTACATGGATGTGGATTTCTATATGTAGAGGTTCGATCGTGGAGTATTGGATTTGTTGTTCATTCGAATCGTGCTTGTATGGCTAGCATACATGCGAATAGAAAGCCTTCAATAATCACGCCAAATTCAGCCAAAAAAACATTGGGGTCGGACTTATAACTCAGATGACACCTAACTGGTCGAATGATACCTTGCCTTTACTGATGATTTATATACACGATCTTGCTGCTTACACCGTCCGAGAAATAAATGATCTTCCCACCTTTGCCCATCATCTGGAGTTCCAAACATAGATCATCGCGTGTCTAAATAGGTTGTAAGTTAGTTAAAACAGTCTTGTCGTTTTTATACGTGATCTCATTTTTGGAATTAATGCGAATGATAATTATTGTAAATCTTTTATCGTGTTAATTCAATAATTAATAAAAAAGACGATTCAACGATATTAGTGATATGCTCACTTTCCACACCCGCAACAATGACTTTCATGGTCTCCTCTCCATAGACCATATATATACCATTTCTTAATTAGGATATTATTTATGATAATCAACGGAATAGGTTAATTGAGGCCAATTAGACTGGTTTGTATTTCAATGGAGTCGTTTGCAATTAACTAATTATATATAATGTTGGTCAACTTAGTTAATTATGATTTACACTTCAGATGGCTAGGTAAATACTTAAATTATAACTTGAAATATTGGGTCTCGCGTTATAAGTCTTTGCACCGACGAGACGCTCTAGTGTATACAACAACACAATGACCTAATGTGCATGAGACTAGCTAGAGACGTATAGTTTAGTACGTAGACGAGACCAAATTCCTTTTTATCTATTATTAGAGTGGTAAAAATATGAATTTATCTTCAAGATTTGATTTTCGAAATCTCACAATTTAATTTTAGTTTTCCAAATCTATCTCTAATCGTCTTAAAATGGAACCAACAACTATTCTTCCCTATATTTTTTGCTCTTTCTTCTTCAAGACGATATGCACATATACGTGTTAATATCGTTCATTTATTTCTTAGGAAAGGGACACATAAAGGCATTATTGTTAATTGCCTTAAGTAATTGCTTTCTTGTTTCTTCTCAATGAAGAAACAGCATCAGCAAAACCAAAACAACATGAGAACAGAATGAAACTAAAATTTATGTTAATCATGATTCACACCGGCTCAGATCTTGAAGTTGAAGGTTTGAGTAGGTAATAATTATTATCATTGTCTACTAATTATTTGATAAGTGACTCACCCACCTCATTAATAAATAAATAAATAAAATTTCATGAAGGACCTAAAGGCGAAAAGATATATACACTTTGAGGAGGAAATTGGGTTTGGGCATTATTAACCTCCCACTTAATACAGTTTTGTTGTTGTGGTTGTGGTTGTAATAGAGTTTCGATAGTAGAGATACAACCACAATATAATAAAAATAGAAAATAGAAACTTATTTAGTTTTAGTTGGTAATTGTTAGAAATCATGAAAGTTTAAAAACCACAACATTAATGCGTTTATTTACTTTTTTAGGCCCCATTCAACATGATTGTTGAGATTAAGATAAAATGTAGAAAAATAATGTGACATCACTGACATGAATGTCAAGTTATGAGAAAATTGAAGAAGAAGGAGATATCAAAATAATATTTACAATAAGGTTTCGAAGATGAGTAATGCAAAAATGGAAAGACAAAATACATGTAGAAAGTGAATTCAGTGAGCCAACAACGAAGCCACTAAAAGTGGTTTTAATGATTTCGATTAATTTCTGATGTGTTGCCACAACAACGTATGAAAACAAAACTAAACATGTTTTTTCGTCTTTATTTTCACCTACGAATACAGGAGACAAAAACTGCAAATAATACTAAACAATGTTTAAGGTTATGGGTACAGTAACAATCTGTTGAATGATCAAAACACCAATTCACTATAGCGAATAATGACTTGATCTAGTATTACTAAAGTCAATTTTCAACGTCTAGATCATAGAGTAAGATTCTCGTCCTCCTCGTCCACAAAAACCCACCTTCAGGTAGCATGTCAAACACATCCGTGAACCACATAGATTGGAAACCTAAGTAAAACTAAAACCAACTTACAAATCATTTCAATTCGTTTTGTTTCCTTCAACCCAATAATGTGTGATGAATATGGGACATGGAGAATTACCACAATTGATGGTTCATGGAAATGGAAGCAAAGACAGGCTTTCCATGGATCCAATCAGAACTCGACATGGTACAACTGACAAATAGAATTGCATTTGCTTCCCTTCAAGTAGAAACCAACCGGATCCCAAATCATTCATATCCAAAAAGAAAGAAAAAATAAACCATCCAAATCAGTCCATTAGCTGGTTTTGAGTAGCACAAAAGGAACTTCCATCTTGAAAAGTAAACGTACGTGTATTGATTTTGGGGTTTTTTCATTTTCTCATGCATCCCCTTCTTTTGCTTCTTCCTTTGCCTACTTCCCTTTTTCTTAACACTGGCTTTCTGCTTTATTCATAAAATTACAAATTCAGTTTGTAGTATAAACAAATTTCTACTTTACATTATGTTATAAGTTCAATTGTATCATAACATAAAAATATAGATTCAGTTTGTATTTTAAATATATTTGTACTTTTATGTTGTACAAATTCAATTTGTACCTTAACATAAAATACAAACTGAATTTATACCATACTGATAAAAAGTATAAGTTCATTTTCTACTCTAAAGAAAATTATTTTAAACCAAAACAGCAATATTATAAATCGTCTAAAGTCTTAGGAATGTTATCCATGGATATGCTCAATGAACAAAATTAATTATCAGCTCATCAAGAATATGTCTCATTCAGGGCCACGCATTGCATGCCTCAAGTGTCAAGCATATATAATGCAATCTTGTAAATGGTATACTTCCTATCTTTCGGTCGGATCGGTAATACTGGGTACTGTAACCAAATCGATTGGCAATTTCAGCGGTGAGAAACAATTGAATCATGATATTAGTACAAAGTAATCTAACACTTAATTTTCCGATATAACCTTCAATACGGTTTCACGATCCTTACTGCTAAGTGAAACCTTAACGTAAGTTATGGATACACGATTGGAATATATTTTTCTAAAAGAACAGTAAAGGAAATTTCGAAGTTAGATTAGATCACGGCGAATCAAATTAATTTCAACTGGGCTGTAAGCGAACTAACCACTTGGCCCCAATAATTCGAGTTGTTGGGAAAAGGGAATAGTTAAGCCTTTTAATCTCTTACACGCCCCCCGCAAACGAAAGCCTGCCTTTTTTGGGGGGTTTTCTTATATACGGTTTGCACAGGTTGAACGTATCATTCTAGGGATGGCAATGGGTCGGGCGGGGACGGATAGTGCATATCCGTTACCCTACCCAAAGTAGTTCGGATTTTACTCATACCCATACCCACATATGAAACGGGTAGAAAATTAAATCCATGCCCATACCCGTTCGGGTTTCGGGTATCCACGGTTATCCATGGGTAATGATTTCTTTTCATAACTCCAACTAATATATTAACATTCACACGTATTCTCACATTACGCAAGAGGAAAAGTATGACAATAATTCACTAGAATGAAGAAAATTAATTAAAACAACACAATTTCATGAAAATATTATATTTATATGGTAAATAAAAAATATGTTAGAGAAAAATAATGACTATTTATAGACAAAATACATATGTATGTGTATAATCGGGCGGGTTCAGGTTGGATACGTACTGAGAAACCCATGCCCACCCATTACCCGCAATATTCGGGTTCGGGTTTTACCCGTACCCACTAAATGTCCTTCGCGTTCGGGTTTTACCCTACCCGATTAGGCCGGGTTCGGGCGGATATCCACGGTTATGGATAAATTGGGTGTCGTTAGGAGGATTCAAAACCATGACCTTTCGGTTATACTCTGATACCATTTAACGAACTAACCATTTGGCCCCAATAACTCGAGTTGTTGAGGAAAAGAAGGGCAACAAACAGCTAGCTGGCTAGTCCATTACAATTTACACAGATTTTTCCCCCCTCTGTATTGAAAAGTAGATTCTTGAAGAAACGAGATATTAAGGCCAAGAACAGCGACAGTCATGACTTTGGATCGCAAGTGCAAAAGGAGAAAAAGGGGAAGTGTCGGTGGCTACTGGCTAGCCACAAGTATGCAACTTGACGACCAAAAGTTGGGAGTAAGACTGGTACGACAGTTTTTTTTACTCGACAATAATGCCAATTCATTATGTATATGAAATGTGAGTTCATTTCTTATTTAGTATACAGTCGAAGTGACACCACAAGTAGACCGACAAAATCTCCAAGCTAAGTCTTCGATCTCCATACTTCCAGTGCCCATTGTTAGGGACAGAAAAAAGAGACAAGATTTGAGGGTGATCGCGAGTCGCTCTTCTTAGTGTGTTTATTTGTCCGCACGGCATACAATCGTTAGGAGAAATTACGAAGCAGCGACTTATTGATTTATATATGTTTTTGATTTCAAGGAAAGTGGAGGAAGATGAATTGTTGGAGACTTTTGACGGCAATAAGGTTTATACATGAAAAGTGATTATCCCAAAAAATCATTTTGTTAATATTACTGGCCAAAAAAGATAAAACTCGACTTGACCCGACTCAGCTATTTTTTTAAAAAAATCATTAGATTAACTAAATACCAATATCTGATGATGGTGAATGTGAATGTGAATGTGAATGTGTAGTTATCATGCTAATTACCATGGATGGTAAGGAAAATTTGAAGGACGCCAAACTCAGCAATCGTTACTTCTTCTAAGTTTATCAATTTTAATGTGTTAAGCATTTTCCCATTATGTTATTTGAACTTGCTACCGTCGAAATAGAAGATAATGAGTTTGTTGACGTTAAAATATCCATTGTAGTTGGGAGTTCATAATCCATTTCAGAAGTCAAAAGTTTTCGCTTCCACGAAACCAATTGAGATTTATGTGAGTTTGTTTTTACTATTCATTCGAAATAAATGAATGTTTTAGATGAGTGGTACGTACAATTTGAAGTTGTATTATAATATTAATAATACAAATTGAAATTGTATCATAAGGAAATTAATCTCCAAGTAAAGCCATTAGGTTGAGGGATTTTTCGTGATTTTTTTACTCGCGGTAATAAAATTGGTTGATATCATCTAAGAAAATGTTTAGTTATTCCTTGTAAAAAAAAATGTTTTGTTATTACTAAATCATGTGAATCTGTTGTCTTATTGCTTTGTTTTTTAATTATTTTTTTTATATGGTACATATTTTTCAAAGAGAAAACGAAATACCAACATCGACAATTATGAATTAGTTGCCATAATAATATATGTAATCTATTAGTTGTATAGTTAGTTAGAGTTGAACTTGGACACGTTGAGAAATTATTTAATTAAGTGGAGCGAATCAAAGCAAGACTCAAGTTGGTAGTCCATACATCGCGATCGATCTCTCTCCCACAACAGCGACAGCGTACCAAGCAATCTGAACAAGTATATATGTACACATAAATATCAAGAGGAGATTAAAAGAAAAAGGATCCTATCGTAATGGTACAAATAATTAATGAAGGAATATCGTAGAAAATATTGTATTTTTAAGCATCGTTACAAGAACCGAATCGAATTCCCGGCTACACCAGTAAAATTATCGAACCAGTTACAACAGTGATTCCTTCGTCTGCTTGGACGGTTAGAGACGAATCTAATGGTTTTTTAATGGTTCGACATGAAGCCAGATGAACTACCCTGATTTCACCGGTCCACTGCTTCGTTATTTTGACCACGCAAATATTGAGAAATAAAATCTAAGCGTACGTAAACTAAGACCATCCAACCTGAATTGATGATATCGTTTATGCTTCCTTTTTATTTTTTTCCCTGTCTCCTTGTTGGGTTTATATATGGTCCACTACGATTTTTTTTACCGTAATTACTAATCTTGAATTTATTTATAATTTCTTTTTGTGAGATGGATTGAATGATTGGTTAGAACTTTTGACGATAAATGGTATGGATAATGAATTCGAAATTGTTTATGATCAGTGATACATTTATTTCTAATAAAATAGTGTATTAATATGTTATTTTATTTTATTTTATAAAGCACATGAGCAGTTAACCAATAGTACTATAACAATTAATCAATGAACCATAAACTACTTAATTTTCCGGTTCAATATCTAGCTAATCTGGTTATGAAAACATATGCTTTTAGGTATTAAAAAAAACATTTCATAGTAAATGAATATTATATGACAGCTTAACAGTTTTGGAAGAAAAGGGCATCTTGCTCCACTTTTTTTCCCCCACTTGCAATGAGTCTGTTCTCTTGACAAATTGTCATGTGGTGGATTCTCCTCCACTGGCTACAACCTCCTTCCTCGTGAAAGATTAAAAGGGAGAGTTGGAATGTTGAAGTGTAAAGACCACGATTGTTAGATATGAAGGTTATTTCACTAAAAAAAAAATGAAGCTTATTGTAGGAGCATTCCTTACAATAACTCGAGTTGTTGGAAGAAGTTCATGTAGAGTACTTAACCACTTATTTATGAGTTTCCTCAAACAAAAACCGACTCATGGACTTGAAGTTTTCATGGACCTTCTCGTACCATATGGTTCAAGACAACTGTTAATAATGGGAGTCGTGAGGACTTGAACACGCCACCTTAATGACAACTCAGTTCTGATACCATGTCATAAACCAACTGATCCCAATAACTCAAGTTGTTGGGAGATGTTCATGTATTATACTTAACCACTTCTTTACAAGGAAAACCCCAACTATGTACTATGACTTCTACGAAAATACTATAGAATAGTAGGATTGGTCTCGGTGGTAAGAGAGTGGTGTGTGATCCATAATTAACTTTCTCTCAACAATTCGAATTATTGGAACGAACTAGTTTAGACATATAGTACCTGAAGAGTTTGTTTGGCAATTGTGATTGATCGTATGTTCGTATCTTTCTCGGCCTCCAATATCATATAGTTGATTAAAGTTACAAGATATGATGTCCCTGTGCAAACTTAAATCTCGTGATTTGACTTTCGTTTTGAGGGTGCGTGTAAGATAGCGGCATGTCACTAAATTGGCCACAACGCTTTCAGTTTCATAGTCTTGGAGATCGATAGTGGGAGAGATTATTGATCAACGCCGACACTAATTTGGGGCCTCCTTGCAAATGCAGTCGACGTTGCTCGTTTTAATGTGTGTGGACAACAAGTGTTCTAATAAGTGATGACACCCAAATGTATTAATTTTTAATTGAGTTGTTTCTATGTCTAATCATGTCCTCTGTTAGTGTATCATTTTCTTTAGGAGCATGCTGAAAAATTGTTAAGTGACTAACATCTCTCTACTTGTATGTATACTATATTTAATTCAACTAACAAATATAATTTGATGTAATCTCGCAACCGCTTCCAATGGATTAACAATTTACAATTGGTATACAAAATAGTATGGACGGTTAAGAATCCGAAATTGTACCGTATCGATGGTCTGGCTCGAAAAATCTGTTATCGTAGCCCAAATCGGTATAGAAATTTTACCGGTATGAAATAGTTGAATCGACTGAAAAAACCTTATATTTAATTCAACTAACAAATAAGTGATGTCGCCTCACAACCAGCCGATGAGGCTGTGAAAACTGAAAATGAAACGCGAACCTATCATTAAATATGAATAACCAAAAACAAAAAACAGGTAAATTCTCAAAAACCAAAACCAAATTTGTTAAGGGTCTAATCATTTTTTGGTTAATTAATAACCGATAAGATCCTTAACGATTTCGTTTTGGTTTAGATAAAACCAAAAGACTAAAAACCAAACCCATAATTTGGTAAGTATAAAAATAGAGTCAGAAAAGACAACAAAAATATATGAAGATATGAAAAAATTATCTTACGCATAAGTTGGTAACGACGCATGTTGTTGATGAATATTGACTTAATCAGGTGCGGGTAAGAATGATGAGACTGATTAAGGTGATTTCCACGGCTAGTTGGAGGGTTCTAATCTTCAATCCCACCAACCATTGGTAAATATGCTCGATGCAGATCTTAGTTAGGTGGTGGTTAATTTATTAAGGGCCGAGTATCCTGTAATTTACCGGTTGGACGATACTTGTCAATACAGTTCATTTGCAATTTAATATATGAGTTTTGTTATCACATCAAAAATTTCAGAAATCACACCCATTTTGATTTCATGTAACCTAAAATTAGTATCGTTCACTTGTAGTTTCAAAGTCCCAGTTAACATTTTTAATACAATTATGCTGAAAAACTAGTTCTTACCCCACCGTTGGTTAAATTCAAACAAAACTCAGATAGTTTTGCACCAAGGTTGTAATTAGAAACTATAAACAATCACCTCACTACATTTGTGTTCGAACTTAATGATCTAACAATATTTATATATAAAAAAAACATAATAGTTAAGATAGTATAAATTATCAAATGCTAATGCATGGACAACTCATTTCTAGGTGCTATAAATGGATATCGAGTTATTTTTTGGGATTGAAATTGACTATTGAATGTTATTTGGAACTGTGAAGGATCATTATACAATGAAATACCAAGAAATACGGAAAAAATTATTGTAAATTAAATATAGCTCATAACCTCTAGTCCTTCATCAATCTTTGACAACTCTCAAGACTCCATCTAACCCAAGCTTGGCTTTTAATTTTTCCTAGATCACTATCATAACTCATTCAATCTATTGTTATTCTCGGAACACCAAAAAAACATACACTCTTTTTAGTAATTTCTCTGCCTCTAATCCATCAAATCAAAGATTACCAAGGATAAAAAAGTTATATATCGCCATCTCCTCCCTTCTCTTTGTCTCTACCTTAGCCCTAGGAAAAATCAAGACTATTTGCCTAAACTTTTAGACTCGAATGGAAACATGTGATGAATCCATTATTCAATGTGGATTTTGATTAGTGTTTATTATACTTTTTTCACATAAACTTCTCATCACTAAGATTTTTAATCCTGAAATTAAACCTACAAGTATCTACACCATATAAAAATGTTTGGGATTAGTAGTGTTTGAACCATTATTTATTTATTAATATATTTAATTATTAATTGTGAAGATAATCAATTTTATATTTGACAACATCAATACTTTATCAAAATATTTTGGGATTGAGAATAGCATAAGGTTACTATAATGACCAAAATCTCAAATATTTGAAGTAGTTCAATAGAGTTTTGCTTAAATAAAGTAAAACGTACATTAACTTGTTTTGAAAATTGAATTTTCTGAGACAGTCATGATTTCATAAAAAAAAGAAAAAACAATTCAAATGTGTAAAAAGGAAATGTTGCATCTAGTGTCTAAATCCAATACCTAGGAGATTTGTCCAACTTTAGTATTTTGGAGGTTTCAAAATGCATATCAAATATGTGGGTCAACGGATGAAAAAAAAAATGTGCCAATTTTTTTAGCGCTTCAAATAAAACTTTTGATAGCATCACTGTATGTGAGTGTCACTTCTAAATGTCAGGGATCATTTGGAACTTTTGAATTCGAAAATGATATCGCATAAAAAAATGTGTACTAAGATTATGTGTATACTAAGAATATGTGGGTTGTAAAAATTTAAAACTATGCTTGAATTGTTCATTAAATTAACTATGAATACTTTGATCCGACAAAGAATACGAGATTCAATATACATCTATGAATACTTCATGTATTCTCGGTACAAGTACTATATACTTAAATCAAGTAAAAAATGTTGTATTATGTAGGATACAATATATACTCAAAAAGTCAAAATACCATATTTGGAATTGGAAGTTCTAGATACCCTTAGTGCAAGTGTGTAAGGATTCGGGTTTAGAGTTGTTACGAGGGCAATCCAAGTACCACATCTGTAATACAAGGGAAGGGACCCTTGTGTATTAGTGTTCACCTAGCCCAATTAGTACGAGGCCTTTTGGGGAGGATACCCAAGAGTAAAAACCGTGCTGGCTTGACCCAAAACGGACAACATCGTACTAATTGAGCTGAAACACGAGGATGTTGAATATCCCCTCTTTTGAACAGTAGATTTGCGTAGTGAAAAGGACTGAAGTGAAAAAGGAAGGTCCTCATTGGGAGGGCACACACAAAGGCACGGGAAGTGGGGGAGTTGGAGATGCCTTTTGGAAAGTGGCCATGTTTGTTTGTTGTTGAAAGACTAAAGAAAGACACCAAACCAATCTTCAGCCACTTAAAATACCAGTTGCCAAACAACAGTGAAACTCAAGACAAACAAACCCACAAAGAGGAGCCATTAGCCATACTTCCAAAGCAAAGCTCTTTCTCTCTTATGGGATGGTGACCCTTTTTTTGCCACCCTTCTTCTTTCATCTTTGTTTCTTTGGCTTTTTTGCTTTAGGGTCACACCCACCCACCCCACAGAGAGAGTAAAAGCCCTCTGATGGGGTTATATGTTTCTGGGTCACTCCTTCAACACAAGAAAAGAATCATTCATTTCATCCCTCCCCCCTCATCTCATGTATTCGACCAATTTACATCTATGGTCACTGAATTTTGGGGTCGCTAGGACATTGATCACCAAATTTCTGTCATAAATAAAATAAGTGCTTTCTTCTTACACGCCTCGTCAAGCGAAAGTCAGTTCATGGGTTTGAAGTTTGCACGGGTCCGTCATACAATGTGTTTCAAGACAATGGTTGATATTAGGGGTCGTGGAAATTTGGGCATGTGATTCTCAAGGGGGGAAATACAGCTCTGATATCAGGACATAAACCAATTTGTCACAATAACTCGAGTTATTGAGAGAAGTCCATCCATGTATGAATTCAAAAACCTGGACTACGCATTCTAATCTCATACTTGATCACCGCCAAATTCATTAGAGGATCCAATGTTTAAACCATTATAAGTGAAATCATAGCGATGCGCAAAACTCGGACAAATCGACCCGATGAAAATGAGCAGAATGGCTATCATGTAGGGGTGACCGTAACGGATTCGGTTTCGATCGTAATAAACCGAAAACTGGAAAACGAATCTTTGTTTGCATTAATTCTTATCCATTGATTTACGATTTTAACCGAAACTGTTTAGAGCTTATCAGTTTTTACCCGATAAGATACATCAATCAATAAGCTTATAAAATCGGTTCGATTTCGGTTGAAACCAAAATAATCCAACCGCCACACCTACCTACTATCATGTAAGTTGTTCTAAACTTCAATTGCAAGATTCCTGGAAATTGAGAGCTTGAGTGACCATTCATGTAATTTACCCATAATTAAATGACTGCTGCATCCCTCCCCTCCTCCTCACTAACTCAACTGTCAACTCCACCACCAAACCAAACCTTAAAAGATAAAAATTACAATCTCCTTCCTTCCCTTCCAATTCCTCTTCCCAAATCTCCTTTTACTCAAAACTTCATTATTATTGTATCTGTCTCCACAGTTCCGCTGTAATTCTTTCTCCTCTTTATATACACAACACACACATAAACCATATCCCACTGCTTTCTCTCTCTCCTCTGTTTTTTCCCCCCTCCTCTGTTTCCTTCATTAAATACCTTCTGCTGCTATAATGTGGAGTTGTTGGCTGAGCCCTCTGTTTTCCACCTCCTTCTTCTTGTGAAATGGGAGCCTGAGAAAGAACCACGCCATAAATTTCCCTGCTTCTGAAATTTCCTGGGTTTTTGGGGTGTGGGTTTTTTCTGAAAGAAGAGAAAGAAACTGTGATGATAGAAATTGAAGGAGGAAAAGAAGAAGAAGATTGAAAGTGAAGCTGCAGACTTTTCTTGGTGTGGCCAAAAATGGAGACCAAAGGAACCTTGATTGCCGGCTCTCACAACAGAAACGAGTTTGTTCTCATCAATGCCGACGAGGGTTCCAGAGTAATTCCATCCTTCTTACTTTTGCTCTGTTTTTTCCCCTTCTTCTTCATTGCCTGCAATTTCAGCTTGAGTCGAAAAAAGATTGTTGCTTTCTGCCCTTTCCATTTCCAGCCACCAGTTTACTAAGTTTGGCTGGCCAATAATTGCTGCAATTTTCTTTCCTGTTGTGTAAAAATCATTTCTTCTGCTGCTGTAAGTAAATTCTCTGCGGTTTTTCCAAATCCAAGGCTGCCATTTTTGCATAAGAATATGAGTTGTTTCAGGAGAAAAAGGGAAGAGCTTGTTTGTTTGTCTTGTTCTTTGGCCGGCTGCCCATCTCCCCCATTTTTACTCTCCAGCCGTTTCCTTCTTTTGCCCAAAATCTAGATTTCAGAGCTGGTCAAACAGCCTTCTTCGCCTTGCACAATTTTTCACTAATTTTGTTGTTATCATAAGATTTTCAAGTACCATTTTAGCATTATTATATCATTAAGCTTAGATTAGATTAATGATCACTAATTAATATACTAACTGAATATTAATGATGTCTTTAAGGACAGTGCTAAAATTCTGTTACCGACAATAATAGCAGGTGTCAATTTCTTTGGTGTGTTGTGGAATTTTGAGAGTCAGTCCATTACTATATTTAAAATTTCAATATAATACATGTATTTGTTTTCCCAAGAAAAAATTCACCATTACTATAATCTGTTACTGGGTTTAATCAATTAACAAACTGGATCAAACCCAATCGAACAAAGTTACAAAAAGGTCCCTCTAAATGTAGCAACTTCCAATGACCACTTTCCTACTTTGCTGTCTCTACTGACTCATATGGGAAAATGACAATTGTGTTTGCAGGTGACTTCTGTTACAGAATTAAGTGGGCAGATATGTCAGATTTGTGGTGATGAGATTGAGCTTGCAGAAACTGGTGAGCCATTTGTTGCCTGCAATGAATGTGCTTTCCCAGTATGCAGAACTTGCTATGAGTACGAGAGAAGGGAAGGGAATCAAGGTTGTCCTCAGTGCAAAACCAGATACAAGCGCCTCAAAGGTTTGAATTCTCTTGCAGCCCATTTGCTCCTTTGAGTTTGGAATGTGGGATTGTGAGCTTAAAGGTTGAAACTTTTGTCAATTACTCAGGGAGTGCTAGAGTTGAAGGTGATGAGGATGAGGAGGGTATTGATGATTTGGAGAATGAGTTTCATATTAGAGATCATGGTTACAGTAGAGACCCTAACAACATTGCTGAGGCCATGCTGTCGTCTCGTCTTAACTTTGGCCGATACCAGCAGTATAGCGATTCAGGGCTTGGTATGCCGTTGGAGAGGGATTATGCTGGTTCCTTGAATCCCAAGGTTCCCCTCCTGACTTATGGTGAAGAGGTAAAAAAAAGGTTTCACCTTTTCTTTACAAACTTGGTTTCACTGCAATGTTGATTTCGTTGTTTCAACTATCGATGTTGAATGTGGCAGGATAATGGGATTTCGTCTGATAAGCATGCCCTCATCATCCCACCATTTCGTGGGAAACGGATCCATCCGATGCCCTCTCTCGATCCATCAATAACTAGTGAGTTGGCTTCTGTTTTCTCACTGGTGTTTGTGAAGTGATGAAGAAATCAATTGTTTCATTGTGGTTTGCTTGCTTGCTCAATGGCTGCAGCTCAACCAAGGCCAATGGACCCCAAAAAGGACCTGGCGGTGTATGGTTATGGAACAGTAGCTTGGAAGGAGAAGATGGAGGACTGGAAGCGAAAACAGAATGAGAAACTTCAGGTGGTTAAGCACGAAGGAGATGGTGATGGTGGAGATGACTTTGATGATTCTGATCTGCCTATGTAAGTGCTAAGTAGCTGTTGTTTGTCATTCAGAATTATTCAGTTGATTCCTAATTCCTTCCTGGTTTCCAAATGTCCTTGTATTCATTCCCATGATTTTGACAGCAGGTTGTTGGGGAAATGGACTCTTACATTTTGATTGGCTATTTGTTTCTGTTGTCAACTGCTTGATTCTGATAGAAAGTTGCTTGAGAAAGCGACTGCGCTCGCTCCTAATATTTTTGTTTCTTCTGCACATAGTCAACCATAGTACAATCACAATGAATCAGTTAGAATATCCCATCACTTGTAGTGTCATCTGGATGTAGGATTTGGGGTGATGAAAGTGATACTTCATTTTCTGCTGCTAAATTCTGTAACTTTGAACTTTGTCAGGATGGACGAAGGAAGGCAGCCATTGTCAAGGAAGCTACCAATAGCAGCAAGCAGAATAAACCCATACCGAATAATCATTATCCTCCGTCTCATAATCCTCGGCCTGTTCTTCCACTACAGGATCCTCCATCCAGTTAATGATGCCTTTGGTCTCTGGCTAACATCGGTCATCTGTGAAATATGGTTTGCTGTCTCATGGATACTAGACCAGTTCCCTAAATGGCACCCCATTGAACGGGAGACATACCTCGATCGATTGTCTCTGAGGTATGAGAAAGAAGGCAAGCCTTCTGAGCTAGCTCCCGTGGACATATTTGTTAGCACGGTTGATCCTTTGAAGGAACCTCCACTGATCACTGCAAACACGGTTCTGTCCATTCTCGCTGTGGACTATCCAGTCGATAAAGTTGCGTGCTATGTATCGGATGATGGTGCAGCCATGCTTACTTTTGAAGCACTCTCCGAGACAGCCGAGTTTGCAAGGAAGTGGGTCCCGTTCTGCAAGAAGTTCAGCATTGAGCCACGTGCCCCGGAATGGTACTTCTCGCAGAAACTTGACTACCTGAAGGATAAAGTCGAACCAGTATTCGTCAGAGAACGTCGTGCTATGAAGGTTTGTTGTTGCATTCTGTGTGTGGATTCATTAGAAGATGTTCAACTGTTGCTTGATAGCATTATATAACAATTGGACAGAGAGAATATGAAGAGTTCAAGGTTCGAATAAACAGCTTGGTCTCAATGGCACAGAAGGTTCCTGAAGATGGTTGGACTATGCAGGATGGAACTCTGTGGCCTGGAAACAATGTTAGAGATCATCCTGGAATGATTCAGGCAAGCTATACATAATTTTGTGAGCTTTCATTTATGGTTTACTCATGTAAAACATTCAAGTCATTCTAAATCCGAACACTCTTCTTTTCAGGTTTTCCTTGGTCAGAATGGAGTTCGTGATTTTGAAGGCAACGAACTCCCTCGTCTAATCTACGTCTCTCGTGAGAAGAGACCGGGATTCGAGCATCACAAGAAAGCAGGAGCCATGAATGCATTGGTTAGAGTCTCGGCCATCATATCGAACGCCCCTTACCTGCTCAATGTAGATTGTGATCACTACATAAACAACAGCAAGGCCCTCCGAGAAGCAATGTGCTTCATGATGGATCCGATCTCTGGGAAGAAGATCTGTTACGTCCAGTTCCCTCAGAGGTTCGATGGCATTGATCGACACGATAGATATTCTAATCGAAACGTGGTGTTCTTCGATGTACGTGGGGGCTCACATTTGTTTACAACGTTCTTCGACTCACTTGCATATGCCCTGTTAGTGAAGTTACTAAGTAACATGAACTGTGTGATTGCAGATTAATATGAAAGGGCTGGATGGGATTCAAGGGCCGATCTACGTAGGAACCGGGTGTGTGTTCAGGAGGCAGGCATTGTACGGATACAATGCTCCAGTGAAGAAGAAGCCGCCAGGGAAGACTTGCAACTGCTGGCCAACATGGTGCTGCTGCTGCTTTACTTTGTGCAAATCTGGAAGGAAGAAGGGGAAGTCGAAATCGAAGTCCAAAGATAAGAAGAATAAGAGTAATAAGGAACTTTCAAAGCAGATATATGCTTTGGAGAACATTGAAGAAGGTGTTGAAGGTAACTAGAACTGTGTTTTTCTAAAAAAAATCAGGGATTTTGCTGCAGTTCTGCTGAATCTTGCTTTGGGTTCCTTCCAGGAGTTGATAAAGGAAAAACAATGGTGATGTCTCAAGTAAAGCTCGAGAAGAGATTCGGGCAGTCTCCAGTGTTCATAGCAGCAGCAGTGATGGAGAACGGTGGAGTTCCCAGAGGGGCAAACTCTGCTTCACTATTGAAAGAAGCCATCCATGTTATAAGTTGTGGGTATGAAGACAAAACTGAATGGGGGAAAGAGGTAAAAAAACCAGTAGCCTCTCTACTCTTATCAGATTCTGCAAAACCATACTTGAAATTTTAAACTACTTACTGATTCTGCAATTCATACTCTTTTTACAGGTTGGTTGGATATATGGTTCAGTAACAGAAGACATCCTTACAGGATTCAAGATGCACTGCCACGGCTGGAGATCAGTCTACTGCATCCCGAAACGGCCGGCGTTCAAGGGTTCAGCTCCGATCAATCTCTCCGACCGTCTCCACCAAGTTCTCCGGTGGGCACTGGGATCGGTGGAGATCTTGCTGAGCAGGCATTGCCCCATATGGTATGGCTACGGCTGCGGGCTGAAATGGTTGGAGCGGTTCTCTTACATCAACTCCATCGTCTATCCTCTGACTTCCATCCCTTTGCTCGTCTACTGTACCTTGCCCGCCGTTTGCCTCCTCACCGGGAAATTCATCGTCCCCTCGGTAAACCTCCAGCTCCCTCCCTCCTCCTTCCACTTCTCTACAATCCAACCGAAAACCATCTTCTGAAGTCTAAACTGGTAGACGAATTTTAACTGTATGAAATGGTTAAACCACGATTTCAGCACTAAATATCAAAGATTGCAAAATTGTACAATAGGGTATACCGAAAAATCAGTGATAGGGTATTATGCACCGTAATCGTGGTTCAACCATTTCCTACCATTAGAACTGCCACCCAATTCGAGCCCGGTACGTGGTACACTCAATCCGATCGACTAATATGATAGATTTCGTAAACATTGCTGAATACCCTAATGCTATCTTTTCCGATACAACCTCTAATACGATTTAACAATCCTTCTGAAATACCTGTTTGATTATATGTGCTTTTTTCTCATGGGAATCCAGATAAGCAACTACGCGAGCTTGGTGTTCATGGGCCTCTTCATCTCCATCGCCGCCACATCCATCATGGAGATGCAGTGGGGCAAAGTCGGGATCCACGACTGGTGGCGCAACGAGCAATTCTGGGTCATCGGCGGCACATCCGCCCACCTCTTCGCCCTCTTCCAAGGCCTGCTCAAAGTCCTCGCCGGAGTCAACACCAATTTCACCGTCACGTCCAAAGGAGGCGACGACGGCGAGTTCTCCGACCTCTACCTCTTCAAATGGACTTCACTTCTCATCGCGCCGACGACCCTCCTGATCCTGAACATCATCGGAATCGCCGTCGGGATCTCCGACGCGATCAACAACGGGTACGAGTCGTGGGGCCCGCTGTTCGGCAGATTGTTCTTCGCGATGTGGGTGATTGTGCATCTGTACCCGTTTTTGAAAGGGCTGATGGGGAAGCAGGATCGGGTGCCGACGATCATTGTGGTGTGGGCGATTCTGCTGTCGTCGGTGCTGTCGCTGCTGTGGGTGAGGATCAATCCGTTCGCCGGCAGAGGTGGGCTTGTGTTGGAGATCTGTGGGTTGAACTGTGATTGAGTCTCAGTGAGTGGGAATTTTTTTCTGTTTTTGGTGAGAGAGGAGAAAGAGATGAAATGTGAATATAGGTAAAAAAAAAAAGGATTCGAGTTTGTTGAAAAAAAAAATACGAAATAATCATCTGGAAAGTGAAATTTGAGCTTTAGCCACCGGTTGATTAGATGGTGGAGAATGATGGGGAAATCAGTGTGTAGTTGTGTAACAAAAGAAGTGAGAAAGAGGAAATTACTTTTAAAGGTTTTGATGAATGATTGTGTTATCATGTCGGAAGTTATACCGGAAAAATTCGTAATAGCATATTTTTATATTAGAACGATGGGTGAATAGTAGTACAATTATTTAGCAGTGTTATCATCTGATATTTGAGGTTTGGTATCTGATATTTCTGATCGGACCGGCTGATATTGTAGGATTTATAAAATAATTGGTTTTAATTAATTCTTCACACACAAATGTATGTGGTTGTATAAATTATAATGTATGTCCATTTTTTGTATTGAATTGAACAAATGTATGTTTCTGGACCCATTAATAGTGAGATTCAAGGCATAACAAAGTTTGTGTATTGAGAAGATAATATGTTACGATTCGAAGCAACTCGATAAAGTTAAGTACTTTTAAGAGTCGTTTGCTTGTTGTATTTGAAAAATGTAAGTTATGGGCAAAATTTGAATTTATAATATGAAAGATTGATGATGGATTTGTCATTTTTGATGCCGTTGTTTGCTTGTTAAATTTAATGATAAATTTTCCCGAATTATAGTTATGGGTTAGAAAACACAAATTATCTGAAAACACAAATTATCTTGCTATTCTTATTTAATAATCTTTTATCACCATTCCACTGTCATAATGTAAATAGGGATGTACATATCATTTCACATTAAGGCTTGGCTAAAATCCCACCTCAAGAATATGAGTTATTTTATTATGGCAAATAAAATAATAATAAAGAATATGAAAACAGAGAGTTAACCGTAGAGTTATTAAAATTAGTAGAGTCCACGGAATTGGATCCCACAAATCAATGAATACCAAGGATGTGGTAACAAAACTATTTTCTCCAACAAATATTCGTTTTGCTTAAATTTCAGGATAATTGAGTCAAAATTCATCACTCAAATCCAACAACCAAACAACCTAAATTCATGATGTATGGGCCTTTCATGAAAGCCACCATTCTTTACTTCTTATCACCACTCATAGAATGAACAACAACCAAATCGTCTCGTCAAAGAAATCCTGATTTACGCAAAACTATAGCTGTTACATTTTAAGAGAAATTAAGATCATGGTCTTGGAGTTTTACTGATATACATAACAGATCAGTAGTTTTGTGGATGATTAATAAATACACACCCAAATATCTAAACTGATAAAAACAACGGCATGAGAATTGCCTTTGAACAATGTTCTAAACACAGCCAGCAGCCATACAAACAACACTGATAATTAAATCAGCAGAGGATGAGAAACACACACATAAGCCTTAATCCTTCTTCCTGGTTGCAAGTTCTTGAAGAGGGCGCCTTCTGATGGTGGCTCCCGGCACCAAGCTCTTCGGCGGAGCAGTCACGTTGCCAAGCTGCTGCCGGAAAATATCCAACTTGCTTCTTCCAGCATTTTCCTTCATATCTTGTACAACGATTTTCCCTGTCGTCCTCTGGACAACTCGCGGTTTTTTACTTGTTCTGAAAGCTAGGGATGATCGCGATGATGCCAAATTACCCTTCATTTCTGAACCAGAAGCAGCGCCTAAAAACAACAACAGGCGACAGAAAAATTGAGTAGGAGGGTTAAACAGAATGGCACACACTGGAGAAGGTAAGCTAATTACATAGTTGGAGTCATTAGGAGTCATTAATGCAGTGTTCAAGAAGACGCGATTAATCTCTCGCCTAGGCGCGTTTTCACCCTGGTGGGCGACGCCCAGAACAACTAATAAAGGGGAAAGTGTAGCCTTTTTGTGAAAATCTCAAACCCTATTCTATTTCCCATTTCCATTCGACCAGCCGCTCCCTCTCATCGACCAACAGTGAGATCTCTCCTCATGGTTGGCGACGTAGGATGTTTGGGATTGTGGAAAAGGGTTGTATATGTATATGAATGGATGAATAATGATATGGGGACTTGGGTTTTTGTGGAATATGGCTTATCTAAAACATTTTTTTTTTCAACATTTAATCTCGCCTAGGCAACGACTAATCGGGCTGGGCAGTAGATAGTGCCTAGCGTCTTCTTGAACATTGCATTAATGTAGAAACCAAAATCAGATAGCTACCCTAGGAAGTTACCTGGAACAGGAGAAGTTCTGGGAACTTTTGGTGATCCCAACAGCTCCATTTCTAAGCTCCATGGTGTTTTCTCTTGCTTGTCTTCACCTATACCATCCTCCACTCTTCCAGTTTGGGGTGATGGCAGATTCTTCCCGTCACCAATGGCTGCTTCATCTTTCCCGACGTGGTTACTCCTAGAGTTCTGTTGTGGGGATGATAATGATGATAGCGGCAACTTATCCACCTCCATTGTTGCAGTACCAGGAGACATATCCAAACAGAGAGGTGCAAATGAGTTGGCTAACGGAATGCAGAATGGAGAGGACATAATTGATGCATCATCCGTTCCTCCAGTTCGGGGTGATGGGAGATTCTTCTTGTCATCAATGGCTGCCCCATCTTTCCCTGCGCGGTCACTACTAGTGTTCTGAGGTGGGGATGATAATGATGATGGCGGCAACACAGCCACCTCCATTGTTGCACTACCAGGAGACATATCTAAACAGAGAGGTGCAAATGAGTTGGCTAACGGAATGCAGAATGGAGAGGACATTATCGATGCATCATCCTCCAGATCACCCTCCTGCTGCTCTTCAGTTATCTTTTCATCATTGTGTGTTCCTACTGCAATCCTTGGTGAAGAGGAGGCATTTTGATTGCTGATGCTCGTCATCACTTGATTCACTTCTCCATCTTGGCCCCCAAAGTGTAGATTCAACCCCATGGATTCAGTTTCTTCTGCCATACCACCACCAATCAGAACATACAAAAAGCAATGCAGCATCATGGAAAAGAAACAAACAAAGGAGGAGTTGTTGAAGCACTTACCGTTAAAAGATGCTCGAATAGCAGAAAGACCAGAGCTATTGTCAAGGAATTTGGTCTCTTCAACTGCCTCACCGTTACAGTCATTTTCAAGTGAGAGACGGTTTTTTACCAGTTCCTGGGTAACTTCTAAGGAGGAATCATCTTCATTTGCTGTTGCTTCTTGCAGCTCCTTTACCACATCTTTAGAAACCCCTTCATAAACGAGAATTTCAGTATCCATAGCCTCCCGATACTCTTCAATATTTGTTAATCTATCACCATCAGCCAGCCCAGAAAACTGGGCAACCTCTATAGCATTGTTGTCTGCATGGAATTTACATCAAGAAGAAAATTACAACAAAACCAACATACGCAATTAAAGTAAGTTCTAAGCAACCTGGTTCAGAATATAAAAACGTCGTCATTTCAACTTAAGTACTAAGCAAACAAGTTATAGGAAAATAACCAGAATACAAATATACTCTTTCCATTACCTTTCTGGGAACCAAATGTCTTCTCATTAGCTTGGTTGCTAATTTCCTGGACGCGTGTAGCTTGATCAGCATCATTAACTTCCAAAGGACTGTCTCTGCTGCACTCAGAAAATGTTGAACCAGGGACCCATGTCCTTCCATTTTCCCCCTTGTCAGATTTCAAACTCCTGTAACTCCTTCCTTTCTCATTCATTTCATCATCTCCACAGATGTCCTGATATTCCTCAGCATGAAGCACATTGGTGGACTCCTTCTGGCCACTGGCATCTTCTTCGATTTCAGACATACTTTTCTCTTGATTCAATACATTCATGTCTATTAACCTGTCAACCATTAGATGCACACTCTCTCCGACGGAAGTTGCACTTTCTTGACATAGGACCCGAATAGAATTTGCCTCTGAACCTTCATTCTTGCTCACAGCGGGATCCTTGCAACAGCTCAAATCAGCAGAGGTTGTCTCAGCTTCCTCTTTTGCTAAATGCTCCAACACTCCATCAAGAGTTTTTACCATAGTCGACTGACGAGCATCTATAATAGTCAGGTTATCTGGGGAAAGTGTAGAGCTTTGATTCTCAAGGAATTGTTCATAACAATAGCTGGAGGACCCAGGAGGGTTATGTTCCTTTTTTGAACCTTCAACCTCCTCCTCAATAGTATGTGAACAGTCCTTCCCTTTGGCAGCCTCCACATCAGAACAGTTCCAGCCATTTTCAATTGAGGGAGGGTTTCCATCGAAACAGTCAGTACCATCCAAGGGAACTTCTATAATTTCTACTTCTTGCATCTCTGTTTGCCCTTTTTTACTAGACCCGTCAGGAAGATCCATACTTTCAGTAGTCTTCTGGCAATCATCACTGTCTGTTAACTTACTACTGTCAACCTCCCAAGCAAGCTGAAAACTCTCTATACCATTGCTGCCTGGTTACAACAGAAAAATAATTATAATGCTAGTAAATCCTAGTTGCTTCAAGATGTATAGATCTCTGCATTTGGGTTCTCTTGTAAACTCGCGAATAGATTTAGGAGATAAGCACATGCAAGATTGTGCAAAAACTTTGCATGGAGAAGACTTACTTGGGGATGCTGAAACATTCTGTAGTATCAAGGAAGGTCCACCAGCGGTCACTCCAGATACTGGATAGTTTCTTTCCAATTTGTCCTCTAAAGGGGCCTCGTTTTCCTGTACGTCTAGGGCACCTAGATTCAGAGCAATTCCTGTTTCCAAATCATCAATAGAAAATTGTGGTTTGTGAGTATCAAAAGCTCTAGTAATTCTAGCAGTGCTTCCTATAGCTGCTTTAGGAGACATCATCTCAGTTTGCAGCTTGTCCAATTTCGGTCTCCTGGAGTTCCCTCCTTTCTCGTTCATGTCATCTTCCAGAGAAAAGTCATGATTTTTATCAGTTTCAAGCACATTTGCTGCGTTCTTAATGACCAACTCCTGACCCGCCGGTGAAAACTTCTGGCCGAAGGTAGTGTCCTCCTGATTCTGTGGAACCTCGGGTTCCGTAAATTCATCGCCAGGAATTGGATTTTTGTTGGATTCAATGGACTGATGCTCATTTTCATGGAGCTCTTCTCTTCCCTTTGCTTCCTTGAACGCCAGAGGACTTGAGAATTCACCTATGTATTTATAAGCACATCGTAAATAAAAGACTAAAAGAATGAAGTTAATTTTGTCAACCATAGACCAGACGTACCAACTAACGGAAATTGATTCTCAGACGATAAATTTTCCACATCAGCAGCTCTGCTTTCATTTTTAGGCTGTTCGGGTTCACCTAAATTACCATGGTTAAGCTCTTCAAAAATTTCCAAATTTCGACCAAATTGTTCATCTTTGTCATCCTCAATAGCAAAATCTCGGGGCCATTGATCGCAATCATCTCCTGAAGGATTGGCCTCTTGCCTCATAGATGCCAGCTTTCTTGAAGACCCTGCTATTTCTTCGTCCATCAGCGCTCCCACTAGCTTGAATGATAGTCTACCTGAAATTTCCTTTAAATTTTCAGATCTTTCACTTGACTTGTTCCTCTCTGAAGAAACCAGACAACCTCCTTCTCCAGATGAATGGAATAAATTCGGTTTCTCTTTAGATAAGACAGACACGAAACCAACGTTTACTTCCTCTTTAACTTCAGTGTGAGTTTTTTCACTGAGAGCAGATGATCTTGGCAGTCCTTGATGTCTGGAAGAACCTACCAACTTGGAGAATGATAGAGATGGAGTTCCCTCCATCTTTTCCCCAGTATCAACAGAACCTTTATCAGGTACAGACTCCGACGGGCCAATTTCTACTACTTTCGTGGGCGACTCTTCTACAGGTATTACGCTCTCAGCAGACTTATTAGCTTCCTTGGCTGTAACCGGCAATTTGATAGTAGTATGTTGCTCCTTCTCAGCTGTTTTTCTATATCCAGGAGATCCAGTCTTGCTGCTTTTCAGGTTAACTCGTGCTGATTGTCTAGGCTTACCAACCACTGATTCCCTCTTAACCACTTGAGTACCCAGACGAGCTCGCTTTCCTTTACAGCTCTGCCGCTCAATCTCTCCAACAACATCAGTAGTCTTTCCTGTTTCAATTGAAGTATCCCCAGATTCATCGGTTGGTTCAACGTCATTTCCAGAAACTTGTTCACCAATTTGGCGAAGGCTTCCAAGAGCCTCTATAGCTCCCACTACTGCATTATCTTCACAAATAGGACTCAACACTGAAGTCTTCCGGCTGGATCTTCGGAGATTGCCAGTTGGTAAAGGAGCCTTCTGGCCCTTAATGTTCTCCTTTGAAGTTGCAAAAGGCTCAGTTTCCATAATCACTTCCAACCCCGAGTTTCTTAACAGCTTATCAGCCTTGCGTTTCAACTCTTTTGCATCATTTTCACTCCGACCAGAGAAATTTCGGTCGACAGCCTTGGCAGATTCTTCCACCTGAAAAGCTTCAGATTTTTGCACTTCGTCAAGGTTAGTATTCCGCCTGGACCGTCTGAGATTTACAACGGGTGATGAAACCTTCGACAGATTATCCACTACAGAAGCTTCATCCACTATAAATACTTTCAACTTGGAGTTACTAGACACATTACTAGGAAAGGCTTTCCCTCGCGACTTTTCTTGTGCACCTTTAGACTTATCCTCCTGAAGAACACCAGATTTCTGTCTGGTGGATTTCCTGTTCACGTGCTTGGGTATTTCCTCCACTACAACGGACTTGTCATCTCCCGCTTCATCAACTGGATTAATAGTACCCAAAACAACACTCTTCTGCCTGGACCTTCTCATATCTGCAACAGGTGCTGAAACCTTCTCAGTATCGTCTTCTTTATAAGATTCAGCATTCATATTAGCTCCCAACTCAATGTTACTAGTACCCGAAACATCAGTCTTCCGCTTGGACCTTCTCGGATTTTCAGCGGGTGCTGAAGCCTTCTCACTCGTATCTACTTCAGCATCTGCAGAAGCTTGAGCACTCACATTTGCTTCTAACTCACCTTTTCTAGAACGCTTACTTGTTTTGCCTTTCAGCTCTTCTTCAGCACTTTCGAATTTATCGGTTTGAGTCACTGCACATTGCTGCCGAGTAGGATATCTTTTTGCTCCCACAGGGAATTCCCTCTCGACTGTAACCTCATTATGATCTTCTTTTTTTGCTGTCAATGTATTGCAAGTGGACTGGCTTCTACTTCTAAGCCTTGTGGTCCTCCCTCTCACTTCATTTGATTTTGATTCTATGACCAACGTGGGTATTCCCTCCACCACAACAGACTCACCATCTCCCACTTCAGTAACTGGATGATTATTACCTGAAACAACACCCTTCCGCCTGGACTTTCTCAAATTTGCAAGGGGTGCTGAAACCTTCTCAATATCATCTTCTTTGCAAGATTCAGCATTCATATTAGCTCCCAACTCAATATTACTAGTACCCAAAACATCAGTCTTCCGCCTGGACATTCTCAAATTTGCAAGGGGCGCTGAAACCTTTTCAATATCATCTTCTTTAGAAGCTTCAGCATTCGTGTTAGATCCCAACTCAATGTTACTAGTACCCAAAACATCAGTCTTCCGCCTGAACCTTCTCAGATTGCCAGCGGGTGCTAAAGCCTTTTCTGTCTTATCTTCTTTAGCATCTGCAGAAGCTTGATCACCCACATTTGGTTCTAACTCGTCTTTACTCGAACGCTTACTGGTTTTGCCTTTGTGCTCTAGTTCGGTACTTCCGGATTCGTCAGTTTGGATCACTACACATTGCCGACGAGAAGGATATCTTTTAGCTCCCTCAGGGGATTTCCCCACGTCAATAACATCATAATGATCTTCTTCTTTGTTGACTGCCGAAGTATTACGAGTGGACTGGCTTGTAGCTGTACGCCTTGTGATCCTCCCACTCACTCCACTTGATTTCGATTCCATGACCAACATGGGTTCAGAATCTGTGCCCTTGGGGGCATTTCTTTTCCGTCTTCTCACAACATTTCCAGGTTCAGCACACTCCTCAACAGGCTTTCTGCTTCCTTTACTCAATCCATCTTTCTCCAACTTCTTGGAAGCCTCATCCACATGAACATCAGGGTTAGCCTTTTTGACCTTAGCATTCGCCCTAGTAGTCCTGCCTTTCTGTTTGCAAGCAGTTGGCTCATATTCTCGCGTTTCGACTTCAGGGCTAAACCTCACCCGCTTCCGGGGAACGTCCGTATCATTCTCCTCGTCCAAATCTTCACCTTCGCCGTGACTACGTATCGCCGGAGCTTCACTCACCTAGAGCCCCCCCCCCCCCCCCCCCCCCCCCCCCCCCCCCCCCCCCCCCCCCAAAAAAAAAAACAACCATCAGCATTTCTTACATCTCTACTCATCTTCCGCTGGAAATTCAAGTTCGCTGCAGGAAATCGAATCTGAATTTCTTGCGGAAAGGAAACCCTAGTTTCAATCTGACCACTCAAGTCGAACCCGTGTAGGACTGAACAACAAGCACAATTTTCCACATAAACTCTATATTTTTTTTTAGAGGCGTAACTGACCTTAAGAGCTACAGTCAAGAGAAGCGCCAATTCCCGATTGGTCTTGTTCGCCGGAATCCCGTGCTTTTTGCAAAGAGCTTGAAGCTCCTTCCTCTTCATGCTTCCGAACTCCATCTCTGCCCCCGTCGCCATGGCAGGACATTCAAGAAAACGAAAGAAGAATCAAGAGATTCGATCTCCGATCTGGTGGTGGTCGTCGGTCTGGGACTGTAGAGAGAAGTGGAGTGCCGATGAGCAGGAAGCCGAAAAGGCAATGGCCGTTGGTCAGATCTTGGTCTCTTGCCTACTGTTCAAATTTTAGATGACGGTACAGATTTTTTTTCCCGCTCTCGAGGATCGAAAAGAAACTCTCGACACCCACGCGCGCTAAAGAGGTGAATTTGTGCAACTCGAGTGCCAGCGAAGGCACTAATTTGAATTTTGGTTTTGGGGAAAAACTGGAAGAGTGGAGCGCGTGGGAGCGGGGCATGGCTCTGAGCTTGGAGGTGCTTCAGTCTTGGGCCCTTTAGCTTTTTGTGGAATTTCAAATTTGGTACAGACGTGTTTTGTACGTTTGTATAATGGGCCTGGAAATGATCCAGTCCAAGAAAAAACCATCCAATAAATAAAAGTTCAGTTAGGTTATCAATACTAAGTGGAGAGCGTTTGTTCTCAAAGAATTATATATTTAGAATATCGATTGAGTACACTATTTTAATTAAAATATTATTTGATACCATACTAAATTTTGTAGAAAATACTTCATACTTATAAACATAAAATTAAAAAGAAAATTCCAGCTTGAGTATACTTAGAAAGGAAATCAAAACTTTTAATAAGCTAATTAATTTAGAAAATTGATTGTTACTATTTTTATTCATAAGTGAACTATATCATGTTAAGGAAAGATTCACTCAGTATTTTATTTTTTAATTTTATTTTGACAAAAGACAATTTTATATTGATTCAAGAGAGATAATTACATCCTGAAGTTCAGTCTGGTCTGAAAATCAAAGAATCGACTCATAGTCGAATACAACGTAAGGGCCTTTCTAGCCACCAAATGGGCTACCCCTATTGCTATGCCGACCTACAAATCGAACACTAAACCACGATTAAAATGGCAAGGCACGACATAAGTTCTTCAAGAATGGCCCCCTATCCTACTATCTCTGGTATCCACCCGATAAGATTCGCTCGGTATTTGATGATATCAAATAATGATAAACTTGATACCATGAAAGACGAAACACAAATCTTGATGGTGAAAGTATTTCCACATGTGATTCCATCTAGAACAATATTTTGGACATTGCAATCCTTGTGGTTGATTAGTGACTTTTCCAAGTAATGGTTACATAGAAAAAAGAGGATTCCATACATAGCTAGACTGTAACGGGGAGAGCACTTGAAATCTTTGATGAAGGAAGAACCAGTAGTACTTCACTCCTGGTTGCGTTCAGCCTCAAGGGAGCAGTAGTAGTACTAGCACCGGAGAAACCCTCATTCGTCCGGCCACTCGAACCGCGGCCACCGGAAGGCATCCATGAAGAAAGGTTAGTCGATGATGGCGCAGAGACGACGTAAGTCGGGACAGGCATATTCAATGGCAGCAGAGGCACAGGAGCATCAAAGTTGAGCACCTGAAGAGCTTGTCTAGCCGAGAGCCTAAAGTCAGGATTTGGGTGAGCACAAGCCATGCCAATCACCATCAACCTCTCCATCTCACTCTCTTCAAACTCCCCGCCCAACCTCGAATCCGGACCTCGATTCAGCAAATCCCCATTCCCATGGAGGTCCCAAACCCATCGAACCAAATGGACCGCATAGGCTTCTTCATCATCGTCGTCAGGGTGGTGATATTCGATCACCGCAGGCCTTCTACCAGTAGCAATTTCAAGCGCCACGACTCCGAAGCTGTAGACATCGGTCTCCCGGCTCGCCTTCCCTGTGGTGGCGCATTCGGGAGCCATGTAGCCCATCGTCCCTGCCAGGATCGTGGTCTGCGACCCCTTCTCGTGGTCCACCAGCCTCGCTAGCCCGAAATCGCCCAGTTTCGGATTGAAATTGGAATCGAGGAGGATGTTGCTGGACTTGATGTCCCTGTGCACCACGCATTGCTCCCATTCCTCGTGCAAGTAGAGCAGCCCGGAGGCGATGCCTTTGGCAATTTTGTACCTGCTTCCCCAACCCAGCAACGATGGAGGTGTTAATAACGGCATCTTGTTGTCACGGTGGAACAGGTGCGCGTCGAGCGTGCCATTGGGCATGAACTCGTACACTAGCAGGAGCTCCTTCTTCTCCTGACACCATCCCATGAGCTGGACCAGGTTGCGGTGCCGCAGCCTGCTGATGATCTTCACCTCCGCCGCGAACTCCTTCGTCCCCTGGCTCGACCTCCTCGACACCCTCTTCACCGCAACGTCGCTGAGACGAACCCGCCCTTTGTAAACACGGCCGAACCCTCCTTCCCCGAGCTTGTTGTCCCGGTCGGAGAACCCATTGGTTGCCCTCTTCAGCTCCTTGAACGGGAACTTCCTTGGGCCCAACAACTCGTCCACCTTGTCGGCATTAACATCGTCGTCGGCGATGCTGTTTGTCGTCCTGTCAATCAAAGCTACGCAAATAAAGGAGATTACAAAGATGAGAGCAGTCCCCACGAGCAAACCGGCAAAGACAGGGATTCCGCTGGGTACAATCTCCAAGGAGGAGTAGAAATGCCAGGAGTGAATGCTCTGGCTAGCACTGCGGTTCCCTGTCGAACCAGAGAAGCCGAATGTGACCGATTGAGGGAGGTAATCCTTCAAATCGACGATGTGGCTAACGTGGAAGATGGTCTTATTCGCCAGGCTGCCACCATCTCCGAATCCGGTGACCATAACACTCAAATTGTTGGAGGTGGCATCGTAGCTGATCCAGGCCTGGCTCTGTTTCTCCCCTGTAGTATCAGCAGCCCAGGGCGCAGTGGCCACGGATCTCATCGAGTCGACATTGATGCCCACGTGGGAGCCTCCAGGCGGGTCGAAGTAGTCTCGGAACACATCGAATTCTACGGCCACGAACCGGCCGGCCGTGGAATTGAGCTCCTGGTCCGGGGAGTCGGCGGTGAGCCCCAGGGTGGCCCCGGACTTGGACGGTGGCAGCTTGGAGCCCCATGGGGCGAGGAAGAATGCCATTCCGCCGCCAATGCCGCCCTTGTCGTCCCGGGGCGAGAAGACGGTGAAGGAGAAGGAAGTGTCGAAGGAGGCACGGCGGTCGCCGTCCCATAGCCTTAGGTGGTAGGCGGAAGTGGCCCGGCCGAAATGGAAGCTCTGGTCCGCGTCGAGGAGGTTCCTGGTGAGCTGGATCGATCCGTGGTCCGTCTCCTGAGCTCGCTGGAAGGAGATCTGCCCTAGGGTTGGGAACACCAGGGTGAAGGACAGAGCTGTGATGGAGCTCGGGGTGGTACCGAAGATGATGACGAAGCTTGTTATTACCATGGTGGTAGTGATGATCTGTTGCTGGTAAGGGAGATTCATACTGATCATACTGAGAAATAATGGAGGTGCTAGATGGCGAAAGAAGAAGAAGAATGTAATAGTGGTCAGAGTGGGACTCTGACAAACGAGGTAGGTGCGAGCTATAGTGCAGATGCAGCTACGACGAACGCGCATACCATCTCCTTGGAAATGAACATAGAAGATGACCAGGAACCTACGTTTTCTCAAAAGATAAATAACGCTGAATCACTCAAAAAAAAGTTTTCTTCTTTGATGGCCATTCATTGCCCAATTCCATTAACAAGGTGGTTCGGATGTGGAAATTGAGTGTGGAAATTGGCCCCAATGCGAATTATTAAAGCACAAGCCGCCAAAACTTACTGAAGACCGAGGTTTTACTGTTCATTACGGGGGGGGGGGGGGGGGGGGGGGGGGGGGGGGGGGGGGGGGGGGGAAATCATTAGTTGTATAATCAATGATCGCTAGGTGGACTTCAAACGTTGAAGCCCTCGGCACGAAGGCACAAACGATGCGCCTCGATCCATTTTGCACAACCTGACTCACCGTGCTCCACCATGCATTCATCTCGCAGCCTCTTGGTCTCCGGGCAAGCACAGCAGATCCTCTTCTTTGGCTTGGACTCTGGAACGGGCTTCGTAGGTTCGACAACTTGCATTGAACCTGACAAAGCCAGGGCAGGGGCAGAGTTCTGCAATGGAAGCCCAGCCATTGTTGGCAACTGGAGAACTTTGAGTCGATAACCTGATATACGCACAAGGGAGTTCAAGAACAATGAAGGGATGTTAAAATAAGGCGGTAAGCCAACACGAAACTGAGTTCTTTTTCCGTCTAACATGGGAAGAACGCAAAATGATAAAGCAAACAAGAACGTTTAAGTGTAAACACAGAGTTGTGTGTGAAATGTAACAACTTTACTCTGCCTGCAACCAGTTTGCAGTCCTGCTTTGATTGTCTATGAGTTCCTAGAGAAAACCAAGAACTCTCGTACTAGTACGGGTATCTCCTCCACAAGCAGAAAGTTGAGAGACAGACCAGGGGGAGTACGTTTTACCAGCCACGATTACAATTCGCAGTTCACTAGACCTCGAAACTAAAGTTCCATCAAGTCTATTTATCTATCAGAACTCATTATGAAACCAGAGACTCTTAAGATTATGACACAGACATCCAACCCACAAGGACTGCATATATACCAATAAGAATGCAACCCACAAGGAGTGCATAAACCCATGATAATAATAAAATAAAAAAAGACTACTGCTTTCATGGACCAGTATAATTTGAAGAAACACTACAGCAAAAATAACCTTGGAAAACAAGTATCTGATTGAGTGATGACACCTGAGTCATCAGGAACAGATATGGATGAACTAAAATACTGAGGCATGGCATCAATCTGTCGATTCCTAAGTCGGAAAATGAGAGGAAGTTGCAAACTTGCAATGACATTACCAAAACTAAAAAGTATCTGCGACATAGGAACCTCTAACAGCAACAATGGAGCGTGCTTTCTGATCCCTAATACTATAAACCCACATCAAAGAACTAAGCTTTCTGCTGAGAAAAGAAAAACCCTCTTAAACAAGAATCACCAAGTTCCAGCCAGTCAATCAGAATGCCCCAACCATCCAAATCAGGAACATCTCACAACCGTCTTCCCCAAATCCTCACGTTCTAATCTAATTCGGCTTGTTCATTCCACAAATTTCAAAACCCTAGAATAACTTAACGAGTCGAAAGCAGAAAAGAGACCAATTAACATGTAAAGAAAGAAACTTTAGAACGAAAACCAGAAAAGGCATCAGTATGGCGGTTCGGGGACACCGTGAATCAGGTAAAATCAACAGAAGCCGTAAGAGCACCGTTTATGTTCAGAAGCGATCAGGGAAAGCAGACACAGAGAGAAGGAGCACGAAGGTAAAGAAACAGCAGAGAGAACTTGCCTGCTTTTGAGTGAGCGACGGAGAGAGAGACGACGGGATGATGTAAACAGCAGGCTGCTGGGGAAGATGGGAGATTAGAGCGCTTCGGCGAGAGCCAAAAGGCGAAGGTTCGGCGGCCTTCTTTTTTCCCCTTCACTTCGAATGTGTTTCTAGTCGGAACTTGGCGGGCTCATCTATGGTTTAACACTTAACTACGTTGCATATTAATCGGTCACTCATGTTTGGTTTGTGCAACATGAAATTCTTATACGAATTAGCTTATGTTGGTTAATTATTAATCAAACAAATAGTCATTCTATTATAATTTTTTTTAAGCAGTTTTCATTATCGTGATTCGTGAACTCTAGTAAACTATATGATACACAACTAAAATTTTACCCCGTATGGATTATCGAACTTATCAATTTGAGGAATGAAGAATGTGAGTGTTTAGTTGTATTATATGAGTTGCGATGTGAATTTAATGGGTTTTTGTATGACAATACTACAATGTTGGAGACTAGCCCTTGATTTTGCCCATGGTCAAATCCCATATCGATAAATCACGAGAGGGATCTACGATTCATAAGAAACATCAAACCTTAATTGACAACACGAGTTTTGAGTTTAAATGAAAGAATCCTTGTAATATCTTCAAGATTAATGTGTTGAGTTTAGAGCAGTGCAAGGAAGGGTAGGGGAGGTCGGGAGGGTGTATGTAGTAACACGTTAGACAAATCTCACATTAAAAAAACATGATAGGGATATATAATTCACAAGGAACATCCCAGCTTTACTAACAAAACGTATTTTTGGTGTGGAATAGAAGAGTTTTTGCACGAACTCCAAAATTAAACATGCTCATTGTGGAGTAGTGCAAGGATAAGTGACCTCCAAAAGCCTCACCATGATACGCATCCAAAAAGTAAAACCATATCTAATAGATTCAAATCTTACAATATCTTTGTCATAAAGGGTTGACATGTTACAAAACTAATTGATAATTATTACCAAAAAATAATGATAAAGTTTAATCCTGTTTGAGCCCGGGCGACTGGGCGTCTGGGCGTCACTCGGGTCCAAGGGGTTTGGGGTGTTAGCCATGACCTTGAAAGGGTAGGCGCCCCTCCTCGTCCGAAATAAGAGAAGAGAAGAAGTGTATAGAGAGAGAAAGTAGAGAGAAGTAGTAGTAAGTGTAGATGGATTGCCATTTATGAGGAGAGAGCTCCTATTTATACACATTTGAGGGTTAGGTAGTGGTCTGGGCGCCTGCCAAGCCATAAATGCTCTGGTCGGGCGCCTCAGACTCTCTGACACTGTTCATAGTCCTTTTGGCAGAGGGTGTCCCCCTGCCCCTTGTCCTTGCTGATGTCAGGTGCCTGGGCTTGTCTCTTGTCCCCCAGCCTTGTCTTTTTCCTCTTGTCTTCTTCCCTTCTCCATGTCATTAGCTATGGTATTAATTCCTTATTCACTATGATACCCTATCAATTGCCCCTTTTGGCGATGGCACAAATAGTGTGGCATCGGCAAACAAGTATGCTCTAAAAGAGGTCTAAAAAATAAAACTGAAATAAAAAGCGAAAGTAGAAATAAAGAATAAAAATAAAAATGAAAATAAAACAAAAAGCAAAAAGTAAAAATGGAAATGAACCTAGGGAAGAATAAAGAAAATACTCCTCCGAAATAGAAATAAGGAGTACGAATACAAAAAATGCAAATTTGCAGAGATAACTCCTCTAAAATCATGGGGGTTTTGATAAAATTTTTAGGGGAGGATGTGAAGGCGCTACCCCCAACAGACTACTTGTGGTGGCAGTGGGCCAAACCCACCACCAGGCTTAGGATAGGCACATTTGAGGGGAGAGTGGATGGGTTGGGCTTTAAAGAATAGCCTGTATTGGGGAACGCGCACCCTCTCCTCCTCCCCCTATTTAAACTCGTGTCACTTCACCACCCCCCCCCCCTTTTTTTATTCGGCCGCCCCTCTCTCCTCTTCCCCTTTTCCTTTGTTGCGTGCTGCTCTCCTCGGCGCCTCTTCCCCTTCTCCTTTGCCGCGAGTTGCTCTCCAAGGCGCCTCTTCCCCTTCTCCTTTGCCGCGAGTTGCTTTCCAAGGCGCCTTCCCTTCTCGGCGAGACCCTTCCCTCGGCGCTTCGCAGTCTGCTTCCCTTCCTTTCGTCCGCGCTGCGCCTCGCATAGGCGCTCCCGATCGTTTTGAAGGCGCCTCTCCCGTCTCGGAGACTTTCTTCGGCTCATCTCAGCTTGGGCGCCTGCCCCTCATTCGAGCCACCTATCATCGCTCCCAATTGATTTGGAAAGGCGCCTCCCATCAGGTGATGCCTCAACCCTTTCGATTGATTTGATTAAAGGGGGAGCGCCTTGCTTCTTAACGGTTTGGCCATTCGTTGGACGCGCCGCTTGATTGTTCGTATTGTTGGTTGGGCGCCTTGCACCTTCCTTAGGTGTTAGGGGACTGAGTGGCGGCGCCTCCCATTCCCGGCTGTTCACCCTTAGTTTTGCCTGGCGCTTTTGATAGGCGTCTTGCACACTCCTTAGCTGTTTTTAGGCTTGGTGGAAGGTCTATTCATGGTTGCTAATTGCTTAGTTTGGTTCTTTAAGTGGTGGCGCTTTGCACCCTTCTTTATCGTTTAGACAATTGAATGAAGGCGCCTCCCATTCCCGGCTATTTCGTTTTTAACTGAGGGCGCTTTCCTCCCTAGTTTTGCCTGGCGCTTTTGCTAGACCTCTCTGTCCGGGTTTCCCTTGATTTGCTTTCAGTTTTTATTTCAGAAGCGCCACCTTGCTTACTCGTGACTTCTGTATTTATAGGATTCAGTTCTTACTTCAAAAGCGCCACCTTGCTTACTCGTGACTTATTCTGTACTTGTAGGATTCTATTTCAAGGCATCGAGGGCGCCTAACCACGTATAGTCACGGGAGGCGACAACGGTTTTCTGCCCGCGCGTTACCGGATTAGGCGTTGTACCCGTTTTTCCTCCCAGACTCATTTTGCGGCTCACCACTCACTCATGGCTTCCAATAACTCGCACCCTTCTGCATCTATGGGTGGCGCCTCTGCTCCCTCTAAAGGCAAAGAGAAGGCTTCTTCAAGCAAAGTCAGAAAGATGGGTAAGTTACGCTCTCTGTTGCTTTATCTTTAATCTCTCGTATTGTGTTTGGGAATCTTAGTGGATCGCGCAGTGTATAGACGAGCTAAATGGAGACTCGCCGAGATCGCGAGCGACATCGAGGATGATCAATCATATACTCGTTTGGAGGCGCTTACCGAGGACGATACGTCAAGTGTGGATCTCGGCCCTGGCACGTCTAGTTCTCGGGTGGTTCGCGAGTCGGGCTATACTATCTTACCATGGCGGGGAATGTGGGGTGATGAGGCGCCTCCTTCCTCGGCGCGCCTACTAGGCCCTGACAAGCGTCCCAGTATTCAACTGCACCGAGTTTTGTCTTATATCCGTGGTCTAGGTTATCCTACAGACTGGGGGTATGCGCTTCCGAATTGTGGTGCTCGCATCGGGAGTTGCCCCGAGGGTTGGTTTGCGATTTATTCGGAGTATTTGAAGTGTGGCTTAAAGTTCCCGTTGGATCCCGTCTTATCGGGTATTTTGGAGATGGTTGGGTGTCCCCTTAGCTTTCTGTCTCCTTCGCTTATCTTCCACACCTGCGCCTTCACGCTTATCTGCAAGCGCCTAGGCTACATCCCTTCATTCTCTATCTTCCGTAGCATATACGCCTTGGAGCGGGGTAAGCATGGTTGGTCGCCCGTGAAGCGTGATAGTAAATACCAGGGACGGGTTTGCAAGGGATCGCCTAAGCTCCCTAGCAAATGGTATTGCTCTTACTTCTTTATTAGACCGACTCCTGGTACTTGGCATGCACCGACTTCGGCGCCTCTCTCGACTCTATGGGGTGAGGGTTCGAAAGAGACGTGGGCCAAGGACTTTTCCCTTGGGAAGCCTGAGCGAGAACAGAAGCACCACATTCTTCGTGCGCCTCCCGTGGATTTTGGGAGAAAGGGGGAGAGAGCGCGCGCCTTGGGAGAACTTTACGACCATGGTGTATTTCTTTCGAATGATTTTATTCTATCTCCCAACTTATGGTATTTGCATAACTCTTTTTTTTTTTGCAGATTTCGACTACTCGAGCCTAGCGAAGATGGCGAAGAAGACTCCTGGCGCCTCCGGAGTTAGGGCACAGAAGGCGCCTAGCATCCCTGCCGAGCGAACTCCCCGTTCATCTGGCAAGGCGTCTGACGACATCGAGGAGGCGTCTCCTCGATTGTTTCCTTCCTTGGGGTCACGTGACCCTCTCCCGGAGAAGACATTAGGCAAGCGCCATGCCTCGGCCGACTCTCCTGTTGCGGTTCCAAAGAAGAAGAACAAGCCAAGTCTTGGGAGTATTGATGAGATTTTGGCACCTCCTCGCTCGCGACGTGCCGTAAAGCCGAAGGAGCCTGTTCTAATCTCTCCTTCTGCTGCCCTCAATGCTCCAAGCGCCTTTACTTCGGCCGTGGAGTTGAAGTTCCTGCAGCTTCCCCTCGACGAGGGTACCTCTCCTGCAGGTTCTGCGTGCCAGCACATGTTCCAGGTATGCTTTCACACACTTTTACTATTAGTGGATTATGCTTCGTTACTAATTGTTGTTGTTTCTTGTTCAGGCGATGCTTGATGTGGTTACTCTTTCTGACAAGAGTGCGGAGAATCGAGATCGCGCCCATAAGAACTTTCTGTTGGCTTCTCAGCTGAAAACTGACAAGATCACTCTCCAAGGCGTTAACTCTCGTCTGGAGGATGAGTTGGCGTCGGTGAAGCGGCAGCTTTCGGACGCCTTGGCTGCTGAGAGTGTTTCTACTCGTGAAGAGAAGGAGAAGGAGATAACATTCCAGGCGAAGCGGATTGAGGCCTTGGAGAAGGAGCTACTGGCGATGTCTGCCGCTAGGGGTCACCAGAAGGTAAGTTCTCTTGCTGTGTCTTTCTTGCTTTCCCTCCATACGGGCTAAGTGCGTAAACCTTTTCTTTCAGGAAGAATTTAAGAAGAGGCTGATCAAGGAGCGTGAAGATGCCGTGGACGCCCACCTGTCTTCAGCAGAGTTTCGTGAGTGGCAGCAGAGCCTTCTGCTCGGAGTGAAGAAGAGGGCTTTCATCGGCATTCGTAAGAAGGTCCGCTCCGATAATCCTGGCATGAAGTGGGATACTCCGGAGGTCCGGCAGGCTATGGATGATTACTTCCTCTCCCTTGGTACGGATAACGAGCCTTCCGACTCGGACCCGTACCCCTTGGATGAGGGCGACTCTTCTGCCGATGTGGAGGTTGACGTCGAGAGGGTTGGGGAAGAGGAAGTGGGTGACAACGTCGATGCCAATGCTGGTGCCGGGGAAGGTGGTGGTGATATGGTTGCTGTCGATGGTGAGGGTGGCGCCTCGGATGGTGGCACCGATGGTGACTCTAGCTCATCCGACAATCACTCGAGCAAGTCGGACTAGTAGAGTCGGGATGTTTTTTCTTTTCCTTGTTTGTCTGGACTCAGTCAACTTTATGTTATCTTCTGCTTATTTCTCCCTTGCATGTCTGTGGATGTTTAGCTTTCGGGCTGTTATTTTGAACAATATTATCGGCAAGCTTTCCGTTTTCTTGGACCTATTGTGAATGTTGTTTTAGTTTCGTCATGTTTTTTAAGAAGTAACGCGTCTAGGCTTCTCCTCGACGGAGGAAGCAAGCTTTAGGTCTCTTCACACGTATTCTTGAAAAAGAAGTAACGTGCTTAGGCTTTTTCTTGAGGAAGGAAACAAGTTTTGGGCCTCCCACGCGTATTCTTGAAAAAGAAGTAACGCGTCTAGGCTTCTCCTTGACGGAGGAAGCAAGTTTCAGGTCTCACGTATTCTTGAAAAAGAAGTAACGTGTCTAGGCTCCTTCTTGACGAAGGAAGCAAGTTTTGGGTCTCCCATGCGTATTCTTGAAAAAGAAGTAACGCATCTGGGCTTCTCCTCGACGGAGGAAGCAAATTTTGGGTCTCCCATGCGTATTCTTGAAAAAGAAGCAACGCGTCAAGGCTTCTCCTCGACGGAGGAAGCGGGTTTGGGTGACCCCTTCTGCCGAGGCAGGAATTTTTGCGAGGGATATCAATTTTATCGCCTCTCATGGGGACTCGTACAACGAGCGCCCGATACTTGGATGGGCACCAAGTGTAAGCATTGGGGGTTTCTCCGACGGTCTGCGGGAAGACTATCTTGAGCCGAGCTTGATTTTTTCTACGTGTACTCCTGAAAAGGAGGTGATACGTTTGGGCTTCTCTTTGGCGGAGAAACCGAGTTGGCGGAGACTTTACCTGCTGATATAGGAACAACTTTGCTTTGCTGAATAGTGCATCTTCATTCTTTTAGCCAGATAGGGGATTACCTGGGGTGTTGCCAGGATGTGTCCCTTTACCCGAAAATTCCGAATATTACAAATTAAAACCGAACGAAAGAGACTCTCTTAGGGTGTCCTTGGGTTACCCCCCTTTGAAAGCATCCCTCTTCCCTACAAAACATGTCTACCTTTGAAGTAAAGCAGAAAAGAAAACAACACTTGAGTCTTCCCTAGGGTGTCTTCGGGCTACGCCTCTTTGAGAGCGCTCCTCCTCCCTACAAAATGTTAATCTTCCGATTACTCTTCTTGTGCTTCTTGCTCGCACACGTACTTTCTCAGATGCCTTGCGTTCCAGGTTTTGCTGACACGTTCTGCTTCCATGGTGGCGAGCTTGAAAGTGCTTGGTCCTATCACTTCCCTTACGACGAAAGGTCCCTCCCATTTAGCAGCCAACTTTCCATGATTGGGGTTAGGACGAAATACCTTTCTCAACACAAGGTCTCCTTCTTCGATGTGGTGGGGCTTTAGTTTTGAATTATAGTATTTTGCCAGCTGCTCTTTGTCCTCTACCAGCTTCCGAAGTGCTCCTACCCTTCTCTCATCTAGCATGTCCAGTTCATGAGCCATGCTGACATTGTTCTCTTCGTTGAAGTATTGGACCCGCAGGGTGGGCAACGCAACTTCCGTGGGAGTTACCGCTTCCGCACCAAAAGTTAGGGCGAATGGAGTTTCACCCGTAGAGCTTTTTGGAGTGGTGCGCAGCGCCCATAGTACGTGGGGGAGTTCCTCTACCCAATTTCCCTTATGCTCCTGGAGACGCTTCTTGAGTCCTTGAAGTATGGTTTTGTTTGCTGCTTCCGCCTGTCCATTCGCTTCTGGGTATGCCACGGATGAGAGCTTGAGCTGGATATTGTATTCTTGACAAAAGTCTGCGAAGGATGTGCAGTCAAATTGCTTGCCATGATCAGTGACGATGGAATTGGGAATACCGAATCGCGCAAGTATGTTGTTGAAGACGAATCTTTCGACTTGTTTCGCCGTGATAGTGGCCAATGGCTCAGCCTCGATCCACTTCGTGAAATAGTCTACTGCCACGATAAGGTATTTCCTTTTTCCCGAAGCTTTGGGGAAAGGTCCTACTAGGTCCATTCCCCATTGGGCAAAGGGCCAGGGACTGACGTTTCCTTGCATTGCCGTAGCTGGGAGGTGGTGTTCTTTGGCATGGGTTTGGCATGCATGACATGCCATAGTGAGTTGCTTCGCATCATTCCTCATGGTTGGCCAGTAGTACCCCTGCAATTTAAGCGTTCTTTCCAAGCTTCTCGGCCCTCCATGTCCACCGCACATGCCCTCGTGAATCTCATGGAGAGCCCACTTTGCCTCAGCCTTTCCCAGGCACCTAAGGTATACTCCTTCGTACGACCGTCGGTGTAGTTCCGAGCCGATGATGGTACAACGCGCCGCTCGCCTTCTTACTCCCGTGGCTTCTTTTGGATCTGTTGGAAGGGTATCATTCATGAGGTATTCAACGATTGGAACCCTCCAATCCTGCTCTTCCTGACCGACATTAACACTATTCACCCCTATTCCTGGGGTGCTTGGGCTTTCCTTCTCGACAATTACATGTCGCTCCTCCTCAAAGTCCACAGCGGTAGCTAGCTTGGAAAGCGCATCTGCATGCGCGTTATCCCCTCGTGCTATATGGGACAGTTTCCAATCCTCGAAAACCTGTGCTCTCTTCTTTGCCTCTTCCACGTAGCGCAGCAAACAATCTTCCTTGACTTCGAATTCTCCCAGCACCTGTCGAACCACCAATGCGGAGTCAGAAAAAACATCTAGGCGCCTCGCCCCTAACTCCTCCGCAATGCGCATGCCATTGATTAGTGCTTCGTATTCGGTCGCGTTGTTGGTCTTGAGTGTCGAGAATCGCAAGGCTACTTCGTGTGTGACACCACCTGGTGTTTCCAAGACTATGCCGGCGCCTGCGCCTGTCTTACTTGCCGCTCCATCAACGAACAGCTTCCACCTCCCTTCATCGGTTCCTGTAGGCTCGATCGTACCCTCTGCTACGAAGTCTGCCAGGATTTGGGCTTTGATGGAAGGGCGAGGAGCGTATTGTATGTCAAACTCACTTAGCTCAACTGCCCATTTAGTTAAGCGTCCTGAAGCACTCGTACTATGCAGAATTCTCTTCATTGGTAGGTTGGTCAGTACGGTGACCGTGTGCCCTTGAAAATAAGGTCTCAGTTTTTGGGCGGCAGTTACCAATGCCAGAGCTGCCTTCTCAATGATTGGGTACCTCCTTTCAGTTGGTAAGAGCGTTTTGCTGATGTAGTACACTGGCTGGTCTGCAAGAGTTTCAGAGTGACGCCTGACGAGCACCGCACTGATAGCTACGTCTGATATGGCAATGTAAAGGAACAAACGCTCTCCCTCTTGTGGAGCCACAAGGATAGGAGGGTTTACCAGCAGTGTTTTCATCTCCTCGAATGCTTTCTCACATGCTTCCGTCCATTTGAACTTGGATTTTTTCTTTAGAGAATTGAAGAGGGGGGCGCACCTATCCGCTGACCTTGGAATGAATCTATTGAGCGCAGCGAGTTTACCTGCTAATCCCTGTACTTCCTTTACTGTTCTTGGCGACTTGAGTTCGGCAATTGCCTTTATCTGTTTCGGATTAGCCTCAATACCACGGCGAGTGATCATGAAGCCTAAGAATTGACCCGCCCCTGCCCCGAACACGCACTTGAGGGGGTTAAGCTTCAGATTGTGACACCTCAGGTTCTCAAACGTCTCCCTTAAGTCGCTTAGGTGGTCACCCTCTTTCTTACTTTTGATTAATACATCATCCACGTATGCTTCCACATTCCGTCCTATCTGCCCTCCAAAGACCTTGTCCACCATTCTCTGATAGGTAGCGCCCGCATTCTTTAAGCCGAATGGCATCACTATATAGCAGTAGTTCCCGTATGGGGTCATGAAAGCTGTTTTTTCTTGATCCTCTTCGCTTAGAGGGATCTGGTGGTACCCTGAAAACATGTCAAGAAAACTTAACATCTCATGATTTGAGGTAGCATCGACTAACTGGTCAATCCTTGGTAGTGGATATGGGTCCTTCGGGCATGCTTTGTTTAGCGAGGTGAAGTCGATGCACATTCGCCATGTCCCATTGTGTTTCTTGACCAATACTGTGTTTGCCAACCATTTCGGGTACTGCACTTCTCTAATAAAACCTGCCTTAAGCAGCTTCTGTACTTCTTCCATCATGGCCACCCTCCTTGCCAACGATGCTCCCCTCCTTTTTTGTTGCACTGGTACGCTCTCCGGTTTGACGGAGAGTTTGTGTTCCATAAGATCCCTAGAGACACCCGGCATGTCTTCGGGGCTCCAAGCAAACAGATCAGCGTACTCCCTTAGCAGGTTGACCATTGGGAGACGCATGTGCTCTGGTAGATGAGCGGAGAGTCGGACAACCCGGCTCGGGTCGTCAGGGTCTAATGGTAGTTCTATCTCTGAATCAACTGCTCCAGGACGTGGTACTTCTGTCGGTCTAGCGTCGATCGTATGTATTTTTGGCTTGTGAATGGTCGCCGCATAGCACGCTTTTGCTGTCTTCGCATCTCCCCTGGCTATCCCCATTCCCTGGGGCGTTTGGAATTTCATCGCCTGATGGCAGGTTGACGCTACAGCTCCGAACCGAGCTAGGAAGGGCCTCCCTAGGATGGCGTTATATGCGGACGGGCAATCGGCAATGTGGAAGTCCACCGGGTGCGTGGCACTTGGTTCCTCGTCTCCTACCTTGACTCTTAAGCGCGCAGTCCCTAGTACCTTTACCTTTGCTCCAGAAAAGCCGACAAGTTGAGCTTCTGAGGTTTTCATGACCTCGGGAGGTGCTTGCATTTGGCGCCAGCAGGAATAGAACAGTATGTCAGCGGAGCTCCCACTATCTACCAGTACTCGGAACACCTTATACCCTTCCACCTGTATGTTGATGACAAGGGGATTTTCAGACGGGCCCTCCGGGGGATAATCTTGTGATGTAAATGACAAGCCGGGACCCTCTTGCTTTGCGATCTTCATACACCATGTGTCACTCGCTTGCCCTTTGCGCTTCTTCTTTCGGTTGGGCTCCCCTCCTGTGATGGTTCTTATCTCTTTAACGTTTGGGTTAGGACCCAGACGCTCCTGTACTGGTGGTCTTGCGGCTGGAGAGCGACTGCGCTCCCGAGGGGATCGATTTCCTTGTTCAGCTTTTTGGAACATTTCCCTTACTCCTCTCCGATCAGAGATTATCTTAAGTGCTTTTTTGAAATAATGACAGTCAACGGTGTTGTGGGTGCGAGAGTTGTGGTACTCGCAGTACATATCTGCTTGCCCTCGAGGTTGGTTTGCATTTTCGCGGTTGGTTCGGTCTCGACGAGGCTCTTGTGAATTTGCAAGAACGTCCCTTCTTACCCAGACATTGGGACGTCGGGCATCGTCTCGTCGATCGGGACTCCTCCTTCTGGTCCTGGGCGCCTCGCCCCTTCCATTCTGAGCTGGGCGCCTAGTCCCACTTCCCTGCTCCTCTTCCTTTGCCCCTAGCGCCTCCTCCATGAGGATTGCTTTTTGAATCTTTTCCTCTAACTCAGCCACCTGTCGTATCTCTCGTTTGGCTAGGGAGCGCCTTAGTTCTTCGTTAGTACTTGCATCCATTAAATTGGTGCGCATGAGTGGAGGGGTTAAGTCTTTGACGTCAGCCGCGACTTCCCACCATCGCCCCATGAAGTGCCTGAGGCTCTCTCCCTTCCTTTGTTTAAGATTGACAAGCGCACGGACCGTCAGCGTTTGTTTCTTTTGGCTTGCATACTTTGTTGTAAATAACAAAGCGAATTGAGAAAAACTCTGAATGATGCCCTCTGGGAGTGAGGAGTACCAACTACTGCATCCCCCGGTGAAGGTTGAGGGGAATGCCTTGCACAAAGCAGCGTCGGACGCATTGAGGAGTTGCATTTTGCGACAGAACGTACTTAGGTGATCTTCTGGGTCAGATTTTCCGTCGTATGAGGGTAGGCCGATGCTTGCGAAGTTTGATGGGATTGGTGTTTCGAGTACCCCTTTTGACAATGGCTGCTTAATAATTTGGGCACTCCTGTCTTCCGAGGCGCCGTAGTTAAGCCGAGCGTACTTCTCCATGTAGATGTCGGTGTCAGCTTCCATTGCATCTTCATTTGGCAAGGCGCCCACACCCTCCCGTGGGGAGTTTGTGGGTGCCGCCTCAACCTCCTGCATCTTCCCTCGGAGGCGCCTCCTCTCTTCCATGGCTTATTGGGGGTTCGGAGGCGCCTGGTCGTTGACCTTTGTTAGTGCCGTTAACGCGGTCATGACTTGGTCTAGTTGGCCTTGCATGTTTGCCATTTGGAGCGCTTGCTTTTTCCGAAGCTCCGTTAGTTGCTCCTCTAGGCGCTCGGCGCCTTCTCCGTCTCCTGGTGGGGCATCGTCATCGGACACTTCTAAGCCTTGGATGGTGAGCGGTTGGGGGTTGATCGCCTCGCGCCCAACCACTTGCTTGAGAGGGGTCTTTGTTGGTACCGGACTCCTTTCTTCTCCCTTCTTTGAGTTGGAAGCGTCTTTCAAAGTCATGCTTGGCCCCACGGTGGGCGCCAATTGTTTGAGCCCGGGCGACTGGGCGTCACTCGGGTCCAAGGGGTTTGGGGTGTCAGCCATGACCTTGAAAGGGTAGGCGCCCCTCCTCGTCCGAAATAAGAGAAGAGAAGAAGTGTATAGAGAGAGAAAGTAGAGAGAAGCAGTAGTAAGTGTAGATGGATTGCCATTTATGAGGAGAGAGCTCCTATTTATACACATTTGAGGGTTAGGTAGTGGTCTGGGCGCCTGCCAAGCCATAAATGCTCTGGTCGGGCGCCTCAGACTCTCTGACACTGTTCATAGTCCTTTTGGCAGAGGGTGTCCCCCTGCCCCTTGTCCTTGCTGATGTCAGGTGCCTGGGCTTGTCTCTTGTCCCCCAGCCTTGTCTTTTTCCTCTTGTCTTCTTCCCTTCTCCATGTCATTAGCTATGGTATTAATTCCTTAGTCACTATGATACCCTATCAAATCCCGTAAGCATCCTATCAACTTACTCAAGCTTTTGGTCTTAAGCATTTGCTCCAATGTCGGTGTTGGATTGTACCATTTCCAGCGGCGGATCTAGGGGGTCGCCCCCGGGCCATGGCCCAGCCCTCCCTCGATCCAGAGCTAGTATAACACTTGTAAATTTTCGATTTTCGATGTTTGTTTCAATGTTTGTCGTGTTACGACCCAACCCTATTCACCTTTTTTAAAATATGGTCCAGTGCTCTACTCGATCCTGGATCCGCCGCTGACCATTTCATGCTAACCAAAACATGACTTCGATCAATCGACACCGTCCATCAAAACACATCTTTTTGTTAATTAGTCATTTATTTTCAAGACCTACAAATTTATGATTTATAAATCAGGTAGGTTATTAATATGACATTGATCATTGGTATATCCTAGAATGATTTACATGGACTATTTGTACTTTACAATATGAAATTCTGATACAAATTAGGTTGCATTTGGCGTAAAATAGTACCTGTAATAAGAAATTAACCAACAACAAAGTGCTCATGAACGAGATGACAACAAATATTTCTTTTTTTATTTAAATTAGATCATGATATCAAAATACACATTTTTTATGATCTAAAAATACTTACACATAAACTTAACCTACTTAGTCATGTGGTCATATTGGACCATCATACCATTCTAACTCGAAATGAACAACATAAATCAAATTTTATTCAATGAAACACATTTGCAGTATTTCTCATAACTTATTTTCGAAAGACTTTGCCAAAATTTAGGTCGGATAAGAACTATCCTCCCAAGACCCAAATGGCAATCCAATATATGAAACCAGGCCGGCAAAACTACAAAAGGCCAGGGTCCCCCACCACCGTCAAACCTTATTCGAAAGACTCGAAGTACGCTGTATGAAAGTTTGAAGCAATCACATAGGAGAGTTTAGAGATGGGGAAAGAGAAGAATAGGGTAGAGATTATAAGAGTAGAGAGAGACTAAGGACGGACGGACGGACGGACCTTTGCCTTACCCTTAGCTTTTTAGCTTTAGCCATTAGCAGACGCTCGATCTAATTCCCTTCTTCCGTCCTTTCTTTCTATTACATCACATCTCCTGACCTCGGTCTCTCTGCCTCTCTCTTACTCGGTCGCTCTCTCGTAGGCAAGCTCTCCTCTTTCGGTATATTCCCATCTCATCTCGCCGCGCAGCTTCATCTCCTCCTGTTTCTTGTCTTTCGTCGTCATCTCCTCCTCCTTCCTGCGCCTTGTACACTCGTGTTCTGTTTCTTGATAGAAATTCAATGGTGGGCTTATGTGCTTGGGGTGTGGGGATTGGTTGGGTTACAGCTTCCCGGAACCGCCAATACTGATTGCTGTTCCGGTTTCGCGCTAAAGTTTTGTTCTTTTCTCTTTTTTCATGTTCTTGTTCGTCTCTGTTCTGCTTTCGGATGGGGAAAGCTCTTCTAGGGTTTTGAATTTTCGCGCAAAGGGCGAGCTGAATTAGGTAGTTCGTGGGGGGAATGTTGTGGGATGGTTTCTTGACATGAATGGTTGATGGTGTTTTGAGTGACTGGGCGAAGTATGGTTGTTTGTTTCAACTGGGGGGTTGTTGTCAACTCGAAAGCTTGATTCTTGGTGTCTCTGTTTATTTTGTTTGGGATTCTGGGATTTGTCGCCTTTTTTGGGTACTTGATTGGTAGTGCATCTCAGAATGAATCACACTGAAGTGGGATGTTAGTTATTAGAGTGTGTGTTTATTTTTCCTCTCCAAGAGGAAGCAGCAGGGGTCATTACTTGCGTTGTTCTTAGTCGTGGAGCTTGTGGATTAATTGTGGTTTCAATCTTCTGCAGGCTTTACTCGAAATGACTGAGCCCTCTAAAGTTATCCATGTTCGCAATGTCGGGCATGAAATTTCTGAGGTATATCTCCCTCTCCCTCCTTTTATGTTTCTATCTTTCTCATTCTTCAGCATCACACTAAGCTCACTGCAGTAATGACTGTAGTTTATGTACATTTTTGTAGCATTCTGAATTTGTTTCACGCTTGCAAAATAAGCAGGACTTGCCTTTTTGTTTAAGATCGATAAGAAGGGTCAGTGTATTATGTCATCTCATGGCACTTGAAACGATCGATTTCGTTTATTATAGTGGTCGTAGTTAATGCATCAGCAAACACATTTTAATTGCCAATATGGTATGATATATTAGGATTTGGAAAGAATCTACTGCTCGTTGTAAAGTTTTGCGCTGCAATGTGACCACGTGTCAGATTGTATATCTAACAGTACTGTTGCGTGCTCTAGGCACGTTTACTTGACATGGAACTCTGAGTGTGTCTTGAAATAAAATTTAATGACGATTTGTTTCATCCCTCGTGCAGATGTCCTGACTTTTTTGTGCTATATAGTTTTGGTGTGACTGTTGATTGTCAAGATATTATACATAATGTAAATGCACCGTCAAAAAAAGTTCTTAATTCTGAAGCAAGACTCATCATGACATGTCATGAAACTGGAAAATCTTATGACCTTGCACTATATTAGTAGTTCATTCAGACACTGTAACCCAATTTAAGTATACTTTCAAGTATGGTGATCAATTAGTGAATGGCTAAGTGTGCTTGTTGCAACAGAAGATATTTATTTGGGCAGAGGTTGCTTTTTGTTCCTAGAATGGCCATATGGATTTGAATCAGTCTTGATTTTTCTATGCCTGCCTCTAATGCTTATTGCTTTGTATTTCCAGAATGACCTGCTCCAGTTATTCCAGCCATTTGGGGTTATAACAAAGCTTGTTATGCTTCGTGCTAAAAATCAGGCATGTTTTCTATCCCTTTAACGATAAACAAGCTTCGAAAGCAACAGATCGGATGTAGAAAACATAAAAAAAATATCATCCATTAGTGATTCATGTGTAGATGTGCTGGTTATGTATGTATCGTATACAAGTAACAGCAATCACTGATAACTTTGTTGTTTGCTGTTGTGTAGGCTCTCCTTCAAATGCAAGATGTTAATTCAGCAATAAGTGCCCTGCAATTTTATACAAATGTGCAGCCAACAATAAGGTAAATGATGAGCCCTTTTTGGTTATTTTGAGGAGCCTTGAAGGGGAACTTCATTTTCATATACGTTCTTGCAATGCAAAAACATCTATATCTACAGACATAGTTCACTTCTTATTATCTCATCTTTGGTTGTAGGAGATTTACAAAAGTTTCTTTCTTTCAGAGGTAGGAATGTCTATGTCCAGTTCTCATCACATCAAGAGCTAACTACAATGGATCAAAGTACTCAAGGACGAGGAGATGAGGTTTGTACTCAAGCAACCTTAGGCATTTAAAAGTTCTTACTGTTAGAATATAATCCGAAGATAGTCTGAAATGTGGCTTCATGTTCGACGGACTGTTGATCCCCCCTTTTGCTTGGTTCTCCTACTTATATGTTCACATGATCCCAGGCAAGCAAATGAATTGCAATTATTGTAATAATACACGAGAATGATGTTTGTATACGTTTTTTGTTGTTTTTTTGCGTGTTCACAACATCTAACCTCTATGGGTTGATTGAGCTTATTATAATATCTTATCGTCACCTTTGCTCCTTTCTTTGGTGTTTAGATGGTAGAATGCTGGTTCTTAGAATGCAATTTTATTTAAGCATATGCCTTCCTACTAGTTCTCTCGATTGTAAAACACATTAAGCATGATAGGGTATTCTACTGTGAGAAGTTTATTGCATTTTCTATCAAAATTTTATAGGTTATTCTACTGTGAGAAGTTTATTGCATGTTCTATCAAAATTTCTAGGTTTGTTCTGAACTTGAGTAATACTAACTATAACTTAGATATTTCTCATCTTCCACTTTCGCTTTCTTTCCCGTGCCTCTAATATCTTCTCCTCTTTGTTAATCTTTATATCTTCTCTTCCTCATTCTCTTCTTTCTCTTGTCTCCATGTCTGGTATGTTGTTGGGCACTCTATGGATGCAGCAGCCAAATCGAATTTTGTTAGTGACAATCCATCACATGTTATATCCTATTACAGTGGATGTGCTACATCAAGTTTTTTCTCCTTATGGATTTGTGGAAAAGATTGTGACTTTTCAGAAGTCAGCTGGTCAGCTTCTTCTAGCTTCTCCTCCTATTTCTTTCTGTTGATTCTAGTTTCTGGTGTTGATAGCATTTGGTATTTGCTTTTGCGATCTGTAGGCTTCTTATCTCCCACACTTCCGCCAATGCGTTATGGAGATTTTTGACAGTGTCTTGGTTAACTGATAATTCTTTCTTGATCATCTGGTGTTTAATGTGTTTTAGGTTTCCAAGCCCTTATTCAGTACCAAGTACGCCAGAGTGCAGTATCTGCTAGGACATCACTTCAGGTACCATTCTTTCCTTTCATGTTGAAGATCATTTGAGCTCTTACGTGGGCCCTGGTATCTGATTGGAGAGCTGCTGGGCTGGTATCTGCAGGGCCGTAATATATATGATGGCTGTTGTCAGCTTGACATTCAATTTTCAAAGTATGTACTCTGTGGCCCTACTCTATTCAGTATAGTCTTTGTGGTATCTGGTGTACTTCCTTTCTGGTCCTTTTAGCTTCGTCACCCTTTGTAGATTTGGTTTCTTCCTGCTTTTTTTACATTGATTTTTGGGTTTTGTCTTTCTAGTTTGGACGAGTTGCAAGTGAACTACAATAATGATCGGTCAAGGTAAATGTTTAATCTCATTTATCCTTGTGATGTTATTGAGAATATTGGATATTGTTTTTCAATACTGACCATTGTCTCTCTTTGTCAGGGATTTTACCAACCCAAATCTACCTTCAGAACAGAAAGGGCGATCCTCTCAAGTACGATCGTGATCCATGTCTTTGATCCTTCCACAGCTTCCTTTCGGGATCCAAGTTTTTACTGGCTCTAAAAAACTTACTAAATCCTATTTCTTTTGTGTCGGGGCTGCAGTCTGGATATGGAGATGTGGGGGGCATGTATGACCATCAATCCTCTGCTGCCGGTGCAGGTGTGCTATATGCCTATATCTATAAATTTACAAAATTCCGTTCTCTTTTCTTGTTTAGTGCATGCTTTGTGGGCATAAATTAATCCTTCATTTCCTTTTTGTCTATCTTGCAGTTCCGTATCCTCAGGTGGGTCTCTCAAGGATGGCTATGGGTTTATTTAAAATGGATGACTTTTGTGTTCACTTCCTACATTATCATTCCTTGTCAAACAACAGGCAACTGAATCAATACCAAATTTTCAAAACCTGCACTTAGTTGTGTTGCTCACTTTGTGAGGCAATGGTCATAATATATGTATACAACCTTGTTGAGGATGATGCTTGAGCTGCATATGATTTATATTGAACCTGGTTTTCTATGTGAAGTTGTAACACAATATCGTGGTCCTTTTGTGGTACTTTAGATGGGGAATGCCGCTGCAATTGCTGCTGCCTTTGGTGGAGGATTGCCTCCTGGTATTAGCGGAACTAATGACCGCTGTACTGTACTTGTATCCAATTTAAACCCTGATGTAAGTGTGCTATCTGTTAATTCTCTTTGAAAATATTTGGTTTGGATTCATCCCTGGAACTGTTGATTCCCGAGGCATATTTCCACTGCTGCAGAGAGTAGATGAAGACAAGCTTTTCAACCTTTTCTCTCTCTATGGAAACATTGTCCGAATCAAACTTCTCCGCAACAAACCTGACCATGCACTTGTTCAGATGGGAGATGGCTTCCAAGCTGAGCTGGCAGTCCACTTCTTAAAGGTTTTGTTCATTGCTATTTCCTTTCACTATTTTGATCAGCTTGCTAAACTAATAAGTCAACCTTATCATTTGGTAAAATTTGTGTTTCGGACAGGGTGCAATGCTATTTGGGAAGCGCCTGGAAGTCAACTTCTCGAAGCACCCGAACATAACTCAGGGTGCTGACACTCATGAGTACATTAACTCGAATCTCAACCGCTTCAACCGCAATGCCGCAAAGAACTACCGCTACTGTTGCTCTCCGACAAAGATTCTGCACATCTCTTCCCTACCTCAGGACATTGGTGAGGACGAGATTGTGAGGCACCTGGAAGAACATGGCCCAATCATCAACACTAAGCTATTTGAGATGAATGGAAAGAAGCAGGCCCATGTCCAGTTTGAGACAGAGGAGGAAGCCACAGAAGCCCTAGTCTGCAAGCATGCCACCACACTGGCTGGGTCGATTATCAGGATCTCCTTCTCTCAGCTGCAATCGATCCGAGAAAGCTCGTGAAGCAAGGGAGCAGTCCTACTCAGGGTAAGGGATTGAATATGGACGTTAATGATTGTCTCTAAGCGAAATTGGGATCTTTGGCAAAGGATGGTCATGTTGTTAAAATGTGTGCTTTGCTGCTGATGCAAACCGTTTGTTTTTTCTTGGTGTACTGCTCTTCACTGGCCTCCCATGGTAGATGATGGTGATTATGCTTTGTTTTGATAATTTCGATTGGATCACCCTAGTGACCTCTTTCTAAGATATTATTGTAGTACTGCCTTGCTTCCAATTACTTTTGCTCGATGGTCGGTTGGATTTCAGCTATCATCATGGCTAACATGAAGAGTCGCAGACTATAGATTGGAGTTTCTTGATTTTTGCAGATAGAAGCTCCGGTTTTCAATAGTGAGAAAGTAGGGAGGCAGGGAGGGGGAGAGTTTTAGTTTTGGCCCAAGTTTGAGATAGAGAGATGTTTGTATCATCTTATTTGTGTATAATTCTTGGTTTATAAATCAGCTCTTTGTTGAACCCTCCTCTCCTCTCCTCACTAATCACTATCATCTTCTTCTTCTTCCCTTCCATCCTTCCAGGGCTTCCCTCTCCTTCCATTCCCCTCTCTGATCATGCTGTCTTTCTCTGTTTCTTTTCTTCCAAGCTCACCTATTAGACATTCCTCTAATCTCCATCTTTCCGCTTCTCGTCGTCTTGATTCTCTGTTATCTCCCCTCCTTCCTTCTGTCTGTGGTTTGTGGCCAACAGGAATGATCTTCGGTTCGCGCTCGAGGGAGAAAAGTTTATAGCTTTTGATTCATCTCTTGAAAAGCTGGGTCTGGCTCTTCTTCAAGGAAATGCGACTTTGGGTCATGCAGCCAAGAACAACCGATTGTTAGCAGCTATCGAGCGTAACTGGATTGTTTCTGAACGATGTGTTGTTTCGAATGCGATCCACTTTCGATACTGATGATGTTCCAATACTCGAATTCTTGATGAACACTCAAATGGTTTGCAGAGCTCTGGTAACCACGTCCACCAATGGTTTCATGAAGCTGTGAGATCGAATCCTACACAATCTAAATGACGAGGCTATCAGAGCATCACACGCCGCACCTTAAACTACTAAGTACTAAACATCACGAGCATTTAGCTTCTTTTTTCCCAACAACTGGCATTCCTCTCTCTCTGGTTTAGTTCATGGACACTACTCTAATCCGGATAACGTCCTCATTTCTGCCCAAGCATCGTCCCAATTCGGTCTCTCGATCCTCACTATGCTCCCGCAGTTGGATCAACTCGAATAGGATGCTGCTTTACCACAATTACTCCAGCGCCAGTTTCACGGTGGCGGGAACCGGCAGCGGAGGAGGAGAGGAGCCGGTGGCTTTGGACGAGTCGGCGTACGAGGCGGAGAGGTTGCGGCTGGACGCGCTGGCGCGGAAGTCGATGGCCGAAGCTTCGGCGAGGGAGATGATGGAAGCCGACGGCGGCGGTGAGGCGGAGGATCCGAAAGCTTGGAAGTGGATAATCCGGAAGCGGGTCTGGGATTTGATGGAAGCCCGGAACTTCGCTCAGAATCCCCGACCCGTTCATCACCGGATCCCCAATTTCGTCGGAGCTTCGACGGCCGCTCAAAAGGTTTGAACTTTGAAGTAAATTAGCTTTGCCAAAACTGGAATTTGTTTACTGTTTCTGGAAATTATTACCGTTGGTTAAAATTTCCTGGCAGTTGGGCGAGTTAGAAGAGTTCCAAAGGGCGAGTTGTGTGAAGGTAAACCCAGATTCACCTCAGAAGCAAGTCAGGTTCCTAACCCTTTCTGGTAAACAATCTTCAACTTCACCTCTTCAGCCGGACAAAGGGCTATCAGATGAAGGGCTGTAAGAAGATAGCCATTGTTTTTCTTTTTGCAGATGGGAAGAAGCTGCTAACTCCTCAACCTCGGCTGAGAACCGGGTTCTTCTCGGTGCTGGATCCTGACTCCAACACCAGGTTGAATCCCAGTACTATACTCGAGGCTTGTACGTCCGTTGGAGCTGCGAAATACGGTAGGCCGATTGGGCTGGACGAGAAGATCAAGGTGGATCTTATCGTCATTGGTTCGGTTGCTGTTGATCCCACCAGCGGGGCTCGACTTGGCAAGGGCGAGGTAAGTGCGTAAACTGAACTCTCACCATTCTACCCGCCTGATTGTCGGAGTGTTTTTTTCTCGTTCTAGTGGGAATGTTGAAAGAGGAGGTTTTGCTTGGATGATGGAAGCAGGGATTTGCAGAGCTTGAGTATGGAATGCTGCGATATATGGGGGCCATTGATGACTCTACGCCGGTTGTCACTTCAGGTAAGTTGAGCTCAAGAAGAGGACGAGCTTACAGTACAATGTTTAAACATGCTACGGTTCTGAAGAAATTAAGGATTTGCTGTCCTAATTTTTTCCCCCTGGAATGCCCATTCTGCAGTGCACGATTGCCAATTGGTCGACGATATCCCAGTAGACAAACTGCTGATCCACGATGTCCCTGTCGACATTATATGCACGCCAACACGAGTCATATTCACAAACACCGGCATCCCAAAGCCTCAAGGTCAGTTTTGCTATCAGTGTATGCATGGTGTTGGCTTACATAACCAGAGGCATTTCAATAAATCTAAGACATTGGCTTGCATTACTCTTTTGTTTATCTGCAGGGATCTACTGGGATAAATTGTCTCCAGAGAAACTCGGCCAAGTTCGGATACTCAGAGAGCTCAAGAGACGAATCGAGAAGGAAACTGGACACAAACTTCCTACTGGACCATCAGAGAAACTACCCCCTACTGCTCAGCGGAAGAAACGCAGATAAGAGTTCTGTAATGAAGCCATTTCTTACTCCAGCTTATAGCGACACTCCTGGTGTATAATGAAATGAAGAAATTTGGTACACTAGTAGTTGAAACGATTCTGTATTGTAAGCAAATTGTTTCTTCTAAAATTACATAATAGAGACAAGGAAATACTCGAAAGAACACTCGGGGTTTGCTGCTAGTATGTACACACCTAAACTGTCTCAGACACATTTGATTGTTCTTTGACAGGGCAAGAAAATACTCATCGTTTAGTACCTTATACCATTCTGGTGAGTGGAGTCGCATTTTTCTGATGCAAAATTCTTTCGGCGGGAGCTAGGGTTTGTGGCATCGTCATACCAACTGAGACAATGATCTCTGCATCATAGATGGCGAAAATTTCATTAACATACAAAGCCTGACTATACTTGGCTTGAAAGAACAAATATGGAGCACAATATGAAAGACACTCTTGTTGCATATGTACATTGAAAAGCTTAACAGAATCATCAGGGAGTCGAGGAGGATAAGGCGGACTGACCTATTCCTTCCCGAATTGACAAGTTTGGTCTGATGATATCTTTCGAGTTGACCAGAAAAGTGTCTCCAATATACAGATGGTTTGTTGGAACATAAACGCTGCACAATTCTTCATCCCCGTCTTCTCTCTGGATGAAGCAAGCCACAACTTCAGGAACTTGTGTGGATTTGATTTATTAAAGCCTTTTGGACAGTACTTGAAAGGATGAATATGTATAATTCTTGCACTTGCACATGAGTTAATATAGCGAGAAAGTTAAAATGGCCCACAAAGAAGCTTCGCAAGTACTATCATTTTCATCGGTGTACACCCTTCACAGTGACATGGAAAACAGATCTAGCTATATATTTCACATCCTTAATGGAATTGTGCATAGTTTAGAGGCTTGTATTAAAATGGGACCACTTGACTGAAGTTCAAGCCAGTTGCCAATCACAGAGCTCCTCTAAAAAAATGTGTTAAATATTTACCTGAAGGAGAAAAGTCGATGTGATGAAGCCAAATGCATATTCCCCTTGACGTGGATGACGGATGATTGCCACCTCTTTAAATGCAGTAGTATTCTGGTCTGCGATTTAAAGGAGTTCATCAAGGGTAGTTCTAAGTAAATTCATTAGTTCTAAAATGCATTCTTTTATGAGGATAACCAATTTCGTCTCTCTTAACCTCTCCAAAACCTCTGCATTTTATTATGGGAAATGAAAAGGAAATAGCAAAATGTAGTCATCACGGGATCCTTCTTGCAAATTGGAAGGCCTATTTCCTTTTTCCTTCACAAGGGTTTCAAAGTAACATATTTTTTTTTTGGGAGATCAAAGAACATTCATCTAAAGAATTACCAGGAGATATAGCTGCACTGAGTTGCTTGGAGGCTGAATACAAGTGCTTCACAAATGGCATTTGCTTTATGAGCCATTCACCAAGCCAGAATACAGTGGCACCAAACCATGATGAAGCAAATATCCCCACGAAGAATATGAAAAGTAGTGACGTAATAAATCCAAGGCCTGTTTCAGCAGCAGTCGTATATATCAGTAGCGGATAGAGCAGAAGGAACAAGTTAAGGTAATACTTATACCAATTGAACAGATTTACCATCTCGAACAACTCAGCATGATCAAACATCTAATCACATAAAAGAGAAATGGAAAGATTTCAGCAAATAATTGGTGAGTGGTCTATTAAGTATCTTCAAGAAGCAATGGCTTCATGTTGCAACAGAAGCTCCAGCAGAGGTCAAAACGATCGTAGAGTTCTTTCGCCTACTCTTGCAAGATCTAACTAACACTAGAGAGGCCCTAAAAACTAGCTAATTTCCTAGAAAGTAACAATGGCCCCAAGATGATGATGAACTTTGGAATGTTTGGAAATAGCTTGCTAATATCAGCATGAATATTCAAGGTTGAGAAATGATATAGACAAGACCTATGATACCTTTAACTTCGCATTAGAAGTTTAACCTATATTTTGGTTAGGTTTTGTCATGAGACTCGTATGTTTGGTATGAAATGTGATGGAAATAAATTGATTGGGATTGGTCAAAGAACTTTAAGTTTTGAAATATGGACAGGTCATGTGGTGAGAAGGACAAAAATATCCATGTGGAATGAAAATGCTAGTCTATGGTTTCACAGTTCTTTGCCAAACCATAGATATCTACTATAGACCCTAAAGTTTAAAGACTTAGAAACAGAATTGGCTCTAGACACTATAAAAGCTTACCCCTCACAAATTATAATACGGAGATTGGCAATTTGCCAATCAATTAATTATCCACACCATTCCCATACTACATAAAACTGAGTCGCTATTTAATGGATTCATGGTAACACATGCTCTGGTGCCAGGTAACAGAGTATGACTCTGGAGAAAAAAATTCCAGTAAATAATCTTACCAAATATATCAACGCCAAGTTGTTCATATATCGGACTGAAGAAGCTGTCCACAAACTCAACAAACCACCATGTGACCAAGAATGTCACAGCTACTGGAAACAGAACAATGCTGCAATTGTCACCGACCCAAATTAGCATCAGACGAGACAAGGAAATAGAACAAAAACAGAGATGAAAGAAGAAAATCAAATAAAAACTTGAAAGAGACGAGAAGCTTCTCATTACCATCCAGTCATGAACTTCTTGGATACCCAACTTTGCAGAACAGCATAGCAAGCCTGATAAAAACTTAAAACATTGTTAGGAATGCACAACACTGGAATTCCATAACATGCATCAATCACTACATCATATTTCTAGCTCATCCTTCTAAATGGCCTCCCCCTCACAACTGGATCCAGTCTCAGAAATTACATGTTTTACTATACGGCGACATATTTGGCATGTACGAATCTCCAGCCAAAGACCCCCCCAGCTTGTTTCGGGAGTCTGCAAACCCTTGATTCTCCACTCACATTGAACCTGATCTTGAGTACCGCACTCAAATCTTAACCCTAAGATCAATTCAGCAATAGCATTGACGTGGATTCATCAGGGGAAATGATTCATCCTCCAACATCTTCTCAACATTTTCACCCCGTAACTCACCTCCATCAATCATTAACCTTGCAGGTTGACTTGCTTTCATTCCAACAGCGGAAATGGAAGAAAAAAAAGGAATCACTTAACTAGATCCCGAACCAGAGATCAATACCAAATTACATTCGAATACGCCAAGCACACAGGTGAGAAGAATTATGGAGAACCTTAGAATCAAAATTGACCAGAAATGGAAGGTTTGATCGACGAGTCAACAGAAGCAAAGTCTCTCTCTCGCCGCAGGAAAGAGACAAGTAGCGATTGGCGAGAGTGAGTGAGCGGAGTTAACCTTGCGAGTGGAAGAGCCAGGGGAGCTAGGAGGAGACTTGGGGACATCTTCCGAGTCGGACTCGTGGCGGGTCAGATCTTGCTTCTCCGAGCTTGACGACGACGATGATTCTTTATCCGCTGCCATTCTCTCAACAACACCTGAAAACCCTCCTTCAACTTCGAGCTGCTTGTTGCAAGAAAATAAAAATCCAGAGAGCCCTACGGCGGGGGCGAACTCCCGGGAGGAAATGGAAGCAGGAAGTCGCCGGAGCAGACTTCTGGATTTTCTTTGTTTCTTTTGCTTTCAGTTGGTTGGGCATATGGGGGCTGAAAGACCGGCGGGCGGACTGTGGAAGGTGGAAAGGAAGACTGGAGGTTGAAACTGGACACACAAGTATAATATTTCATTTATTATTTTCCCTCGTGAATTTTTGTGTATCCCTAAATATTTAATTTTATAAGAAAAAGAAAAAGATTATCAAGCTGTGTATATATATATATATATTTTTTTTTACCAAAGATAACTTGCATTACCAAGAACAACAAAGATACAACGTTTAAAGCTCCCAATGGAGCCAAGCGCAAAAATCGAAACTGCTCAAAGTACGCAGAGACAAAGAGAGGGTTTTTCTAGCCACTAAATGGGCTGCCCTATTGTTCTGTCTGCCTACAAAGTGCACTGAGAATCCCGGATTATCTCGGAGCATCCACTTGATTTCCTGCAACACCGCTCCGCCTAGCGCATCATTTACCACTCCTGCTCTGACTTTATCAATGATCCCCTTTGCATCACCTGCGAGAAGCATTGTCGTAAATACCGCGCCAACACACCACCGAACGGACTCTCGCAACACTACCAATTCCACCATCGCTGGCTCTGTATTAGAAAATAAGAAAGTATTTCATATTAAATTTGAGGTTTAATTACAATTAGGGATGCACTTCATGCTCTCGTAGTGAAAAATGTATCTTTTATGATATTTTAACTCTATCCCGTCTCACGTCAAATTACCTCTAGGAAATTTAACAGAACGCGATCCATCTATTGATTGAACGATTTCCTTCGTGCTACTATCGCAATTCACAGTAACCAGTAAGTTTATTTTGTTTCTCTGCTTTACCTTCTTTTTATGTGGGAATGATTTGACTTGAGATGTGCATTGATATTCACTCAAAGGCAAGTTTCGGAGGTCCCAAAGAAGAACTGATCCTTCCTTACTGTGAAAAAATCCACTCGAGGAAAGCATAATGGTTGAGCATCCTTCCTTAAAGAACCATCAATAACACCTTTGTTCTTTATACAGCGAATGTGATTGATCGAACCATCTAAGAATGGTACGATGTACATGGTTGAAACGAGAAATGTGATCGATTTTTACTATCTGTAAGAGTATGGAATTGGAAATGTAATGTGAAAAAAATGATTGGGTTGATAAATTGAGGCAAAAATGTAGAAGGAAATTTTTAGATTTTGCTTGGTAGACTCACTCGTTACCATAGCAGTATTGATATTGTTAATAGATTTGGAGTTACTTATCGAGTGACGTCTCAGTCCCATCAGTATTCCCCTCCCCCCCCCCCCCCCCCCCCCCCCCCCCTCCGAGATCAGTAGCTGAATGGGTGAAGACCGTGGAACGAAGCAAAATTCGAGGTTGATATTGACGAGGTGGGCGGAAGATCTCTCCATATGTTTAATACGGGGCATTTTGAAATGGGCTCCTTACAAGTTTTATCATAATTAAAGAAATCTAAGGCTTGTTTAACAGAAAGTTAAATGATAATGTTATTTGTTAGATTCAAGTATGAATGTTTAGATGTTCATGTTATTTGTTGGATTCAAAAATAAAATTTTGAAGGCTAGCATTAAATGTTGTATCTAAATATAAGAATTTTTTTCATTTTGTTTGGTTATGTCTTCGGTGCACTCACTTTTTTGGGTGCATTCAATGCACCCGCCTCATAATCTTCATTCTGAGCAAGCGATTCATGTGAAAACGATGTCAATCATCACCTGTGGTATGATGAACAAGAACCACATGAATTTGTACAAAAATCATTCAAGATTCACTTTAATTTGAATGATTCAGGGTTTAGGAATTTAGGGTTAGGGTTAGGGTTTACAATTTGGGATTTTGGGTTGAGATTCAAAATTGAAGGTTAATAGGTTAGGGTAATGGGTTGATTAGTTGGGATTCTATGTTATATCATCATATTAGACTAATACAACTCATTCAATTTCAAAATTTAATGTATTAAGACCACTTTTAGAGGTGGGTGCACTGAATGCACCCAAAAAAGCGAGTGCACCGAAGTAGCCACCTATATATATATACCTAAAGTCATTTCATGTTAATGATGTTTCTCACTACATGGTTTGCTAAAACTAGCATAAACCAGTTGTATCACCGTTCGGAACATACCACTTACTAAACGAGCATAACGGTATTGGATGTGATTTTGACATTTTGTATCACCGTAATACATAAAATATTTTATGGTGCAAAAAACATTATAGTTGAGTATAAACCAAATTTCTTTAAAAAAATCTGTATTCCGAAAGCCAGACTGGAAGCCACATCTCGTTCTCGGTTGAAGGATTTTAATTTTACTAGTTATCAACCCGCGCTCTGCGCTGGGAGGCGTAAAATGTAAGGTATTATTTGTAACCTTTAAAATGTAAGGCATTATTTGTAATCTGCGATTCTAAATATTGTATCTCAATACATTTTTCAGTTGATGTAGGTAAACAATGCAAGTAGTAAAAATGCTTGATTTAGAATACGCTGTGTCGAAGAGAACATTAGAACGAAACAGAAGATAGAGAGTGAAACCGGATCACAAATGAGAGAGAGAGTCCATTTCCTTGTCATCCTCTCATACTGCCAACAATGTCCAACAGCAAACCATTTCAATGGCAAAGGTGCAGGTTTTCTAGGGGGGGGAAAACACGGAGATTAGTTCTGGCATCTATACCTGGATACAAAGCATAAGCAATACTTAAATCAATACACAGTTTTTCAAGTCTTCAAACACCAAAACAACAATGTAGGTCCAGCACAAACATCGAGTAGAAAGAAAAAAAGAGCAAATAGCAAATGCGGCTGAAGCTTGAGTACCCTTTCCGAATGACCAACATAGCTAGTGAAGGAGCCAGCTCAGGCCTCAAAGCAACACGAAGATTCCAACGATCTTCGAAACAGTACAACTGCAGAGAAGGGAAACCATTAGGAAGGGAACCATTCATGACCTACAATGGTCTTTTACCTGTAAAGCATTCTAGTTAAGAGTCCTAAGCACCAACATTTGAGCAGAGCAATCAAATTGCAGTTTACTTCCCCTTCATCCATCACAGAATATTGATTCTATATCTATGGCTGAGAAACTGAGAATTATAACAGTTTCGGACCAGCACACCAACTTGGCCCCTATTTTCCTCTCCAGCTTTCCCAATGAACAAAGCTTCAGACTCTAACACCAGGAAATCAACATCTTCGAATCCATACATACAACCACGAAACCTTTAAACAAACAAATTCATGCAAAAAATTACACATAACAGAAGTCATTGCAGTCATCCAGTCACTACCGCACACACTCCAGACATTTCTAAATCTACTGTTACCTCTTTGAAGTTGTGGAAGGGCCATTTGCGGCGGCGTATTAACTCGGGAGGGAAATCTCTGATTTTTTTAGGAGAACCATCAGATATTGATCTCCTCTGAATCGCATCTCAACCGGCTCAAAGAAATTGAGAGAGCAGCCAGGTCCCCAAAGACCAATATGAAGCCGCTTGTCCCCTCATCTTTGTTGCTGGCGTCGCCAAGTCCTCATTTCGTCTAATGAATTAGAATGAAAACAAAAATCAGAACCAAAATAGGAAGTTTATTATATGATTTACAGGCCAAGAAAATCATTACAGCCAAAAAGCTGTGTCCCTTTCCTCGGAAGATAAAAATCAACACATCACCATGCCACCACTTTATAAATCTATCATCATGAATACCAAGAATGTAGAATGTTTAATGCTCGCACTGACTTCGTCATAATTGCATGGTTATGTAGCGAGACTTAACAGAGGAAATGAATGGAGATCATCAACATGGAAGGGAAACTGAAACGCTTTAAACACCACAGTAGAGACTAATTGCATCGAGACCACAGTGACATTTCAAGGAACTCGTGACTGGAGGTTCTCCATTCAACTGTCAAGAGAGCCAACAATGATCAATAGAAACAATTAACAAACAGGGAGAACTACTGTGGAGATTTCACAGGACATCTAAATTGATTGCTCGGTTTTAAAAAGATATCTTTCTCACTGGCTAGACCTAGAACTTGTGAAGTCATAAACCCCAACCCACAACCAACTCGGTAAGAATTCCAAACAAATGTAGGAAGACCCCGCAGGAAGAGTAAATGAATGCAAATGTATAGATTGGAGAGGTAAAGAAAGGACGCTAATGACGGTGATTCAGGAGAAATCTTGAATCAGCTCCAAAGCTATTATGTGTGTCCATAATTGTAGCCTTTGTTGCCTCACCTGTCACACTAAAACAGACGATTATGGCCACAATCCGAAGTGCTTAGAAATTTAAAAGAAAAAGAGAGAAAATACAGATAAACACAGTACTGAGGATTGCCAGAGATATCATGAGAAGTTCCAAAGCGTCTCTGAGTCCACTAAAACCGCCACTGGATCTCACTGGAACCTAACCAGTCCCTTGGATTGCTGAAACCTCTCATCTTGAGCGCTTCATAACCTAACAACACAACATTCAAAAAGCTCAAATAAGAGAACAAAGGTCATCAACATTTCAGGCAAGAGAAGAATGAAAATTTCATCACTATAGCATAGCATAATCCTCCTTATCGAGATGTGTTTGTTCCTTGATCCCAACACGCAATACCCTTTCATGTCGTCCGAAATCCAAGCTGCAATATTCAGAGAATTAAAGTTAAACCCAAGCCATCAATAACAAACAAAAGATGAAATTCGTGAAGTCAAATCTAATAAAGCAACCACGACCCAAAAAATATAAGATTCGTTGATGCAAGACGAACCTAACCTTGGCCGATGTTTTCTCTGACTGCAAATTTCTTGATAGCATATCCCACAAAGAAATTGAATGAATTAGTCCTATGAAAGAAAGAGGTTGGATCAATAAAAACGGGTAAATATCCAAATTGAAACAAACAACACGGAACAAAACGATTGAGGCCACTGATGAGGAAAAAAACGAAACGAAATTCTAGAGATCAAGAGCTCACCAAAAGATCCCATGATTTCCTCGACTTCAACTGGCTGTTCCTCACTGGTCGCTCGCCAGATAAAGGTGCACTGTGCAGAGATTCACCACCGAAGACAGGTATTCTCGAAACCGACGACGATTCGCTGGTCGCTCGCAACTACCTCGGGTCAAAGAGAGAGAGAGAGAGAGAGATGAGATGAGATGAGATGATATATTGTAGTGCTTTTGAGAGAACGGATACGTCTTTCGTCTTTGTTGTTGTAGTTGAGAGAAGAGAGAGAGGGGGGGATACGTCTATCGCCATCATTTCTGCAACACACAAACAGAGAGAAATGAGAGACCGATGAGCAAAGAAGGGATGTGAGAGAAGGAAAAGGATTTGCCACTCAACCTCCATGTGAAGGATTGCAATATCCGAGAAACCCTTGGGACCCGAAAACCTCCACTCTTTCCAAACCTTCGTCATCATCACCAATAAGACCAGATGGGAAAAGTACACTGGATTTGAGGCCGACGCGAAACTCGAAGGGAAAATGAGCGTCCAGTTGAGGGCAACGCGACACACACAGAAATAACGGAGGACAAAACCGCCCGGGCCACACACAGGCGAGCAACCAATAAAAAAAGGCGACCGGGCCCAATTGCAGACCATAGACCAATCAAAGGAGGGTGAACAGTAATTGTGAGTATAAATGAACAGTAATTTCATGTATAAGCGAACATTATAGAGTGTCTTTACAAATAACTTTTTTCAACGATGAACCCAATAGAATAAATATCCAAAGAAAAGTAAGCCTCTTTCTACCAGGAAAAAACGGGAGTCCTTCACCAGCAAAAATTGGGATCTCGATGATCTTAAATATTTTTAGGGATTTCGATCTCTTCCTAGTTGTCTGCGTGTGCAATCCTTAATTCCTCCGACGGCAGTTATCCTCCTCGCTTCTGTTGGTCTTACCTCCATGATGGCGGATAACGGCACTTCTGCTCGGGTTCGGCAGCTAAGGTCACGTTTTCTGCCTTGCAGCTCCAGCAAACGACGGCGGATACATTCAACAGAATCAAACCCGACGGCGGCGGCGATCTGTAAACTGGACGACGATCTCCTCGTGGAAATTTTGATTCGCCTCCCAAACCCTAGGTCCGCCTGTCGGTGCAAACTCGTCTGCAAGCGGTGGAGCTCGCTCATCTTCGACCCAGTACGCTTCAGTCGTCGTTTCGTTTCGCACCACCGGAGCAGGAACCAACCTCCTCCTCCTCCTCTGATCATTCTCTCCGACGACCCGCAATCAATCATCACGAGCTTCCTCCCCTTGACGACTCTATCTCGAATGTCCTTCGTGGTTTTGGATTCCTACAAGGACTTGGTTTTGTGCGGGTTCCCTGGCCTGGGCCCAACCAGCGGCGAACTGTACAGATCCTACTTCCTCTGCAATCCGTTTACGAAGCAATGGATTGCGCTCCCTCTGGCGCCTGAATGGCCGAAGGAGACTTCGATTTCCTTTGCAAGGTTAGTCTGCGAACCCCGCATTTCCAATGATTTTGATCTGGGGGAGTATCGATTCCGAGTTGTGTGTCTATACCAGCATTTAGGGTCTACAAAGCTAGACGTTTTCTGTTCGGATACTGGGGGATGGACCAAGGAGGTTCTTGTTCGTCACAGGCAGCATAAACAATTCTTAGCCAGAAATGTAGTTTCCTGCAATGGGGAGGTTTTTTGGACCTATGGTGTTCGAAACCAGGATCCCGGTGCTGTCCACCAAGTGAAGCCATTCGTTGCTGCTTTCAATCCTTTCCGGCCGGATATCCCTCCCACTGCTATTGATGTTCCACAAGTGTTTGGGAAACCTGGGTGGGATATTTCCGTCTCGCAAGGCGCTCTGCACCTAATTGTATTCGAAGACAGCCCCGAGCAAGGTCGTGCACAGATTGCCTCGAGTGTTTGGAGACTGGAAGACGACCATAAATCTTGGAGGAAAGTATGTGCAGGGCTGTTGAGGAGCTCGGCGTTGTATGAAGTTCGCCCCTTTTTTCGACCTAACCTACATCCAGAGAAACCAGAAGTTGTCTTCTTCTGCCATATGGGTGGTCACGGCGAGCTTGTTGCCTTGTCCTGCGATTTGGGGACAGGGGGGGAGCTGGAGCTCTTCACTGAAGGAAGAGAGTTATTGCCCTGTTGGAGGATGTTCAAAGTTGAGTCTGCTTGCTGGCCGTCTTCGATTGCGAGGTACAAGGAATTGCGAGTAATGTACGATGGAAGCTGCAGCTGTTGGGTTCAGAGCAATGATGAACCGTCTAGAACTCCCTCAATAGCTGGTACGAACTTGTGCTGATACTAACTTCTACTTGTAAGTCTCTACTACTCTGTTAGTTATGCTTTAATGAAAATTACTAGGAATTGTTAGTTATGTTTCTGATGAAAATGATTAGGAATGCAATGGTAAAGAAAATGAGAAAGTAAGGAAGAAGAGAAGGTTCAAAAGCTTAAAGCATGTACATCAAGAATGAGGAGGAAGAAGAAGCAGACCTGTGCCTTCCCGAAATGGACAAATTTGGTCTGCTGATGTCTGCAGAACTGAGCAGAAAGATGTCACCAATATATAGATGGTGAACTTAAGCAAGGAGCAGATGCTGAATGCAAGCGTGAATTGTGACCAGGGATTCATCTCAGTCACGCCGGCCGGCGTGCCACCGGTTGTACCTGGTTCAACCTGTACCAGTCATAAAATCGGCGTGACACCACTGGTATGACCAGCATGATCGATATACGAATCTCTAAGTAAAATAACCTTATTTTAGTGACTTTAATTGTTAAAAATTATTTTAATATATATTTTATGAGTATAAATGTTAAATATTAATGTAATTTGTTGGATTCAAGTATAAATGTTTAGGTATTAACGTTAAATGTCATGTTTAAAATGAGTATTTGTAATTTTATTTGTAAAATTGACCGGCATGAACCGGCACAAACCGGTATGTGCCATCGGTCGAACCATTCCACTTGCTAAACCGGTACACTGGCATAAACCGGTTTGACAACCTTGCATCTGACCAAACATGTAATTAATCCCTAACCTGAAGGGTAAGGGATTGGGCCTAACCACCGGGTTATTAAAGCCCAACATGTTATTAAAGCCTAACCACCGGGTTTGTTCGGAATGGTTCGGGGGACTGGGGTCTTCTTACAATTTGATTGGGCCTCGGGCCCGTTCCAAGCAAGCCTGCTTTTAATTCTTGTTTGAAAGACTGGTATTTTGGAATGTAAAATTTGTAACAAAATATACCAGATATTTGATGATTTATTTTATATTATTAAAAAACAATAGAAGGAGTCAACCATCAAAAAATTCCCTTTGACCAATTCAGTCGTACTATAGTTGAGTCGTCCTCACCCTTCCCCCAAAGCAATCCATTGAATACACGTATATGTACTCGTACATATTTCATCCGTTTAAAATTTTCACATCCATATTATTGTCAACCCGTTTAATTTTTTTTTTTTATGTTCATTTCATATCTCCCATACTAAACACGTATAAAACCCGTATATGACGTTCAATATCCATATTTGATAAAAATTAATGCAAATTTATATGGTGTTGTCCTTATTTTGGTACTCGTCATCATAAAAGGAGATCGACTTCCTCGTCAATTTATTCCACATTGTTAATTATTCCATTTTGGTTTACTTAACTTTTTTTTTTTTCTCTTTGTCTCTTATGCATATAAAGTTCCTATCTAAGCCAACTTGAGATCTCCATGAAACTATTGATATATTTCCCAATGATAGGAAGTGGATAAGTCCTTTCAAAGTTACATCCCTCATTACAATCTTCACATCCCACAAAGATTTGATATTTCAATTTCTTTGTCCAAATTATATATATGCTCACTAAATCCTTATAAAAATCAAAGAAACATAAATCGTGTTTTTTTCAATTTTAAGAAAGTTCTTCACGAGACGATAATACGAATAAATATAAACTTCACATCAAGTGGTGAAAATCCACACTGAAACGCTCCAACATTCGAGCAATTAAAATCACTAGCGATCTCGTTCGGGTGCATAAGATATCATTTTTGAGTAAATGGAGTCAAATATGACGAGTAATATTTGGACTGGACGAGCTGAGATTTGATAGATGGAATTTGGGATTTTAGTAAATCTTTGGTGATAGTGATAGATGAAACAGTCGGTTTATCATTTGGGATTTTGACACCACCGTACAAAAGGATCATCACGTGGGATTTTATATAATGGGAAACCCTAGATTTCATGGGCCTACGACGATATATTCAATCCCATGGATCGATAATGCCACAGAATCATCAAGAACTGAAACCAAAAGGTTGAATGCGATAATCGGGTGAGCTTCTAGAGAAGTGCAAATAGCCAAATATGGTAAATGCACCTTTGAATCTTTTTGCTTTTTTTTTTTAAGTATAATTAGGTGCAAGTTTAACGGATTTGAGACTGAGTCACTTTAAGGTGTATGAAGTTTCATATTTGATTCTTTAGCATGGCGATAGAGATTCCTTTTAAGTTTAACTTAGTTATATGATACAACGTTTTTTCACTTCATCATATTCTAGAATTCTGTCGAGTTTTTGTTAGGTAAAGATTTGAGTTGCTACTCGATTGAACTGAGTGGGAAAAAATCTTAATTTACTTGACATGTGTAATCATGTAAGATAATAATGTGAAGAGTATATTTGTGATTGACATCATATATTATCTACGAATTCGGGGTCGTTTGGATGAGGAATTCTAATGGATCAATCTGACACAATTGTCTCGTTTTGAGTCAATTGTGCTAGATTGATCCGTTTGGCAGCAGAGATGAGCCAATTACAGTTGTCTGGGGGCAGGTAATCTGAATTGACTCGTTTTAAATGACTCGTTTTGTAAAATGAAACAATTAGTCAAATTGTCTCGTTTTACAATTGATCCATCCAAACGACCACAATCTTGAGAGAACATGACTAGTGCTTTATTTCTTTTGCTGAGGTAGCACTTTTTTTTCTTCTTCTTGTGATAAAGTGAAGGATTCGTAGTAGTTATCCTAATTGTTCAAAACTTTTCCCCAACTCATCACATGTATAAATAATTGACTGTTTTTAGGCTTCATGCGTCGTCTTGCTTTGCAAAAACTGAGATTTTGGTGCTTTTCACTAGAATATTTTTTGTATGTTTCATCGTCAAATCATAATAATTCCTTTTCAATTCCTCTAATAATATCGAGAGCCTTTTTTTAGTTCACATTTCCACGTAGTTAGGAAATAGAAGCATGAAGTTCTTGGGTGAAAGGGGGTCGATTCGGGGTTTCGGGATGAAAACCGTATCAGATCGAAATTATCTGATCGACAATCTGCATCCGTTTGATACAGTTAACAAATCAGTTCCGTTTTCGGTTACCATCTTCTAAAAACTCGGAACCGAAACCGGACTAATTCGTTCCACTTTAACTACTGGATTCCACCACTAACTGGTCGGATCATCAATCATCACCAGGGACGACAGCAGAAACGAAGTCCCACCCATCCACCAAACTAGACAACTATATTATTAGATGCCAAACCTGTGTTCTTGACTGTATTAAATATTAATTAATTAGAACCCTAATTTGCCTACTCATGCATGCATCTGCTTACGAATATTGTGTATATATTCATCTCCAAGTTTGCTTCGTACTTTTATATTTATGACATATGCGTTCGTTTACAAAACGTTGTGCCAATAAATGAAAAAAAAAAAAAAGAGAAGGAAATTACCTTCTAGAAAAAGTAACATGCATCCAAGCTCTTTGTCGACGAGGGCAGGCATGAATAATGGGTAAATAATAATACTATAATAATATTGGATCTTGTCTAGTTGAATTACGTATGTGGCATGCTGAGTTATTCTTCTTGATGAAAGTTGGATAGGTAATTAGCCAACTTAATTTGTCATGGATTACATAATTTGGTGAGGTAATTGAACGAGAAATATTCTAGGGTTACGTAGGGAACAACTACATGCACGTACGCAGTTATTTCTGTTTATTATGCAAATTAATGGGGATTTATTAATTTTCACCCAATTTTCACTTGGATCCACCCCTGGTCCTCCTTTAAGTATAGTAAACTAGTATTTCTTAGTGGATTAGCTAACGTATCATGTTAGTGAACTACGCAAACTGTGTTGTATTTTTTTACTTTCTTGCATTGTCGATTTCCTATTCCGTTGTAATTGATACAAAAGAAAGTCCGAATCAACTCTACTTAAGATACAATAGACAAAATTGGGTTGAGTAGCCATTTTGTTGTAAACAATAGAAGTTGAGTTGTTGGTTTGTTAAGTTTTGAATTTTAGTTACCATTTTGTTACAAACATCATAATCTTGTGACCAAATAAGCATTTAAATATATGTGTGGCACAAAGGGCTCGTGTTACTTTCTTACACGCATCCTCGTCTGCTTTTGAGAACCGTGTGAACGAAGAGTGGGCATAAGGAAAGGAGGTCTTCATAGAGAGTCGCATCAAGTTAGTAAGTACGCTGACAATCAGTAGCGGACCAAGTAAAACCGGCAAGGAAGATGAGAAACAAGAGGAGAAAACATAAATAAAATTAGTAATTGAGGCTGGATGATATAATTTTAAAATTAATTTTTTATAATTGGTTTGAAAGTTCATATCTTATAACAAAGGTTTTTTTTTAATATTTATTTCACACCGTACTATTAGAAAGAAAACATTATCTGATTGTGGGTTAATTCCCTAAATATTTTTTTTTTTTTAATTTACCACGAATATGGTGTTTTTAAAAGTATTTACAACAATATTGTGTTTTGATGAGGAAAGTTGGCGACGGCGCCCGAGACTCGGCAAATAGAGATTTTTAAGGTGAAGCCAGCGAGGGCGCCCCAGTCTACGGCGCTGGCGCAATTTAAAATTTTTGAAAATTTCAAATTGCGGCAGCGCCATAGACTGGGGCGCCCTCGCTGGTTTCCTTTGTTTTTTAATTCCTCACTCGTCCAGCACCAGACACCCCCACCCATTTCATCCCTTCCCTTTCCCTCACCTCCTCTCATCCTCCCTCCATCCCCTCCAACCCTACCAGCGCCGACGCCAACAACCGAGCGGCGAAGCCCAGCAGTTGGCGGCAACGCCTCAGACCCAGGCGGCGGCGCGGCGAAGAGAGCGGCAGCGCGGCGACGCAGGATGTCCGACGACGAGCAACAAGCCCCCGGCGGCAGAGGAAGAGGCCGAGGCCGGCGAGGCCGGCGTGGCGGCGGCGGTGAACAATACAGAGGTATGTTCTAGCCGGCGGCGGCCGGAATCTCGCCGGCGACGGCTTTTTCCAGTTCTAATATTTTTTTAATGTTCTAATATATTTGTTTTTATGTTCTAATATTTTTTTTCCAGTTCCTAGGCTTATCGATCCTTGTTCGATGAGACCACCACCTGCGACGATCGATACAGCACCGATGGAACCGGAACTTCTTTGGGGGCATGGTCACCATCGAATCGACGCTGTTTGGGCAAATGAGGTAAGTTTTTTCAAACTATTTCTATAGTTTTATTAGCTGAATAATATGATAGAATAGAATTAAATTAAATTAAATTACGATTGTAATTAAATTAAATTAGGAATAGAATTAGATTAAGTTACGATTATATTATATTAGAAAAAGTTTAGTTTAGATATATAAATATAAATATTAGGTGAATTGAAGGAATTGAATTAATATAGTTTTGTGCATTAATTATAGGCTGGTGATCGACCATTCCACATTCGTCATACTGGAAATTTAGTCCGATACAGTCCACTGTACCTGCCGTATCTCGTTGATGCCGGCCTGTCTAGTGTTCTGCCACTAGCTCCTCTTACCGGTGATCCGGGTTTGATTACTGCGCTCGTAGAGCGTTGGCGACCCGAGACATCGACATTTCACATGTCGTTCGGTGAGGTGACGATCACCCTAGAGGACGTTGCGACACTCACCGGATTAGCGATCGACGGTGATGCCGTCGTAGTAGACATACCCGACGAGGACTGGTCGGGTATGTGTCTTCGACTGTTAGGACAGGCTCCTACTGATCTTGGTGGCGGCGTCATCCGGATTTCTTGGCTGCGGGAGACTTTCGATGAGCTGCCGCTTTCTGCATCACCCCAGACGATAGAGCAGTTTGCAAGAGCACGTACCAAGTGTTTGACGGCCTCAGATATCACGTCGACATCAAGATGGCGATGATCCGTCGGTTGAGTCGTACTGCTACAAGTATGCACCAACTCGACCTTTCTCACGCTCCAATCGCCTCCCATTTCTCGACATCCAAACCGCACCATCCAAGGACATTTGTCCTCCTTGTGCATCAAACATCTGATCTTCCAGATTGAAGGTGACGACTCCACCACGTTATACTGAAAGTTGCGTTGTGGTGCATAGTGTTTCATCGCCACCTGTGCAGCTTGTTTCTAGTGAAATATTTGCCCCTTGTAGAATTCTCCATCAAAACCACCAACAGGAGACCCTGGAATTACGCCATATGAATCAGCATATGATAATTCCTCGTCCTCTTCATTACCCTGCAAGTAAAAATATGGAGGAAAATTAGGTTGTTCTCCTCCCTCCCCGTCGTCGTCGTCCTCCTCCTCCTCCTCCTCCTCATCGTCTTCCTCATCTCCGTCATCATAATCATGATCGGATGGCATGCTCCATGTGTCATCATCGTCATCATCGTCTTCCTCTCCACCCCGATTCTCACTGACCTCAGCATGTATCTCAGCACCCAAACAATAAGGATTTTGTGCCATAAAATTCCAAAGCACATTTAAGCTATCATCATCGACAATAGGCATTGCATAATGAAATAAAACACCATTCTGCCATTCTGGAAGACAGTAGGTGAAACCTGTAATCACAACACTATCTTGTACTGTTTCGTCTCTAATCCGTATTCTCCGAATTAGATGATCACAAAGTTTCTGATAGTTCACCCTGGATGGAATAGTCATCTGGAAACTAAAACCACCAACAAAATGGACACCCAAATTGTCTTCTACTTTCTCTGATCGCCACCGAACAGCTAGTTCAAATCTTCTAAAATCACTACATAAAAAACAAACTCACTAATTACATTACTAACTAGACAAAATCATTATGATGAATACATGGAAAAAAAATTACGCCTCTTACCTGTTATTAGCCATCTTCCCAGCAACCAGACAGCAACACCAGAGCTTTTTTCAGAACTTCTTTCAGTTTTTTGGTGATGAAGACCCGAAGGAAAGGTGCAGTATATATGGTGAGGGGTGGTGCAAGAGTGGAACAAAATGGCAGCGATAAAGCCCCAGTCTGGGGCGCCGTCGCTATTTTCTACTATAAAGCGACAAAGCCCCAGTCTGGGGCGGGGCCGCTATGTTTTTTTGTTAAAAAATCACCCAGCGGCGGCGCCTGAGTCCAAGGCTTTGGCGCTTTAGACATATCAAAAAACACAATATTGGTGTAAATACTTTTAAAAACACAATATTCGTAAAAAAAAATATTTAGGGAATTAACCCTCTGATTGTGAAGAATAAAAAACGACATCACCAAATCGTATACCGACGAATGGCTTGCAAATTGCAATGTCAGAATAGAGACGTGTTTGACCGTACAGAATATATACGGAAACTAGCGCCGCCAAAAGTTCAAGTTTTGCAAACTTTTCCCACTCTAAATTGGGATGATATTGAAGGAAGAATATATCTTTATTATTCAAACAAACAAGGTAGAATGTAGAACAAAGTTTTACATTTAATACCAATTGCATATGGTAAAACAGAAAGCTGTGAACAAGTTCACAGGTTTTTAGTATTTTCTTAGCAGTCCATCTACCGTACTTCAAAGCATTGGTGCTTACGGATACAAGTTAAACCTGATTTGTAACGTGAAAAGTACAAATTCGGTTTGTAAGCAAAGAAATTTTTACGAAAATATATATGTACAAACTGGATTATTATCTTAATGTTAAGAGGACAAGTTCAATTTTTACCATAATTTTTTTTTACAAAATAAACATAGGTACAAACTGAATTTATACTATAATATTAAAAGGAGAAGTTCATACGGTAATTGTTTTCTTATACCAAGTATTTTAAAATTCCTCTTCAAAGTAGTGGGACAAATCAACTCATGAATTGAATTTCATATAATATAAGCATCTTGCACCACCCAAAGACTCACATTTTAACATTATTAATAATAATAATAATTCATGTTAACATACAAAAAAACTATATAAAAAATCGTCTAAATTAGTTCCAAAACCATGGAGAGGTCGGCCTTTTCAACTTTCAACCTGGGTCGACGGAAGAATTTAACTAATGATAAATGAGCACGTGTGATATCATAGAACTATATTAACAAGTTTTTTCTATGATTGGAATTAAGTAATTAGCAAGTTGGATAGCGCATTTGTGTAATATTAATATATGGCGGGTGACGTGGCGGCTATAATTTCATGCATTTTCAATCGGATGGATTCAATGTCTTAGGTACAATCCGTACGTAGAGTTGACGTACACGATGACAATCCCATAGCCATTACTTTTTAAAAATTAATCCTAAATCAACTACATTTCTCTGTCTCACTTTTACCTCTCCACCTTTTCCTGACAAATTTCGTTAATCTCTCCGACCGAACCTGCACCACTAAACAAAAATCAGTACCACTAGACGCAAATCAATACCAAAACTCATACATGCCTTTTAAGTAGGGGTGGTAGTTCGGTTACTGGTTACCGGCCGATTATTCACTAACCGGTAACCGAAGTAACCGAACTTCGGTCGGTTATCGGAGTCTAGACGAAATGGTTTTGGGTCTTTAAAGTGGGTCGGTTGACCGATAATCGAGATAACCAAGAAACCGAAGCCTATTTCGGACGGTTTTCGGTAGGAAGAGTGGTTATTTCGGTTAACCGATAACCGGTAAGGGGAGTGGTTATTTCGGTTAACCGATAACCGGCCGATCGATTATTGGTTATAACCGAAATAACCGAAATGCCACCCCTACTTCTAACTGAGCACCAACTCTAACATAGAAAGACACAAACGTCGCGTACTAAAAAAAAATGGCTGACTCAACATCGATCAAAACAACATAGTTTAGACACGAACACTTAAACTCGAATTCAAAAAAATTTGGCTGACTCAACATAGATAAAAACAACATAGTTTAGACACGAACACTTAAACTCGAAATCAAACTTGTTTTCTTGGAACCAAATTTTATTGACCGATTTTTCGAACCAATATTCCAACAGTTACAACTTACATCATTCACTTCATCACTTGTATATTAGACACAAGTTAATACCGTTTACCATGTCATGCTTATCAAAATAACTTAAGTTTTTTGTTTGTTTGTTTGTTTTAGATGAAGTTACAATTAAATTTATAGTTTTGTTTGCATCCTTCGTCACCAATAAGATTGAGTCATCTTTATTCAAATTAAAGGGGTCAAAATATGTGCACGAGGATGTGAAATCGATAAATTTCACGGCGAGATTATTAATAGATGCTGAGCGGTTATGTATTTTTATGATTTTTTTTTTTGAGGAAATCAAGTTGTATTAGACTTGGTATCTTAAACACAACATGCAAAGTTTTGTTTTTGTTTCCTGACCCGTTTATTCTTTATCTAATGCATTAGATTAACGAGACATTGTATTTCTAATTCTTGACATAGGCATGATTATAAGCTCATTGCTTCATTTTTTCCTGTTATATTTTGTTCTTTCGTGTTTGATGGCTAGGATAAAAAAGGGGTTTTATTGGTGAAATATTATGAACAATGTAGTTAAAATCACGATTTAAAATTTAAAAAATTTTACGCTTTTACAATTTTAGGTCACCAAAACGCTTTTACGTAGAATCACGCTTTTCCCTTATAAGTGTAGTCAGAATCTATGTTTTCATTAAAGGTTAAAAACATATGTATTTACGCTTCTACCTCACAAAAATGTTGCTGCGCAGAATCACGATTTTGACTACATATAATGAGTCGAGTTATATTTTTGCGATAACACAGTGTTGTTCATGATTTGACCACCATGAGCTTAGCTTGATTTGTGAATGAGGACATAACACGTAGCTAATTAGGACATGTATCAAGTAATAACTAGCAATCAATTGAACTGAGTCCTTAATTTTCAGTTGAAGGAAATTGTAAGGAACACATATAGCAAAACCAAAACTTGATCTACCACATGATTTAATTGAATGTTAAAGAGAAAAAACATGAATATAGGCTTGTCTTTATAGAAATCCAATTCCAAACTGAACTCTTTCTCTCTCGATTTCATTTGCCCCATTTGGTTCCTTCCCTTTTTCTCATCACCGACAAAATCAATTACTTGCTTCTGCTCAAAATATTAATGGAAAATCCACAACCAAGTAAATAATATCATTGTGGGTTGTACCTTCTGACCAAATTCAGATAACTAAGTCAATACCCTTTTTTGAGTGTGAACATAACATAAGTCGGCAGACGTGGATATATGCTTGAGGAAAGCCCTAAACTCACCCACATGACAAAAACCCTAAACAACATGGTAAAAATGAGGTCTTTTTTCTTTATCAGCATTCATGTAGATGCATGTAGTATTTGATTTTTTGATCTCTTTCAACAAGAAGTTTGGAGCTTTTACTATCGAATCTTCATATTGTGTCTATTATTGGTTTGGTCGGACAGATTCAGAGCTTGATGCTAACGCTATTAGTACTTTCGTTCTATAGTTTCAATTCGCGATACCAATATTTGAAATCGAGAGGCGAGAGCTCAAGTGATCGTCGCATGTGGAACGTGATGATTTTAAGCTTTTAACTAATCAATGTCATGTGCCATGTTGTTCAACATTCATAATAAGTTTAGGATATGTTTAAGGAGCGGATCCTTTAATAACCAATTTTCACATAACTCTCAATAATCATATGGATGGCAACTCGTAACCTTTTTCTCGCAATGTGCTATATCTCTTTCATTTTAAGTCAAAATTCAGAAAAATTTGCACAGAAAAAATAAGATTAATCGTGCATTTAAAAATGACATTCACTTTGATATATTTTGTAACAAAAAAAAATGAAAATTACCAAAGTATACGGTATATGGTTATATGAAAATGTACCATGGTGGTATAGACATACTAAATTGTTGAATGATTATATATTTTATAGTAGGAATATACTAACCACTATTTATCATCTTTTATCATCATTTACCACCAGTTACCACTCATATACCGGGGTAGTACAAGATGGTATATTTTGTCTTCAATTTTGTTCAAAATCACAATAGATCATGACGAATCTGTTTCTTCGGTGCAAAATTATTCAAAATTTAAGTTTAAACCAAACGAGGTACAAAGTGGTGCCAAGCAATACCAAAATGGTAAAATAAATGTCACGAAATATATAAAAAAATTGATATAATTTAGTGGATCACAACACACTCGATCAAAATCAAGGAGTCAAATAGGGTTATGCATTTTATGCACGAGTTGACGTCGTACTCTGTTCCATGTTTGGTAAGACAGTTTGATGCATAGATTGAGGAATGGAGGGCGCTATTGCAAAGATCTCACACTACAGGAGGTATGGTGCTTTGATCCTTTCTTGGTGGAATTGATGGCGGTCAGAAATACAGTTTGTTGGTGTACACAGCTCGGCTTGAGAGAGGCGATCTTTTAGGGAGATGCGAAGATCATCATTGATAAGATGTTTGAATCGTTTGTGAGGGGTGCGAGTGGGGAGTTATTTTTCACGAGCTAGGCCAGTTGCGAAGTGAATTAAATTATAGAATTTTGGTTTTCGATTTGTGGGCAGGGTAAACAATCGTGTGACCAATTTAATATATGGAAAGATTCTTTCTTTGTTTCCTGCAAGTTTGGTAGGCTTTGGTTTTCGTAACTAGTTTATATAAGTTACTTGAACAATGATATCTTTATGTGTTGGTAACATCCCGTGTTTTTTTTTTCCGACAAAATATTGCCCGGTTTGGGCTAGGATCCTCACGACTTTTGCCTTAGGTGCATATCAAGGTGAGTTCATATTGGTCACTCATCCTTTGCAGTGCGCCACAGTGAGCACGTTTAACTTCGGAATTCTCACAAGATCTCCTTCATTTCATCCCAAAAGGCATCTTGTCAGTTAAGGTCGGTACCTTATGAACCTTGGATCTCTCTCGTGCTTTGTCGATGTGGGATTCGCCGAAGGTGTTACATACACCCTCTCCCCTTGGAACTCTACATTCTCGTTGAGGTTTTCCCCACCATCGCTCAAGAAGGACACATAGAGGCTCTGATACCATTTGTAACATCCCAAAATTTTCTCAACAAAATTTTGTCCGCTCTCGTTCCCTCACAGTTTTTGCCTTGGATGCACATCAATATCATGGTAACTTCCCATAAGATCACAAATCCATGCAGTGCTCTACAGTGACCACGTTTAATTTCGGAGTTCTCTCAAAAACTTTTTTATTTCCCGAAACACATCTTGTCACTTAACATCGCTTTTTACTTATGAACCATATATAGACCTCTCCCATGATTTATCAAGATTTTTCCCTAGCTTAATAATATGATTTTTTGTTTTTTGTTTGAAGCAACTTATTAGTATTAATATTAAAGCCATATGAAAGCCATTATCCAATAGTAAAGGTGAACTCTCTAGAGAACTGTTGTCGTGGCGGCTCTGGGCTTTGGCCTTTTTAAGCCCGATCTACTTTGAATTCTTCGAATCAGAATTTTACACCTCTCTCTCTCTCTCCCAAACCATATATATCTCTTCACAGACGAACATCATTCAACATTTTCCACCTCTCTCTCTCTCTCTCTCTCTCTCTATCTCTCTGTCGTTAACTTCAACCAGGGGTCACCTCTTCCATCATATATCACAAACCAGTTCCCATTCAAGCAAAAAGAATTTCATACCCCCACCAAGGGGAAAAATTAAACCGAAAAAGAAAGCAGAGTTTAAGACCCACCAGCGGCAGAGAAAGGAGAATTCGAGGGGCTTTTTTATATACATATGAATGAATAGTCGGTTTGGTGGTCTTCTTCTTCTTCGTGCTTCGATCAACATCTAGTATTAGTTCATGTGCTTGTTCGTGAAGGTGGCGGACCAACAAGGCGGCGGCGGCGGCGGCGACAGCTACCTTCTACCTATCGCCTCTTCGTCCTCTTCTTACCCCGGTGGCGATCAGGATGCTGCGGAAAACAGCAATAATCAACAACAAGATGAAGTCTTTTTGCCGCTCCCGAACAACCCACAAGATTTCGCTCCTACCCATCTCCATCAACAATTCCAATTCGACCACCGTAATCCGAATCAGCAGCAAGTTGCGGCAGGGGAGGGGAATTTGATGATGAGTATGGATTCTCCTTCTGGGTACAGAAGCGCCAGAGAGATGTCCGCCATGGTTTCCGCTCTCACCCATGTCGTCTCTGGCACCGGAAGGTGGGGTTATGGCGGTGGACAAGCGGCGGCGGCGGCGGCGCCGCAGATGTCGAGTACTTCTTCAGGGGCCTCTGCAGGCTTGTGGAAGGCGACGGTCGGGCTGAAGAGAGAAAGAGAAGAAGAAGCAGAGGCGGCTTCTTCCGTCGCTCAATTGATGGAGAATCGGGCAAGGAACTTTCGAGATTTCGGTCGTAATTTGATTCGTGCCGCCGATTCTTCTTCTTCTGGTGGTGCAACTGGTAATTTTTTTCCCCCTTTCTGTATTACTCTGTTTCTCCTTCCCCTGTTTTCTGCTCTGTTTTTTCAAAGTTAGGGATTCGTATTTTTTGAATAAGATATTTTACTTAATACATACGTATACGTATGTAATTATCATTCCAATCAAGAAACTAATGAAACAGTTGTTTTTCTGCAATACCATGAGCAAGGGGAAGGAAAAAAAAAAGAATCTCAATCTCTTTGCTTCAACGCAATGGAAATTAATTATTAAAATATGGTATTGCATTGATTTCATCTTGATTTCTGATTCACATTCCAATCTCTTGATACAGCCCAAACAGAGGACTCATCTCAAACACCGGCGACTCCTACGGGGGCGGCGGCAGCCTCGCCGGCTTCTACGGAGTCTGGCGGCGGCGAGGGAGGGGAAAAAAGGAGGAGATACAGAGGAGTGAGGCAGAGACCGTGGGGGAAATGGGCGGCGGAGATAAGAGACCCGCATAAGGCGGCGAGAGTCTGGCTGGGGACATTCGACACGGCGGAGGCGGCGGCCAGAGCATACGATGAAGCCGCCCTCCGATTCAGGGGAAGCAGAGCCAAGCTCAATTTCCCCGAAAACGTCCGCCTCCTCCCTCCGCCATTGCAGAACGTCAATTCCCCATCCGCCGCCGCCGCCGCCCGCCACATCGTTCCCCGCCTCAATCCTGCTCCGCCGCCGCAGCCGTCTTCCCAATTCCGTGGATTTTCTCATCCGGCGCCGCCGCCACCTCTTCAGGCGGATTTGGTGAGGGATTATTGGCAATACTCCCAGTTGCTACAGAGTTCCTCTGCTTCCGGCGGCGGATTTCATCCGCCGCAGCAGCAGCAGCAGCCTTCCACGCTATTAGAGCAGTTGCTGTACAGCTCGCAGGCTCCGCCGTCTCAGCCGTTCGCTTCATTGCCGTCGACGACTTCTCCACCGTCAGTCCGCGCTCAATCTCCATCTCCTACTTCTTCCTCCTCTGCTTCGTTTCCCCTGCTTTTCGCGGGTGAGCAGCAATCCGGTTATTACCACCGGCCGCAACCGAGCCAGAACCCGAACCCGAGTCAGACCCCGACCGCCGGTTCGGATTTTCCGGTGCCGCCGTGGTCGCATTCGAGTCATTACCCGCCGTCTAGCGGTTGATTTTCAAAAAACAGTTTCCTTTTTTACAGTTTTCACTTTTTCTCATTGGGGTAAGAATTTAGAATATTCATATAGTTTGATTTTTTTTGTTGTTGTGTGTGACAATAATTCTTTTCTAAAGATATGTTGAGGCTATACAAACGGATAATCGCTGGTAGGATTTTTTGTTCTTCTGACTATATTATTATTGTGTCATATTTATTGTATAAACTATAAAGGAAAGAAGGACACATATATTGGATTTTTTTTACGTATCCATGATTTCTTTATGCCTTCTTGATTGACGTACTTGTGGGAAGTTGATGAATTGTAGCATCTTGTAAATCGGGTAGAAGTGTAGATATATTGTTTATACTTTTTAGACGATTTACTAGAAAATGGACGAAATTGAATAGTTTTGGTTTTGATTGATTATATTCTAAGCATGTTGCAATTTGGCTTATTGAAAATGTGTCGAATCGTACTTGTGTTTGTCTCATTCTACGATTAAGTTGGATTGGTACCAATCCTAACTTTTATTTATGTAGTTTAGTTCCGCGAGTGTTTTGATTGATTGATATTACTTATTATTATTTAATTAAATAATCATTTCATCTTATCTTTGATCGTTGTATTGGATTTGTTCAATTAATTTGCTTAGGATTCGTCAAGTTGATGACGAGGTTTAGGCTGATCACGATTGTGGGTGTTGACGAAAAATTAAATTTAGGCAAATGGGCAAGTGTGGATCAGCTACCTCGAGGTTTATTGCATACATGAATGATAACGGACTGACTCGCGTTGGTAATTTGACTTATATAGATCATATACTCGAATGGATCTATATATTTGTGGTGGTTTTGATTATGGATCGAGTAACTAGTAAACCTGTTAACAACCCTAGGTAACAGGAAGCGTGGAAATAAAAATGCAGAAGAAGTTCATTCATTGTTCCTGTAGTGTCACCTTCCAAACAAGATTCTTGAAAAACAAACGAAAGGGGGGAAGCGTGCAAAATTCTTAAAAGAGAAACGTGGTAAATGTGCGCATATTATATTTAACCATTGTCGTCGATCTCTAGTGTTCTGCATGACCTTCTTCTGTTTCCAGATCGCACTCAGCAGTTGTTAGATTTCGACCTTGGAGATTTCATATTAGAGAAAGTGAAGTTTTGGACGTGGTAAATGGTAATTTGATTTCGGTTAGTTGTATTTTATTTTAGTGATTAATTGATAAATACATCGATAACAGGCTAATTAGCTAGGATAATCACATAGTTTTGGGTTTTGGGTAAGGGAAAAAAAAATCGTAAGATTCCCAACCAACCAAAATAGCAATTACAAACATCGTCGCAATGTATAGCTATTGCAAATAGCCCTAGATTCTCCCAAACTCCCATATATGTTTAAGAGTCGGAATCCAAAAATCGTCCCTTCCTGACTCGCCTTTGCAATTGACAGAGCGAAACTTACATTCTATTAGTCTTTGTCTATTTCATGTTTGTGAATGACGATGATCTTGTAGTACTTATGTTTATATTTTAGTATTAAAAGAACATCACACAAAATTTCAAAATAACAACGAAAAATGCCACGTGGGAAAGTTCTTGTTTTTTTTAGTGGTTAACCACCAAACCAATCGCTAATCAAACGGATAACATGTGGTTAACTGATAAGTCTTATCGATTCGGGTATCGGTATGCATTTTTTACTTAGTGGTTAACCACCAACCAACATACCGGTCAGTGATTAATCAAAACCAAACCGATTAGCATCCTAATGAAGTTTGAATTATAAGAGAGGACGTCAATTACAGAAGAGTTGAGTTCCTATTACTTGCTACCCTAATCTACAAAAAAGACCACCCTAATACATCAAATTAAATTTACACTTTAATCCCTATATACTAGTCAGTACGTACATCTATCTTTAGCAGCTAGATAAGGCTAAGGGATGATCAAATGATTTATTAAAGCCAACAAGATTTTTGTCCAGTAATAATACTAACTAGTTGTACATCTCTAAATTTATAGTTCGAATCCATTTAATTGTATCTAACTATAAAATTGTACATTTCGCGTTTCATAAACAGTTGGTCTTAATAACACGAGTTGTTGATTATGCAGGATCTTATACATGCTCATGTATGATACTTAACCACGTCATACCATGTGCTTGAAAGACGAAGATTAATATTGGGTATCCGGGGTCGTGAGGACTTGAACACGTGACTATACGGACAAACCAACTCTAACGCCATATCACAAAACCAGTTAGTTCCAATAACTCGAGTTGTTGGAAAAAGATTATACTAAATTTTATACATATCCATATATAATACTTAACAACTTCTTACATTAATCCATCTAGTAGTATGCAAACGATAAATATCAAGCTATGTAACCATTATAACAAAAAAAAAATATTATTTAGTATGAAAAGGTTGAAGTCTAGATGACTAGTTTCCAATTAATTATGTTTCAAACGTGTAGAATACAAACACAAGATAATATATATTGTTATTAATATATTAACCTTGCATTCACGACTAGCTACTGATCCATCTACGTAAATATTTTACTGTCGTGGTACAGTGAAATTTTTTAATTACAAGGTAACAAAAGTGCCGACGTCAAAATTACTTGAGACTGAAATGCACGTCTCTCTCAAATGATTTCCAGCCCAGTTTTTTTTTTTTTTTACCCAGTCAAGCCATATAGATGCAGTGCCACGTCGTTTTCCCAACTGGACGCAATCATGGCGCACGTGCCCACGTGACTTTCCTTTTTCTGTTTGCTTGCGGGCGTACGTGGCCTGCCAACAAAGAGATGGAATAGTTGCGGTGGGCCATCGTCTTGCCACGTTGCAGTAAAACAAAATTAAAGGTGTGACTTGAGTCTTCAGCGTTATGATGATTGTTTCGGATAAACAAGAAAGTGCGATTGATTTATTTTCATTTATTAGTTTACTGGTTTTTTTTTTTTGCGGTTGAAATTTTATTTGAAGCGAATAAATTTATAATGCATATTATAATTCTTTTGAATGATTTAAAATATATGATTTTTTATGAAATTAAGGTGAATTCAAAATTATTCAACTTTTTAGATCATAATAACTTTTTAATAATTAACTGATATTGTACTCTTAATGATTTTAACTTATGTGAATAATCAATCATGATATGTATATTTCACGATGCAATCACTTAGTTATCTATGATTGAAAAGAAAAATTACATAACAAAAAAAAAAAAAGAAGCTTGTTTAACGAAATTATAGCGTAATTGGTAAAAATATAACCATAACTTGTCATAACGTTAGGGTAATAGATTGATTAGTTCGTATTACGCCACAAGCTCTAATTAACAGGGAAGTGAAGTTTCAACTTGCAACTGTGTTGGCCAAGGGTCATTGGCTCGTTTACATTGTGCAAATTAAAAGCCTCATAGTGATAAGGAGGGGACACTATTGACTTGGTTGTTTACCTAATTTTATCTTCTGGGGAATCATGACCATCTGTTAATTACATTATTATTATTACAAGTTTACAACCATAAAACCAAACTAATAAACCTATAAAGAAAATGAAATAAAATAAAGCCAGGCTAATAATTGTTTGGGTAATTAGCTCCACAAAAAGCAATGCAAAGGCAATTATTGAAGATAAGAGTTTTGCCAATCAATTGTCTTTGTCCAACCAAATTCGATCAATTTTCTCTTGTATGGGATCTCTAGCTAACCTCGCTTGTAACATCCTACTCACGAATGTGTGTGTATATATATATATGGCAAAGGCTAGCGTACACACGGACGTACCCTAGCTTACCGTACGCCCGTTGAGTTTTGCTATTTAGATAATGAATTAACCGGAGTTTGGGGCATGATATTATACGCTAACCCCTAATGGGTAAACCCTAGTCCGCGATTCACTAACCCAAAGCATAATATTCATTTAATCTTGAAATGAAAATCAACGGTTCTGATTTGTCGAAATTATTGTTGATTTTCATTTCAAGATTAAACGAATCTCATGATTTGGGTTAGAAATCTAGGGACTGGGGTTTATCCATTAGTGGTGAGGGTATAGTATCATGCCCAAAACTCCGGTTAATTCATGATCTAAATAGCAAAACTCAAACGGACGTACGGTAGTCTAACGTACGCCCAGGCGTACGCTAGCCTAAACCATATATATGAATGTGTGGTTGTTCGTAATCTCCATTTTTCGAGTTAGCCTCGTGTCAATGTGTGAAAATCAGGTTAATTCCTCACAGTTTGATTCAAATTTGAGAACGACGATTATCTAAAAAATATTGTGTACTTTTATTCCCTCCTAAAGTTAGACTCAAGCATCATATAAAATTATTTTGCTACATTAAGCACTTATTAAAGGGAAGATTTAGGTTTCGACCAAAACATGTGAAGATTTAGGCACATATTGTTAAAGTGTTGATTAATAATAATGCATAATTAATTTGACTGTAAAGTTCAGGGTTATTGTGATTATGTTAGTTTGTTGGTGATCCAACATGCACCGGATCCATGTCAAGTCATTCAGTAAAACCTAACATTCTAGAAGAGAAAGGAGGTTTGGTTGCTGTCCTGTTTTAGGACGACATTAAGTCTTAACACATAGAAGGTAATCAAAAGTATTTGCAGGTACTGCAATCCCAAATAAAATATCAAAGCAAAAAACCTCTAGGTGGCCACAGTTACCTAAATTTCTAGATTGGTGATAAACGCAAAATCAATTCGGTATTGGTGATTGAACGAGCAGAAGATCTACGAACACGTGATTATGTTGTATGCAAATGCACCACAATTACTCATTCTCCTCTCACCCTACATATATTGATACCAAACCATATATTTCATGGCGGAAATTCTGTGGACTCTTTCCAGGGGAGCGTCTCAATCATGTATATTAACGAACAACTTGAAAAGGTGTTAGCATGTCCCGTATCAAGATGACAACCAAATGCATTCGGATCATTACGTATTGTATGATTCATGTATATTGATCATTAACAAAGCACCACCAAAATGTCGAAACTTGAGGCTAGCTATTAGCAACTGATCAATCTAATCTTTGATCCAAATGGGAAATCGAAATGACTGAAACCAAACACATAATTTTCACCGACTAGCTTAGGGAAAGAAATTTGATTCATTAGTGGTGGTACTGGCCTGCTTTTTTAACGCAATGAAAATGAATGCTACCAAACTGATTAAGCTTTTTTATTTTTGTTGGGTAGGTGTTTATTGAAACCCTACTTTTCTAGCTTAAGTAGATAGGGTTTGGAACCTGTTTGATTATATTAGGGCTGCTCGTTGATTGGAATTTGGTTTTTGTGATGGATCAACTAGCTGCCAATCAGTCACATACATGCATGTATGAGCTAGTTAGGCACTCTTCTTGGTTGTGTATAATTGAGATCAAGGTTGTCAAACCGGTTTATGCCAGAGTGCCGGTTTAGCAAGTGGAATGGTTCGACCGGTGGTACATACCAGTTAATATTACAAATAATTTACAAATACTCATATTTAAACACGACATTTAACTTAAATACCTAAACATTTGTACTTGAATCCAACAAATAACATCAACATTTAACTTTTTAACGCATAAAACAAATAATAAATTACTTTTTATCTATTAAATTCACTAAGATAATATCATTTTACTTGGAGATTCGTATATTGATCATGCCGGTCATACCGGTGGTGTCATGCCGGTTTATGACCGGTATAGGTTGAACCAGGTTCAACCAATGGCATGCCGGCCGGCGTGACGACCATGATTGAGATAGTTAAAGAGTAGTGGCGGAGCTAGGTTGAAAAGTCGGGAGGTTATAATCTTTTTTTTCAATTTTAAAATATAGGTAAAATTTGAAAAATATAGTAGTCGGTAGTGGCTTAAAACGCTCATCAAATTACCACGATTCAAATCAACCATCCTCGTTCAAATCTTTGGTTAGAACCCACCCAATACATGTCAAAAATTTTCAATTCACTAATCTCATACCAATGGACTTCAAGAGGCGGAACTAATTATAAATTTAGGAACAAAGATTTTTATAATTAGGTTTTATTTACAATGTTCTTTCCAAAAGGACATTTGAACAACATTTGAGCATTTGTAGCAGAATTTCCACATGAGGCCCAGCTCTCCAGTTTGGAACATAGGCCGAAGTTAAAGCTGGAAATGGGCTTATCATGGGCCTTTTAGTGGGCTTAATCAAAACGACGCAAATAAAGTTGGCCCAGAGACTGGCCAACGGACTAAGAAAAAAAGAATGGAGATGCGGGGTATCGATCCCCGTACCTCTCGCATGCTAAGCGAGCGCTCTACCATCTGAGCTACATCCCCAGTTTGTTCATATTTCCCTTAACGTTTTATTTTCTCTCATTCTTTATTGAACCAAATAAGAACACACCGCATATTTGAGATCCTGCAATATCAAGCCTAACTTCACGTTTCCTCCTAAACATCTGCAGATCCAAGGTACGCGGCTCGATCTGCACTCACTATTCGCTATCCATTTGCGTTTCTTTCCGCCGAAGCTCGATTTGAATTTCAACGAACTCTTTCCTGTAATCCATGGCTAATCGCCTTACTCTCTGGTTCAACTGCCCGCAATGTGTTTGACGAAATTCCCCACTGAGTTTCTTTCCATCAGGTCTTTTCTTTCAGGTGAAGTCTACAGCAAACAGAACCCGCAGGCAGCATGGTGACGTGCTTCCCTTCCTCGCCCAAGAAACTGGCGATGAACGTGGCCTTGTTCGCCGCCGCAGCCGCGATCATGGGCTACGCGGCGCATCTCTCCTACGTGAACGTCGCTCCTCAGCAAGCTCGTACCAGAGCTCGTGATGAGTTCGTCAAGGAAAGAATGCGACAGAGGCATGGCTATGGCAAATGAAAATATGTTAGCACAACAACAAAGTCCCTTTTCTTCGTTCTTCCTTCCTTTTCAGCTGTCAATGCCAGAAAATGACAAGATCTGCAATTTGCTTTGCATCACGAGAAATATTATTCGGATTTCTGATGCGACAGAATGGATTATAATACTGCATAATAGAGAAGGCTTTGTCCGATCTGTTAATTAAAAAAAGAAAGAACCTTTGAAGATATAGATCTATGATCTATGTGCCCATTTGTTCTTGCTCTTCATACCGATCCATAAGCAAGTAGATATCTGTACACAGCTCAACTCGATTCGTCTCAGTCATGGCGCCTTCGTCAGTTTCGGCCGAGCTAGACTCCCTCTTAGCTGCAGCTCGCCCGCTCCTCCGGGAAGAGTACGCCTCCGTCGACGAGAGACTCCCTTCCTTGCTCGCCGCTCTTCGGGATAGGGGAGCAGGGGAGAACTGGCACAAGGATGGGAATTTCGTCGAGCACCTTTACGGCACTTACAGGACACTCAAGCAGTGGGGCGCACCGCCGGAAATCTGCCGCTGCGGCCTCTTCCACTCCGCCTACGCCACCTCCTACCTCAACCACTCCCTCTTCGACCACGACGCCGCCGGCAGGGACCTCGTGCGAGGCCACATCGGCGTGGCCGCCGAGCGGCTCGTCCACCTCTTCCACGTCGCGCCGCGACAGAAGCTCGTGCACGACGTGCTCCTGGCGAGGTACTCCGACGAGGAACTCGTCGAACACGTGACGGCGTCATCGTGCAACGTCGTCGACATTGAGCAACCGTGGAGGAAGAAGCTGAGTTCCCTTCTCCCCGCAGGAGGAGTGGCGGTGAAGAGGAACGCGAAAACAGGGGAGGAGGAGGATGATCTGGATCTCCACTTGTCGAGGAGGGCAGTAGCTCTGCTGCTCCTGTTCATGATGGCGGATTACGCCGAGGAAATGTTCAGCTTCCAGGACGAGATGTACGAGAATTCCAACGGGAGGATGGATTTCTCCGGCGGGAATTTCTTGGCTTTGTGGCCAGGGGAAGCGAAGCCAGGGTTGTGGGTCAACATGGTTTCCAGAGCTGGTGCTTTGTACAATCTAATCGTTCGAGAAGAGCAGCTTTTCATCCAAGAAAGGAAAATGGCAGGAGGGGTATCAGTCGATGGAGACCGGGACGAGGAGATTGAGCTCGTTGTTCCCCCGATTTTCGATCATTGCATGAAGGTTTTGGGAGCTGAAGAGCAGGTAATGGCGCGAGACAAGTACTGGGAAGCTGTTTGTGGAAATGCCTCAGAGAAGAAGAATGATGATGCTGAGAAGTTGCTGGTGGAGAGTTTGGAGAAGAACCCGTTTCTTGGTGACCCGTATTTGGTGTTGGGTCAGGTCTATCTGGGGAGAGGGAAGTTCGAGGCGGCGGAGAGAGCTGCGGCGGAAGGGCTGGAGCTGCTGTTGCAGTGGGGGACGCCGTGGGATAAGAGGGTGTCTTGGGAAGGATGGGTTGCTTGGGGAAGGGTTCTGTTGATGAAGGCGCAGGTGAAGTCATGGCCGCCGGCGCAGTGGGCTGTTCATCGGTTGGGAGCTAGGAAAGATTGAAAATCTGATGCCGCTGTTCGAATTACTTGCTGGTTAGAGATGACAATTTCAATTGAGGTTCATGCAATTTGATATGTTCCGTTCCTTTGATTTTATAACTTGTCCCGCAAGTAACATGGGGCAATGTATAACTTGCTCCCAGCTCATCTTGTCTCGTCCTGTTTCATTCTCGACCAGTTCTACATCGATTTTCGTCACCCTTATTTTGAAAATCATAAGATGCTTAAAGTGATAAGGATTCAACAAAACAGACTCTAGCAAGTGATGACCTTCATATCGACTTGAAAAAGTCGTCGTCAAAGAGCAGAATACAAAGAGAGTAGATTGCCTTAACGGCAACTGAAGTTCCTGGCTAAAATGGAGTTCCAATTACAATCCACAAACTAATTGCATAAACCTCACCACACAAATACAAAGATGAATATTAACGACACAAGATAAGATCAGTGCTTACGTAGCTGGGAGTCGAGGAAGGGGAGTTGGCCACAACGGAAGAGGAAACGTTAACACGTTGAACCAATATACGAGCTGGAGACTATCCTGACCATAGTTCTCGATTTCAGCTTCCACTTTGATCGTTCTGTTCCTGAAATCGCACTCTAGGATTTCGCCATCCACGCTCAAATATGCTACATTGGGATCGACAGGGTGCATAGACCGGAACTCAATACCTGCGTAAGACCTCTGCACGCTTTGCCTTGCTAAGCTTGAACTGCAGTACATGTCATGGAGGATATGAACATCATGCGTCAGAAACCATTCACCGTTTCTGAGGTTAAATACTCTCAGTAGCCACTTCTCAGTTTGACCAACCCAGAATGATCCTTGGCATAGGCTAAACCCTTTAAATTCCACAAGCTGTCTATTCCAATAAGAGAAACTACGCATCGCGAGTGAAGGAAGCTCGTGGCTCTCCAAGAGGAATTCGTTCTTGCTGGGATCGTAGACCAAAATGTCGCATGGTTCGACGAACCAATAAAGCCTCCCGCCGTGAGGGATTGCAATTTGAGGATTATACTCGTCGAACCTAAGGCGCTTAGGTAACATCACAGTGGAGGTAGTCCAGCATCCTGTCTGGGATGAGAAGATCTCCACCTCCATCTCAATAGGGCTCCCTTCCTCATTACCAAGAAAGAAAGGCAGACGAACCACCTTTACACCGAACCGATCATTCAGAGTTACAGAACCATCTTCGCCATCATACTGCACATGGTAGAATGGATCACAGATAAACCCAACCTGCACATAATTATGGCGTCTATGAGGAGCTGGAAGGGCGAGCCACTGCTTCGTGAGGGGATTGCAGATGTAATACTCCTCGTGGTTCAATGTGCACAAGAGCAAGCCATTGGACGATCCCACAATCAGCCGACGAGAGCTCGGGTGGCTGGTTCCCTTCCATCCAGCAAGGCACGGGAGGAAATCCAAAGAGAACCGGGGAGCATGTGGAATGATGCCGCAGGGGCGAGTCACTACCAGGAGCATCACCCTCAAATTGCATCGCACATGCCCCACCACCTGCTGCTGCTGATCCTCCCGATTCGATGACCGGTTCTTGATTCTATGGTGAATAAACCGCTTGACGAACCAAGGATCATCATGCATATAAGAGAGCCAGAGCTTGCAAACAGACCTCGAGCGGAATGCAGTTCGATATGGAAGGCGAGCGAACACCTGAACCAGTATATGGTGAGGCAGGACATCGTTTATACATGGTAACGGCGGCGGTGGTAAGCTTGCCATGGCCGCCGAGTCGGAAATCCACTCCGACTCTGATGAAGAATCATCCATCATCCTCTCCTGCTAGAAACCAAACCCAAATGGAAAAATCACATTTCAAATTGATGCGATTAGATAACTCATCCATTCATCGACTGAAGAAACCAAATTTCAATCAGATAACAAGTGGGTAATGACAGGAAAGTAGAGAAACACAGATTAATCGGCTTGAAGGGGAGAACAAAAGAAAGAACTTAATAATCACGGAAGCAACATTTCAATTGAGCGCTTACCTCCGACGACGGAAGAAACCTCGGCGGAAAGGGAAACTAGGGGGCGGCTTGATTGAGTCCGAGCTTTGCCCGGCGGCGGAAGTGAGATATATACTATTTTGGGTTGGTGAGAAGAAGAAGGTAAAGGCGTTATATACAAGAGAACTGGGAGGACAGCGACCGCCGGCGGTTGGCGCGATTTGAATGCTTTCGAGGTCTGGGCTGGGCTTCCCTTGCAAGACCACCAAACAGGCCCACTTACAAGAAGCGAAAGAAAGATGGCCTAATTGACTTCCGATGAGTCTTGAACACACTGTTTGTGAAACCGATCTCTGACCATTCAATCGAACAAATTTCTTACGGAAGCGAAATTATAAGACGAATTTTAGCGATATGAAACTATCAGACCAAGATTCAAACACAAAATACCCAACCGCTAATTTACAGTATGGCTTTACAATCCTTACTTGAACATAATTGAAAATCACGGTGTTGAATACAGCAAGGCAATGTGGATCACCAGCAATGCGTCTCCTTCAGTACTTGCTTATATGCAATACAAAGTGAGATCACAAAACCATTCACAAAAGTGAATCTAACTCTGTACCCTACTCCTTTCACCCACCATGAACATAGTAGATAGGGCAAGACTCCAAGAGCCAAAAGGTTAGAGCCGACGAACCAGTCTCGAACAATTGGGGTTCGAGAAGGCAGGTACCCAGACCGACTCTGAAGCAAACCCAGCTGATTTAGCAAGCCACGACAAACTTGTTTCGTATTTCTCAAATCCAACATCCAAGCATACCCATACATGAATCAATCTGCAGCACCACCAGTGTCCCTGAGTCTAACATGAATATCAATAACTTGTACCAGTCCATCCCCTACCAGTTTCATAACATGAATAGAATCTACTACTGCCATATAATAACAAAATAAGAAAGGGAGTGGCTAGTCATTGCATCAACTGAGGACCTATAAGATCAGTACTTTACCCTGAGGAAGCACGAGATCAGAGCAGCCGATCCATGCTCGTAGGGTCTCATCAGCAATCACTATCAAAAGCTACTTCGTCATGCCCAAAGTGCAGGAAGAGGAGTAGGCCACAACGGAAGCACAACAGGCGACACGTTCAAACAGTCGCGGCGATTTCCCTCATGCTCGCACTCGGATACCAAGTTCAGTCTTTTGGCCCTGAAGTCACATTCTAGGATAACATTCTCCACGCTGAAATATGCAAGCATGGAATCCAGAGGATGCATAGTCCGGAACACAATTGGTTCGGAATAAGGAAATAGCATGTCCTTTACTCTTAAGCAGGAATCCAGCTCAGAGACATCAACATCATGCCTCATGCGCCATCCACCGTCTACGAGCTCAAATATTCTCAGGTGCCAAGGAAAACACTGACCAATCCACAACGAGCCTCGGCACAGGCTAAACCCTGTTAATGCCTCCAAAGTCCTCTCCAGGTCATTTTGTATGTATGTTAAGTTCAAAGGAGGAGGAATACAGTCTTGAAGAAACTCATTCTTGTCGGGATCATAGACAAAAGTGTCACATGGTTCAATCAGACAATAAAGTTTCCCATTACAGGGGACAACAGATCGAAGATAATGCTCTGGCAAGACAGATTCTGGTAAGATCAGCTTCGAAGTAGTCCAGCATCCTTTCTGTGACGAGAACATCTCCACGAGGATTTCCCCTTCCTTGATACCCCAACCGTTAAGCAAACGAACCACCTTAAACCGGAATCGATGATTCAGCGTGATCAAACCATTATCACCTTGACTATAGAATGGATCACAGAAGAAAGCCACAAGAAAATAAGGATGGTCGAAACGAGGAGAACGTGGTAGCGCAAGCCACTGCTTGGTGAGAGGGTTGCAGATGTAATACAGGCGTCGAGAGTAGACATTAGGGGAGCACAAGAGCAAGCCATTCGAAAATCCCTCGACCACTTGCTTCAAGGTTTTGTGGTCTCGATCAAGACCAGCATAGACCGGGAGGAAATCCAAGGAGAAACTGAACCCCGGAGGAAGGTTCCAGGTGGGAGTTAGCACAAGCATTTCACTCACATTGCACTGCACATGAGTCCGCCCCTGATCCTCTTCATTCAGTGGCTGTTCCCTAATCCTCCTGAGGATATACTGACCAATGAAATAAGGATCGTCGCGTAAACAAGAGAGCCAGAGCTTGCAAACTGACCTACACCGAAATGCATCTGTCAAAGGAAGGCAACCAAACACCTCTAGCAGCAAATGGTGGGGGAGAACACCATTGATAGACAATGAAGGTCGGGGCCTGGCCATGGAGAGTGATCTCTCCTCTACAGGGAAATTCATTCCAATCCCAGTTCAGATTTAGACCAAATCCGAAGTGCTAAACCTCCGTCTTCCTCCTCCTGCCCCCCTCCTGCACTCGATATAAATCACATTTGCAGTGAAATGCAATTTAGCTAATCCGCTAGGGCACCGAACCAACAACGGCAGTAAGTAGTTACTCGGGTAAGTCAAATCAAAACTAGGTTTCAGCTTTCGATCAACAAGCTGCCTACTGGGTATTGAACGGAAAGTAGGGAATGCAAGATTAATCGCCTTGATTTGGCTGAAACATCATACATCACGCTGGGACAATCAAACGAACACCCAGTTAACTTATTCACGTACCTCCGACGGAAGAGGCCTCGCCAGAAACAGATAAGATGTTGGGAACTAAGCGGCGGTTCGTTTGATTCCGTGACTTCCCCGCGACGGAGCTCGACGAATGGTGTTTCGGCGGGTTGGTGGCGGAGTAAAACAGTCCCGGAGTAAAATGCACTGGTTATGCAAAGAGCAAAGACTTCAAGTAAAATGGTATGCTTGTAACGGTAGTACAACCGGTTTGTGCTGGTTGATATCAGGTTAACAAAATATGTAAAAATTCATTAACAAAAAATTTAAATACAATATTTTACATAGATAAGAAAACATTTATATTTGAATTCGAAAAATAACATCAACATTTAACTTTTAAATTCATAAAATAAATTATAAATTATTTTTCTGGTGAATTAAATTTACTAAATCGACGTCATTTCTTTAACCTGAATTCAAACGCTACATAACCCCGAGATCAAACAAAGAGATCAGCAACACAAGTACACAACAGAAGATTAAAGGGAGAAGTTGTGGTACCACCGGCGAGAAGAAGGGCGAATTCAACGGCACAAAAGACGTTCCACAACGCCGGTGTAGACCAGCTTAGTTATTCTGCTAACTTGAAGATTCGTTAGTATATACTAACTAATATCCAAAATGTATGAACTAGTATCCAAGTCTACTGATTTTACTAAAGCATCTAGATAACACAAACTAGTATTCAAAACATTACAAACTAGTATCCAGATAGCAGATACCAACTAATATCCACAATCAACCAACTAGTATTCAATATGGATACCCTTATGTGTGTTTTGGATACTCTTATGTGTTATCTGAATACTAATTATGTGCTGTATGGATACTATTCTGTGTTGTCTATATACTAGTTTCTGAATTTGGGATAATAGCTGATTCATGGTGGATATCAGTTAGCAAACCTTGAATATTAGTTTGTGCTCTCTAGATACTTTAGTACTTGGATACTAGTTCATATATTTTTGATATCAGTTAGTATCTGCTAATGAATTTTCAAGTTAACATATTAACTTTCCCCTTTGTAGACTAGCTCAAGTTAGGGTGAAAGTGAATAAATTTGGTTTGGTTATATACCCTAGCATAATTAAATTTGGGCCATTAGTTTAGATTGGGCCTAGAACGGTACTAAGAATTGGTTTTTAAAGAATTTTTATTTTCTCTAATTTGATTAGATGGCTTGTAGTTATAGAGCTTTTTAGATCATGAGATGTCTCGACGAGGGGTCGAGTATTTCCCGACCTAACCCGATCTAAGGGTGGGAAACTATTGTATTTTTGTTTTTAGTTGTTTTTATTTTAATTTATTAAACTCAACTATGCCATCTCTTAAGGAATCTGGTATATTTCGATTTTTCGGTTAAAATTGGATCAAATTATATTACATTCAATTTCATTTCACATCAGAAGTTCGATTATTGGTCGACTTTCACACGTGATTGTTTTCGATTCTTTAACTATGTGGATGGCGATTTCTTATTTGTCTATGTTTTTTTTTTGTTAAGACTTGTTTGTCTATGTTAAAAAAATCCCATTGGTTATAATTATGGTGTATTTCCATAATATTTCCATTCATAAATTATTTCTCATTTGTTTTATCGTAAAAAAAAAAAAACAGAAAAACGGGACAATCTTAACCAGATCGGACCGGACCGTTTAACAGCCTTCTGCCGATAAGTTTTCACCTCTCAGAAGTCGGGACAGAAAAAGACGGCCGGGAGACCTTCACCGTCTTCCGCCGTGGACCAAAGTCGAAGGCCGCCGCGAGAATCCAAATCGGAGCCCTCTTTCAGATAACTTTCTTCTATGCTTCCTTCAATCGAGGTACGCTAGCAGAAGTCCAGTTGTGCTTGTTCGGTTCTTCCCTGCTTTCCGAATCGAATTTCATTTTTTTCCCCCTCTTTCTCTTCGGCATTGAAATCCCTAATTCCAACTCTTGAATTTGATCTTCGGTTAGTAACTGGACAGTTTCGAGTATCTTTGCTTCTCGTTGTAAGTTAATGTCGAAGGTGATTCTGTTGATTCGATGAATGAGGATGTTTTTTCATAGCAGTGATGTTATACTGAATTGGGATTTTGATTTGAATTTCTAGGGAGAAGGCTTCCATGGCTGCGGTCGAATTGTCAGCGTTATGTATCAATGACGTTCTCTCACACCACTTACTTGCAGAGGTTCTGGTTCGCATCCCTTTGAGAGATGTATTTCGCTGTATTTCTGTTTGCAAGCTCTGGTTCTCTTCCATCCGGGATGATCCACATTTCAAAAGACGCTTCATTCGCCAGAGGGTTACGGAGCAGGCCACTTCCAGTGCGGAGGATCACCAGCTGGTCTATGCACAGTGCAGTGTCAAGGAAATGCTTCTGGTAACTCCCACCTGCAGCATCATTAAGGGTTCTGAATTATCCTTGGATTTCCTCCCGTCCATTGCTGAACAGGATTACTACGATCGTAGCCTAGACCGTGAGGTTTTGGGATCTTCCAATGGCTTGCTCTTGTGTTATAAGGCCATGCCTCCCACATACTACATTTCCACCATCTTCTCATACGGACAATTATCATGCTTATCTTGGTTTCATCTGCGATCTGTTCTACCAAGTGCAAGGCGAAGATAGCTCGATCACTTTGAATGATGGATTTGGTTTTAAGGTTGTACGTTGGAGTTACTCTGACAGTGGCAAGGATGCGGAAGTAGATTTCTTTTGGATGGATGTGGAAATATTCTCATCAGACATAGGACATTGGACTACATCTAGGGCCCGATGTATGGAATGTGTTTCCTTAACGGGTCTCCCAGACCCAGTAATGGGGATTTCATACAATGGAAGGCTTTATTGGCTGCTGGGAAGATATGAGACTTTGATCTACGATCCCAGCAAGAATGAGTTTTTTCTGGAACCCATTACTCCTCCTTCGGATGTATTGTGCATGATTCCTTCGGCGCTTTCGTTTATGGTGCCTTTTCAAGGGCTTAGCCGGTGTCAAGGCTCGTTTTGGGCAGGACAAGCTTGGCGTGCAGAACTGAGTCTGAGAGTATACACACTGGCAGATGGTGAATGGCATCTCAAGCATAATGTCAATATCCTTGATTGGTTGCCTTGCAGCGCAAATTCAGTCAAGAACACGATGAAGATTCCTCCGAACGCCGCTGTTCAATTCTGGACTATGCATCCACATGATCCCATGATAGCATACTTGACTGTGGAAAGGACGTTACTGGAGTGCGACTTTGGGGCTAGGACCCTGAAAGTGGTAGCCGAGAATTCTGGCATGAGCAAGGATGGCATGGGTCTGATATGGTCCAGCGTGTTGACATTTTCTCTTCCACTTTGGCCGACCCCTCTTCCTGCTCTCTCCCTCCCTGCTGCTTAAGTATTTAGTAACGTTTCCTTAGCCTTCCCGGTTGTAGTTGATGATAGAAGTGAGAATGAGCTTCATTCTGCATTTTGATCTGCAATGCAAAAATGGTAGTAGTTATTTAGGTGGTAGTACTGAATCTCGTTTGAACATACATATGAAAACCTTGGCAACTGAGCTTGAAAGGAATGGTTTCTCTTTGGTGCTAAAATTTGCTTTCTACATTAGTTGCTATCTGTCTGATTTGAAAGTTCTACAGGTACAGATGAGTACTTGTCCTTCTAAACAAATTAGATTGCACTTTTTTCTCTCGGTTCTATGAATTCTGTTATGTTTGACTCTAACTGTGAGGATGACCGTAATCAATTCATCGGTTAACCAATCATGATATATTTGGCTAGCTACAATCGATCGTTTACTGTTTAATCGATTATCAGTGCAACCATTAACTATCGATTGCCGATTCCATTATCCATTACACGGCTCGGCTAACAGATTAATCGTTTAACCGCCCATATGCGCGCGATGCATGCACAAGCACAAACTCCACTTGAGCTGAATAGCTAAGTGACCCCGTCCCCAGATCCCTAATTATTATTTAATTATTATTATTTATTATAATATAATATAAATAACCAGTTGGCAATCGGCGGGCGCCAGGTCGGCCGTCCCTCCCGATGATGGTCATAACAAACTGACAGCTATTACGCAACATTTCATTTCCCTTTTTTTTTTTTCCCGTTGCGTGGCCAAACTGTAATTTATGTACCCTAAATAAAAATAAATATATATATAAATCTTTGAAAAGCGGTAAAGCGAATTCTCATGTAGAACCCGACAAAATACGATACCGTTTACCCAGCAAAAATTCCCTTTATTAACCTTAATCAAATCCATTAATTTAAAAAACGCATAAAATGAAATGAAGAAAAAATTCAGGGCACGGAATTTAAGGCTTAGCTTCAACCAGCTGGTTTGGCTCTCTGGTATTCCAGATTCAACTTTGGGGTTTGTTTTTTTTTAAATTTATTTTTGCTTTAATATTTCCTTGCACCTCGACATCGAGTGATGAGAAAATAAAAAATAAGAAAGAAAAAATAATAGTAAAATGAGTATAAAATAAAATGATCAGAACGTGAGAGACGCAATTTACTGCCCCTCTTCTTCCTCTTCCTCTTCCTCCTCCGCTTTTCCTGCTTCCCTCAATCTCAAATGGATCCACCACCTCTGCCACCGTCGTCGCCTCTTCCCGCCGCCGCCGCCGCCAACATTCCGCTCATCAATTACCCGCCGCCGGACTCCGTCCACTCCTCCCCCAGACGCCACCAGCAGTCCACCCAGCCGCCGCCCGACGCCGTCAATGACGGCGCCGTGCTTCCTCGGGTCCCGGGAGCGAAGCTCCGCCTGATGTGCAGCTACGGCGGACACATAATCCCCCGCCCGCACGACAAGTCCCTCTGCTACGTCGGCGGCGAGACCCGCATCGTCGCCGTCGAACGGAACTCCACGGTCGCCTCCCTCTCCGCCCGCCTCTCCCGCACCCTGCCCCTCAACGGCCGCCCGTTCACCCTCAAGTACCAGCTCCCCAACGAGGACCTCGATTCCTTGGTCTCCGTCGCCACCGACGAGGATCTCGAAAACTTGATCGAGGAGTACGACCGAATCACCGGCGCTAGTTCCGCCGCCGCTGCAGCCGCCGTCCTCGCCTCTTCCTCTTCCTCATCCTCCTCGTCGTCTCCTCGAATTCGATTGTTCCTTTTCTTCAGCAAGCCCGTCACCGCCGCCTCCATGGGTGACCTAAAATCCGAATCGTGGTTCTTCGACGCGCTCAACTCGGGCTCGGGCGCCGGGTCGGACTCCGTGTTGATGCTCCTGCCCCGAAACCTCTCGGATACCGCCACAATGGACGGCCGCGTCGTCCCCGGGCTCGTCGACAACATCGGCGGCGGCGGCGATCATTACAATCTCAATCAACATCATCATCATCATCAGGACTCGCCGATTGTTTTCGAGAATTTCAATGCTGCTGCTAGTAACGCTACTACAACCACAACCGGCCCGCCATCGAGCGGTTCGTCGTGTTCGACTTCGCCATCGGGAATGACGAACTTGCTGCCTCCGATCCGGGTTCGGACGCCGGTCGATTCCGATCTCCAGGGTTTCGGAGAAGGAGCTAGAGGCCCGGCGGCGGTGGGGGTGATGGATCAGGATCAATTCGGGTACCATCAGCAATTGGGTTCTGTCCAGATCCAACTGGACAGCATCAGTATCAGTTCTGCTGCTGCTGCTGCTCCGTCCCCTCCCGCCGCAGCGTCGATTGCTCCCGCCGGTGGTTCGAGCGAGCATTTGAATCGGGTTTCGTCGGAGGACGATGACGATACCCGATCGGATCCGGGGCGTGCGGCCGGGGCAGGAGTCGGGTTCCGTAAACCGCCTCTGCCTATTCCCCTGCCTCATCAGTATACACATCAACAGCAGCAGCAGCAGCACAAACTGGCAGCTTTCAACAACCTTCCGCCTTCTCCAGATTCCGTTGCCAGGTATCTAGTCGGATATACTAATCTGTGCTATTATCGAATGTTAATCCGTATGTGGGATATTAATCAGCGGATTGCTAAACGTCGTCCTAAAATTGATGTACATCGTCGTCCTAACACGCATTAATGTTACAGCGACACCAGCATTGCATCTGCTGTTTCGGCTGCAAAGTCGTACCACCAGGAGCAGCAATCAGCTCATTCGGATGAATCACTAATCAACCAGCAACAGCAGCAGCAGCAGCAGCAAAGCGAAAACAACAATCAGAACAGTATCATGAATCACCAATTGTTGAATCCAACGGCATCCCACCAAATGCCAATCCAGCGGCAGATTCAAGACCCAGCTGCTGCTGCTGCTGCTGCTTACACATACTTGGATCATCATCAACAGCAGCAGCAACTCCATTTCGTAAAAGCGGGTCCAGGAGGACAGCTCATCCACTCCTACTACCCGCCTCAAGTTTACTCTCCTCATCAGCCACAACAGCATCATCAGCAGTATCAAGCAGTTTATGTTATGCCCATGCCGATGCAGCAACAACAACAACCAGGAGCCACTGCCGCGGCAGTTCCTGCTTCCCCTGCTGCCTCCCAATCACATCATTACCCCCCGAAATTCGCTGTTGCTGCTGCTGGTGCCGGTGTCAAGCCGCCAGAAATGGGTGGAGTGATGTACACAAGTGGGTACCCTTCCATGGTCCCGGGGAGTCATCACCAGCTGCATCATTTTCAGCAGCAATTTCAACCTCAGCAACACCAACAGCAGCAGCAGCAATATGTGGCATACTCCCAGATGCAGCAGCAGCAGCAGCCGCGACACGAGTCGATGGCTGTTGCAGCAGCTGCAACGAGTGGTGGTAACAGTAACAACTATGGCTACGAGTACGGTGCTGCACCGGTCACGCCTCCGCCGAATGAGCAGCAGCAGATGTTCTATGCACAGCAGGGGCAAGGGATGGGGAGTACGATGATGGCCGCCTCTCAGCATCCGTACCAAACCACCGCCATCGGCCAAGCAATGCTGCCACCAGAGGGTTCCAATCAGAACCCTGCGGTTCAGCAGCAGCAGCAGCAGATTGACGATTCATCCAAGAGATTGCAATAGTTTGCTACTTTATTATTAATATTATTATCATTCTGGGTGTTGTATTGTATCATTAATTTGGAATAACTAAAGAGTTATGTAATCATGTTAAAGTTGATTAAGGTTCTTCCTGTTTTACTTCACACATAAAATAGAATTTTGACTGTGTTTAATTAACCAAGTGTACGTTGTTCAAACTAATATCGATGCTCTATATAACATATTAGTGGTTGATTGAGGGCATAAATTGTTATGCTTTTCCTAATTTGAATAGAACATATTGCAAATTTTAGTCAATGCGTATAATAGCTAATAAAATTGTATTTGTGTGTTAACTCAGACTCTATCGCATCCAGTTGAGCGCCAAAATATGAATTGGAGACATTCTTATAAAATTGGCTAATTATTAATTGTGGGGGCACTTGGACTATCAAAATAAGCATCCGAACTGTGACCAGATGATGGACACATTACGAGAATTTGCGGATACTCCCTCCTTGTCTGCGGTGACGACATATAGCTTTTCAGAAAAACTTCCATGTCTTGTATTTGCCAACAAAATAATCTAACGATGCAATATCTTCTTTGACTAATTTGTGGAATTATTTCAAAGTGATCTTAAGCTTATGAAATATGCGATCTTATAACTCTAAACTAAAACAAACCCATACAATTGACACACGACAAGAACAAATACTTCACTGGAGAAGGCGTACATCTGGTTTGTGAGAGTAACGATAGGAAGACATTGACACAAAATCTCAGCGGAGTTTAGATTAATAGGCGGAAGATCTACAGGGGTTGTGAAGTCAATCGGATTGAGTACTCAAAACTGGGGGTGTAATCACTGGATTTTTTAATTTTTGTTTATAAGTATGAAACATTTTGTCCAAATTTGGTACAATATTGCCTGCTTTGGGCCAAACACGTACAGATTTACTTTTGGGTATTCTCCTCAAAAGGTCTCGTACTAATGAGTTTGGTGGACACCTGGATTGTCCCATAACAATCCTCCCCTCAAGACAAGAACCACAAACTCCGTGTCCTCCCCTCAGTGATTATCTTGATTCGCCAAACACTTTGTATCGATGGGCTTCTCAGTACAAGAATTCTCTTAGATGCAGAACTTTCTTTAATATGATTCTCATATGCGGACCTCCCTTGATCCGCCAAACAGACATGGATCTCTCCTGGATCCACCAAACCGACGCAGATATCAAATCCTGAGGTCACAGAATGAGGATGTAGCCCAAAGAAGGATGCCATGTTGGTGGATACTTACACAATGATAAACCCTTAGGCTCATCATCAAAATCGGATCCACAAGTTGGATTCTGGATTGGTAAGGATGCTGGAGCCCAGAGGTCCTGGTATAACAAATAAAAGGGATATCTCCCATCATCTTCACCAAGCAAACCCACATTTTAATGACCTGCCTCATGGAGTTCTTTCAAGAGTTTTTTTAGACCTCTTGCCTTGTCTTGCCACATCAGCAGTTGGATCAATCTTACTTCCCAAACAAGTCATTCTAACACTCCATGACACATCACTAGCTTTCAAACGAGCAAGTACCTCAACCAACTCAACAACTGACCCATTTTCATCTTTACCTTCCTCTTTTCCCTCCTCACTCCCCACATACCCATCTTGATCTTCTTTAGTGGACTAGAATACCATGGGTAGTATATATTTTGTAACCGCCACTAGCATTAAACTCCCAAACTAAATGCTTAAAGTGGGGCATTGATCATCCCCATCATTTGTCTTTCTTACATGTTGTGGTGGCAGCTTGACAACAACAACTCAATTTTGAAGAAGTCTAAATTAATCATGTTGACACCAAGCAATGAGTCCAATCACTTTGTGGGTTTCAAGGAGTAAGAACCAAGTATGCTAAGGCATCTAAGAGCTTTATATATCAAAGCTAGTTTGATGTGGTGCCCATGACATGGGTCTTAGTTGCCAATGATGTTGTTGTAAATGTGATACATACTAGAATGACGAGGAAACTTGGGAAGAGCACAATGATTTGATATCCACTGAACTATTTGTTACAAATTTCAATGGGGTTAGCTTCAACCAACCACTGACTATATATGCTTAGTCGTGTGATCCTTAGTCATTAGAACGTATGATAATAAGGTAAACCAATAAGAAAGAAATTGATGAAATGATGCAAAACTAACGCACCATTTTATTTATTCACATGGTGATTGAAATCGATATAAGGGATTTTTGGATGCTTTGATGATTGTATCGTTCTTTGTTATTCACCACCTTTGCACTTCTTAGAGCATGGTATGGTACAGAGGTCGAAAGTTGGCAATAAGCATTCTAGTATACATATAGCAAAACACGATAATCGACTTGCTGAAACCACTTGCTGTTGATTCATCGAACTGAAAATCATAAACAACAACATTATCGTCATGTTCATCTTCATGGCCTCCATTTTCATGTATGTAATATTAATATATAATATATCAAGTGTTGTATTTTGGTGCTTCTCCAAATCCCTTTTATAGTGTAATTTATAATATATATGTTTTTCTAGGGGAACAATAAGGAAATAATGTAAATAAGAATTGAAAATTTATATGCAATAATAGAGTTTCCATATTTATCTTTTTTTTTTTTGGATTTCATTCATTTGTGTGTATAGTGTACTTACCAATATCTATAATTGGTAATAATCTTTCTTCTTTTCTCTTCTCACGGGAAATAATGCAAATAAGAATTGAGAATTTTATGCTATAAATATAGGATAGACTTCCCATGTATTTATTTTTTGGGATTTCATTCATTGTGTGTATAGTGTTTTGACTAATATCTAATCAAGTTTCCTATTTTCTCTTATTTATTTTTTCATTTTTCGTTTTTGTATATTTGGGAACAATATAAATAAGAAGAATTGAGAATATGCAATAAATACATGATAGAGTTTCCTTTTTTCTCTGCTTCTTTGTTTAAATTTAATTTCTGTATATTGCATATGTACAATATCTATATTTGATAGTCAACCTTCCTTTTTTTTCATTTTCTTTCATTGTGTGTATAGTATCTGCAACCTTCCTTTTTTCTCTGCTTCGTCATTTGCTTTACGACTGGAGCAGGGCCGGAACCACCAACTCCTTGCGTAACATTCTCACCTTGCAAAATGAAATTGCTAGAATGAAGGCGGTGCATCCGATCAATTGGCACGAGGTTACTGCTCTTGAGACTGAATTAAGTAGGCAATGGGAGGCAGAAGAGATGTACTGGCAGCAAAAATCGCGAGTCTGGTGGCTGAAGAGAGGTGATCAAAACACTTCCTACTTCCACACGGTCACGCGCACTCGTCGAAAGCGAAATTTTGTCCCTGGTCTGTATAATGATGACGGGGAGTGGATAACAGATGAAAAAGGGAAGGCGGACATTGCGATTAATTTTTACCAATCTCTCTTCACCTCAGAGTCCCAGGTTGAGGATATGGTTGAGCGGGTGGCGGAGTTACCCATTGCCCCCAATGTAACCCCAGAAATGAATGTTGCCCTTACCGCTGAGGTCAGTCCGCAGGAGATCCGCAAAATGGTCTTCGCGATGGGTTCAAAACAGGCCCCTGGCTCCGATGGATTCACGGGCAAGTTTTTTAAAGCCTTCTGGGAGATTGTTGGGGAATCAGTGGTGGCGGCAGTTGGATCTTTTTTTACTACGAGCAAGTTGCTCCGGAGTTTCAATCACACCTGGCTGACTCTAATCCCCAAAGTTGAGCAGGTGGAATCCATGCGCCAGCTTCGCCCTATTAGCCTTTGCCAGTTCGTCTACAAAATAATCACTAAAATTATGGCGGAAAGATTGGCGGGGATCTTGCCTCTTATTGTCTCGGAAGGGCAGAATGCTTTCATCAGAGAGAGGCAGATAGTGGATAATATCCTCATTGGTCACGAATTGATGCATTATTTGAAAATCAAAACCCGTGGAAAGAAAGGATACATGGCTCTGAAGGTTGACATGGAAAAGGCCTATGATAGAGTCGAATGGTCGTTTCTGTTGACGGTTTTGGAAAAAATGGGCTTTAGTTCGATCTGGCGAGGATGGATTCGGGAGTGTTTACAGTCCACATCTTTCTCGGTCCTCGTGAATGGTTCTCCATCAGGGTTCTTTGCGCCTTCTCGAGGGCTTCGTCAGGGGGACCCTCTTTCTCCCCTGCTCTTTGTGCTTTGCACGGAGGGGTTTGCTGCTTTACTCCGCAAAGCTATATCAGATGGGAGACTAGCAGGGGTCAAGGTAGCGCCCCGAGCCCCTCGCATATCTCACTTGTTCTTTGCTGATGATTCTTACTTGTTCCTCCGTGGTTCCCTACAAGAGTGTGAGAATATGATCGAAGTACTAAATGAGTATGAAGAGTTAAGTGGGCAGAGGGTGAACCTGGAGAAATCGGCAGTGTGCTTTAGTAAGAACATCTCCTTGCCAGATCAGGAGTTCTTAGCGGCTATCCTTGGAGTGGGCGCAGTAGGGATTCAGGACAAGTATCTTGGCCTCCCCACTTTGATAGCAAGATCCAAAACAGCCACGTTTCGATACCTGGAGGAAAAGCTGCTAGAACGTTTACAAGGTTGGAAACGTAGGACTCTGTCGACAGCGGCCAAGGAGACTCTCATCAAATCGATTGCTCTTGCTTTGCCGCTCCATGTGATGTCTTGTTTTTGTCTACCATTGTCTCTCTGTCGTCTCTTGGACAAGCATGTAGCGAGATTCTGGTGGGGGGTTGAAGAAGGACGCTCACGGGTCAGGTGGGTTTCCTGGCGGAACATGTGTAGAAGTAAACATGAGGGAGGCATGGGGTTTCGTCGGTTCGAGCATTTCAATCAAGCTCTTTTGGCTAAGATTGGATGGCGAATCATTAATGAGCCACAATCCCTCTTAGCTCAAGTTTACAAGGGAAAGTATTTCCCGCAGGGATCTTTCCTGTCGGCCACTGCACGTTCCCGCCCTTCCTGGGGCTGGCAAAGCATTCTTTATGGGCGTCAGTTGTTGTCGGCAGGGCTACGATGGCAGATTGGGAATGGGCAAACAGCCCCCTTACTTGACTCTAATTGGATTACACAGCTGTGCCCGGTTCCCCCAGTGTATAATCCGCGGGTCCTTCCTGAGGAAGGGGAAATAAAGGTCTCTGCGGTCATCTGCCCAGGGGAAGGTCGGTGGTGCGAGGAGAAGCTTATGCAGTGGTTTGATCCTCCGACATGCCAAGCTATTCTGGCAATGCCCCTTCCTAGGCAGAATATTGAGGATCGGCTGGTTTGGCATGCTACTGTTGATGGGATCTTCTCGGTGAAATCGGCTTATCACTTGGCAGTTCGTCTAGATCAGTTGAATGGGCGGTGGCGATCACAGGTTAGTTGGATGGACAACGCTAGTTGGATCCGTCTTTGGGAAGCCAATATCCCCCCGAAATTGAAGATTTTTGCCTGGCAACTTTTGAACAGAATTCTGCCGACTACTGAGGCGCTAATTGAGAGGAAAATTGATGTTCTTGCCCGATGTCCTATGTGTTGGGCCTCATCGGAAACGATGGAGCACCTTTTCCTTGAGTGTCCGGTGGCCAGGGCCCTGTGGACTCAGTCTAATCTGGATCATCTTGGGGAGGGCTTGCCTCGGCATACATTCCCGCTGTTTCTGAAGAAGTTGCTGGCCATCTTGCACCAACCCTCGCAGGTCATGGAAATTATTGCTATACTATGGAGGATTTGGCGATCCCGGAACTGGGTGGTCTTTGATGGGAAGCAATTTGGTATCCATGCTCTTATGCGGCAGTATCACCAGCAGATTGGGGAATGGTTGACCTTACCTAAGGATCCCCGACGCCCCTCGCTGGCGCCCCCTAGTACGGGTATGGGAGGGTTGGGAGGGGCGGAGGGGCCTGTGTGTCGTTGGGATGGAGCAGTCCGCTCAGGGTCTCACTCGGCAGGAGGCTTTGTGCTCCTTAATGAGAGAGGCGAGACCGTCTGGGCGACAGGTATTCAGTTCCCTCGGCTAGATGACCCAATGGTGGCGGAAGTTCTTACCCTGCGCGAAGCGATCAGCTGGTGTATAATGCAGGATTTTGTGTCAATGAGGTTTGAAGGTGACGCCCAGATAATTATTGAGAAGCTGTGTCGGGCGGATGCAAGGGATGGTCGGATAGGGGCGATTTTGGAGGAGATTCTGCAGATTTTGAAGGACTATCCGGGTTTCATTGTACGATTTGTAGGTCGGGGTAGCAATAGTGTAGCTAGACAGGCCCTGTCTTTGTTCCCGAATACATGTCGTTATTTTGACTTTCAGGCCTAGATGAATTCCAGGATGTAATTATCGATCTGATTATATCAATATATGATTATCTTTTGTAAAAAAAAAAGTGTATAGTATCTCGACCAATATCTATAATTGGTAATCAATTTTCTCCTTTTATCTTATTTATTGTTTATTTTTTACATTTTGGTATATTTGAGAACCATGTAAATAAGAAGAATTCCAGGTTTCGATAAAAAAAAATTGAGAATATGCAATAATACATTATACATGATAGAGTTTCCTTTTTTCTCTACTTTTTTTTAGATTTCATTCATTGTCTTTATATTGCATATGTACAATATCCATAATTCATAATCAACCTTCCTTCTTTCATTTTCCCCCCTTTTTAATCTATTTAGGAACAATGTAATAACTAAAATAAGAAGATTTGAAACCAATATGCAATAAAATTTAAAAATATATATGATTATCTTCCACCATAAAAAATATATGATTATCTTTTGTAAAAACAACGTTAGTCTTATCAACATATGTCATAGTGTCGTTAAAGTTATTGACGAATAACTATATGTATATAAATAACAGTGCAAAATTATGACTATCTAATTCTCTTTTGTCAAAACATTATTTAAAAAGCCCAACAATAAAAAAAAAAAAACAAAACCACATAAAGCCCAATCCAACGATGTAAAATGTCGTAAGCCCAATGGTCATCGACACCCAATCCTCCCCTAACTCTATCCAAATCAAAAGCTCACCGGCGCCTTTTACTCTCGCAACCATTTCCGTGTTCTTTGTTTTATCTTTCTTCACTCGAAAACCACCGCCCCCGCCCTTCGCCGACGGGAAAAAAAGCAAAATCCGATAGCGCCTCCAACACTTCCAAAATTTCCGATCATTTTTCCATACAGATAACAATAACATGTCTCTCTTATTCTCCTCCTTCCTTCCTCCAGTTCCTCCCCCTTACATCAGCAGCCGCACTTCTCCACTTCTCCATCCCATTTCCCCTTCCGCCGCCGCCGCCCCGCCGTCTCCCCGGCGACACTGGAAGCAAGGAGAGTTTCCAGGAACCACATCCATCCCCGACACCGCCCGCCGCCGCGCGCCTCTCAAAACCATCAAGAAGAAACTGGACCGCAGGGAAAACGCCAAGGCCTGGGCCAACACTGTCACCGAATCCCTCTCCGACTCCATAGCCAACAAACAATGGCAGCGCGCCCTCGACGTCTTCGAAATGCTCAAGCAGCAGCCTTTCTACCAACCCAAAGAAGGCACGTACATGAAACTCCTCGTCCTCTTGGGCAAATCGCTCCAGCCAGCTCTCGCCCACCAACTGTTCGACGAAATGCTCGAACAGGGCATCCCGCCCTCCCCTGAACTCTACACCGCCCTCCTCGCTGCCTACTGCCGCAGCAACCTCATCGAACGAGCCTTCTCCATCCTCGAAGACATGAAATCGTTGCCGCATTGCCAGCCCGATGTCTTCACCTACAGCACCTTGCTCAAGTCCTGCGTCGATTCGTCCCGATTTGACCTCGTTGATCAAATCTACCTGGACATGGACAAACGCCTCATTTCCCCCAACACCGTCACCCAAAACATCGTCCTGGGGGCCTATGGGAAAGCCGGCTTGTACGACCAAATGGAGAAAGCCCTCTCTTCAATGCTCGTCAACCCGAATTCGAAACCCGACGTATGGACAATGAACATAATCCTTGCTGTGTTCGGAAACAAGGGTCACATCCAGCTGATGGAGAAGTGGTACGAGAAGTTCCGTGACTATGGCATCGAACCTGAGACTCGCACCTTCAACATCCTCATCGGAGCTTACGGTAAAGCCAGGAGGTAATATTATCGGTAGTTATCTGATCATTATTGTTTAACTTGCTCTTTTACTGGTACCATGTAGAAGCTTAAGGAATCGAATCATATCATTACCACACGAATGGTTTATGCCTAATAGGTACGACAAGATGTCGTCGGTGATGGAGTACATGCGGAAGATGGAGATCCCCTGGACTAGCTCGACATACAACAACGTGATCGAGGCGTTTGCAGACGTGGGTGACGCGAAGAACATGGAGTACACGTTCGATCAGATGCGTGCCGAGCGGATGAAGGCGGATTCGAAGACATTCTCGTGTCTAGTCGAGGGTTATGCAAAGGCAGGCGTGTTTCACAAGGTGATTTCCACGGTTCAGCTGGCAGCTAGGCTGGACATAGCGAAGAACACTGCGTTCTACAACGCGGTGCTGTCTGCGTGCGGGAAAGCAGGGGATTTGCTGGAGATGGAGAGGGTTTACGAGAGGATGAAGGAGGAGAAGTGCGAAGCGAATGGCAGGACTTACGAGGTGATGATCGAAGCTTATCGGAAAGAAGGGATGAATGACAAGGTGTATTATCTGGAGCAGGAGATGCAAGCCAACGGGGAAGCGTCTTCTGGACAGTTCTGAACTTGCATTGCTTCCAATAAGGATTTCAGTTTCTGAACAATGCAACCAAGAAATGTGCCATGCTTGCTGCTGCAGAATGATGACCGAGTTACTTCAGGTAGTAATTCACAAGCCACATTTCAAACCCTGAGTATGCAGTGGTGGGGAAAAGGGAAGTACAGAGTAAGAAGCAAGATGATGCAGAATCTCGAATCTACGGGTTCCACAGACCAGATTAGAGGCAATGGATGGATGACAAGCTCTCGCAACCTTTGTTGAAACCGCTGCTTTTGAGCATATTGATGGAGGTATTGTAAATTATGTGCTGATTTCATCACAATTAGGTCTTATAATTAGGTTCCAGAACTGAAAGGGGGAAAAGTTTGTAAGTCACACTTATGTGCAATCATCAAGCGAGCGTCTTCCATAACCGAAATGGAATGATCCAATAATGTAATTTCCCAATTTCCCTCATATTTGACCGTCCCCCGCCCACCTTTCCTTCCAATTTTGGAATGGGTTGGAGGTAGGGGGTGTGCAACGGGTTCTGTCCATACCAGATTGTATCGAACTAAATTGACTGTTGGATCGGGTCACACCAAGCCGAGTATAACATGGTTAGGTACATGGTCCTACAAATTTTACACATATTCTGAAGAAAACTGGATCGAATCGGCATTTGAATTCGTTCAAAGCGGGCTGAATACACTGTTGGTCCGAACTTTGGTTCATAAATATCTCTTACTATTGAATCGCGATTCTCCTGAGTTTGGTCCAATCCAATCCGAACTGGACCGTTGCTCACCCCTAGTTGGAGCTCCCCCTACTACCACCTAAACTTCAAAATATATCAATATTAGGGGTGGTGGGTTGGAGTTGGCCTCACGAGCTACAAAGTTGAGAATTGACACTGAAAATGTAGGGACAGAGCTGGGATGTGGGCATTGTGCATTGATTTCAAGTTCCAACTTCCGACGTAGGAAATGAAAGGTTAATAACGGAGTTGGCGGCTTCGTTGACCGGATCGGAATGGGGAAGATGTGGATTGAGAAACCGGCGGCGCCCGCCCAACGGCGTAGACAATGCATAAGAGGATTATTCTAAGCCTCGAAAGTTGTATTTTCTTGTAAATGAATGGTTTCAACTTTCGAGAATGTGCAAGATTTAACATTCGGGTGGCAAATTTATGTCGAAATCGTTAAAATTTCTCATCCAAACGATTCATTTGTGTTTTATCGAATGTCTCTTACATAGAGGGTTGGTCGGATGAGAAGTTTTAATCAGTAATTTTAGTCGAATTCTCTTTTTGGATCGTGGAAGGATTTGTATGTAAGATTTTGGCCAAATAACTCATTTGGAAATACTATCTGGATTCATGAGTAGAAATGTACGAAAACGAAAGTAATTCTAGATGGTATCATCAAACTGGAAAAAAAAAATGTTGATGATTATATAAATTTGAAATTTGTTGATTAGAGGCTACCTTTATGCTAGGAGATATTTTTATTCAAGCAGGTGAACCCTCAAGTTTGGTTTCGCTCCGCCGTCGCTGAAGTAGCGAGAAAATTCTTAGCTCCAATCTTTTTGAGCGCAGAAACTCCAACTAGCCACATGTCAGTTTCCTAATGGTGAATTCATCTTTCTTTTTTATATTTTAATTCTTGATTTATTTATGATCATTAAGAACATTAAATATTAAGTAAAATGAAAGATGAGTCCACCCAATAACAAACTGACACATTGATGGTTATAATTTCTGCGTCCAATCAAAATTGGAGCTAAGGAATGTGTGTACGTGGAGATATTATTGGGCTATTAAACAAACAAAATGGAAGATCTCATCTTTTAACATATTTTCCACTTATATTTATGGAAAAGTTGGGTTGCTAAGTTGCTAACAATTACATCTGTTGGGGGTGTTGCTAAGAGACTCCCCGCAGAGAATAAGTAATACCGCGTCCAATCGACAACGTATGATGCTCTAAACCCGCTACGGGTATATAAAGGTATGAAACCCACCAATGAAGAGGACTTTTTCTCTCTCTCCTCACTTTCCACTTTCTACTATCTCTCTACACTTTATCTCTCTATCTATTCTCTCAACTCTCTCCACAAACATACACTAACTTGATCGTCGGAGTTTAATCCGGGGGGCAACCCCGACACTTTTCACAGGTTTCTTCCCTCCCGACGAGATCAGACGAACGGATCATGAGTCAACCCCAGACCTACAATATCATTGTTCGTGTCCTGAGCTAGATGGCACAAACAACATCCTACTCGGGAAATTTGTTGTCCTATTTACCAAAACGTGTCCATTTCAGTTCTTTTGGTTTGGTTGATCAGGTGCGCCAGCTTAATTGGATTCACGAGTTTTGTGTGATGGAATGTATTAGCTATAGCTTGAAGGTGACGGACACGATTGTTACTGTCGTGGTTCTATCTAACTTCAATAATTTAATTAGGATTCTATTTGTAATATCCACGATTATCATATTTGAAAGAGCTCCAAAACTACATCTATGAATATTAGAGTCGAAAGTTCATTAATTTGATTACATCATAGTCGTATTCCTTATTGAGTGTGATTGAAAACAGTGGTTGAGTATGAGTATTAATTGCATATATAATTTGTCGGAATCGTACTATATTCCTTATCTAAGTCTTAGAAGTGATTGTGATATGTATCAACCCTTTGAGTATGACTAGTACGTACGAATAGTATTATGTTATAATACGAGTGTTATTATGTTATTCGTTGAACTCATATTCATTATCAAAGTCGTAGGAATTAAGTATCTACCTTATTAAGTGTTAGAATTATTATGACAGGCAGGCATTGTAATAAGATACAATAGTGATTTCCGTCGAAGCCTAGTTTCTTAAAATCTACTCCGCCACACTTGTATTCTCGTTTATCATCAACCATTCCTTGTAATATTCAAATACAGGCATCTCATGGCAAAACAAGTCTTTTTTTCTAGATTTTACGTCCTTATCTCCTGTCTCGTGACAATTATCTAAAAAGTCTTCTGATTTTGTTCGGGCGTTTCCCTTTCAGAATATCTATGACAAAGAAAAAAACAACACATCTTCTTGCTCATTGTTATAGCATTGAAGATTAAATCAACAACTAATATTAATTTGGGATTATTTGCTCTGTTTGTCCCCTACAGCAAACTAATCCATCAAATTCTAATCCCAAATTAGAAAACAAAACAACGTAGTAAATTAGAATTTGATGGATTAGTTTGCTGTAGGGGACAAACAGAGCAAATGAAGTCCCTCATTGTACCTTGTCAAAAGACAGAAAAATCCAAAATGGATCATGCTAAATATTACAGGCTACCAACCGCAAACCACATAAAGACGATATCAAGAAATATTATTATGCAATAAAGCCCTATAAAAGGGAGGAAGAGGAACCAGGGTTGTCACGCTGGTCGGCGTGCCACCGGTTGTACCTGGTTCAACCTGTACCGGTCATAAAACCGGCGTGACACCACCGGTATGATCGGCATGATCGATATACGAATCTCTAAGTAAAATAACCTTATTTTAGTGACTTTAATTGTTAAAAAATATTTTATTATTTATTTTATGAGTATATATGTTAAATATTGATGTTATTTGTTGAATTCAAGTATAAATGTTTAGGTATTGACGTTAAATGTCATGTTTAAAATGAGTATTTATAATTTTATTTGTAATATTGACCGGCATGAACCGGCACAAACCGGTATGTACCACTGGTCGAACCATTCCACTTGCTAAACCGGCACACTGGCATAAACCGGTTTGACAACCTTGGGAGGAACACAGTTGTGACAAGCGACATCATTAAGTAATTAAATCCAATTGGAACAAGTTTGTGCAACTAATTACCAAATGACTATAAATTTCAATTTGTTGAAACCTATCAATTTTAATGTGCTCGCAAAAGACTATATTGGAGAATAAAATATGGTCAATGGATGAAGCAAAAATCTGGTTTATAATGGTGTTGAATGAGTTTAAAAGTCTAGTTCTGGTGTTATTGTATGACAGGTTTATTTTTTTCATATTTGTTTGACGTTTCACGAACTAAATACATATAAAATGTTTAAAACGCTTATTTTTAAGAAAAATATTGAGAAATTGATATTGATATTCACTTTTCGAAGCCACTAATAATAAGAACAATATGAGACAATATGTGATATCAATTTTGGTACAAAATTTCGAGGAAGTAGATTAAGGTCCATCCCATTCTGCAGGAAGGACTTAGATTTGGTAAGTGAAACTCAATAATTTATGCTTCGCGTGATCACTCACGGCGAGAGAAGTAGATATTTTTCATAGTCTCCTTAGTAATATATAAAAAAAATTATTTCCTGTGAAAATTACTCTATCCAAATATAACATGAAAATGACTCACAATCCACTTCGATCTTTGTTCATCTCGCATTCTGATCAGACATACAGACACAATACCAGATTCTTTCGGCCTATACTCTGGATCTCATCTCAGGATTCTCGTCACCCTATAGTCAAACTACATGGACTTCAACCCATAAGGATTTTGGTCATCATATATACCGAAATAAATAAGCACGCTCATTACATCACACCAAGTTCCCATCATTACAACAATTATTAAACATATATAATAATAAAAAATACCCTTCAAGCTGAGAAATTTGATTTGCTTGTATAATCATGTAACTTAAACCATCTTATAATGATGAAATGAGGTCACGGATGGAGGAATTTTTGGTTGTGAGTTGTTACCCTTTTTTGGGCAAACCCATGAAAGCGGAAAAAGTGCCAAAGTGAATAAGAGCAAACTGTGACCACCAGAAAGTCAAATCGGTATGTTTGCAACTTGCAATTTTGTTCCTTTTCCCTCTTTTTTCCTTTGAGATGGGTTTCTGCCAAGTTGCGTTATGGGTTTTTCGGGTGAGAGTTTGGGCAAAACATTATTTCGTACCAAAACAAAATCGTCATAATCTCCTTTTGTCTTTTGCCTTTTTTCTTTTCCACGTAGGGTGTCATGTGTAATTATTTACTTTTTAATTAATTAATTATGGGTTGTTAGAGGTAGGATTATGACGTGATTAGTGGGTTAGTGGTTAACTAGAATTTAGGGACTTTAGCTTAATGATAGGCGTTTTACGTTCAGTTCACTAGGTGTAGGATTATTAGAGTTTTCATTCTCTATTTAAAGTAGATGTATGAGCAGAGGAAAAGGATCAATCAAGTATAATCAAGAAAAGGGTTTTACACACCTACGTGTTAATTTGGGAGGTTGGCTTTCCTCGAAAAAGTTTAGGGGTTCCGTTCTCGCCATTAAGGAGAACACTTCTCTTCTACCAATCTATCTATCTTTCCTCTATTCTTCTTCTTCCTATTCCAATCTTTCTCCGTAAATCATATTCTCCGAAAAGTGCACGTAACATAGGGTTATTGAGTGCCTCCTCTACTATGATGCTCGAACGAAGAAGTCCATATACTTGGTGATTCGTTACAAAATACTTATTCATTTCACACGGTCAATCTCAGTAGTGACTCGTTTAGACACAATTCGTAGCAAAGTGACTAAAACATAGATAAAGGAGTGTAACATAAGGACATCATGTTTGTTAAAAATGTTTCTTTTTTAAGGTTGAAACAAATACAATTATTGTAAGACCTTAGTTAAATCCCACATCGACAAAGCACGAGAGAAATCCATGGTTCATAAGTAGGAAACCGGCGTTAACTGACAAGACACGTTTTGGGGTGTAATGGAGGAGTTCTTGTGAGAACTCCGAAGTTAAGCGTGCTTGGTGCGGAGCACAACAAGGATGGGTGACCTTACGGGAAGTCACCCTGAATTGCACCCCAAGTCGAAAACCGTGCAGGTGTAGAGGCCCAAAGCGGACAGTTTCTTGTCGGGAAAATGTTCGGGATGTTACAATTATAGCCAACTTAAAAAAAAAAAAATGTAACGCCTCTCTTCCTTTATAAATGTACCCGTGCCTCATGTTCACCCCAAAAACACATCATATCTCATTCACTCACTCAACACCCAAACCAAAAAAAGGAAAAAAAAACACCAACAAATAATAATGACACCACCTCCACCGCCGCCGCAGCTCCTCTCCGCCGCCGCCATCTTCTTCATTCTCGCGGCCTCCACCTGCTTCCCGCCCTCCTCCGCCGCCGCAAAGTCGAACAGCGCGGGGATAAAAGGGGCGTTCGTCTTCGGTTCGTCGCTGGTGGACAATGGCAACAACAATTTCCTGGCCAAGGCGCTGGCCAAGTCCAATTACCCGCCGTACGGCATCGACTTCGCCGGCGGCGTGCCCACCGGCAGGTACACCAACGGCAAGAACGTCGTCGATTTCATCACCGACCAGCTCGGGATCCCCCCGCTCCCGCCGTCACGCGACCCTTCCACCGCCGGCACCGTCCGCGGCGTCGACTTCGCCTCCGGCGGGTCGGGGATCCTCGACGAAACCGGCGCCATCACTGTAAGTAGATTTTTTTTCTTCTTCTTTTGTGGTTATAGTCTTATAGATTAAAATTTAAAAGCATAATTTAATCGGAGGATTTTCTAATGCAAATGTTACGGTTAGTCTTAGTGGAGAATATGTTCATTTGCGAGATTATTAATGCTATAATATTAATTTTTTTTTATAGGAATGCTATCATATTAATTGAAAACACCTATTATCATAGTTGACCCTACGATTATGGATTTATGGTGGTGGTCCGCAAAAAAAGTTTATCATAAAAAAAAAGTATAGGAATATTTTAATTTTCTCGGTGACAAAAACGTCTCTTATATCGTTGGTTCGTGCATTGTCGACCAGCGATTTTTTTTTCTTCTCGATTCCATTTTGTGAACCGACATGCAAACATCTTTTATATTCTTGTATTTATTTTTGTTTTCCCCAGTTGTAAATACTTATGTTATGATAGACTAAAAAAAACAAAAACAAAGAGTAAACCTTAATACCTTATTTATATTCTAGAAAAATCAGATCGATGTACATTAATTCCTAATTGTTATGTACTCGTATCCTTACACAAACTACAGTTGCCAGTGTCATATTGTTCGTGTACAATGTTATAAAACGTGCATTGTGTCATACACGTGTCTGCTGCAAGCCTGCATCCACCAGAATTCGTGTATATCAAACCATTCCAGAATCATGGTTGAAGTAACGATAATCATGATTATGGAATAGGAGTCGTTTTTTTTTATAACGAAATCGGACCGATGTACTCCCCTGCTACCCTTTTACATTAATGAAGTATATAGCCTATAATATACAACCATATCAGTTTTCATATCACTCTGCAAGCATTGTACATTGTTGTAACACAATATATGTGCATAGTAAATGTTACATATTCATCATTTTTTTTGGTGGGTTTGTGTTTGTGGTGTGTGTGGTTGCAGGGCCAAGTGATAAGTTTGAATGAACAGATCAAAGACTTTGAAACTTCAACTCTGCCAGAACTGGAGAAGCTGTTGGGTTGCCAGAGGGAAGAGTTACTGCCTGATTACCTGTTTGTGGTTGGAACAGGTGGCAACGATTACACTCTTAATTACTTCCTTAATCTCACTAATCCTCGTCCAAATCTCGACAACTTCACTTCCAATCTCATCTCCTCACTATCTGCCAAGCTCCTGGTAATTTCATTAACCTTAATATCTCAGTTTTTTTCAACTACCATATATATTCACCTGTGTAATTCAATATTGAACTGCATGGTCCATGTAACCGTACCGGAGACCGTACCGGAAAAGTCAGCGGTAAGGTATTTTATGGTAAAACTGTGGTTTAACCGTAGTTCAACCGTTAATACCGTTAAATACCGCCTATCGGTTTAGCCTCCGATACTGGTATTTTGTGGTTTAACCACCGGTACGGTATGGTTTCATGGACCATGTATTGAAGTCGCTCAACTGTAATTCACAGATGGTTCTCTGCTTCCCTACTTGTCGGGCGTTGGCCAGAATTCAATGATTTTTTTCTTATCCCTTTTCCTTCTCTTTTTCAACTTCTCCACTGGGAAACGTCACTTTCCCTACTGATATCAAAACCATTAATATCAGCTCAGGCATTCACAACAGAGGCTTTGCCCTACTTTCCTCCTTTCTTTCTTCCTTTGGCATTGGTCAAACCAACCCTAATATCCCACAAACACACCACTTTTGGTAACATCTCTAACGACCCTTTTCTGTGTGCACTTTGTTTCTTACTTCTGCAGCATCTGCGGGGATTAGGAGCTCGAAAGTTCGCTCTAATGGCGATCTACCCGCTCGGCTGCACCCCTTCCGCGAGGCAGAGGAGCCCCGGTGGCACCACCGGATGCATCGCTCCGCTGAACTTCGCGGCTCAGCTCTTCAATACCAAGCTCAAGTCTATGGTGGACACCCTGAATCAACAGTACCCTGATTCTAAGTTCGTCATGATCGACGCCTATAGGATTATCGACCAAATTCTCAACAAACCGGTCTTAGCAGGTAAGCAAATGCATGAACCATGATGAACCCTAATCTGTTTCATGGATGTTACAGGATATGCACAAATATAAGATGATTCAAACCATTTTTGGTTTGTCCCTAAAATACAGGATTTAGTGACACAGTCAATCCATGCTGCGAAGCAACAACGATCTTATGCAATAGAGGTGGAGCTGCTTGCGATAATAGGAGAGCGTACGTGTTCTTCGACGGTCTCCATACGACAGACGCAGTGAACCTCCAGATAGCGACTAGGGCATATGGTTCCACTTGCAAGGATGATGTCTATCCGATCAATATCGGGCAACTGGCGATGCTCTAGGACGACTACTCTGGCAGACTAAGAAGTTTAGCTTCCTCTAATTCCACTGTTACAAACTAAAATGATAATGTTCCCTTCTGATGCTCACTACCTGATAGCTGATGAATAAAAGTAACTTGAAGAACGAACTGAATTAAGTTAAGAAGGAGCTGAAATAGAATCAAACAAGAAAACTGAAAGCTTGAGATTAAGGTTTGAAACTAGAAAAAGGAGCTGAAATAGAATCAAACAAGAAAACTGAAAGCTTGAGATTAAGGTTTGAAACTAGAAAAAGCACCCGGGAAGTTCATTATATACACCAAAAGAATAAAGCCAGCCAGCCAAATACAGGACAGGACTCTCCAAAACCCAAGGTCAGTTTTTCTCCCTAAGAATCATAACAAGAGCAAGCAAACCAAAAGTAACGGGCAAAACAAAGGGCGAAATTCGGCAATCAAATTCAACCTATCTTCTTCTCAGAGACTATTACAGAAGCACATTTCCCCTATTTCCCAATGCTTCCCAAGAGAGCACAGAAAAGAGAAGCAGTTAATCCACCACAAAAAAAGATATGACACAAGCCCTAAAACCCAGGGGGAGACCCCTAAACTTCTTTCTCCACTCCCTCCGCCACATAATTGTACCAATTTTAATTGGGATATAAAGAGAAAAATAGCCTGGAGAGATCAGACATCCATACCATTTAAACAAATAGCCCACTCATTGTCATTGTCGCGTTTCCTTCAATGAGCTCAAGCTTCTGCTCTCTGTCACCGTTGAGTTGGCCAGAACCTCCGGTGCAATTTCCCAGCTGTCACTTCTCCTCCCCCAGCTGGAATGTCTTCTCTCGTCTCTAACTGTGGCCGCTCGATGATGATCAGGGCTTAATACGGACTCCACATCTGACGTGTTGTGTGGAGCCCCACCGTTGCTCCCTCTGCTGCGTATTTCATCATCCATCTCTTCTACGTTACGACGCTGAGAGATTTTCAGCAAGTCCTCACCAATCTCAAGATCGTTCTGGACCTTGGGACGTGGGTTCCCCCCACCTGAGTCTTCTTCTCCTCCGGTTTCTTCACGGACAGTGGGCCGCCCCACAGGCCTCGGTGGTGGTTCTTCCTCTTGTGCCAGAGCACGGAAGTTGTTCTTTGATGGCTTGACCTTGGTGCAAAATACTTCCATGAAGTTGTTGACACAACCCAGGTTGTAGACGTTGATCCTGTTGTCTGCCCGGTAACGGAAGTTTTCATAGGTTGTCTGGAAAAAGGAAAAATAAAATAAAAACAGGATGGAGAGAGATTACACGAGTTCAACAGCTAGAAACTGATTCCTTGCCTACCACTCAAGAAAAATGAGAGTGGCGAAGAAGGTAAGCTGACCTGATTCGTCCCTATGAGATATAAGTGGAAACCTGTTAGACCTCCGACAAACCATAGAGCGATGAAACAGTAGATCATTAGTATGAATGATGCAGGAGAGTCCTTTATTGCCCTCCAAACTGGAGCACGGTTATCATCCATCAAGACCTTAATGTAGATGGCCGATATGGAGAACACATAGATGCACAGAAGTGTTGCAGAAGAAACAAACATGAAGAAGTAACGGTAGTTGCGCTGCACCAAACAGAGTACAATCGGTAAAGCAGCAGAATAGCTAAGATTTGTGATGGGTGTGTTTGTTCTGGTATAATATTAACTTATTTTTAAAAACGAGCCAAACAAAACTTTGTTGCACTTCTATTAACAACTTTAACGAAAGAGCAAAAGCTAAAATAGATGAACTGTTAACTGAAAATAACATACCAGTCCTATGCATTGGCCCACCCAAGGGCAATGATGGTCAAATCGTTCCACACAATTGTTACAGATGGAACAGTGAGAACAGCGGGGAGGGCGATAAAGCATACAGGTATCACAGTATTTGACTCGAACAGGAATCCCGTTGACCATCACTTCTTTCGTCCTAGGAAACTGAAGGCCCGGTGTTTGTCTGCCACCAACCTCAACTGATGCAGAAGAATCATAACGGAACTCCTCTTCTGGTGGATGCAAATTACGGGGGAGAATACCAGGGTCCCGTGCAGATGTCAGAAGCAGAAGAATCAAAACCTTCCAAAATTCAACAGCATATTAGTTCTACTGAAGAAAAATGACCAAGTGGGTTCAAAGAATTAGGGTACATAATTATGTTGAGATTCAGATTTAGTTTACTTAATAGGGAACATAAAAGGTAAACAGTCATAGTTGACATCAACGCCAGCTTAGAAAATCCTGATGCATGATCTAGAGACAAAAAAACAGAGATGTCGTAGCTGCTACCTAAGATGCCATCCACAATCAGGGAAAGGTAATACCTAAGATGGTCAAAACACCAAATAAGTACTTACGGAATATTTATTGGGCTAGCTAACTGTTGAAAAGTTCTGTGATATCATATTTTAGCTTCGTATATCCTGAAATGTCATGATATCTCTAAGTTGACACTCGAACTCCAGCTTAACAAAACAGATTGAAGGGCCTAACCCATTTTTCTGAGCCAAAACACACTTAGACATTAAGAGGCTGCGTGGGACTTTGGGCTCTATCAATGCAAATAAATTTGGCTAGGAAATCACAGGATTAGTGAACTTACATAGATGGTAAAGACAATTGCAATCACTAGAATGGCATAGCCAGCATTGTAGGGTGAAAATTCATGACGCAGATGCCTTGCGACAAATACACAAAATATCACAATTGGAACAATGATGAGTGATAAGGTGAAGATCAGTGATCTAGCATCTGGTCCAAATATAAATCTTCCTCCAAGGATGAACTTCTGCATAATAGAAAAAAGCACAATTATTTAGAAGGAACCTACCAGAAATGAAAAGGAAACATTAATTTCTTAACACTTAGCCCGGCGGAATTCATGTCCAAAAACATAGTATTGAGATGTTACCGTGCCATCAACAAAGTACGAGATAAAAAAAAAACGAGCACAAAACCCATTGAAGCACAACATTAGAAGGTTCCTAAACACCTATTGAGGCACTGTAGCAGGAACTCATAAAGATGTTAGGAAGTTAAGTGTAAGAGAGAGGCCAAGCAATGTCCTGTATTGAAACCACATCAAGCTGACAAATTATAACACAAGCATGATGGTCACTGGATAGTGTCGAAGTGACAACCACCTCATAGTGCAATAATAGAAAGGCTATGTTAGAAGGTTTCTAAACAGCCAAGTATGTCTCTATTTTGAAAGAACTAGTCAGCTTCAAAGGATCGGGTTAGCTTCAAAGCAGCAGGTACATTTATCCTAACCACCCATCAGAGGCACCTGATGTCTACTGTGGAAGGCATTCAAGTAAATAACTCTAACACTGTCACAGAATAGCAATATTACGATGCTAGATCAGACAATATAAACAAAGCCGTAAAAACACTAGGCACAGAATCCAAACTAGAGGAAAAGTGATATAGAAAATATATATTTCCGTAACAGATTTCAATCAATCAGCTTAGAAAAGAATAAATAATATTCATTCAGGTCAACAGCTCATCTTTTCCTTGCTTTCTGATGTAACTATAAAATGTTAACCCAAAAGCCACATGAATAGTACGCCTCTGTGCAGGAAAAGGGAGTTGCAGCACATAACTAAATGTGAGCACAGTGTGAGGCCATGACAGGAGAAAGGATCAGAAAATTAGCTCAAGAGAGGGAAAATCTTAGAGAAAATTTATAGGCTAGATGGTACCAACACATGGTCAATTGAAGAACTACACATACAATCTTAGAGAACATCTCTCTGTATCAATCTTGCAAGAAGCCTGACATCTTAGTTATATGACTAATATCCTTTTAAGATTTGCTAAAATACTAGTGTGCTCCCGCAAGACAAACTAGCAGCCATTATTTAACTGGCGTATCATTGCAAAGTAGGGTAGCATCTGTTCAAATCAATAGAAGACTAGCTGTGTCTCATATGTTTAATCACCATTACCTTGATACTTGATGAGTTTTATGTTAGCAGAATTGGCATGAAGCCCAAAACTAGAAATGAATCTGATCAAACATGAAGTTCACACAGTAGCAGATGGATATTATACCAATGAGGCAACATAGATAACATACATTCACTGGCAAGTCACTGCCGCTACTTTGTAGCTCTGGTACCTCAGTAGCTCAAGCACAGATATGAATCTTAGCTGGTGGTAGTCTATTTTGATAATTCTCTCCCTAGTTCCAAGTTCATACCAAGTATCACAAAAATTTAAATTCTCAGTCAATGCTTGCAGAAAACAACCAGCAAATCTCGAAACCTAGATTATACCGGGCACCCATTAGAGAACTATTACAGCTTTAATTCAGCTGCATAATAACTCCAGTCCCAAACCTACACCATAGATAGGAGGAAATCCAAGAAACCACATTTTGCCATCAAATTCTACAGGCTGGCACACCCAGAAGTGCTCAGGCAAAACCCAGTATTCAAACTAACTCGAGCAAATCAGAAACTGCTAAAGGCCAACAATTTTTGACGAAATCTAAGGCACAACCACAAAATTACTCAACCCCGAAAACCCAAAAGAGAGGAAAACGAGAGCCTTACGTTACTTCCTTTCCAGACTTCGAACACTCGCTTCGCCATGTCAGTAGCCTCCACGCGCCCCCTGCTCTCTCGTCTCCTTCTTCCTTCAATCGAACGGTGAGACTACGCAGGCAAGGAATCGAAGATTTCAAACTTGCTCTTCTTCTTCTTCCCGTCGTTCATTTCAATTCCAGAGCTCCATTACCCGCTGCCTCCTCCCCACGACCGAATCAATGGAAAGTGGATGATTGAAACCAGCCCACGAACGATAAAATAATAATAATCAAGCCCTCCCTCCGCTTTTTAATTCCCCCCTTTCCCCTTTCCGGGAAAATTTTCCAGCAGAATAGAAAATTCGCCACTCAGTGATAATGAATTGACCGAAGAACAGTAAACCCTCAGGCGACGAAGCGAGCGAGGGAAGGCTCAGTGGGTGGTGATCTTTTCGCCGAGTTGGAGTGTGAATGAAGATGGCCCATTTTTTGTTTTTTTTGTTTTTTGAATTCAGTCGAGTTATGAAGAAGATTCCTTCCTAAATAAATCATTTTAGAAAAAGGAAGGATTCGAAATTAACAGCCGAAAAAAAATTAGGTTTATGGTACTTCTAATGTGTAGTTTTAACAAACACATCACCAGACTTTTTTTTTTCACAAATTGGTTGCACTTGCATAAAATGTTACAAATTTCTTGGTTGTCCATTTGTCCTTCTATTTCAGCCTTAATTTTTGAACTACTCTCTAGTTTGCATTGCACGACGCGTCTATTTTTCATGATTAGGAATTTAGTGGGTTCGCGATATGAAAAAGTTTATAGACCTGATCGAAAGGTGAAAGACGACGACTTATTTCATACACATTGCATGTGAGACATTGTGAGCATGCTTAATGCGTAGACCAAAAAGGGGTCCTGAAATTAAAAGGTTTACGTAATTAACGTTTGTGAAAGAAAGTGGACCAAATTTGGAATTAATTGGTAGTTAATGTGCGATCCGTCTAAGTGAGAAAATTTAAATAAATCAATTAATGCCACAATTTACTATTGTTCAAAACATAATTATGCGCACTAAATCGGGCGCGTTATACCGCGAACCAGCACAAACACACGCATTAAAATAATAAAAATCTGACTTTTGTTCAACCCTGAAACATAGTAGTTTTTTTTTTTTTTTATCAAACATCTGAAACATAGTAGTTGACTTCAAAAAACTTGGAAAACGAAAGGTATTCTGGGTTAATGGTAAAAATAATTGTTACTAAATCACTCTTTTATTGTAGTGTTAGGGGGTTAACGATAGGGATGATTGAAACCGTCATTTCGGGTATTGCTCGACCTGGTTCGCAATAGGACGGAACACGAGTATCTACTTCTTACGTGTCCCGTTTCGCCCCACTTTGTTCTTTGCTTTAACTATTCTATCTCAATTTCTTAAAATATCTATTCATATTTTTCCTATATTTGACTTTCTTCAAATAATTAGAGTTGATCTTTCAACTAGTTAGGCTCAACTATCCATTTTTATTATCACTATTTTTCATTCATAAAATGTTTTTCCGTTTGTTTTATAGTAACAGTAAAATTATGTGTGTATTATGTCAAATAACATTTAATAGTGGGTCGACCCGTCCCGCCCCATACCCGTGTGGGTATTACCCGCAGTGGCGTGGGACGGGACATGGATATTAAGGTACCCACCCCGCTTAATTTCGTGTTGACTTCTTCCCATTAACTTTATGTGAAACTTTAAAGACAGATCGGTGATCGGATGGTACCCTAGAACACACTTTGAGAGGTGTTGTAACCTTCCCCAACCAAGTCGATCATCTCGGATCTCATATAAAATATATTTCTAATCTTTCTGATATGGTGAGAAGAGAAGATGAGTTTCGACCTTCGTATATTGAAGACCACAACCTCAAAATTCTTTATTTCCTAGTTTAGCTGGAACTCCCATAAAACACTAACTAGGTTAGTATCATGCATCTATCTATCCTCATACAAATATAAGACGTGTTGGGCCTTTTTAATTTGGATCACTTGTAATGAACTCGTTTAATTAAATAGAAAATAAAATTGTATAAATACATGACACTAGACTGATTTATTGAGATCACTTGGTTTATGACGATAAAGAAGTGGCATGATATACTAATCTAGTTAGTGTTTTATTTAAGTGCACGATCATAGAACTCAAATTGATAAGAGAAGACTATTCGATGGTACTTAACCACTTCACTACGTACCGAGGACTAAAGGTACGGTGATTTTCCATATTGGTTTACTTTGTTCGACGTTTTATTTGTTGGAAATATTCCCAAATTACACGAAATTATGACTACGCCTTGTAATTAGGGGTGGCAGTTCGGTTACCGGTCACCGGTTAACCGGCCGGGTAAACTGATAACCGGCCAGTTATTCACTAACCGGTAATCGAAGTAACCGAACTTCGGTCGGTTATCGGAGGCTAGAAATATTTTTGTGTCTTAAAAGTGGGTCGGTTAACCGATAACTGAGATAACCGAGAAACCAAGCTTATTTCGGGCAGTTTTCGGTAGGAGGAGTGATTATTTCGATTAACCAATAACCGACCGATTGGTTATAACCGAAATAACCGAAATGCCACCCTGCTTGTAAACGAAGCACACATTATTGCATCGTAATTTAAGTTGGGATTTGCATGCACACCGTTACAAACAAAAGGATCAAAGTACTGAACCCGACCTCCGGTCAAACCAACAAAATTCATTCAATTGACAAAATCACACCGTTTCCGAATCTCGCCACGACTCCCCGTCAGAACCTCAATCGCCCCCATCTTCACCATCGCCTTAGCAAACTTCCCAGCCCACGCGCCACCACCTTTCCCACCACTCGCGAACCCCACCACGCGCTTCTTCGTCAGCGCGCTCTCCATCAGCGTCTGGTCGGAACTCAGCAACCCCCTCCCCTTCCTCAGCTCCCCGTAATAATTACCATCCAACCGATCCGGCGTCGCATCGAGCCCCACCGCCACGTCACCACCACCACCAACGGGACACCTCCGCTTCAGCTCGGCCGCGTACGCGCCGTCCAGCAACGGGTCCTGCGCGTGGGTGGCGTTGAAGGAGTAGAGCCGCGCGGAGAACGAGGAGCAGTGGGCCACGCCGATCGAGTGGGCCCCCGAGAGGGCCACCATGTCGTCCGCCGTCAGACCCTTGCGCGCGAAGCTGGCCGCCAGCTGGGCGGCGGTGAAGCTCGGCGGCGGGAGGTTCGCGGGGATATCGTCGAAGAGGGAGATCCGGCCGTCGCGGCGGCCGGCGGGGACGGCGTAAGTGATGCGGCCGAGGTGGAAGGAGCTGTCGCGGGCGGCGAAGGCCAGGATGTCGGCGCAGGAGACGGTGTTCGGGCAGATCGATTCCAGGTTCGATTTCGCCTCGTCGATCGGTTCGAACCCCCGCAGGGTCGGGTTGTTGGCCGGGTGGTCCCGCTCGGTTTTTTTCCCGCCCGGTTCGGATTTCAGTAGGACCGACCCGTCGCAGCCCTGGGGTTAAGGAGATGATTAAAAAATCATTTGAATAATGCACCAATCAATCGTAAGTAAATATGTTTAAATTAACCATAAAAAATATGTTAAATTATAAAAAAAAAATTGCGCCTGAAAAAAAATTACATACTAAATTATTCAAGTGCATATATATAATAAACATGAATTTCGTCAATAATGTATTACAGAATCGAATTTTTAGTCGTGACATCTCCTTCACAAGAATTTTATCGTATTAAAAAGTACTAGAACAATTTATATTTCTCCAAAAAAATACCAATAACAAACTAGGATGGCAAATACATATAACAAACTAGGATGTGCAGTGTAAAAGCACAAAGTGTCATATAAATTAGTTCAATCAAAATTTCCACCTGAAGATTTTTATATTGTGAAATGATACGTTACAAAACTCAAAACTACAAAATCTCGTGTCTTATCATCATTTCTGATAAGAATCGTATTATCATGACACAAATATAAAATGGAGCATCCAAACTCTTAGCAAAAGATCAGATGACGAGTAGGGATGGCAATTACCCTGACGAAGCAGTCGTGGAAGTGCATCCGGATAATGCCGGCGCCGAGGCCCGGATCTCGAGAAACGGCTCTGGTCACAGCTCTTCGGACGACCGCTTCGACGGAGGGACAGGAGGACTTGTAGAACCCCACTTTCAGAGAAGCCGCCGCCGCCGCCGGCTGCTGCGTCGACGCCAGAATACTGAACATTATGAAGACTACTAATGAGAACGGCGACGTCGAGGAGGAGGAGGATGAGTACTGTCGTCGTGCCATTTTGCTGGTCGGCGTTCACCCACGGTCACGGACGGGATCTATTTATTTTGGCGAAACTCTGAACTGATTATGGTTTAATGGGGTTGGTTAATTACTTAATTAGTATATATTATTGCTAAGTACGAAGAGTTTGTTTATTTATTCATATCAACATTGAGCAGGTAGAGGTGGAGTACAGAACGAGGAAGCACTACAGTGTTCGAGTATTTGGTAGCTAGCTTAAGCCAGTTAATTGGAGTTGGTATCAACTTTTTTTGTTTTTATGAGTTGGTTTTTTATATTAGGGAAAGGGAAAAAGTAAAGGGTACAAAATTCAAAACCGCAGCAGCACGTATAAAATTTAGCGTTTTATCATCTCCGGTATGAATCATTCCACCTTGAAATTAGGGCGGGGAATTGGTGCGGTCTGGTATGTTATATACGGTTTATGGTCCAGATCGAGAGACTGAAGTATAGACCACAGACTATACGGTTCAGTCCAGACCACGCCTGTGCGGTTTGGTTCTGTCTGATCTGGTCTGGTCTGGTCTAGATAGACCACACTCAACGAAAAATGAACAATTTGTTTAGTCAACCACACAAATAAATTGAACTAATAACCAAGAAAAATCATTGTTATTTGCCTTAAAACATTAATCCTAACATGCATGAATAATTTTGGTACTCTAATTCTTAGTACATAAACAAAAATTTGAAGTAAAAGCATCCCAACTTGCACCATAACGTCATAAAACATTAACATAATGTCATATCGAGGCATGATTATCTCTACTCTCTGGTTAAATGTGGTTGCGTGAATGAAAGAGAGACGAGATTCACAAAATTAAGGTTGAGACTTGGGTGTCGTTGTGGGAGTTGGGCGAGAGTGGTCAAATAGGCTGTTAACACGTATTGACAAGTCGGTTTGGTCCACGGTTTGGTCCGGTAAACCGCGGTCTAAACCAGACCATACCATACCTAACAGTCTACGGTCCGAACCAAACTGTACGGTACGGTTTGGACCACGATTTTTCTAACGGTCTGGTCTGTTTTTCCGGCCTAACATGTCAAGAGGGTTTATATATGATTCGTAATATAGGTGATAGAATACGAATTTTATAGGTTTTGTAGTATGTAAAGGCGATGAAGAAATCACAAACAAAAAGATAAGCGTGGCTTTCAACGTGCATGTGATGCGATACCCAAATTGTTTATTGTAGAATGTGTGTAAGCAAGAGCCGGGTGCACTAATCAAATAGAAACAAGAATAAACGATGATGCAAATATTCTCTGTGTATGGTATGGCAAAAAATTAAACTTAACAAAAATAGGGAACGAACAAGAAGAAAGTAATGAAAATAGTGGTGCGCAGGAGCACAAATAAAAAATAAAAAAAAATTCAGCAAAAAAACAATTAGAGAAGGACAACAAAATATGAAAATGAACTTTAGGTATAGCATGGCTCGATGGTGGGTTCTGGCAGGCGGCCACCTGACCGGCGTTGCTTGTGCTGGCGACCACGTGCATGGACGGAGAGAGGGGGAAAAAAAATAGTCAGCCCGTCCATTATAAATCTGTCCTTGGTCGTTACTCGTTACTGATGACGATACCATAAACCACCTCCTGGGAATGTAGGAATTGTCCGAGTCAGGAATGTTTCGATGACCTTAGGGCACTGATTAAGGCAAGGAAGTCAAAGGAAGACGCCTTGGGAAGACGTTTGGTATATGAACCATGACGATTGGCGTCCGCTGCTTCCTGCAAAGAATGTACACAAGCGGTCGCCTGATTCCTAAGACCTTCATCATTAAATGCGATGTCGGACGTTCTACGAATGTCTTGTCAGCTATGTGGACGCCTTTCGGTGGCATCAAATGTCGTCTCTTACACACAACGACATCTCTGGTCCCAAGGAAGATTTTGTCACATTGATCGATGCTACGCCAAGCGGGTACAAGGGCTCTTCCCAAAGATGAAATTTTAACGAACCGTCATTTCCATTAGGTCTTTTTTTTTGTCATTCAAACGATCTCAAGAGAGATGGAGATAAGATCCAAACAAAGTCAATTACAAACTACGCAACCAGGACACATAGTCGAACCTCGACAAGAGCCGAAGCGACAAACTCAGGGATTTCTTGGCCACTAAATGAGCCTCCCTATTCCTCTGACAACCTACGAAACGCATATCACAATTTCCCTCCAAACCCGCCAATAAAATTTTGATCTCGCCCAAAATTGCGCCCACCTATCATTGAAATCCCCTTAGAATCGTTAAGCATTCTTCTAACTTAGGCGCTTTTCTGCGCATTGGGCCTTAAACTGACGTGGTGGGCTTTTATTCTCACTGTCCCTTGGCCCAAGGTTGCTAAACACTGGGTCCAACTCCAACAAGAATGATCCGTCACAGTGTATAGCAATATATCGCTCATAGTCATATCACGATATCTGGGCAATTATCGTTTTCGTCAACTTACCGCATTACGTTTTCAGTTATCATGAACGAAAAAACGTTTCCGTTTCTACTTTCTACGGTTCTTACAGACGTTTCACGCTTGTGTCTCCAGCGTTTCCTCATCCACTTCCCGTTTCCTTAGCACAGAACCGCTTCTACTCCCTCTCGCCGCCGCCGCCGGCAGCAGCGGAGACTCCTTTTTAGTTCTTCATCGCCACACATCATAAAATTACGTCGATATCACTTTTCGTAGTTGGTACATATTCCAGGTCGATCGGTTTAAAGCCTCTTCTCGCGACGGAACTCCAAACCACCGCTTCAATCCTTCCGCCGGCTGCCGCGGATCTATTTTCTCCGTCGAAGACCCGGTTTTAGTTGGGGGGTTTTCAGGGAGATGCTCGCCGGATTAAAATGAACGACGAGGCCGCATCACCCATGTAGTTCGCTCGCTGATTCAGGTACTTCTCGTTTACAACAATAATTATACGCACAGAGAGCTGAATCGAACTTAAATTGGATCCTTTGAACTAATCTTCAGCAACAGGGATTGAATTCTCGATTCTGCTCGCTCGAAGAGCGAAGCAACCTGCGATTTCCCTGCTTCAATGGTACTTCTATTATCTCAGTTCTCTTTTAATTGGACGCTCCAGTTTCAACTTGAATTTGCGTTTCTGAGAGTTGGTTCTCTTTACGGGTGAAGGATCAAGAGAGCGAGTTTCTGCCACAGTATGAGCACATACAACAGAATGAATTTTCGTACAGAAAGTAAGTTGGTCTCTTCCCAAATCCTTAAGATGGTTCCAGCCCATTGTGTAAATGGTGAAAAGTCTTTGGCTTTAGGAAACAATGTAAACATGGCCTTCTTTCAATTCTGCAATTGCTGCTCGTGGTTCTTGTTTAGGGTTAGTATCACACTTGCCTGAGGTGTGCCCTCTTTTTACTGTAGGCACAAGAAGCAGAAGGAAGAGGACATTGCAATCTGCGAATGCAAATTCGACCAAAATGACCCTGAAAGTGCTTGTTCTGAAAGGTGCTTGAATTGGCTAACAAGTACAGAGTGCACTCCTGGTTATTGCCCCTGTGACATCCATTGCAAGAATCAGGTTCGAAATACTGATATGGCTAATCTATGTTCCTTTGTTAATTTAGTTATATACTGATTTGGTGTTCTAGACCAGTTTTCTTGTGACTCAGAAACAATAGTCGAAATTGAATGGAGTGTATTATTGCTGAACCAACATGTTTTTTTCTTCTTTGCTCCGCTGATTCAGAAATTTCAGAAATGTGAGTATGCTAAAACACTGTTGGTCAAGACGGAGGGTCGTGGATGGGGTCTTATTGCTGATGAGGATATAGAGGTGTGGCATCCAAAATTCCAAACTAGTTCCGATTTGTTATGCAAGACGAGTCGAACATGTTGTTGAGTGGTTTCACTGGATACAGAATGTTCAAATTCCTATGCTTAAATTGAAGTCTGTGTGTTTACATGTTTGGAAGAATTGTTTCAGTAAATGATATATAATGCAGGCTGGGCAGTTCATCATTGAGTATTGTGGTGAAGTAATATCCTGGAAAGAGGCAAGGCGAAGGTCCCATTTTTATGAATCCCTAGGTAGGGGTTGATTTACTGCATGTATGCCTGTATAATGATATAAACCTTGGACCTCATCTATCTCTCTATTGTATGGTCCAGGTCTGAAAGATGCATATATAATTTCGCTGAATGCTGTTGAGTCCATTGATGCCACTCGAAAAGGAAGTCATGCTAGGTTCATAAACCATTCATGGTGAGATTTTTCAGTCAGAAAACTGAGTGGATATTTTGTCTTTTACTTGACTTATTCTGAGGATTAATTTCCTGCTGTAGCCAACCAAACTGTGAGACGAGGAAGTGGCATGTTATGGGGGAAATACGGGTTGGAATATTTGCAAAGCAAGATATTCCAATTGGAACCGAACTTTCATATGATTATAACTTTGAATGGTATGGCGGCGCAAAGGTTCGTTGTTTGTGCGGTGCAGCCAGCTGTTCTGGTTTTCTTGGTGCAAAATCTCGTGGTTTCCAGGTAAAGTTTTCTGAATGTTCTTGCATGGAAGCCGTATGTTTGTAGCTGTTAGGAGATATATAGCTTTGACGTACTGTTACTGTGTGGACTTCTCTACCCTTGTCCTTTGATTTTAGTGATGTGGAAGCCTCATGAATAGTTTCTTTTGCTTTATCTTACAGGAGGATACATATCTATGGGAGGACGACGATGATAGGTGCACTCTGAATTGTCTAGTTACTGGACACCTATTTGATTCTGCTTTTGCTTGCTTGCAAGGATAGAAGTCTCACTGTTGGACTCTTTTGATGGCAGGTATTCAGTTGAAAAAATTCCATTGTATGATTCTGCAGAGGATGAGCCCTTGTCCAAGCTTCCCAGGACTAGCAGTCCTACGTCCGAGTTGCGAGAGATTAGTGAATACCCCATGTCAATTAACACTGACAATGGACCTGAAAATTACTTTAGGCCTGCTGGTGTTGGGGACATGGCACTTGATCCAGAACCAGTTGACCAAACAGTAGCATATCCGGTAAAATATGAAGCAGCTGGAGAGTCGAAAAATGTGTATTCTCAAGACACCCCACAGCCATTTGCACCAAAGAGTGCAGTGATTTCCCGCATCCGAAAGCATCAGATTGGTGGACCCCGTTCCATCCCTAGGAAACGACTGAAGAATATTTCTGTTGGGAAGTCTAAACAGGTTGCCGAGAAGCGAATGGATGCGAAACGTGTTGCAGAACTGTTGTCCTTGAAAGAAGCAAAGCAGGAAGTTCTTATATACGAGGTATTTGCTCTTTTGTTAATTGTATTGATATTACATGTCAATTTGACCCGATTTCAAGGTCCAGCCATGTAGTATCAGAATTAAGAATTGTCCCTGTAGGTATACTCATGCAATTGGGATTTTAATTCCATTGCTCAACTCTTTACTCATGGACTCAGAGAAAAGCAACCATCTTGGAGGTTTATGTTACGGTTTCAATTCTTACCGTGGCAGGATTTGAAGAACGACGCAGCCTCCGAGCTCGCGAACCTGTACAGCGAGATAAGGCCGGCCATTGAGGAGCACGAGAGGGATAGCCAAGACAGTGTGGCGACCAGCGTAGCTGAGAAGTGGATCGAGGCTAGCTGCATGAAGTTGAAGGCCGATTTCGACCTTTACTCGTGCATTATCAAGAATGTGGCCTACAACATTCCCAAGTCGCAGAACCAGACAGGAACGGACGTGGATGGTGATGTGAAGTACCTAGGAATCTAATGGATGATACCATGGCTTACAATCGGCTGCTGGTGTAGTGCATACATTTCTCTGTAGGAACATTATAATTGTTTGATCCAATTCCAACCAAAAGGGTGATTCTGTTTACATAATTCAAGACTCATTACTTTGGTAGAGTTCTTATGTAAACACCTGATCACGAACGCAGCAGTATACGCTACGAGAAGAGGAAGACTGAATAATATGTATCATAGCAGCACCAGTGGTCTAGTGGTAGAATAGTACCCTGCCACGGTACAGACCCGGGTTCGATTCCCGGCTGGTGCATATTTTTTATAAATTTTCCACTCCATTTTCACTTTTACAAAATCTTCAATTATTTGGCCTCATTTAAGTTTTGACTTGAAGTTCTTGAACTCTCATCAACCATAAAGAGGTGGTAATAAAAAGGAATTGGCACAAATTGTTATTTATTCGATTAGCACAACATATCATTTAAAAGAGATTTTGTTTTTGTTACTATCAAAATAATATGCTTGTTTTCTGGGGTTGATAGTAACATAGAGTAAATAAATTTGGTGTTTTGCATTCGTTAATCATTGATAATATAATCTTATACGATTTCACAACTCTTTTTTTTTTTTTTTGGTAGAAGCTCATTCATTTTTCAATGTTAAAGCTTAATGACATTGTAATACGAAATATTGATACATTTGTAATATACATACACACGTGAATAATTTTGAATTATTGCAAAGAAATGTTTGAAAGATTGATCAGTTTGTTGGATCGTACTTTGTAGAACAAAGTAACAATAAAACAAAGAGAGTAAGTACAAAGAAAAGCACATGCATGTGACTGGAATTAATCATGGATCTCGATGCAAACCAGAATAATATATCAATTAATTAGCACATAATTAACTAGTAATACATAGTTAGTGGTGAATCATAATGTTCTCTCTTCATTAATTAAGCAAAAAGCATCGCCGTTGGATAGTGGTAATCGTTTTATGTCCAGTTTTTTTTGTTCCTTCGGTCGGAGTTGGCCGATTCCATTAAAGCAGCTAGTACTAGCCAGTAGTAGTTATTAATTCCTTAATTAGCTTTTTAATTAATGGGGGTAATGATTCTCGGCAAGCACATGCGTACATCTTTTTAACAAAAAGCATAGCCGCCATCATATTCAAATTCTATTTTGATTATCCAAAGTTCTATAATGATGCTGGTCGTGGTTCAACCGGTCTCGACCGTCAAAATCGTCTACCATTTTAGGTCCGATATTTTCGATCTGATCGGCCGGTATAATAGGGTTTCTTAAACCTTGACATTATGTTGATTTTATTAGGAGTACTATAAAGAGGATAAATACTAGCTAGAATGGACCTCTTTCCCATTACAACAACACAAACTATTATTTCAACCATAAAGATTTGATGTTTTGTTTGATTGAGACCCACTCGATCTGTGTTTATGTGGCGCATGGCTGGTTGGGACAGCGATAACCCAAAACTGACCCGTTAATTGTTTCATATTAATTTTTTTTATATAGAAATAAAGAAAATTATGGGATGCACTCATGCACACATCATTATTTAATTAATGTTGTAAATTTCACTTTAATTATTGTCTTTTGTTTTGCGGGTTTTGTAGACGATAAATTGACTACCAGCTGCCTCTCTCTGCTCTATTTGCCTACTATTCCTGTCGTCCCCCGTCATATGTATGGCAATTTCTTTAGGTTGTTCAACAGTCTTTTTTTTTGTCTGCACACACACACACATATTATTTTTCTTTGGTGTACTCACATTTTTTCATGTATGTTATGCAATCATGTCGTTCAGAGTTGGTGATTCATATTAAAACGATATTAATCATCACCTGTGCTATGATAGACAAGAAAATGCATGGATTTTTTTACAGAATCCATTCAGAATTTACTTTGATTTAAAGGATTCATGGTTTGAGGTTTAGCATTAGGGTTTAGAATTTAAGATTTAGAAATTTAGGGTATTGCATGGATTCGTTATATGATCATTTGCTATATCATCATATTAATTAGACGAATGCTACCTGTGGAAATTCAAAAAATCGATATCTTAAGACTTTTATCGGAGTTATATGCATAATATATGCATTCAGTACTTTCATGAGTACATCATAGCAGTCACCTATATAATATCAATACTCAATTACTCGTCTATAGTAATTTATGTTTGAGCTTTCATTCAAACTCGAAATTTAGGAGTTCATTTGAAGAAAGCTTATATTTTCCATTAATACGTTGATTCTAGGACATAAAATGTTAGGGATTGTACAAACATATTGTTCCATGTATGTTTATAGCGACTTGGTCAAGCTCCAAGTATAAGTTACTTTGAGTTTAGCTCGGATAACTTCAATTAGTTGTTTGGTCGATCAATTTAGTAAATCATATATGATACATTTTGTATATGACTTACAACGATCGATCGTATTACTCCTCGGGGTCGATCGGTTTCAAAGAAAGATGTTCACACCAGCAATAAATTGCAAAAATGGAGAAGGAAAACAGGGATCAGGATCCTTGTGGCCGGCACACGGTTTTTGCCCCCCTCGATCTAGAAACCACCCAACTATATGGACTAGGGTCGTGGATAAAAAACCCCCAACGACGACCAACTATGTTCGATGCAATGAACTTATATATATGTGGAAAGAAACCTCTGAATCAATCCCTTACATTACGCAAATTACATTTTCATTTGTGTTATGATTGAAGTGGAAAGTGGAAAAAACAAAAGTGGATTTTCATTATATAATAGTGGTGTCATAAACAAACAAGTGCTTATCAATGGAGATCGCAAGAGATAGTCCGTTTTATATTAGGTTTTGTTTTTAGTTAGGTGTTAGTTAAGGGATTCAAACTTGAGATTTCCATGTTCAATTCAATGGTATTATCATTGGACCAATCCTCTTATTCGGAATAGAGGTTTTCATAGTTACCGTACAACCATACGTGCCTATATGTTATTGGTCCATTTTAGTGAAGATTAGATGTTGATCTGTTGTAATTAGTTCACAGAACCTTGTAGATATTGCTTCGAATTGTTCGGTGAAAAATTTAATGAGAAAATTGCTCGAATCTTAGATTTCTTCTTAATATCAAATGAGGTACAAATGATCTAAAATCTTAGGATAACCCAACAATTTTAAATTGAAAAAATAGAATCTACAATTATCTCAATCCTAAAAAATTTCAAAGACTATTTACTTTCCTCATCAAAGTAGTTGGATTATTAAAAGAGAGAACCATGGAAAAAAGAAGTGGTGTGGACACATGCATGCTATGAGTCGTCTATTCAAAGTCTTCCATAAAAGAGTGTATTGGGGGGGTTCCTTATCCCTTTTCCCCTTTCATAAAGATTCTCCCTACTAACTTTGTCCATACAAGTTGCAATCTAGGAAGCCATATTTTTAATAAGCCACGTGGATTAATACTTTTCCAAATCTCGTCCCATATAAGATTATTAGCTAGCTTCAATCATTCCGAGTTGTCTCTTACACACCCCCAATTTCGAACGAAAGCTAATTAATAAGAATTCAAAACATACGATCACCTTATTAAATTAATTCTCATACAATGTCAAGAACCAACTGACATTGTATGAGAATGGATAAACAAATACTGGGATTTGCCCTAAAAACTACACGAATATATCCAAAAGAAGAGAGACTACGTAATAGATAAAGCAATTACTAATTAGAATTCATAGACCACAAGGCCTTTGATATTTGTGACCAAAAGAGGCAGAGAAAGTGGGGGGTAGGTGGGTTCTTGAATGGCTATAAATATCTCCCATCCATGGTGTTATTTTACACAAACATCAAACCCAACCCGACTCGAACCTCGCAGATCGATAAACCATGACTACATCTTCTTCTTCCTCTTCCTCTTCCTCTCAGCTGGCTGCAGCTGCTCTGCTGGTTTCGGTGGCATGCTTCATTGCGGCGACGAGCAATTACCACGTCGAGGCGGCGGACCCGCCGCTGGTGCAAGGCATGTCGTGGAGCTTCTACACCTCCACCTGCCCCAAGCTGGAATCCATCGTAAAAACACGGCTCCAGGAGGTGTTCAAGAAGGACATCGGCCAGGCTGCCGGCTTGCTCCGCCTCCACTTCCACGACTGCTTCGTCCAGGTAAATTACAACTAATTAATCATTCATGATATTAATAGCAGAGAAGAAACTAAATTAGAAGTAATTTATTTATATAAGTGGTGATGTTATAAAAAAAAAAAAAAAAAACTAAATCGGTTTCAGCATTCTCTAATGTTAATGTAATTACTTGTTATATAATTATTATGTAAGTGTTCAAACATGGGACAAAAACAGTTTTTATGGAAACTCGAGCGATGAACATGGGTGCAACTGCAATAATAAGTTGGGTATGGATGATGACATTTTGACATGTGTGTTTTCTTCCCTTGTTTCTGGGCCCATAATAAATAAGGGATGTGATGGGTCGGTGTTGCTGACTGGATCCGCCGGCGGGCCCAGCGAGGAGCAAGGCGCCCCGCCCAACCTCAGCCTCCGACAGGAAGCCTTCCGCATCATCGAAGACCTCCGAGCCCGCGTCCACAAGGAGTGCGGCCGCGTCGTCTCCTGCTCCGACATCCTCGCCGTCGCCGCCCGCGACTCCGTCGCCCTGGTATATAGATCATTAACTCATTCTCTCCCACGATGCAGTTAAAAAGCGCGATCCTGACCTAAAAGCGTGGATTTTGACTACACTTATTAGATAAAAATGTGATTTACGTAGAAGCCGTTTTGGTGATCTAAAAAATATATAAATTAAACTTTAAAACGCGATTTTAACTGCATTGTTTGCTGATTGTAACATTTTCCCTCCGATTAACCGCTCCGTAATGTTTTGTTTCCCCCTCTCCACAGTCTGGTGGGCCCAGCTACAAAGTCCCCCTGGGCCGACGCGACGGCCTCACACTCGCCACACGCGCCGCCACCCTCGCCAACCTCCCACCTCCGACGTCCACCACCGGCCAGCTCCTCACCGCCCTGGCCCCAAAAAACCTCGACCCCACCGACGTCGTCGCCCTCTCCGGCGGCCACACGATCGGGATCAGCCACTGCTCGTCCTTCACGCGCCGCCTCTACCCGGCCCAGGACGCCACCATGGATCAGACCTTCGCCGGCAACCTCAAGGCCGCCTGCCCGCAGGCCGCCACCGTCGACGGCACCGTCAACATGGACATCCGCTCCCCCAACGTGTTCGACAACAAGTTCTACGTCGACCTGATGAACCGGCAGGGGCTTTTCACCTCCGACCAGGATCTTTACACGGATTCGAGGACCAGAGGGATCGTGACCGGTTTCGCCGTTAACCAGTCGCTGTTCTACGAGAAGTTCGCGGTGGCGATGGCGAAGATGGGACAGCTCGGCGTGTTGACCGGGTCGCAGGGCGAGATTCGCGGGAACTGCTCGAGGAGGAGCACTGGGGTGGAATCGGTGCTGGAGTCTGCGGTGGAGGAAGCCGTCGAGATCCTCGCTGGGTTTTAATATAAGTACGAGCTGAGATCGTTGGATTAAGTAAGAAATTTTTTTTTTGATTTCAGTTGCGCTGGATCTATGTGTGTGCGATTGAGATTGATGTTTTCCGGCGCGTGAAAAGGGTTTCGTATTATAGCAGTAATCGGAGTTGGTTTCGAGATGGTTGAGGAAGCGATATGGGTGAAAATAAATAAGCGAATTAGTATGTAGGCATCGTATCGTAGATTGCAGTTTTCTAATTATGTGTTTTTTTGTGTTGATGTGTTCGGAGCGAGTTCTATAAAAGCGTATCAAAAGTTTATATGAAGAAAATTAGTGGGAATGCAGTTTGTACTGAAGTCGTGATTTGTGATTCAACCATTTTCGTGTATCTTTAGAACTGTTTATCGACGTGGGATTTGAAATCCTGTATTTCCTATCCGACTAGCCAATACATACGATTTTTAAATGCTTTGAATAACATGCAGTTTTGTCGCTGATTTATGTTTATTTTGCACATGCAAATCTATCAATATTTTACTATGAATTAGAGGTGGTGTTACTTACAAATTACAATTCATGCACTGGGCCCAAGAACTGTGCATAGGCCCAAAGTTCGAAGGATTAAACTACTGGGCCTTATGCTTAATGATTTTGGCCTAATGTGAGTGTTGGGGCAATCAAATAAATTCACGTGTATCACTAGAAACAAAATTGCATTCCATTTTCGTGTGTGTTGTAATTTCAAATAATTTTTTTTGTGTGTGTTGGTACTGGCAGTACTTAAAGCAATAACGCAACTTCGAGGCTATGGGTTTTAGCAATCCTACCGTAGTCAGTGGCGGATTCAGAAAATTTCCACAAGGGTGTTCTTTTCAAAAATTAAATTAAATTATATAACAAATTAAATAATTTGTATATTAAAATATCATACTTGTATAATTTGTATAAATTTTTTATTAAATAATAAATTAAAATTCATATTTTGAAAAAATAATATAAATAAACTCTGTGTCTGCACTATTCAAAAAAAAATCTACATATCCTACTAGACAATACTTCACGAACTTATCACATATTCGAATTCTAACATTGTTCTTAATGTAGCTCAAAGTAGAAAAGACTCTTTCAACACTTGCCGTGTAACAATAAAATCAATTCAAAATTAAGGGTAGCGTGTACGTAGTTTAGTTATTAGGTATTGAAAACAGTTGGGGGATAAAGAAATAGCGTTTTACTGTTGCATGATGTTTAAAATAGAATAACAAATGAGTAGCAACATAAGTAGAATATGTTTGATAATAGTAGTGTCCTAGGTTGGAATAACACGGACTACCACTTATATTTTGTTAATCATAAGCTAACTATTATCGAGAGTAGGATAATCATTTTTTCAAATGTTAGGGTGTCCCGGATTACCAATTATATTTTGTATACCCATACGAAACTACTAGTGGAGGTTGGATAATCGTTTCCCCAAATTTTAGCGGTGTCCCGGGACACCCCTAGAGGCCCATGTATCCGCCCCTGACCGTAGTGGCGGGTTGGATTGCAAAGATTGGAATACCATATTTAATTTGATAGGTAATTTTAATGGTAAGAAATGGTTAAATACGATTAGGGCTTGCGTCGACAAACCCCCAACCTCATAGTCCATAGATACTCGGGCAAACTGTGGGAGAAAAAAAGGAAAAGATTCTTAATTAGCTTTTGTACGTCAATGGAGGTGATGATTACTACAAACAAAGAGAGTACTATTGGCTAGCTGCTGCCTTTTTTTTCTTCCCCCAATGTGATATCGATGAGACATGCATGCAGATCATGAATGAATATGGCAAGTGGAAAGGCGACAACCCACTTCGATTCATTATTGTACCAAGAGATTGATCGGATAATATATATGTGTTCTTGTTTTAGACGACACCAAAACCCCACAACCCACTAATTAGTGACTATGATTGACCTTTTTATTATTTTAGTGTTTGTAAAACCATATCTTATATATCTACCAAAATTTAAAATGATAAATAGTTGTGGATGTGACTTTGAATTGAACTATCAACCGCTATAATTGGACGTCACAGGGGTCTCGCTTTGTCCGAATCCTCCTATTTCCTTTATCAATTTGGATTAGGATCAGACCAGTGGTTGTAACCTCTTTTTCTTTTACCAGTTTGGATCAGGGTTAGACCATGGAGAAGTAGTACTATAAATAATTCTCATATACTCCTCTCTAATATGTGTCTACTCAAAGTATAGTGGAAATTGACTCTCTCCTGCTCGTGGACTAGCTTAACACACATTGTGTTAAGTGAACCACGTAAAATCGTGTATCGTACGTGCGTTCTTGTGTTTCGTTTTTTCTTACTTTTGTCAAATCCTCCTGTTTTTTCGATCCGCGTAGAAAAATCATCGTGACAACAAATTGTAGCGATATAAAAAATATTTGATACACAATTAAATCAAGGTTTCGATAAAGATAATAATCTTATCGTTGACGTTGTTTTCGTTACAACCCCGATATAATTTCACGATATTTCATTCCTTTTAGAAGGAAGAAAAAGGAGGGATAATAATTAAATAATATAATACATTAGCATAACAGCCTAGAAACGGGGCCCATGGGCATGGCCCAAATCCAGCCCGACTACGAGAGGGGTGGGCCCAAACCCAGCCCAACAACGAGTTCAATCAGAGCCGAATAATTCAAACTACTTACACCCACAAAATTGAATGAATCCTCAACATCACAGCCACATGGTCTGCCACCACCACCCCACGCCCGCTCCATCATTATCAAACATGTCACACTAATATGTTTGTTTCATTAGTTTCATATGAAGCCTTTCACTTAAAATGCAACATATTATGGCAAATGGCTTAGATCGATATAAGTTTTTTCCTTCTTAACAACTCCGATTTAATCATTTTTTAACAACAAAAAAAAAATTATATACCGTCTGTCCGACTCCGATCTAAGATAAGTTTTACCGGTTCCGACTGCTGCCGTATTTGATTATCGTGACAAGTGACGCAAGACACTGATCAACCTGACGAGAGTGTCCTTTTGTGAATAAATATCCTCCACCATATCCTCGTAAACGAAACTTGAGCAAGTAAAATACCTTTTACCGTAGCGATGAATATGATACTAACTCTGAATTTCTTCAATATCTGATACGAATCTGTACGTCAAATCTTCAGCAATGGGTACGTAACTGATCAATGGTATAAAATTAAACGAGGTTTAGATTTTATCTTGTGAGACATAAATCGCAATCACCCCGATTCTCCTGATATAAATTCCTCCTTTGATGGGTTTTCTAATCCTAAAATTTGCATGCCCGACAACATAAAGTTAGTTATCATCATTATAAAGCCACATTATAAATACCCCATTTTCCTTTCCTTTTCCCCTCCCGACCATACAATTACAAACACTCGAGAGAGAGAGAGAGAGATGGAGAAGAGCAGGTCGTTCCCGCAGTACTCGTCGTCTTTCTCCGGCGAGTTCGGGCCGTTCGACGACCGGCGGCGGCGAGCTGGGGACCACAACAAGGCCTACAGCTTCAACGGGCCGGACCAGAAGTCGGCCGACGACCCAGAAGCGAAGAGGAAGAAGCGGATCGCGGCCTACAACGTGTTCACCGTGGAAGGCAAGCTCAAGTCCAGCGTCCGGAACAGCTTCAAGTGGATCAAGACCAAGTTCTCCACCGACTCCCGCTATGGTATTTAATTTTAGTTAATTACTCTTTTGTGTTAATCGTGTGATTAGTCCTTATGGAAGATGCCTAATTAGCAGCAGACATGTTTCTGGGTATAGTTTTGGAAGGCTGTGTAATTAATGAAGTGTAATAATAAGATGTGTTTATCGATATAATTAATTATGGCCAGTAGCCAATAATTTTGTACCTGGTTTTCCTTCTCCGGTCTCCATAAGGCATAAACTAGTTGGTCCCAGAAAACGAAAGTCGTCGGCAGCCAACTCATGGGTTTGAAGTTTGTACAGGTCCACTATACGTTGTGTTTTAATCAACTGTTAATATTGGGGATCGTGGAGATTCGAACACACGACCACTTGGTCAAACAAGCTCTGATATCATGTCATAAATCCAAATGAAAGCTAAACTCTGGACTAGTTTTAAGTACTAAAATGTCGTTCTACAAATTTTGAAGTACCAAAATATAATTTTTAGTGATTTTTTTCAACAATAATTAAAATTCAGATATTAAATTGTAAAACATATAAATATAGATACCGATTTGTAATTTTCGATAATCCATCAATCGAATTAAATTTAGATTAAATGAGTCAAATATTTGATTGAATAAATTGGATTCAAACGAGTGGGTAGGAAATCCTAACACCAAATCCTCCTTTTAAAATAGATTTGATCAAAATGAGTCCAATTTTTATTAGGTTGGGAAATCTCAATCGGCTCCTTGAGATATATGATGCCACCACGATGACATTTGCCAACGGGGAAAAGTCCAAAGAACTTCACAACAAAATAATTATAATAACCAACACCGCATTATCAATATGAATGGACACTTTTAAAGTGTGTTGTTAAACGGTTATCTCCAATATGATAAATATAACGAGGACAATATTAAAGGATTAAAAAACCTTTATGGACGGTTCGATCATGAAAATCTCATTTAGAAGGGTAATTAATTAATCGGTACTGAACAATATGAAAAATATTAAATCACGATTTCAATATAAAATATCTTTATCGCTGATTATTCTGATACAATCTTTAGTATAATTTTACCGTCCTTTCGAAATTTGTTGATAATTTTTTAATTGTTATAAAATAAAATAAAAACGAGGACAAAGTAATAGTTGTCGGGCAGGAGACAATGATAGTGAAAGTGACCTATAATTTCAACGTAATGCATTATTGGAAAAATGGGACTTAAAAGGACAAGTTCACATTTGCCACCACAACCTTTGCTAATGGAGCAAAGCAATTATTTTAATGGAGAAAAAGTGGGGGGAGAAAAACAATGTTTGCAAGTATTAAATTAATTACTTGATCATATGTATATGTTAATTTAGTTTGAATTATTTTTGTATTGGTTTTCATGAAGTAGTCCAATGTTTATATTTATTTGCTCTTGTTATTGCCACTTGGTTTGGCAAATGATTAATGATGTACTTAATTAATTAAACCAATGAAATGAAAGTATGAAACAAAATCACGGGAAACTTTGTAGTTTAGGAATATTGAACCAAATTAAGATTAAGTGATTAAACTTTGTTTATCCCAAAACTTTTGTCATAATGGACGTGGTTCAGGCCAGGCAAAGTTGCCGACGGCTTAGGCAAAGGCATGTACAGCAGATTAAGCAAGATATATTTAGCTTTGGCGCCAAATAATATATATAGGTGGTGATTTAATTAGTAAAAAATGATAGTCATATCATTTTATTAAATTCGAACTTTCTCGTTGTTATTAGTTCGATCATGCAACTTTTGTTTACTTGGAGTTTACAACTTACCATCGTTCATATTTCAGTTTTAGAATTCATCAAAAAAATTTCAGCTAAACATATTTTCATTTTTGAAAATCTCACGTTTTATTTCTCAGAAATGACAACTTCACTTTTAACGATATTTCTTTTTTGTTGCAAAATGACTTACAAAATGAAAGTAAAACGTACCCTAAACTTTGACCGTCGAATTTTACTGACCCCAAAAATCCATTCTGCAGAATTCATGAGTTTGAGTGTGCAAGATCCTCTACTCCGTGGAGAAAGGACAGCAGACAAAAGATGAAAACCTTATTAATTTCTTACAGAACCCAAAAGTTTATTAATCCTCCATTAATATATGGTAGAATTTTGTGTACTTTTCTCCATTTCAAATTTCCTGCAACGAGAGTGAAAGTAGGAAGGTCATTTTTGTCTTTACACATTTATTATTTATTTCATATAAAAATAGCAATATCAAGGTTTGAACCCGGGTCTCTTCAAACAAAAATAACAATCACAACCAGTTACACTAAACAAATTTATTGCATTCTTTTTGATAAAAAAAATAGACAAAGTTAATTTCTGAAAATCAGAGGACTTTTTATCATAATTAGCAAGCTCACTAAGTCTACCGTATTTATTTTTATCGAGCTTGATACTTCTATTTTCATAGTAGAGTTTCATGTAATTTTCTCAATTTTAAATTCTCGCTCTCTCTTTAATTTTTGCTAAAGGTAAATGGGTAATTGGCCAACATGGAAGAAACTAATTATGTAACTACTGTTGTATCCTTGCAATTTTCAATTTAAATTTTGTGTTTTTTTTAATCTTTGTTATTTTCTCTTTATAACTTCCTCTGAAATTTCATCCATCGTGCAATAGTTTGCGCCTTTCACTTCCCAGTACAAGACTGTCATTGAAAATCAATCTTCAGGTATCTCTTGGCACTACGGTTTTATTGTTGGGGATTTTAAGCTGGGCGAGTAGAAGATTTCAACTCCGATATCAATTCATGGCGAATAGAATGGAGTTCATCAATAACTGAAGTTGTAGAAGGAATATTAGAAATTGAATTTTTGGTTGAATATATGCCTCTTGAGATAGAAATTTGGTTGTACAACGAAGAGTGGTGGCTATTGGATCTTTATGTTTATGGCTTTTGCAACTGTCATAACCTATTTCTATCTTAAAACGAGGAATCATTGATTGATTGTTTGAAATAGGTCGCTTCTTTATTCAACCTACTGGAACTAATAGATAAGGAGTGTCTAATTTTGCGCCTTATTACTTTGATCGAGTCTATTCGTATATTGGAGATAACCCTGATTTTTTCGTTTGCTCTCAAGTTGTGATGGTCCCCTCTTAGCTGAGTTTTTATTATATAGATGACTTGAATCAACAACTCTCCATTTCTTTTTGATTAGTGACATATTGTTTCTAAAAGGAGAGCATTGAACCCTTTATATAGGATTGTGAGGTTTAAGATTTAGTTTCAAACTATCTATGGGTTGTGTGAGAATTTCAGTGAGCTTTTATACTCTATATTTCTTGACTGTAAAAGAAAACTAACCAATAGCATTTTAACAGGGACTTAATTAGCATTATGAAAATGGGGTCAATGATACATTTTTATATTTTATATTCTTAAATGATTATGATATTTCTCCGAATCTTCGACCTATATATTATTTCTTTATGTATCATCTCGATCGAATGATTATCAATAAGATTAAACGGATTAATAGACTTAAAAGTAACATAAAAATACAAATAATCAAATATGAGCATTCCGGCCAAAGTGCCGGGTTATAAGCTAGTTACAAAAAGATGGCATAATTTATATGCGGTATTATATATATAAACCTGTATGCGAAAACATGTATTATGTATTACTTATTGCGGCAAGCTTTGTAAATGAGTTTAAAGGAAAATACCTTATAAATAATATATTAGATAAAGAAAGACAAAACCCTCAAGTTGCACCAGATTAGCAACTCAAAAATGAAGAGCAGCGCAGAAGTCTTTCTCCCCCATTTCCCCATTTTTTTTGCTTCCTAACATGAAGAAATGGGGATTTGGCTTTGGAGAACTTAGAGTTGTTCTACATGTTGTTTCCTAGTCTTCAACTTCCTGAAATCCCTTGAAGAAGCAGACCTCTGAACTACTGCTGCTCTAATTCTGTACATATTGTCATCGTTCTTGAGGTATCTGATGCTGCTCGCCTTGGAGATCGGTAATGGAGGAAGGTGGTTCTTCGTGTTCTTGTTGCTCGTGGGTGGACTCGGGCTTTCTCCCGGAGACAACAACAACTTTCGGTGCGATGAATCAACTGGCGAATACATATTCAGAGCTGGTGGAGGGCTTACACTCCTCTCAGTTAGCTGCTGCTTCCTTCCGGAGGAACTTCCACTGCTAGTAGTGGCAGTTGTAGCACTGCTCCCAACCTCTAGCGGCGTGAAGTTGGCCATTTCCGGATCCTGCACCAATCCAGGAGATTGGAAAAGTAAAAAAAATCCGCGACAGATGCAAAACATAAACTTAAATTGTAACCCAAGTTAGTACCTGTTCTACATGAACAATGTCTCTTTCAACAGCCACTTCTTTCCTTCTCTCGTGATGCTTCCTGGCTCGTTGCCTGTTGGAGCTTCTTGACCTGCAATGGTGATGATGGTCATGGTGATTAGATTAAGCTTTGAGCATAATAGACTGTTGTCTGTCAGTAAGTCAACTTCACAATGTGGTAGGTGTTCATTTTGTCTTTCTGAACTACTATTAGCATGTCATGACATTTAAATTAAAACACATAGCTAGTACAATAATACATGAATAGACAAATCAATATCAGATGATGTTGATGTTTATAAAATCGATTATCCGGCTGATTATCAGAGAAGAACTTACTTTCTCGATTCGTTAGCTTGTTCATCTTCTTCCTTGCGAAGCACAGGTAAACCAGATAAGTCGCACGCCAAAGGGCTCGTGTAGAAGAACTGCAACAAAGCAAAATATATAATCAGCCCCTCGAACAACATGAATTGCTAATAGTAGTTCAGAAAGACAAAACAAGATAATCCCTAATAGTAGTTTTCAGGTTGAGTTTACTTGGTTGCTGAGAGCTGAGTGTGTAGATCCCCGGTACCCAGGATCTAAAGCAAGAAGACTAGTCAACAGGCCAAATGAAGATTCAGGGAAATCTTGGAAAGCTTTGAGGATATTCGGTTTGTATATATGAGGGGGCCGAAAAGTTGTTGATAGCTTAAGTTTTTTCCAGTAATCCTCTGATGGTGTGCCGCATAGCTTGAAGATCCTATGCAATTGCTCAACCTGAAAGTATCAGAAACAAACCTTGCTTGATCAGTGGAGATAGAAAGCGACTTCAGGGTGCGCGTTGATCTAGTAAATCGAATTGCTGAACAAAGATCAAAACTTTTTTGATGTTCAATCAATGAGTCATAGTACCTCTGTTCTCCCAGGCATGATTGGGCGGCCAGTAAACATTTCTGCCATCAGACACCCAGCACTCCATAGGTCAATCCCCACACCATAATCTGTAGAGCCCAACAAAAGTTCAGGAGCTCTATACCAAAGCGTCACCACCCTGCTAGTGAGAGGTCTCTTGCGTTTAGTAGAATAATAATTCGCAAGCCCGAAATCAGCAATCTTGAGCATCCCATATTTGTCAATCAACAAGTTTGCTCCTTTAATATCTCTGTGCAAAATCCCCTTATCATGGCAATGCTGCAACCCTGATAGCAGCTGCTGCATATACGACTTCACCTGGGCATTTCCACAAACACAATTAAGAAAAGTTAAATTCAAAGCTTCAGCCAACAATCCCCGCAGCTGGAGCTCTAGGTTAAAATTTGTTCTCTTTGCTCTACCCACCTGTGGTTCAGTGAGTTTCCCCTCGTACCGAGAAATGACCGTTTGGAGATCGGTCTGCATGAAATCAAAGACCAGGTAAAGACTGTACTGAAGCCTGGAAGTCGCGATCCCTTCGAGCTTGACAATATTTGGATGATCCAACTTCTGCAGTATCATGATCTCTCTGGCCATGAATTTCACACTCTCCGGCTCGGATGTGTCCAATTTCACCTTCTTTAGAGCCACAATCTTCCCACTCTCTCTATCTCGTGCCTTGTACACATTGCTGTAGGTTCCTGATCCTATCTGTGCAGCAAAATTCACCAAACATTCAATAAGAAATCAATGCCAGAACATCAACAAACTTCATGCAGAAACTAACCTTATCGAGCTTAACATAATCCTCGGCGCTCTTCCTAACCACGCCAGCTAAAACCTCTTTAGGAACGTTATCGGCGAGCCACTTAGGCCAGCCATCGACGGTCTCCTCCACACCAAACGGATCCATTCCCCTAATCGGATCCATTCTTCCACCACCGCCGCCTTCGCTCCCACCACTCCCACCGCCGCCTTCACTCTTCATTTTTCTATCCCTTCCATCCTTCTCTTCCTTCTCCCCATAACTCCCTCCACCATCGCCGCCGGCAGCGAACCCACCGGTGTACGTCCGGAGAGGCGGTTTCGGGTCGCCCTTGTCGCCGTACCTCCGACCCGATCCCCGATGATGAGGACCCATCGATCTTCGATGCTGCCCATCGATTTTCCGCCTCGTGGGTGGGAACCCATTAACCAATTTCACCTTCCCCTGCCCTTTGTTGGGCGAAATTGAGCTGTGCTGCTTCCCCTGAGCGGCGCCCATGTTTCTAGGGTTTTGTTGGGGATTTCTTCGATTTTTCAGATGGCCGTCTCTTAAAGGAGAGGAGGAATCGATGAATGGAGAGGGAGGGGAAGTTAGAAAGTAGTAGTAGTAGTGGGGTTTGGGGAGGAACGGGAGAGGCGGCAGAGTGGTGGTCGTCGGAGAAGGAGGAGGCGACACATGGTGGTGGGAGGGAGAAAGGGGGAAGGATGAAGAAGATACGTTTTGAGGAAGGGTTGGAAATTAAGGGGGGAAGAAATGGCGAAGGGAGGCATTGGAGATGCCGGACATGGCCGGCTTTGTCTGGTAGTGATTTGGGTTCTTTCGCATTCTGGTTTCGGGTGGAGAGGGAAAGCGAAGAGAGGTGGAAGGAAGGAAAGAAACCCGGCTGAGCTCTGCTTTGGTAGATCCGATGGAGGGAAACAAAAATCCCCCGCGTATTTTTAAAAAATTGTTAAGAAGGCCAGAAAGCACTTCACCCCAGGTTGTTTTACAAGTAAAATAAGGAAGTTAGATAAAGCGATTATGCTATTTTTTAATTTTTTTACATTTCCACATTTTTAGTAAGTTAGATTTGTAATCCTGCTATTAATAATAATGCACATATATAATGCTGACACACCCAATTTGTTGATATGGTGTTAACACTTAACACTAGCTCTAGTCAATGAAAATATTTTATTTTGATAACTTTTTTTTTATTTTAAGATGTTGACAAAATTCATGCCAATTTTATAAAATGGAGGGGCGTGATTGTGATTGTGATTATTGAAAATTATTGGGAAGCACATGTGAAATAGCTCATTTATTTCGCGCCTCGCCACAGATACACTAGTATAGGGCAGATAATATCCACCTCAGCATGGATCAAGTCGGGAAATATCCGGCCGGCATGGTTCAAATTGCAATCCTTGTATGAAACTGACATGAAAGAAGAGAGACCATACCATAAATCTCATGAAGCAAGCCAAAAATATTATGTATTATGTCAAATAATTAAAATATTATAACGATGAGTAAAACGAGATGTATGAGGGAGAGGGTAGGAGACGGGATGCAGGAGTCGGAAAAAAATGAGAGGGAGGAAGGTGTGGGTAGGTAACTACTACATGCAGTAGTTATCATGATACCCCTAATAATTAGGTTAATATGGTGCTAACACTTTTTAATGTTAGCACATTTTTCAGTCTCGTTGAAAACATTGTCGGGAAATAAACCGATGAGTACACCAGTGCATTTTAGTGGCTAAATCAGGAATTTAACATTCTATAAATCACCATTATCACAATCAAAACAAAATTGTGTAATCGATTTATTCAATCAAATCATATATTCAAATTTTCTAGTATTTTAAGTGAGAGATTTGAACTCAAATCTTAACAAATTTCTCATATTGAAAACCATCATCCACCTCGCACTATTTCTTCCACTTTCTTTTTGTCAGGAATCGATATTGGCCGCCGGCGACTGTTCTCTCTCCATCTCGTAAGGTACGATCCTCTCACTCTCCCTTGTTTTCTCCAATACAAATCCATCACCCACATTTGTCTCCAAAGGGGGATCCATTCATCCTCGGCTGAGATCTAAAAACTTCCGGGGGAGGGCTCGATCGGCCGGCCAGAGTCAAGGGAATCACGATCCCCCTCCGCTAATTTCTTCGACATTTCGATTCTCCATTACTACGAAAGGTAAAGCTGCAGCTCTCTGTTTTTGTCTTGTCTGAATTCGGTTGGACGCCGGCGATTCGACTCTCCGGCTGACAGCAGCTGCTCCCATTTTCTCTCCATCTCGTAACTAAAGGTACGCCCATCCACGAGTCTTTACTTCCTTTGTCTTCCTCTAATGCGTTTTCTTGCCACGCCAATTGGCCCCCTAAGTGGAGTGCATTGCTGTGAAGTGAGCGATTAGGGATTCTGGGGAAAGGTTTTTGGTTATGGATTTTTTGCGGCATTCCATTCAGCCGGCTAGCTATCGTTGCTGGGTTTTCTCCTCGGGGAAGTTTTCGATTCAGTCAAAGCTTTAAACTGAGATTTCCCTGCTTAGTGTGTGCTTGGTGCAGCAGCCACTGTTCTTTAGTTCATTCTACTGCTGCAATACTGCTTTTTTCTTCTCTGGCTCAGTTTGCAAGGTTGTAAGCGTTGTGTGAAGATTTAAGCTCAGATTCCCAGTTTTGATTTGGGGGGAAAAATGAAAGCTTTTTTCCTGGTTAATGTTTGCTTGGTGCAGCGGCCTGTGTCTTGAGTTCATTCTACTATACTACAACAGCTATCGTCCACTTGAATGCTGTGTAAGATAACTGGACTTGGGCAGAGATTTCTGGTTTGGCTTTGGGCGACTTCTCACTTGATCAAATTTTCGCGGCAGGTGTTCGTTCCAAGAATGTGTCAGCTTCGAGAGTGGGAAGACGATTTGCCCATGGACGACGCGACTTCGATGACACGCCAGGGAACGATACAGGAGCGGTAGCAAGGCAGCAGCACTTGATCCTCAGCTCGGCTTCTCGACCTATCCGAGAGAGTCATTATGGTTGAACTCAGGCTGGAGCTTTGGGGTGCACGGCTCATCGTTTGGAGATTGCAGTGAGAGTACTAGGCGTCTTGTTTCTGGTCACCCTCGTTTATGCCATCTTCTTCAAATGATGACAGGGAGAAAAGAAAGCAGCTTTTTTTTCCTTTTTGGGTTGCAGCAGAGAAATGTAAATAAGCAGGTAACTAACTAGCTTACATCAATGGCTGGAACAGGTTTTCGATCGATTGAACATATACATACTTACTCGAACGATTTCGATTCGTTCGGGTTTCACAAGCTCAAACTCAGGTAAGGTGTTCGTTCGATTACACGCAGTTGCTCGATCGATCTTCGAATTCGTATTCAGAGTTCTTTCCCCATTAAGCAGTTGCCAGGATCATTCCAAAATCACAAAAACATCAAAATGCTCTGTTCAATTATTCAGTACAACAAACAACAGCAACAGTGGAAAAAAATGCTGACAAACTCACTCAAAGAACAGCAACAACAGTGACCTTCTTGACCTTCTTATTAGCAGCTTTCACAGCAGCGGCATTGGCCTCCACGAGCCTCCACATGTACCAAGCCCCGACGGACCGATACGGCCGCCACTTCTCACAGACCATCTCCATCTCCGCCGCCTCCGGCAAACCTTTCAGCCCGTACAAGCTCTGCACGCCTTTCCTCACTCCCAAATCCCCCACCGGCAGCACATCCGGCTTGTGCATCGAGAAAATCATGAACATGTGTACCGACCAGACGCCGATTCCTTTCACCGCCGTCAGCCTCTCCAGCAGCGCTTCCTCGCTCATCTCCAGGATCGCCGAATCCGACAGCGACCCGTCCCTGAACTTCCCCGCTAGGTCGTGGAGGTAGCCCGCTTTCCTGCCCGATACCCCGGCTTCCCGCAGCTGCGATGCGGTCAGCGCCAGCACGGCGTCCGGCAGAATCTCTCCGCCGCCTCCTCCGCCTCCGCCGACGCAGAGGGCGAGGAAGCGCGCGTAGATCGACTGCGCGGCGTTTGTGGCGAGCTGTTGGAAGATGATGCTTCTGGCTAGGGAGGTGAATGGGGGTTTGCTGGTGTCGAATTTGGGCGGGGCGTGGCGGTCGATTAGGGATGCGAGGAGAGGATCGGATTTGCGGAGGTGGTTGAGGGCGACGGCGATTTCGCCTTCGGTGGATAACGGTTTGGCGACGGCGGGGATCGGAGGTGAGTATGAGGCCGTTGTTTTGGCGGCGGCGACGGCGGCGGCCTTGGTGGTGATTATCTTTCGGATCTTTCGGGGTCGGAATGGGAGTTTGCCCGGAGAAGGGCGGAGCTGAGCGGCGTCGCCGGCGATTTGGGAAGCAGAGGACGGGTTGTTGAGGGAGAGAGCGATGGATCGGGTTACGGGCTTATCCATTTTCAGGGATGGAGCATTAGGATTTGGATCTTGGTTGAACTTTATTAATACAGCTCTCCGCCATTTTCAAGCTTTCTGCTACAAGCTTTTAACTGAATGGTTCTATTCTTAGTATTCTATTCGACAGCTGACCGTTGACCGGTAGGTTGACGGGCCGGATCGGGTAACTTGAGTTCCACGGCATTTCGAGCTTCCACCACAAGCTAACTGAAATGCATTCTATCCTTGGGAGATATAACAGAACTGCTCATTTAAAGCTTTTTGTACAAAGAATTGCAACATAAGCTCATTTCACCTATATAATGAAACTTTAACTCATCTCAGACAAAATTTCGACTCCAACCGACGTAATCTGTTAGAAGTTTTCTCCTCTCTCTTACGAGTATCCATTTGGTTTTTCCCGAGCTTTCGACGCTCGCTTCTGCTGCTCTGCGTCGTAGTGCTGCATTGCTGCCTCTAGTGCCTGCACCAAAAGAACAGAAACGAAGTTCAGTAAAGAGAGGCGATTCGATAATACTTGAAGGCAGTTGGAAAGAAGTAAGGGTCAACCTGCTGCATTGGGCGAATGAGAAGTGTAATTTGATGCCGGATGTCCGGCTGTACAGTTTCCTTCAACTTCTGAAATTTAGTGAAGAGTGGCAGAGCAATCACATTTTCCAAACATTTTCAAGATACACAAATATTAAGGCCTTAACCTATTGAGAATTCAGAATTAGTACTCTGTTTATGCTGTGCAATGTACCTGTAGTTGAGAATCCATTTTCGACATTTCATCCTTTAGTTTGGTTACCTGCACATATCATTCATTATATATTACGGGTAAGAGAAGGAGAAAATCGTATGCAATAGATTGCATCGAATGAAATCCAGATTCATAACCAGGGAATATATAGTCAAAAGAATTCCATTGGTCGATACTTCCATTTTCAGCTCACTATTTGGCAGGGAAAGAAAACTTCTTAACCAGGGAAATGATTTCCAAATCGAAAAGGCAGCACAAACTTCATTATCTTGTACAAGAGAGAGTACCTTGGTATTGAGATACTTGGTTGTGATTGGATATGAAGACCAAAAATGCTTCATCAACTCTTCAATTGAAATATGATGCTGGAAATATGATTTAAGGAAATATCATCAGATACCGATATTCTCCCACAGAACAGAAGAGTTCGGCTCTCATGGAACTAGCAGCTGTTTGTTCAAAACGTCATTGCACTTACATGTAGAAGCTCGTCTCTAACTGAGGTTGGTAGACTGTCCAACAGACTTTCTCCAGGTTTCTTCCCGAGATTATACTTTGTGCTTGAGATGTTATGGGTCAAGACAGAGAGAACCTACACAATAAAGTTTGTACTAGATTCAGAGACTGGCTGGAACCATTATTACCACTTCCCCTATTTTCATGGAGACAATTAATTATTACCTTCTGGGCTACTTCTGGTGCAACTATGGGATGATTCATACCCACAGATTTAATTTGAGATATGGATTCCCTCAACAAACCATATGCTTCCTGGCTGCTCATACTTCCCTTTGTTGCTTCCATGGAAGTTCTGAATGAGCTAGCTTGTTGTGAATCGAAATAATCTCTCGGGTCCTGGTTTGTCATAGCAAAGCCTTCACTCCAACTGAATGGAATAGTAAAAAAGAAAAATAAAGGCAGCACATAAATGGAAGTGTTCAAAAACAACCTTAATCCAAAGCGGTGCGAGGTGGTGATCATTTGACCCTCGAAGATCGTCAATTGTCATCGCCTGGGATATACCTTTTAATCTCTCTTTATCCGCCATTGAGTCGTCATCTTTGCTAGCAGTGCTACGCTCTAGCAAACAAACAATTATCGGAACCCCCTAAATATAATGAGGAAAGAAAATCAAAAGAAAACCGAAGCAAAACTAATTATGACATCAACCTTGTTTTGACCGTTCAAGTGCCTCTGCTACCGTTTGTGTGTCTTTCAGCTGCTCTTCATCTGCATGATGTAATGGTTAGGAAACTCAAAGCCAAATGTCCATGAACACACAAAAGAAGTCTAAGCTGTAAACTGAGAAAGACAAGAAACTTCTTAAATACTACTTACCTATTGGAGTTCCCTGAAGAACAACAGCTGCATGCCTGTTAAGATCCTGCAGCAAAGTCCTTTGGTAGAGTTCATTCCCTGGTTCGGGTACTTCCTTGCTACCATCACGAAGAATCCCGTGATCCTGTGTTTTCCAAAATGAAATAGTATCCGAATAAATAAATGAAACAGCATCGATACAAATGATCTAGCAGACACACAGAGACAAGTAAAAGAAATCAAACAAAGCCATTGCAATAGCTGTGCATCTTTATTGGAAACTTCATCATGTACTATCTAAGTGATGCCTATACGGTGCATATGCCTGTAGCAAAACAATGAAGAATCAATTCCTCAAGCTTCATTCTGCGTATGATATTACCAAGCACGGATTTCATTCAAGTTCTATGCAGATGTGCAGAATTCAACCAAGGGATCAAAATCATCCACTAATAGTTTGCAAACTCCCAAGTTGTGTTCTACATTTCCCACTTCAATATTATTACTGAATTGAAATCTCAGGAGATATTTTATACTCCGGCACTCCAGCATATAACATACCCCATTGTCGCAAACACCTTAGTCCCCTACTCCTTTCTACCAATTTTATTTATTTTTTCCATTAGTTAAAGACAATAGTCAACAACTGTCCTAAACTCCAACTTGGCATCAAAGCAAATTCACCTTCATAACAGCATATCCATTGGCAAACAATTTGAAAAACACAATCAGTGGCCAACAAACAGACTCATGTTGATAAAATCCAGTTGGCTGGAATCTGGCCTTGGGATGAGTGCCCGAAGTAATTGATTGACTATCGTCTAATCAACTCATTTTATCTTCTAGTCACCACACAAGGGCCAAAATCAAAATTTGTACAAAATAAAGGGCAGAACATTCAACTTACAGGAAGATGTGAATAATCATCACCTTGGTCAGCTTCCATGTCTAGAGTTGGATCAACACGTCTGATCTGGTACAAGAAAATTTTTAAGTTTGTGATATGTCAAACTTAGATGTTGTTTCTCAAGATGAATGTGGAGCAAGGAGTGCATCTATGAACTAACCTTCCTGCGAGTTTCATTGGCCAATATGTCATCAGGCTTTAAGAAAATGGCAAGCTCCTCATCTTCAGCAGCCTCCGCTATGGCAGCTGCAATGTTCTTTGAGCGCTGGAGGTACTCTGCTCTAAAATATTTGGTCCAGAAATCCTTCTCTGTCACCTTCAGCCACAAAAAGTAAGTCGGACAAAATAAAGGGAAGAATTCCGGACTCATGCAGAGAAATGAATCAATTACTACGAGATTGGAGACATCTGGTGAGGCAGCATTTTTTTCATACAGATATGGAGCCCACTGTTCACGTACTAATATAAACTTAATAGTAGAAGTTTCCAGAAGTTGTTATTACCTTACTGGGAACAAAATTCAAGTAAGCCCGGTGAACTGCAGGTTTCTCTGAAAAAATCTGAAGGTAAACTTTTCAATGGAGAGAATAGAGATGAATGCACAGAACAATTCAACCACAACTACAATATTACAGATCAAACGGCCATTGAAACTCAGATGTGAGCGAACACACAAGCATTCGCAAATCCTATGGGGAAACAGAGGACATTACATTCACAAAGCAAATGCAATACATGTGTCCGAAGCAAAAATACAAACGAGTAATATCGATGTTTTTTAGTTTCGTGTATAGAAGGAAATTATTTTTAGATGCAAGAGGAACAAAGTCTGCAAAGAGGATGGTGTGGGGACAAAAAATTTACAGATGATAACTTAATTTAACTTGTACTGTAAATATCGTAACAGAAACAGTGAAGCAGGGAGAAGCCGTATAAGTAACATACCTCACGAACTATCTCTGGGGTCAAGTTAAATGTAACTCTGTTGGTCTGGATAAAGGATGCAATAAAAACGTTTCAGCATGAAGCCCACAACATAACCACATTTGATTGAGTAAAACTCAACAAAGACAAAAATGAATCGAGAAACAAGCACAAAGCAGCAACGGATAAGCGAGCAAGTCTGGGAGGATATTTGTACCCGACCGTCGATCAAAGGCTTTGACTCTCCCAGCACGGAACTCTTAAGACCACCTCGTTGTTTTGACTTTGTGTTGGAGTCCTTCTCCAGCAATTTCTACAATACAATAACAGTGTCTAAATTAAAGTTACACCAACCAACATAGACTACGTTCCTACCAACAATGCTCTGATATGAGAAAAGCTGAGAACTTCAAATGCTGAATGAAACTAGGCAACCAAAGCATCCAAAATAGGAGTACTCGAGTTAACCATTCTAACCTTCCTTGTAGCCCAGAATTCTGCTTCAGTCAGCACACCACCACCCACAAACTGTTGATGTAGCTTCTGCAGTTCACTGTGCAGCACAAAGTTCAAGATGTTAGGTAGAGCATCTGCCATAGCGAAAAGGAAGGAATATTCTCAGGATTTGGCAAAAAAAAATGCAACAATTAACAATAATAGTGCAACCTAGTACTAGGAGGAAATGATCAAGGAAGAAATAATCTAGGTCCCTGTACAAACTGCTAATCATTTCCACAAAATGCTTATGGAGATGACTTTCATAGTATATAGGGCAGCAAACAAGCCTACCTAACATATCATGCTTCTGATATTCATCTCAAGAATGGTCCTTTTAGAAATACGAGAACACGGGAATGTGAGTTTTATTTTTCAGCAATTAATTCCATTGACAATATCTACAAGCAAAGTACAACTAAAGTTTAGGTGAATCTATAATTAATCTAAAACATGTTAGATACAAGATGTTGCAATGCTGTAAAACAAAAAAGACATATAGTCATCAACAACTAGCTGATCTGATTTTCAAATTACCCAATTTACAAATAACGAAGAAATTGGCTTCACCTACTGTCTTGCAGAAGCCTTGCACGGAAGAGCAAATCATCTCTGCTGGGTTGTTCTGAAGGAATCTGTGAACTGGCTCCAAGATTTGGAGCTTCTACTGGTGGTGCAAGGGCTCTGCCTGTCACAATGCATAAAAACATCAAATAAGCAGTAAAATTAACTAAAAGACTGAACCATAGCCACACATATTTTACACGTAGAAAACAATGCCAGTCAAGGTGCAAGGAGCATTGAAAACAGGTTCACATATTGTTGTTTACTTCTTTGTTCCCTTTTGTGTTGGGTGATGGCAAAGGCAAATTCACAATAAGAGCAAAAGCACAGGAAAGTTCTACATAGTCATCACATGTGTGCTAAATATTATTATACCAAACTTTTATTCCCAAACTTCATCGAGTTAGTACAGCATGCCAGTTACATGGCATTATGGTTTCTTGTGATCTGATCACAGCGACAGTTTTCTATTTCACGACCAAAGCTTTCTCCAATCAAATAGTAAGATTATATGATTATAAGAAAAAAAGTAAGATTATATATGTCAAACAAACACTTCCTTGATCACGATGACATGATTACTAGAGTCTAAACAATTTAATAAGACTCGAGGAAGACTGACATGCAGAGATATAAAAATGTATCATAAGCCATGGCTTTGATCTTAGTAACATGGAATCCTTCACTGGCTACAAATGTCTGGAAGACCATGGAATTTTATCTAAGAATCAGATAGAACTTGTGAATTACCCACGAAATCCCTGCAGATATGGAGATCTTCATATCTTTCAAACTCGAATATATAACTCACACCCTGAAAAGCACCAAGTAGTTTAAAGCAAACACGAATATAAGGTCAAGCTACCAATTATGACACAAAAAAGCACTTCAGAATTTCAGACATATGCAAACAGAGAACATGCCTGATTTGAGGTGAGATTGAGCATTGGTGCTTTATTTGACCCCTCCTTGGTGTACCTGTGATCTACGCATTCCAAGCAATGGAGGGAAACAAAAGGAAGGAGAAAGCAGCATGAGCAAGGTTGATTTGTGCTCCACAAGCAATAGAATGAAGGCAGAGAACAAAAGATTTATACTTGTAATGTATTTGAACTGCATGTCAAGCTTAGATGCTGAGTTCGGATTATTCGGCCTGAACAACAACCTTTCTTTCACCTGTCCATTACACAAAGGAATGGAGGCGAACAATCAATTTCCAAATCTCTTGATAATCAATCTTATGAAGTTACATTGCGTATAGATACTGCTGAATTCTGTAAACAATCAAACCCCAAATGTAGCTCAAAATCAAAAGACCCAAGCTTGAAGTAACTGAGCTAGGATTTCAACCATACCAGTGAAAGACGGCCAGGAGTCCCAGCGTCCTTGACTGAGGTCTTGTACTTTACCCGCTTCGTCACTTGCCCGCTCGACATTCTTTCAGCTTTCGATCAAAATTTCCGAAACCTTCAAGCAAAACCTCAATTGAAGGCTCTCAACACACTCCACTTCCGAGAACTCTAATCGCTAACCAAATCTGTCACCACATTCAGGACGAACTCCTATGAAGAGCTCGTCAGGTAAATCAACCCTCGAGCTATAGCCAATTCCTGCAACTTTGTTTCCGCACCGAGATGGCGCTTGAGATACTCAGAATCAGGGGACGGCAATACCAGCTCTGGGAATGGAATTCCAGGGGCAGTTAAAACCCTAAGCTGTCGATTCAGCCGACGAGGACCAGAATGGCCTCTTTTTTTCCAGGAAGCTCGTCGACGAGACGAATCAACAAAATTGATACTGAACGACGGCGATACGATATCGGAGAGCGGGAGAGAATGATCGAATCATGGTAGGTAGAGGACCGAAAGGAGGCGGCGGCGGCGCTTCATCACCAGCAACGCCACACTGACACTGGTAAATGGGATGACGGTGGCGGAAATTGGAATATGGAGGAAAAAGGAGACGACGTGACTGGCGACGAGAAGAAAGCTAACACTGCCTGGAAAATGATGATCCAAGTCCAGTGTAAAATATCAAACCGGCTTGGTTTTTTTTTCATTTTAATCTCTATTTTCATTGCCTTATGGGGTGACTACTCGTCTCAAATTACGAGTAAGATTGTCAAACCAGTTTAGACCATTACGTATTTACGTTGAAAGATTCTATCAGTGTCCAGCAGTTTATGCCAGTTTTAACTTTTAATAGAATATATATGTTGGAGAAGTTGGAAATTATTATCACCAAATGAATTATGTGTATATAACTATATAGATAACATATTTCAAAACAATAACTGGACCAATCGAATTCGTTTTCATGCACTCGATTGTAGCAATTGCTATTAAAGTGTCTGTATGGATGGTTTTTTCGACTAAGATTAAGGAATACAAAAAGCGCATACTCACCTAAAATCCTACAGCCCCTCAGGTCAAACCCTATCCACCATAAAATGACCATCAACGTACTCAACAAAGCGCTCGAGTCGTTGGCCTGTATAAGGGCTCCATCTCTCTGCACTCACTACACATGAATTTATGTCTAAACCGTGTCTCGCTACAACTCTTTCTACATTTACATACATAATCTCCTATATCATTACTAACTTGGGAGGAGGAGCGTAGATCGCCAAAGTCATCCATATCTCTCCATTGATTTCTTCCACACCTTAGAAAATCTAACAAAAAAAAAATCAGGCACCACTCACACCTCAAACTCCTCTCTTCTTGTCTCAAACTCGCATTTGTAGAACTAATCCCCAGTTGTTCCTTAATTCCTAACTAAGCCAGTGCTTGTAGTAAGCTTTGCTAATTTTCCTATTGCCTGTGGGTAGGGGAAATGTATGCCATGGCAATTCTACAAACTTGCCCTTTTCCGCTTGCAAGACTTATAGGAGTTTACATATTTGTATGTGTTTCACTGTAAGCAACAAACAATCTGTGCTTCGTTTGCATGCAGCTCAATTGAAAAGAGCAAGTAAGCAGAGTTCTCAGGATGATGAACAAACAATGAACAATGGGAAAGCAGAAGTTGCAAAAATACACATCGACATATGGTACAGAAACTTATACAACAATCAAAATGTACTCGAGGCTCCATTTCGTGTGAGAGAGAGCTTTCTTTCAGTCCAGGTCTAGGATTCCGAAATTGGAGAGAAGGATCTTGACCTGATCAACGAAGTCCGACCCTGTTGCATACTCCGTCAGCATCCCAACAGCAAAACCGAACATCGCCCATCTGCTCGTGAACACCACCAGAAAATTGCCGCGTCATGCAATGTAGAATTATTCAAAAGGTCACACATCATGATATGCCTAGCAGGTTCGCAGCTCAATGGAGTAATACATGAATGCAAGGATTCAGTAAAGGAAGGTTCTTGCAAAAACAATAGCACTTCAGTGATCAAACTTGAAATGGTTTCATAACGATATAACATTAAGATCCAATTGCAGCTGTCTACCTTCAACTAAAGTTGGATCGCCATTTGCCAGGCAGCCAGATTATGTTCTGTAACAAACAAAATCGAGCCCTTCTGGTGCTAAGACAACATAGTTTCAAAACCTATTGCTTATTTGGTTGTGAGTTGTGCAAATGAGATGGATAACTTGCAAACCATGAAAATGGCTGAACTCAGTTCTTTCAAAGGGCCAATTTCAGCTCAAATTTTGTTTTGATACATGTGTCTACCTTGGGAAGACAACAACAACAACAAACTAATTGGTTGCCTACTCCCTAAGCTACCCAAAATGTCCAGGCTTTATCATCTTCAAAGCTTACCAATTCTAATCCCAATTAAGATTTCACCTCAATGTTCCTAGCCCCCAAGTAAGCACAACCTAAAGACCATTGCTACCAGAAATTCAAGCACCAAATGGAAACTAATCGTACATCATAATATGCCTAGCAGGTTCACAGCTCAACGTAATACATGAATGCAGGTTTCAGTGAAGGGGGAAGGTTCTCGCAAGAACAATAGCACTTCAGTGATCAAGCATGAAACTGGTTTCATTCTGATGTAAAATTAAGATCCAATCGCGGCTGTCTACCTGCAACTAAAGTTGGATCGCCATTTGACAGGCAGCCGGATTATGTTATGTAACAAACAAAGTTGAACCCTTCTGGTGCTAAGACAACATTGTTTCAAAACCTATTCCCTATTGAGTTGCGGAAATGATAGGGAGAACTTACAAACCATGAAAAGGTTGAACTCAGTTCATCTAAAGCGCCAATTTCAGTTCAAATTTTTGTTATGATATATGTGTCTACCTACGGATAACAACAACAACAACAACAAACTAATTGATGGCCTTAGCCCTAAGTCATAAAAAATGTCTAGGCTTTACCATCTTCAAAGCTTTGCCAATTCTAACCCCAATTCCGATTTCACCTCAACATTCCTAGCAATCCCCAAGTAAGCACAAGCTAAAGCCATCGCTACACAACCAAAGAAGTTCAAGCACCAAAATTGAAACTAATCTTACATGGAGCAAACCCAAGAAAGAAAAAAGGATTTAGTTCGTTTAGCTATGGGTTACCTTCCATTAGAAATCTCATTTTTCCCAATGAACCCGAAGAAAGGACCCTGATTTGCTTCCTCGAGCTTCTTCTGCTTGAAATACTCCTGCAGCTCCTTAGCCTTCTGCCTCTGGAACTCCAAAGTCACCACGCCCTTACCCTCCGCGACGCCCAATCGCGAGGCGGAACCCACCGGCGGCGGCGGCGGGGGTGAAGAAGATGGAGGGGAAGGAGGGACGGGCTTCAACGGAGTGGAAGCCGACGACGGCGGCGACGGCTCCCTGAGCGACGGCGCGACGGGTCTCCGAATCGGGCCTTCCGCTTGCGAGCTCCGAATCGAAACCCCGTGGTAGTAAGAATATGGCCTGGCGGCGGCGGCGGTGGCGGTGGAGATTCTGAGACGCACGGAGGTTGAGGAAGAAACGGCGGCCGAAGTAGAGGGAGATGCGGCGGAGCAAGGCGACGGGAATGGAGACGAAACTGACATGGCTGCCCCGTTTGATGCCGAGCAAAGTCTCCTTCGTTTCTTTAGGGCGGAAATTGGGGATTGGTTGTGTGAGCAGTGAGGGGCCGGCGTTATCAGGAAGCACAAAATGATGTGTGTGGATAATGTGGCGCCAAGTTTCTGGAATTTCATATATCCACACTACTTGTCTAAAACCAAAAGGGCGCTTTTTTTTCGTTTTTTCATAGATAGATAGTAAATCGATAGTTGATTACTCAAAGTTTCGATATAAGCTCGATTTAGCAATGTTATTGTTTGTTTTCAGTCTCGAGGTTCCGAATTTGAATCTAGCCCTGTACTGCGAGTGTAGGAATGGCAACCAAATTCATAATTGTGGATACCAGACCGTCTCCAATTCAATTTAACGTGAAGAAACCCCGCATTGACCAGCTATTCGAAAGAATTGGAACATATTATTCCATAACATACTGATGAATAAGGAACCAAAACACAAACAATTGACACCACCAAGAATCTGGGGAAGAAAAAGGAAACAACCGAATTGAAAATATCATCACAAAAACAACTTAAGAATAAGGAAGAAGACCAACAAAATTGAAACCCCATTTCTTCTTCTTCTCTCTCTCTCCTTTTTCCCCCCTTCTCTAACCCAACAGAAGAAAAAAATGAATAGAAAAGGAAAGAAAACGATTGAAAAATGATCAACTTCCTCCCAAAGAGAGGCTCGAATCGAAAAAAGAAAGAAAAAGAGACAAACTTTTTTTCTCCACCTCGAATCACATTCCCAAGCTTTCATTCCCCATCTAAACAAACTCTCACAGCCCTTTCATTCTTCGAGAACAACAGCAGAGGTACCTCAGTTAGCAGGAAATGTACAAACAAGGTGCCTCTCCCCTGTCATCGTTCAGCAAAAAAAGCTTCAACCTTCTCTCACCTCCAAAGCAAAGCTGAAAATTTTAGGCCCCCCTCTGAATCTGTGTCACATAATATTGCACGAACAACTTCTTTCCCGGCCGTTGTCGAATTCATCATCAGACAAGCCCAGTTCACTGCCAGCCAGCAATTCGTCAATCATCAGGAAATGTATTTCAGTACGGAGGTACAGCAAGATTCATTGCTAACAAACTCGAAAAGGCGATCAACGTAGATTGCCAACCAATCAAGCATAAAAATTACTCAAAATATAACAGCAATTCCAGACACCCTATAAGGCAAACACAATGATTCAAGTATGTTGCTGCAACGAGGCCTAGAAAATGTTAAGCAGCAAGAGGTATAGACTTCTATGTCGATCCAACTCTCTCACATACAAAGTCTTTCACCACTACCTACTACATTTCAAGGCCTTGCGACGTAGGAAATTAGCTACCCATCATTCAGTAAAACCTAAAAGAGTAGATGTGGTGCTTCATGACACATTACATTACAAAAGCTTATTCTAGTTTCCAATCCTCAACACACCAATTGGACCTAGAGATTAGAGAAGAGTTCATGTTCCATTTAAGCATCTTTACGGCCCTACCCTTAAAACAAGAGTTAGTTTATGGCGGTTTTGTTAACATTTCAATGTGCCACGAGTCATAACTATGCCAATCCAAATGCAACTCCATAATGCAGTTTTCATATTTTATGGGATTACTACTAATCTAAAGAAATCATTGAAAGAATACATATCTAACAGAATATTCAGGGCCAGTACATCAAAAGAAGAACAATTTAAGTGAAAAGATTGATTTTGGGATATGGCAAATTAAGTGACTACGTCTTTAAGCATTCATGGCGCAGCAAGAACCGAAGACTAAATGGTTCAGCTTCAACTTGTGAAGAACAACAGGGCATCATAACTTTTGCCTGATCGAAATATCTACTCACAGTAACTCTACTTTTAAATCATGCTGTGTCAAGAGAAAAGACTGAATAACTGATGGACCTCTTGCAGGTGTGGATATCAGGCAAAGGTAACAATTGAGAATACGGTGGAGAAAATACAAATCATACATAACAGCATGCACAAGGTAAGTCAAACAAGAGTGGCCAGAGGTACCACAAAGGTCCATCAGTAGTACACAGACGATGAACTAAAGTTTAAATCTAATCGAAATTAGAATTTTCTCAATCAACCAGCTAGTTTCTAAGCTCCATTTAGTACAATAAGACAACAATGAAAGCAAGTATTGGAGTTTTTTTTATAGAAAGAAACAAAAGACAACCACAGTATCTTCAGGAACATGTATAACCAGATGTCATTCAGATCATAACCGACACTATAGAAAATGGATTTCATTTCCATAAACTGATTCGTAAAATGAAAAACCACTTAGGACAAACAATATAGAGGCACATAAAACCTTTGGAGAGAAATACATGTTTAGAAATAAAAACCAACATACTCTGAGAACTGGAATGAATCTATGGGGTCATAAAACCCCAAGTGAGGAAGAAAGTTCTCAGCTTAGAGGTAAACATGTTTGTTTAGCAGAGTCCACAGCAGTCAGAAAATCAGAACCCAAAAGACAGGAAGCAACATAGTTCTGAACCAAATCAAATGGGGTACTACCACCTAACAGAATATAAACAATAATTCATCAAGAGATGACAAAGTCGCATACCTCGGCTCAAATTCCCTAATTTCGGCAAGCTCGCTACCACAAGCATCTGTCCACTGCACTTTTCTTCTACCATTGTGGCCAGGGATATCGTTAACCTGCTCGTTCAACGCAGCATGTTGACCCGCATCCTCTACAGGAACAGAAACGTTATTTAACGACGACTTCTTCAAGCTGCTCTTTAGTGAAACTGCTTTAGATGCACTCTTATCATCTTCAATCTCAGCTATTGTTGAATCTTCTTTAATATCATCTACTGGCAATGCATCCTGGTGCTGGGCAGGACCTACTTTAAGATGCGAAGAAGGGGCAGAAGAATCAACTCCTGCCGAAGCGCGACCAAAGCAGACCAAAGAAGCGGCGCAGCCGCGGGAAACTCGATTCTTGAGGGAAGCCAGCTGGAGATCAGGGTCTGGTTCTCCTTGGTCTACCAACTGGTACTGATTCCAGGGAGCTACTCTCATGGGTTTGCTCTCTTCTTTCTTCTGATGACCCAAGAGAAGTAGGGTCAGTCCCTTACTATACCCTGAAGCCGAAGAAGAGAAGAATCCTCCTCCTTCCACTGCAAATAACATTTGTCCAAATCATCTGGGGCACCCAAATTTACTTTCTTTTGTATCCCCCTCTTCTGCCCTTCTGCCTGCAAACATCATTATCTCAGTGTCAGCCAGTTTACCACAGCTCAATGACAAAAGAATCTACCATATTTAATGAAACAGGGAAAGGGAATTTTTCCAACTTCCATGAGTTGTAGAACCTATCAACCAACCAACTCCTAAATAAGAATTTGAAGTTTTAACCCATGGAAGAAAAACGACATGATGAGCTAACATGAAAAGACAAACCGGCCGAAGGAAGATAAATTAATTTACAGTAGCTGTCAACTATCTTTGATGAGTCGACACTTCCTTTCTTTCCCAATTCTATACACAAGTTAACTTCTTTTCCCCTCCCTCTCCGAGATCCTGTGAAGAAGATGTGATCTCTTTCACGAGTTAAAACCAAGAGAAATAGACCGACAAAAGGATGAAAGGAAGGAAAGTGATCGATCATGCAATGCTGGAAACTGCCAAACATCCATTGAATACTCTTACCAAACAGGTTTCACGAATCCATTTCCCCTCACGGAAAAAGCAATTAACAAACAGCAGGGCCAAAAAGCAAGAAAAGAAAAAGACTCAGCCAAGCTGATCCACATGCGAACCGGAAAACCGATAGGCAAGGGTAGAAAAACGGGGGAAATCAGATAGCAACAAACAGCAACAGTTACAATTTGCTCCCAAAAAAAAAATCAGCAGTCATCCGCCACTAACAAGCCGGATCTCCTCGCCGAGATCTACACGGATTCTATAAGGAAAAGGGGGAAACGAAAAGGGGTTCACCCATGGCGTCGCTTCTGCACTTGCCGTACTCTACTACTATTCAAGAACAGCAAGCAAACAACGAAGCAAATAGACACACACGCAAAAAGACGAAAGCAGGCGAAGCGAAGCCATGGCTTCACTTCGAATTGAGATGATCGACAATTGTCCCGGAAACAATTACCAATCAAAGCGAATAGAACACCGAGAAACTGCTGCTCAGCGTCTCCGTTCGTCTGAGACCAAAAAAAAAAAATTGTCTGCCTGATGGTTTTTTCGCGGAAGCCAAACAGCAAACGGCGTACCTGAAAGCGACGCGACGCTACAGATCTGTGTGTGAGAGAGAGATTCTTGGGCACTAAACCGACGGCGCCGGCATGCGACGGATCGAATAAAATCGGCGAGGAATTAGAGGCGACTGAAAGAGAGGGAGAGGGAGAGAGAGAGAGGAGAGAAGCAAAGAAGGAAGCTGCTGAACTGCAAAAAAATAAAAATAAAATAACGGAAGCCAAAAAAAAGGATGAAAAGGATATATTTAATTGAGCGAACAAAATATATATTCAATTTTGTACAATTTAATTATTTAATATTTAAAGACGGTCCGGTCCAGTTTGAATATATTCATTTTCAGGAGAGGAAGAAAAAAGGCAGAATTGATGGGGTGATTTTTATATTCTTTCCTTTTATGTTTCCATGACAAGTCAAATATTTAGTGAATTTAATTCCTACTCCAAAAGGTTTACACTTTACATTTCTTGAATTTAATTCCTACTCCCAATTTAGGATTCTCAAATACTCATTTTTTTACTGTATTATTATTATAACCTGGTAATTTCATTTCTTGATTTCTCTACTGATTTTTAGTTTTTTTTTTTATGATAAGAAGATCGTAAAATGGAAAAAATAAACAGTACGAAAATGATTCACGCTTTAAACTTCCAGGTAATTGATATGTTTATCATTTGTGAATATGGAAGACATGAATGAAGTATGTTGGTGACCCTTCTAGCGAGTGCCCTAAAGCAGTCGGACAGAGCATCGAGAAATCGAGCTACAAAATGTGATCCTAAAATTCACAAAAAAAAAGTCATAATCTTTGGCTCAAATGACTCATTATTATCTATTATTATATATAAACAAGTGGGGTTTATGGATGGCTAGTGATTTCATGGCGCATGATAGCTACGGGTCCCCTCTTGTATTTCTATCACTTCCATTATAATTCAAGACTTTATTTTTATTTGAGGCTATTTCTTTTTATAAACTTTGAAATTGACTATTTTCTTTTAAGATTTATGAAACTATTTTAATATGAGGAAAGGCCTCACCTTTTCACAGGAAGTGCGAGGGGTAAACTGTAAAGGGAAAGTTTTGCTTTTGTTTGGTAAGCTTAGCTTTTAAAGTGCAATTTTTATTGTATGAAGATGGTAAGTAATGATGTGTTTAATTACTAATCATTTTAACCTAATTTTTCTAATTCAGTTGTACTTTATTATAAATAAACAATATGCTTATGAATTTTGCTAACTAAGATATTTGGTAAACTAATGAGGGCCAGATGTCTAAATCACAATAATGTTGTTGCCGAGATAGACAACTAGTCAAGGAAACCTTGTTGGCTAATAGAACTACAGGATTTCTTCGATTGTGATTTGCTATCGACCTCTTTTTTTTTTTTTTTTTCTTTTGAGTGAATGTTAGTAATAAGTCTTTTGTGACTGAGAGTTTATTTGGTCGAATCTCGTCGACATCATTTGTTAACTACTCTGTATTCGGATTAGTGCGAGTTTCAAACCCATATATGGTGATTTTTGTTTGAGGGAGGTGGTATTATTAAATGATATGTGACCCATTATTAAACATTTTCTAACAACTCAAATATTTGGGACCAACTGATTTTTGGTAGCGAAGAGAGGTTGTGTGTCCATATTCGGTTTAAATAGTTGACTTATCAAGAAAAAAGAGATATGGATGAAAGTTTTGTTGATTGGTGTGCTTTTTGTTTTTTGGAGAAAGTGGAGCGACGAGAAAATATAATGAAAAAGACCAAGTTGGCTCTGGAGAATGTATACTAAAGGAAATACTTTGATAAATAAAATTTTACAATGTCACCAAATATTAATGGTGGAAGTTTGGTTTGTTGTTTGTGGATAATCGGCACGCATTGTGGTACCCACAAGTTGTGGATAGCAGTTTGGGTGTGATTAGTAAAATAATGATTATTGTGGTTAATAGTTATCCACTAACCACAAAGGTTAGCCAACAAAATCCATTGTGATCACATTAGACCAAAAAACCTTTGTTAGATCTACTACTAACCATAATAATTAATCAATAAGTAACAATATTTTGTTTTCCCTGTAACTTTACCACATTTTTTTATTAATATTTCTAATGTAAGGAGTAAGTGCTAATTTTGTAGAATGCTAAAATAACTCATTGGCATAGTTAAAAATTCTAGTGCAAGTCATGTGTGATTAATTTGCATTTAGTAAAACAAAGATTTTCATTTCTTTCTATTAGAAGCCAAAATCGAATACCAAATACTTTTTATTTCCGCGAATAATACAATACTACATCTTTACATTTCACTAGAGAGTAGATGATTCATAGGTGGAGGCTGCAATGCTTCATATCTTGAAAGATGAAATTTCGTGAGTAACCACAACCAAGTCATAGTGAGTAGTAGATAGCCACAACCACTATGATGCGAATTGTGTTAGCATAATTATAACTTTGTGGTTGTGGTTACCTACAAAATGTGAACAGGTAACCACACATGCACCAATTTCCACCATACTAGATATTGTTTATGTAGAACTAAATACTTATCGCTAGATATCTAATGGTAATTCTCCATGCCTCAAGACATTTAAGCTCAACATGGTTGATGAGTCATATAATAGCCACTAAATCTTAATCAACACACATCTAAAACATTCTTTTACGAGCAAATAAAGGAGCTGATCATTAGACTCTTCATCTTCCCATTGCTTCCTATACTAGATATGAAAGAAAAACTGAGCTCATTCCCACTCAAATAACAAAGCAAATAAAATGGTGACAAAAACAACATTTGGAGCATCGCGAGAAAGATCAGAAGAATTTTGCTGCATTGATATTCGTTTCAATCCGACCTAATCAGATGGGGTAAACTCAAACTTGAAGGATTTTCAGCGGAAATGGGTAAGGGTCGAACCCAAATATTGTCGTTAATAAATGAGCTTGGTTTACACACTATCCAATCCGAACCCAACCAATTATACACATGCACATGTATTTTGTTTAGAAATGGTTATTATTTTATTTTCTCAACATATTTTAATTTAGCATACATTCGTGAAATCACGATTTTAGTTAATTTTCTACATTCTAGTGATTTATTACCATACTTTTTTTACTTATGCAACGTGAGTATACATGTGAATACCCAATACCCAAACAAATATGGACATGATTTTGATTTCTATTCAATTCTTATGTGGGTATAAGATGAGTAACACTAACACCCGAACTACTTAGAAACGATAACGAATATATACTATCCGCCTTCACCCGTCGCCATCCCTACACACCCTACTCTCCTAACACAGACAGTTCAATGGAAAAACAAAGGAACTGAACTTCAACATGATATATTGAGCAAATTTCTATTTTAACCATTATGTCTCGCTATAGTATATGGCATGATAAAGCTACAATAGTAAAGAAGAGAAGATACAGCAAACAACAGACCACCTTACACTAACAATAGAAACATTGAAGAAGAAAACAGAAAAAAGAGATTGTCACCAAATTAACAAAAAACTCACTTTACATGGCGATCGACCACTCCCACCCCCCAAACGGCCAAACCAATTCAGAATGACCCAACAAAAGCATTCAAAATGAAAACAAGAATTACAGAAAGGATAACAGAACCAGGTATACCTTTCAATGAAACGACCCCCTACTAATGAAAAGCCTTGCTGCACCAAGCAGAACCACGTCAAGTTTTCAGTATTCTTCAATCTTCTTCTTCATGCACACTTCAACTAGTAGCACCAGAAGCAGCAACATCTGATTATTGCTTCATCTGATGCTAACCTGTTTGTTTTCACACGCCTAAAGAGACCACATGAGCCAGCAGGTAGAGAAAACAGGGTTTAGGAAATGCAATGCCTTCGTTGTCTATTCGACCAGGCACATGGCACAAAACCCTTTTACCTCCTCTTCCTAGATGTCCATAGATGAATCATTAGAATGCGTATCCCGGTTTTGTTGCTGAAGAAAGGTGCTGTCGTTGTTGCGGGGTCCGTTCCCCGGAGGAGGTGCTGCTGCACCAGCTGGGTAATAGCCTCCACCCTGAGCAATGTGGTAGTTCTGGAGATTTCTTCTTACTGGGCTGGACAAAGCATTGGAGAAGACTGAGTTCTTCGATTGCTGGTCGCAGTGCTCGTTACGGGTCACCTGGCTACCGCTTGTGGGTCCAGAAGAACCTGATGAAATTGAGGAATTCAGAAAGCCGGAACTCAATGACTGCATTGGTGGTTGGATACTCTGGGGTTGTGCTCTTGGAGACATTGATGGCTCTTCTCCGCAGTAATCCAGCTCATTCTACAGCATAATACGAATTTGATTAGATTAATTGCAAATGGATAACACTAATTTATGTATGATGTTATTAACCACATATATCAAACAGACATGAACCAAACCACAAGGTGTGCGTGAAGTTGAATATTTCACCAATATAATTGTATACTAATGGCACCTATTTGCCGTGAAAGGTTGAGACAAACCTGAATGTAATTGAGGACATCAGAAGTTGCCACCCTCGAGCCAGCCTCTTGCTGCCGCCAAATCCACTGATAGAGCTTTTCCTGTATACATGACAAAGATGAGCACATAAGCCAGGATAATCACGTGTTTAATGTACAAAAACAATCTAATCAAGGAGCTATAGAACACCAAATCAAAGACAACATAGACCCTGCTAAAAATAAAAGTAAAGGCAGACCAGAATTGACTGAAGGGAGCAAGATAGGCAACCTACAAGCTCAGAACTAAAATCCTACTGTAAAACAACCTCGAAAACTCACTCAAGGCACCACCCACGTCAGTAGCAACCACTTTACCATAATTGGTAATACTAAACCTTGTCCACTCAAAAAATAAAAAAAAGACCAAAGAACTCTAGTTTCTTCTTCACTATATGACCTCTCAAACAATGCTTCACCAAGGGTAAACAGAAGCAACACCACATTCTATATGTATTCAGCCCCTAGTGCTCGATTCTCATTTACTTCTTCTATTCATTACACAACCTGTGGTCCGACTAGTAAACCCATCTTCAATTGCAAGTGAAATACGAGGGTCTCAGTTGAAATTATCTTCAATTGCCAGCTTCCTTCAATACCTCCACTCAATGGCTAGAAACACTCAAAACCAAAACTAAGCCACATGTGGCCAACGATAGCATCTTATCTCCCCAAAACTTCAACATGTGCTTCAGATGAAACCAGTAATCAACTGAACAAATCACGACAACCATCATACATAAGCAAGAATCCAAAACCAAAGCCAAGCCCATAGATTTCCAACTTCAAAAATATATCCACACCGACAGCAATCAACAACAAAATGTAACAATTCCACCAAACTCCACAGGAAAATTTGCATCGCCGACAGGGGTTAAGAAGAGAAAATCAGGGTTAAGAAGAGAGACAGGGAGATCTTACAAGGCCGTGACGCTCCCCAGCTTGGAAGGTGAGCTTCTGGTGGTTCGCGGCCTGGGTGTAGAGCTGAGTCAGGGAGCTGGCGGCGCTGCAGAACGTCGTGTACATGGTCCGATCCACCTCATCTAGGCTCGTCGCCACGGATTTCCTCTTCTTCCCCATCGCCGGTTAACCCAAAACGAGAAACTGTAAAATCCCTCAGACAAACCCCACCCACCAAACAGGGATTCAAAGAGACAGCAAAGAACACAGCTTTCAATCTCTCAACCCAAATCCCACAACACAGAATTCCACCAAATCGTATGACGGAACCAAAATCAAACGAAAATCCAACCAATTCGACCTTTTTTTCTTTGTCTAGGGTTCTTCCCTACGTTTAAGGTCGAAACGAAATCTCACTGCAAGAGCGAATGGGGGCTGCCCCGTTTTTTCTCCTCTATTCGTTCCCTCTTTTTTTTTTTTCACCTTTCACTACGCCCTTTGGAATTTTTCTGTTTGTATATATATATGAAACTGAGAGAGAAAAGGAAAGAGCGAGGACAAGCTGGGTCTCTATGGTTAAGTGCCGTGAGGGTCACCGCACATGACCACTGCCAGGCAGGCAAGAAAGGTAGCGGATAAAAGGGCCTAAAGGCTATAAAGCCCATTTGTATTTTTGTAATGAACGAAACGAGGTGGTTCAACTCAGACGGCATCGTTTAGGAGGAAGGTAAATTGCAGGTATAGTCACTTGAGTTTGATGTTAGTTATAACAGCCCCAGATATGTTATTCTAACTTTTTAGTTCGATCATAATTCATAGCTAAGTTTTCTTTTACCCAAAAAAAAAAAAAAACAGTGTTTGTTATATTGTACCATACCGATGCTCCAACCGAAAAACCTCATATCATAGTCAAATCTGATAGACGATTTTTTAGCTGTATAAAACAGTTGAACTACGATTTTAGTACAAAATATCCTATAATTGAATTTTCTGATACAATCTCCGATACGATTAGGGGTGTGCAATGGGCCGGTCCGTACCGGACCAAATTGAAGTTTGGACCGGATCGTACTGAACTGGGTATAATGCGGTCCGGTCCTTGGCCCCCCACGAATTTTACAATTATTGAAGAAATGATTGACCGATATTGATATTTGGACCGGACCAAATCAAATCAAATGGAAATGAATACAATAATGGTCTGGTCCTTGATCCTAAAATGTCTTTCACTAATGGACCGAGGTTCTTATGAGTTTCATTCAGTCCAGACCTGATCGAACCATTGCACACCTTTAAATGCGACTTTACAATCTTTGAAAACTGATGAACCGAACAAAAACCCTAATCATATTTGCGTTAATAGCAAATTTTTCATAGTGTGTCATCTTTCTCTATAAAATCTAACCACAACATTGAAGGGTTAACTTTCATATGCTTTTTCTTTGTCGTCTAGCAAGTTAAATCTCAGAGACAACTTTTTGTTATGGTCTAATTAGAGTTTAGTCATGTGTTGTCGTCACAAGTGAATGTGGTGCAACGGACAAAATTGAAACTAGGAATGGAAATTGGATGACCAAATCATCAATTTGGTGTATGTTGCGTTGAGAAGAGGAAGAGGAAAGAATCCTGGAGAATGGAAGAGGAGGAACAACCAATTGGAGTAAAGGAAGTGGACACGGCATTATCTCATTTGGAGCTTTACGTACCCTACCAATTAAGTACCATACAAGATGTTCATATCATATTAAAAATTGGCGAAAAGATGAAAGGTTCGGTGACAAAAGCGTTCCTTTTTCTAGATTCTTTTCGTTACAATGATAATTTTAAAAACGCATAAAATGCATACGAGTACATATATATACGATAGGGTGTCTTGTAAGTTGTAAACAGACATTTACCTGTCCCATCCTCATCCACAGTTCCCAGAAACCAAACTTCCACATGCGGATGAACAAAGAAAAGCAAGGACCTGGAATTATGCTGCTTTCAGACAAAAAGCCCCACAGCAGTATCAGAAAACATCAGCAAGTAGAACATTGGCCTAAGAAAAGACAAGCCTTAGATCAAAGGTTCAAAAGTTCAAACTCAGGTTGCAAAAAACCTACACGATAGTTGATAGATACAACACAAAATCACTAACCCCATACACCCAAAGGCTAAAACGATGCTTGCCACAGTTCATAGCTAGCCTTGATCATATCTCCCCAAGGTAAATCTGCTTGTCGCTACTGCACGAGCCAACAAGCGGTTCAGTCGGGTGAAAGACACACTCGTTGACGGAGCCAGTGTGGCCAGGAAGCTTGTATAGTATCCTTCGAGTAGTAGTATCCCATATATAGACCATCCGATCAGAACTACCAGCAGTAACCTTGCTTCCATCAGGAGACCACCCACACTTCAACAGATTCTTCTCAAAGTTGTGCTGGTGCCCTTCTAGAATCTTCACACACCGATTCTGCGGCGCATAAGGCCTCATATCCCAAATGCACAGCTTGCAATCCATGCCATTGGTCAGGAGGTACGAGCCGTCGGGGCTCAACTGCATCCCAGTTATCATATCCTGATGCCCCTCAAGCTTCATCGTCACTTCACCCTTCCTGACGTCCCACACCTTCACCTCGTTGTCGATTCCAGCTGTAAATATCTTATCCGAAGCATCGGAGAACCCCACTGCCGTGATCTGGTACTTATCAGGGAACGTCCCGATGGCGCCTCGCTGGCGTAGGTCCCAGAGCTTGGCTGTCCCGTCATCTGAACCACTGACGAGGAGGGGCGGGCCCCTCCTGGAAGGACAGCATGAGTTTACAAATGATGAGTGCTCAGCCATTTTCTTGATCTGTTTCCCTGTCTCGACATCCCATGCCCTGACAGTTTTGTCAGGACTGGCTGATATAATCATTGATCCATCGGTGGTCCAGTGGAGATCGAGGACTGCATTTTTGTGGCCCTTTAGGACCATGAAGTTTTTGCAATCGCCGTGGACATTCCACAGGAATATCTCCTTGTCATGTGAACCAGATGCAATGAGGTCGCCGGTAGGGTTGAATTTAAGAGTGTAGATGGCACTTTGATGACCAGTAAGCAGCATTATGGGTGATTCCAAGCTTGAAGTTCGGTTTTTACCGTTGGAAGCAGGCCCTCCAGGACCAGAGTACGGAACGGTCGACCATTCCATGGGCCTGGGACCGGAAACCGAGAGAGGGTTTTCACTAGGAATGACTTGCATCTTTGCACCTGCCATTTTCAAATGAAATTGCATCAAGAGATCGAACCAGCTGGTGAGAAAGGAATAGCAAAACTTCACACACAGAACTTTGAAAGCAATTTCCACACAGAGTCAACCAAGAGTGAAGCCATCATGAAGCGCTGGAACCATGAACTTAAACTTCAGCAAAATATGGTGGAAATATCTTCTTAGTTCTTTCTTTAATCAAATAGAAGAACTTAGCTCTAGGATTTAATTTATATCAAAGCTAAACTTGGATCACGAAAATGGACATCTTGAGGGAAATGTCACCATTCTAACAAATGTATACAAAGCTTACCCAAACATCAAGGATGAATGCTGATATGAAACTGAGAACTCGCGACATTATTCAACGAGGTCAATATGAAACAGGAGCTAAATAGAGCTGCCACAGAAGATGATTCTATCATCAAAATACAATGCCACAGAAATCTGAGCAAAGAAAACCCAACAAGCAAACAAGCCGGTTTGTTCACTTCTTCTGAGCTAATCCATTCCCTTTCAGTTTTCAGCAAACACACAAATAACTTCTTATAACTCAAGACTGTAACGTAAAGCTATTGCAATCGAAGCAGAAGAAGCCAGAGCAGGAATAGCCAAATCCTAAAACCCCAAACCCTAGCTCAAAAAATGCTGGAGTCACTTCATGAACAAAAGGCAAGAAGATTTTCAGGCTTTCATCGGCCTGAAAGGCATCCGAATCTCTGAAAATCAAATGAGAGAGGCAGACAATCCGCAGTCGCATTTGGGTTCTGATTCAGCAAACGAAGATATAGATTCAATCGAGTTACCTGCTTCGCCCCTGCGTACGACTAATGGACAGTCGAACTCGAAGTGCTCCCGGGAAGGAAAAAGTGGGGGAAGGAGAGTGTCGGCGTGGACTTCCGCCGCCGGGTTCCGCGAATTCGGGGGAGTCGCGGCGGTGGCTGGATTTGGGTGCGAAGAAGGACTGCAAAGCCGGCGACGCGTTATGCCGTTGATTGAAGGTTAGGGAAGGAGGCGAGGAGAGAACTGGAAGTCTGGAGCGAATACGAAGATGAAACGTACCGTATCAACGGCTTATGGGCTAATTTCAACTTTAGTCACTGAAAATTCACGTGGTTGCTAAATTAACCCTATTGTTAGCGGAGCTTCTATCTCCCCTTACCATATGTAGGGGTGTACAAAGGTTGGTTTCAACCGTTTTTAACCATCCAACCAATAAATCTCGAGTTGAATGATGGTGAACACAAACTCATCCACAAATTTTAAGACCCTACGATTTTCTACAGCCTCCGAGTATCAGAGATTGTCGGCTTCTATTCTTCGTCCATTTAACGAGTCGTTTGGATGCAGCATTTCGCTGAGGTATTTTGGCCGAAATAACTCATTTTGAGGTATTTCAGCCAAATTATCACGTTTGACTTCCTAAAAAAAATTATGTGGCATTTCCAAGTTGTGGCGATTCATTTGACACATAATGTGGCATTTCAAATACCTCCCACATAATCAAAATGATGCATCCAAACGACCCGTAAGTGGAACTCATTGGGTGTTATGTAAAACGTTAATGCAAGAATACCAAAGTCTCTATATATGCAAAAGAAATTGGCACTTGCTTGGAACTGAAACAAAGCATGCTTTACAATATCTAACATCAGTTTCAGTTTCATCTTTTGAATACACAAAGTGGAACTCCAATATATCAACATAACAACTCAATTCCTCAGTTCTATCTTTGTTCGTAAGGCCATCATTGTCGTCAAATCCCCGAAAAAAACATGTGTAAGATACAACATCTGGACTTAGAAATAGAGCAGCAGCTGGAGACGGAAGCCAAATAACAGCAACGAAGAAGTATAACTCCCCACACATTCTGATCATGATTTGATTGACCCCCTATCACCAGCTCGCCCCCTCTTCCGCTGTCAGCTCTATGACTATACTGCGAAACGAAAAAGTCGTGTAGCTTCTATCTGTGCGGGTCAGGCCTGTAAGTGATGATGATGGTGTCAGATAGAGATGGTACAACCCAGTTCCTTTGCTGCCGTGTCGAGGAAGTCGATAGGCATCCCTCTCGCCAGCTGGCTGTGAGCTTCCCACGCAAGACACTTGTCGATGTCCGCTTGCCAGTCGATGACGTCGACATTGAAGTACTGATACGAGGAACGTGTACCGTTGGCGCCATTCTTCTCGGCGTGCTTGTGGAACGTTTTTATAGACGTGTTATGCAGGATGTCCCGGAGTACTGACATGCTCAGAGCTCGGACGTGAGCACTGGGGTGAGACAGGCATCGGACTGTTGCTGGTAGACGACACTGCATACATCGAAGAAATGTGTCACATTCATGATATTCCTTCACGGAGAAGAAATTTTGTAGCTGAACAGTAGCTTGCGTGACAAGATTTTCCGGGGCAGTTTATTTACCTTGAGGAGGTTTGAGAGACCATCCGCAACAGCACATCCAGTTTCTCCCCAAGTCACCACTGACCGAACTGCTCTCGCTGTTGCTTCCAGCAGCTGTTCAGGTTGAAATTCACAATGGTTTCAGGCCGCAGATACAAGGATTACACAAAATGAACTCTAACGAATCAATCATTGGGTCCATTTTTTCCCATCCAAGTTGTTCAGGCTCTAATGTGCCAATCATCAGACTACTAATAGGAAAAAAAGTCATCATGAATCCTAGCTAATGGAACAGCTACTTTATGTCACAATTCGATCCAAACTAGACTCATAACTCGACCTGATTCCAACTCATACTTATTTGAAACCACCATAATGCCTCACTTTCCCTATTTGTTTTCTAGTACTGTGTGTCTGTGTCAATATGATTACGTTTTTACTACACAGAACCTAACAGTGATGAACAGAGAAATTCTTATGTTAGTTACTTCAGACACCTGTCACACATCTGTTGAAGATCGAAGTGACTGATTTCTAAGCGACTCCTGATGTAAGCTGATCAGAATACTGAAACATCTGGGTCACTCGGAAATGTGATGAGCTAGAGAGAGAATATGGATGGTTGGTATGTCACCTCTAATTGGGGCAAAGTGCAAGCTTCCCCATCGACGAGCATCCCATCAGTGGCACGTAGAAGCAGATCTGACGCACTCGCTAAGATCACCAATGATTCAGGAGTGTCATGATTTCGCATGAGCTCGCCAATTAGCTTGACTATCCGCTGGTTGACTCGCCATATCTTTTGACTGTTCTCGTCATCTTTGGCAATCCAAGGTTGCAATTCCCTATCCGCCTGCAGTAATACACAGTCATGAAAGTGATCCAAATTTCTCATAAAAATTCTCTATAACAGATGCCTAGAAATCTGCCTGTAGTTCTCCACTTCATAAGAAATGCAAAAGCGAAAACAAAATTAAGACCTGAAGAACAACTGCTGTAGCTGCTTTTGCTGGCGAAGCTGCCACCACATTGCACATCGCATCAACAACCTGCATGTTCAAACTCATTTAATACCCATACTAAACCGCACAATAAACACGTTTTTTTCCCTGACATCCAGTTTATATGTCGTAACTTGCACATACCTGTCTCCATCCTTGCTGCGCAGAAGTGCTTTCAGCGCTAGGCTGAGTTTCGGGCGCTGCTATCAACTTGTGCCACAGCAGAGAGACAACTGAGAAGCACAGTTCTTGTTTCTCAGCAAGAACTGATCTCAGCAGAACTTGTGCACTGCAACTGAGTCCAATGTGCCTATCCTTTGTCAAGAAATTCGCCAAATCCGAAGCATCCAACGAGAACCCTTCTATCCCCTTCCCTGATTTCACCTTCACCTCTAGATATGATTCACCAGGTTGCTGACCAGACGATTGACCAGTCTCAAACCCAACACCAGCATTTCCGTTTCGATTTTTCTTCTTACCTTCAAAAGCAAGAAGGGATTTGTTCCAGACAGGCGCTGGGAAATTCGCTTCCAAAGGTTCTGCCTTGTTTACTATGGAAGCCACCGCTTTACTATGAATGTCGATGAGGCTGTACAGCGATGAAGCCCTGCTGTAAATCTCTTCATCCCATTTGCAGCGAATGAAGACAGCGAGAGCATGCATGCAAGTTTTCGATCTCCGAAATAGCTCCGATACATGAGCAGCGACCATAGCTGCTGCAACGATCTCGTTTGAGCTGTAACCCCACGATGTCCCAACGGAAGACGGCTTCAATGAGAACAGAGCTTCCAGAATCGCCAGCAGTCTCCGAGTATGATTGATTGCAGAATCAATGCTGCTCTTCATATCGCCGATCGCTGAAGATGATCCATTACTCATCTTTGCAGGTAATTTGGCTTCTCCACGCTGTGAATTGTTGTTGTTCATCCCACCACGGGAAGAAATGAAAGGGAACAGCTGGAGCTCGCAAGCTAGGGCGCAAACTGCGGCGAGAACATACGAATCAAACGCCGCGACAGGCCCTTGCTTCTTTGACTTCCTAGACCTCAAATCGCCGCCTCTCTGTCTCTTGTTGCCACCATTTGAAGTCTGAGCTTCGTGGCTCACACAGACAGTCAACACAACAAAGAGCAAGCGGGAAGCCAGCTCTGGTGCAGCACAGGACTCGAGGAACAGTGAGTGCACCATAGTGCGGAGTTCTGCAACAGCAAGGTTCTTTGAAGCAGACTGATGATAATAACTTGTCATTTTACTCGCTTGTTCGGTGGCAGAGGAAGAAGATTCCGGTGGGAATGTCCGGTGGAGTATGGCTTCAACGGTGGCGACAAATATCTTCATTAGACATGCTTCCGAGGGGCTCCCGCGGGGGAGGTACTCAAGTACTTTCAGTAGAGGAATGTAGAGGTTCCATGAAAGTATTGGAGGTTGCAGTGGAGCTGCAACAATGATTTCGGGGAGATCAACGACCGATGAACCAAGAGGAATTAGGCCGTAAGCAGCTTCCCATATGGTGCAGATCCTCCACTCTACTTCAGGACCATGTGCACATAGCATGGATGCAATTCCCTGAGCGGTAGCTTCGATGGTTGCTTCAGCTGCTGGTACTTCTATCTGGTCATTGATAATAGTTTTAAGATCATGGTCATGTTCATGTTCATGGCTCTAGTGCAATTAAACAAAACAACAACCTGACTCCCATAGTTACCTGCTTTCTGTAGCTTGAGATGTATTCACCTAAAGGTTCATGCTGAACTTTCACTCCGTCGACTTGCCTCAGAGGTGGGAAGAGCAATGCAGGCTGCGATAGTATACGGAAAAGTAGAGCAGCAGCAGCATCGGCAGCGATTCCAGGTCCCATCGACATTGCAGTCCCTATTGCGCGCAAGAAATGCAAGTGCATCCAGTTCCTCGGAAGCTGCATTTTAAATTTACGACGAAAAGGAAATATGAGGTCGAAATTTCTTTAGCATATTGATAATGAAGCTAAAGTCAGCAGCCCCAATGCACCTTGACATTGAGTAAGCCAAATTTTCGTCTGGGAAATAAATAGTTTGCTAATGATAATGCCAAACTTACTCGGATGCCATTTGCATAATCTTCTGCCGCTCGGAGGAGTTCCACGAGCTGTACTGCAGCATCGAGTGCATCTGGAGCCCACGATGGAGGTGCTTCTAAGAGTCCAAGAAGCAATCTTTGTGTTGCACTGGGAGTCGCAAAGGCATAGTATCTAGACAATAGTAATGCAATAATGAGAAAGTGCAGATGCATGTAAGATTCCTGAAATTAAATGAACAATGTGATCAGTAGATTCACCTGTGAAACAAACATGCGTATGGCTCCAGAGCTGGCAGCCCGGCAACCAAATGCTCATCTAAAGCTGTAGTTGGAGGAGGGAGTAAGAGAGCAGGGACAGCAACTGCAGTTAACGTAGAAGTTGCATATCGAGCAACTTCCTCCTCACAAACACTTAGAATGACACCAGCACCATTTGCGACAGCCCATCTTGGAGTTGATGGCATCAGCTGAGGATGCTTCCCAGATCCACGAGAAGAAGCTGAAGGGTGGAAAGACAAATAATTACTAAATGATGTATAATAAGAGTAAATGTTAAGAAGTTCCTAGATCCAGAATGGTCTATTGAAACCAAATGCAATTTTGATATATTATGAAGGGAGCTAAACAAACCAGTTATTGGTGGCTTGAGCTCGCCAGCTGCATATTTACCCATAACACCACTACACCTGAAGAAAAATAGGCAATGAGTTTCAGTCTATGAGCAAGCAATAGCATTATGGCACCACAAACGACCATTTTCATGAAGCATTGACTTTAATGACAAATTAATCACTTACGCCTAGTTGAAACTTGAATATCATTGCATTCTCTGATAAATTGACAACTAATTAAGCGCTAATTAAATTTAGAGATTTGGAAGCTATGAAACAAATTGCTTCCTTCCAAACTATCAAAAATACTCTGGCCAATACACCTTACATGCTTTATCCATACCTCTCTAGGAAAGTTCATATGCATGACAGCACAAAACAGGATTCCTAAATGTTAGGAAATGCTCAGAAAATCATTGTGACTCACCAGCGGAAGTAGTCACTTTTAATACCAAGAGGTGCAGCAAGTAATATATCAGTAATCCATGGAGACAAAGGCCTTAAAGGTCTCCTTTCCTGCTGTGCCGGAGGTGAACTGCTGGATTCCCCATCTGATGACTGACTTGTAGTTGCATGACTACCACTACTGCTTCTATCTGATTCAGTATTCTGTTTCTTGTATATTGGGCGGTTATAATGAGTTAAAATCCTTAAGATCTCCCCACATGCTAGAGCCCACTGTTCAGAGTACTCATTCTGTACAAGGAAAGATAATACTTAAGAATCGATCATATATATGTCTATATTGTTTTCATGCCAAATTGAGCTACAAGAATAACTTTTATCAAGCATTTGGTATTTCAATTTTTTTGGGAGGCATCTTGCAAACTCTTCCAAGTTCAGTACCTCATTCCTCGGGCAGACTAGAGATATGAAAGAAGCAAATGGAGGATTGCTTTTATCATAAACCAGAGTACCATCGATCAAACACGAGATAATTGGAAGCACAACTGCATGGCCATGCTCTGGATGATGTAGGACAAATGTAGCTGGAGTTTGATAAGAACGCAAAAAAAGTGACAATTAGCATGAAGTTGTCTGATCTTTCCTCAATAATAGAACAGTAAGAGAAATACAAGTAAGGAATATCTACCCAGAACTTCATCAAAAAGGCGTTTCTCTGCTGATGGATAACGACTGCGGATCAACTGTCAAAACAAAAAAGTTGTTTGGTAAAAGAAAATATGACAAGGGAATAAAAGGAAGTACAAGGCATATGACATTTAGCAGTGAGGCATACTTCAGCTATATCATCAGGAAATTGCTCAGAGGTGAATTGTCCAAAATAATCGACATAAGCAGTAACTTGAGCCTGAGCAAGGGCCACACAGAAACAATAATGCATGTCAGTTCCATATACAATTAAATTGATTGAAATGTATAGAAAAAATCACAACTAACAGAATGGGGTTCTTTTGAAAACAGAACGCCCACATGAACTTCACAAAATCATACTTCAATTATATCAATTTGAATAAGATGGGTTCAAGAATTAAGGTTAACGTCAAACCACATCCATAAACACAAACATAAGGAGGGCCAAATGATGCCTCTCGTTGTCTTTTTCTGTCTAAATTGTATGGCAGCAAGTGTTAAGACAAACTATTTGTGTATGATCAAGTTAAAAAAAGCTCTTCTAGAGGCCTCTTCCCTCGTTAACCTAAGTGCAACTCCAAATGCCCTTATAGAGGAAAGTGAGATATAGTTTTGAAGACAAGGGTTTCAGAGGATAGTAGACAACTAAGTAAATTAATCCCTAAAACAAACCACTTGATTCCAAATATTCAAGGCCTTCACAAATCTTCTGCAGTCTCTTGATCAGTCCCCACAGTAGTTTAAAACTGTGAGACATAAACCATTAAAGCAAGGTCACCACAACTGCCATCTCTTTCTTTGACACAACACTCTCCACAATGAAGACAGATCCTTCAAGTACCCTCAGAGGTTCAACAAATGTAAAATCAAACAAGATTCTGAGGTGTTCCTGTAACTTCAACAGCTTTCCTAACAGTGCATGTCAGTTTGCATTGGAGCATCTCCTCATTCCTAACCATCATCCCTCCAGATATGAAAGCAGCAGCCCCTCGTTATATTCCATGTATGGAGATTTCTGCACCCCAAAGCATTAGCATAATAATTTAAGGCTTGAAGACACATAGGGACGGACTTGCAACCTAAGGTAACATCTCCCGAACCTTCAACAAACTTAATCAGCACCAACAACTCCATGCTCTCACCCCTCGTTCTCATCTCTCCAGATTGGCTTTCCGTCACTATGGTCCAAAATGTGAGAGATAAAATGTTTGTTAAGCACGCCTTAAATGAAGCAGTCTACTTTTCCTCACAGCCTCGCACAACCCAGGAGCTTCAGTACTAGCTTCGCTTCTTACAAAACCTCCAATTCCAGCAAACAAACACAACTGTGGAGCTATCCAAGCATCCGTTAAAGAAATAAAATCAAAGCCACCAACAGAGAATGATTCCGGGAGAGATGACTATCATCCGTAGCAAACACCATGCTTCATACTGCGAGGCAACACGAGATGCCCACCAAATGGCATACCAAGCAACCCATCATCAACCCACAGTATCAACCCAGACATGCTGGCGCCTCCATAACATACACATGTACCATCCCCAACAACAGAGGAGGCAGTTCGACTAAATGGCACACTAACTTCCTAATCTCCCCTGAGTGAAATTCATGTCCGCAATCCAGCTAGGGACTGGATCATGTCTAAGAACCACCGTTAGATATCATTTTCCCCATCATAAATACTGGTTTCCCAACCATTAAACTCATGCCACGGAGATGGAAATTAGGAAGGGCCAAAAGGCAGACATGCAATCACCAGTCCTTCCTAAAAGAAAGCATCTCCTTTTAAGACAGAACTCGATGTCAACTACTTGATTCCGCCTATAAATCTTTTCCAGCTACGAAGAAGTCCACAGACTCGGCATTTTTTAATTTTCTTTTATGGGATTGAATTTAGCAGAAAGATCCTGCCTTTACCATAATTGTCATGCTGTTAACATGATTCCAAAACAGGCCACCAAATTTCATGTACAAGGGAAAAACTAGACCAGGAAGGAAGCATGTAATTACTAACAACTGTAAGATAAGCACTGAGCACACACAAGACTAAAACAAGAGATGATTATTTATCTAACCTTTCTCTGATGGATATCATGTGGGGGAGGCCAGAACAATGAGGAGAGCTGAAGACTATCAATCCATCGCTCGGAAGAAGTCGCGGCAGCAGCCATGTGTGGTGAACAAGTGGTTGAAAATGGTAATAAAAGTCTCGAAATTGCAGTGAAAATAAGGAAACCCCTATTTTTGCCTTCACAAAACGGTGAGGAACTCCAGAAGCACCAAAAGGGGTAGGAGAAAAAACCAAGCTCCACCTCCCTCTTTCAGCTTCCTTCCCCTCAAAACCGCTCTCTTACTACCAATCAACAACCCAAATCTCGTAACCCAACATTCCTCCTGAATATTACACCAGACCCCAGAATAGCAACACTCAATAACCAATGATGAAATCTAAATCTAAGCTTCCCATCATCTTCCTATACTTCTGCTGCAGAAACTTGTGTAGAATTATGCTGTCTCTACTGCTCCTCCGCTACCCATCAAATGAGGAAGACCAACTTCTCTGCAGCAAAAAGCATGAGGGGAGAGACAAGAAGAGTATTCAGAGCCAACACAATGAATCTTACCCTTAAAAGAGTGGTGGGGAGAAAAGAAAAAACAAAAGGCTGAAAATTTTCACCACAAATCAGCAACCACCACCAACAAATTGATTCCAAAAACAAGAGACCCAGAAAAGCAGAAGGCCAAATAAGAGGTAAAAGATCGAATCTTTCCAAAGTGAAGCCCCCCCCAAGTAAAATGAAATCAACTGGGGATTTCTAGAGGAAAGAAGAGCAGAAGTTGAAGTAGAGAAGGGTACCTGGAAAGGAATGAATAGGGGATCTGAGAAAAAATTTCAGGTGTGGAGTTTTTTGTCTGTGAACTCAGAAATCTGTGAGGGGAGGAAATGGAGATTTCGGAATCTAATTGGGTTCTGAATTTTACCAAACTCTGTAAATAAAATTGATTGCTTTGTAGGAGAAGAAGAAGAGAGAGGAGGAGGAGATCTTTAGAAGGGCTCTCAGAGCTCCAAGGCTTAGCTTAGAGATTTGGGCTCTGACCACGTGGCGACGATATTTTCCTCTCACCTTAGAGGCCCACGTCACCCACCTCTTCTCTCTCTTGGCTAATTATTATTCCCCAAAGATAATAGATTAAAATAAAGATAAATGTTTGTAACTTTGTATGTATGCAAGGTTGTCAAACCGGTTTGTGCAAGTGTGCCGGTTTAGCAAGTGGAATGGTTCGACCGGTGGTACATATCGGTTTGTGCCGATTCATGCAGGTTAATATTACAAATAATTTACAAATACGTATATTTAAGCACGACATTTAACGTCAATACCAAAATATTTGTACTTGAATCCAACAAATAACATCAACATTTAACTTTTTAACACATAAAATAAATAATAAATTACTTTTTATCAAATAAATTCACTAATATAAGATCATTTTACTTAGAGATTCGTATATCGATCATGCCGGTCATACCGGTAGTGTCATACCGGTTTTATGACCGGTACAAGTTGAACCGGTTCAACCAGTGGCACGCCGCCCGGCGTGACAACCATGTATGTATGTATATGTCATCTACATGCATCCATGCGCATAGCTTATTAGCATATTCTCTTCTCATATTTTGAGATTCTTTTAGAGTTTTGATTAATGAAGGGGTCAATTGCAGTGATGGTCATTTAACTTTGTTGTCATTGACAAGTGATCATCAAACTTTGATATTGTTGGTAGACGGTCGCTCAACTTCTTACTAGCTACCAAAAACAAGCATAACCATCTCACTCTAATTTACTTTTGTAGACAAAAATGTCGAACTCACTCGAGTGAATTCTACAAATTAATCTTGCCTCTTTCTCTAACACGATGGTTGTGTTGACGATCTCTCTAATCATCGAAGAAATCAGATCTCTCTAATACGTGAGCTACGACATTCTAAGTTGCAACAAAATATTTCATAAACAATTTGTAAATCTTTACCTTAATCTTATAAGTCTATTAGAAATCACAATAAGACAACTTGGAATAAGACTGGGAAGCCATATAGGATTATAGTCACAATGAAATCGAATAATATACTTAACATTTTGTCTTTTGTTTGTAAAGTAAAAGAGAAAACCCACTTAATAGAAAAATAGAATAGAGCCACATGACTAATAAATCATATACTTAACGGAGAGGTGGAGGTATGCACTAACAGGTTTAGAGTCGCCCATGTAAAACGCGGTCATAATGCACCTAACAACTTCTCATAACAGGATCGGAATAAGTCATATCATGCGAGAAATTCACATGATTAACTTCAAGCTATTTGGTTAAACCCTAACATAACCCTAATTTCAACTGAGATTAACCAAAATCGGGAGAGTTATGATGAGGACCATGCAATATAGATATGGAGATAAGCACTAGGAATGAAAACAGTACTTCCTGCTAAGTGCCAACAACAACTAGGCCACTTGTCATTGAATATACAACCACTCCCCAGATATTTTAACTGAGCCTTGCATTGCCCATTCCCAACATGCTCCAAAGAAAGAAGAAACATGTTTTAGTGCCTTGTCAAAAAAACCTTTATTTGAATATGAAATTAGCTGTTAGTAAAAACTCAAGTTGTTGGAAGATATCCATGTATCGTATTTAATCACTTTCTCATACGTCCCATCAAATGAAAACCAACTCATGGGTTGTAAAGTTTGCACAGGCCCACCATATCATGTACTTTAAAGACAACGATTAATATTAGGAGCCGTGAAAACTCGAACTCTGACACCATGTGATAAACCAAATGGTCTCAACAATTCGAGATGTACATAAAATAAGTGAAGCGAGTTAGCATAGTTCGAGTCAGTGGCGGATACATGGGCCTTTAGGGGTGTCTCGGGACACTCCTAAAATTTGGGGAAACGATTATCCAACCCCCGCTAGTAGTTTCGTATGGATAAAAAAAATTATAATTGGTAATCCGAGTCACCCTTAACTTTTGAAAAACGATTATCATGTCCTCGGTAGTAGTTTGTGTATGATTAAAATTATATAAGTAGTACTATGTGTTATTCAAACCTATGACACTACTATTATTAAACATATTCTCTAGGTTGCAACTCATTTGTTGTTCTATATTAAACACTATGTTATAGTAAAAACACTATTCATTATTCCCAATTATTTTAAAATTTTAGTTACGTCAGGAACAAAGTTAGAAATCGAATATGCGATCAATTCGTGAATTATTGTCTAATATGGTATATTTGCACTAGTCGGATATTTTTTTATTTATGAATTATTTAATTTAATTTTTAGAAGAGGACACCCCTATAAAAAATTCTGGATCCACCACTGGTTCGAGTCCATCTCGAAATTATAATAATATCATCAGTGACGGAGCCATAAATTCGAATGATGGGGGCTAAAAATTTATGCACAAAGAATTCGAACCGGCGAGGAGGACTAACACCTTATCAACTACTATATTTTTTCAATTTATTACAAAATTTATGCACAAAGAATTTGAATGTTGAATGATGGATACCTAGACCTTGACGTTTAAGGAAGTCGAGCTTTTAGCATAGAAAATCATTAAACTTACACCAATTTTTGTCTCGTGTGCGCGATAGTTGTCATTGAGATCATCGCTAGAGTTATAAAATCATTGAACTTACACCAACCAACGCAAAAATATTGCATTGTGAATATTGAATACCACACTGATATAGAAGGGTGAGAGACACCATTTCTTCTTAACATGTGGTTGGTTGTTGACCTCTTAAATGTCTGTTATTATGTAGCAATTATCATATCATCATTCCCTATATCTCGTTGACATTAGGCTCCTTGTGTCATAAACGCGTTGCTACGGATCGAAAAATCGACAGAATCGACAAAGCAATAATACGAAAGTGAGAATCAATAACACGACACATGATTTACGTGGTTCACTAACACGATGTGTGTTAGCTAGTCCACGGGCGAGAGAGAGCCAGTTTCACTGTATCGAGGAGATTACATATTACAGAGGAGTATGAGAAGTATTTATAGTACTTCTTCATGTGGGTCTAAACCTAATTCAATATGGCAAAGGAAACGGTTGCTACGGATGAGAAGTATTTATAGTACTTCTTTATTGAGCCCATACACCGCTGGGCGTTGCCTCAGGACCCCACTCGCTAACCGGGCAGCGAGACCCCCGACTAATCCAGTCGTAGTGGCTAATAATCCGATTCAAGTCACATCAACACCTTGTTTCTATTCTTTTGTGTCGATTCCATGGATAGTCAACCCAACTAATTATAAGTGAAACTCTAAAACTGCCGCTGCCTTTTTTGAAACATATACCGTAAGTTGGAGTTGGACAGAAACACGGGTGTGTAGTGGGTGGGTTGGTGGGATTAAAGACTAATTAAAGAGCACTTAAACGTATGCTGATTGATTAATGACTTCTAATTAAGATTTGGACACTAGCTAGCTAATACACACTGCACATAGTACTCTACCAAATGAGGCAAAGTCAAAACGCAATAGGTTTAAAGAAGAATGGGACGTCTTAATATATAATTAATACAAACTGATTAGTACGAATGGAGAAGAAGCAAAGCAATGCTATGATGAGTTGATATATGCATGAACGGTACGAGTGGAGAATCACAGAATGGAATTTCGTACTTAGATCTTCGTTCATCAGTAAAAGATCGAGCGTCTGCATACAGATTGAAAAGAGGAAGAAGAAAAAATAAATGAGTCGATCGATGTTTTCCAATTAAAAACTACGAAATTCATGAAATCTACGATTTTTTTTTTTATAGATTTAAAGGTCCAGGATAACTTAAGTAAATAAGACCGATTGAGTTAGGTTTTGCTCGTTGAGCGATCCATTAGAGCATCCACATTGGTTTTTTTCACTCTTAATTATTAACTAGAACGAGTTATCCAATGTTATACGTGTTAATTATTACATGAGGTTTAAAATCTTACAATTTTAATCTATGATTTCAATTGTACTTAATTTTTCAATCTTAATTAATAGGTTTAATGGGACTAGCTAGATTATAAATAAGCAAATTTCAGTACATCCGTGAAAGAAATGTGTGTACATTTGTAACGGCGGGGTTATAAATGAAATGGCTACTAATTTACTTAAGCACTAAACAAATGAACGTGAAATTTTAAGATATTCCAACCAACAATGCTAGCTATAGCTAGTTGCAACTTGCAAGTTTGTGAGTGGAAAGCACATTCACCAATCACGATTTTTAATTAGCAAGTTAAGGGACTTTTAAGGATTATTAGTAGTGTAACTCCCAATTGCACTAAAAAAATATATTTCATACCTATAGCCTTTACCCTAAAGTAAGGTCGTCCCTTAGGGGACATCCGATAAAATTGAAAGTAAGCCTAGTAAGACATTCTATATAACAATTGAGGTTAATCCGGTAACAATTAAGTATTTACGTTGCTCGAAACGAGGACCCCTGTCCTTTAATTGACCCAAGCTAATGAACCATGTGTATGTTAGATGCATTTTCACCTCTCCAAATTGATGAAATCGGGACCATGATATAGACTTGTATCTTTTCCACATAAAGCATGTGCTTACTATACTATGGAATTGAATGACTTGTCGGTCGGACTAGTAAAACAATCGATCGAATGGAATAGCTTATGATTTTTTGTCTGTTTAGGGGGTTAGCACTTAGCAATAAGTCAGCTAGTTGATAGCAATTAAATAGTGAATGTTTGACATTAATACGATCTGATTGATTTATTGGTTCAATATTTTAACAGAAACATAGAATTACAAAAAAAAAAGCGAGAGGTGAAAACATGAGGACCAACCGTAATTTTTCTTCTTCTTACTTCCTCTTCAATTTGTTTCTAGTTTGCGCTTTGTAACCCCTTCATATAGATTCCCGCTTTTCCTTCCTGATACAACCGAAACTACTCTATTATATGGACGATTTTGTAAACGATGCACCAGCCGTTCCGTAACGAGTAAGCATTGAATCGTAGATCACTAAAAAAAAATTTGGATCAACATCCAGTCTGATTCTCAAAGCATAGTCCTAGAATTTCGTGCATTATCTGTATTTTTGCTGATATCGTCAAAAATTCGTAAAGATAATGGAAGAAACCAATATCAATTAATATTAAGAACATTTACTGTCAGGTTGCCAGTTGCTCCCAACATTTTGAATTCTGGAGAGAAGTTCATATATAAATCTTAACCACCTTCTTACATTCCTCTTCATATGAAAGCCCAACTCACGGAAGCGCGGTAAACCAACGTTGTGCCAAATCAAAACAAACCATCAACAATTTTCCCAACAGAAAGAGGATTAATATAAACACCTTAGGAGTGGCATGGTAATTATGAAAGCAGTAAAACCTCACGATTCAAAAATCATAATGAAGCATTTAGCTTTGTTTTATTAGAAATTGATTTAAGGTTTTGTGTCTTTCTCAATCTCACGTGGATGCCAATATATAAAGCAAAAAAACAGGCAGCCCGTGCGATTGCCCGAACCCCATGCCCGAGAAGTAGTGATGGCAATGGGTCGGGCGGATACCTCAATACCCATGCCTCGTCCCACGCTATTATGGGTCGGGCCGGGTAATATCCGTGCGGGTACGGGGTGGGGCGGGTCGACCCACTCTTATATGCTATTTGAAAAAATACACACAAAAATTTAATTTTTACGGCAAAACCAAGGGGAAAAGACTTCATCAATGAATAATAGTGATAATATAATGGGTAATTGAGTCTATCTAGTTGAAAGATCAAGTCGAACTATTTAAGGAAAAATCAAAATATGATATAAACCAATGGATGACATAAAAAATTGACCTAGAACTGGCCAAGAATGAGGCAGGGCGGGTAGGAAGTTGATACCATGCCCCGCCCCATGCTACTACGAGTCGGGTAATACCCACCCAATCGCGGATCAGATCGTGTAATACCCGGCGGGACGGGTCGAAATTGCCATCCCTACCGAGAAGCATCAAGATCCGCCAGAAAACGAGCACGTCGCCCCGTTTCAGTGGCTGAGGATATCCGGGCAGCAACCACAAAACCCACCGCGGGCAGCTGTGGCCTCCGTAAAAATATCTAGGAAAAAACCCATGGTGCCGGCCCGGCCCGGCCCGCCACCAGCTCCGCATTTTAGATTTTTCCTCTCCCAACCCAACCAATCAGGTGCGAGGTTTAGATCCAGAATTGAGTTTCAGCCGCCGTTAACGCCCGCCGTTAGATAGATATACGAAGATATCTCCCTGCTTCCTCCGCCGCACGATTGACTGTGGGACCCGCGCCCCACTACAATAATCCCATTGTCATGCATGGTTTAATGCCCCGTATTATGCATATGATTAAAGCTTAATCATCTTTAATTTAATTATAATAACAAATTTATATTCCTAATAGGTAACGACATATAACTTCTCGAGTATACAATACGAAATGTATTTCACCGTTAGATGTATTTGAAGTTGTTTGAAAGTTGTGAATTTTTTTAATTATTACTATATTCATACTGTTTAGAATTCTTTTTTTTTTTGTGTGCACACACGATAACAATGCAAGGATTTTTCCAAAAGTAGCACTGTTTTAAAATTTTTTTATAAAAATAGCACCCAAATCCGAAAAATTACAAAAGTAGCACCCTTTCTGCAAAACCGCCACCCGTACCAGCGGTTTAGGTTAAAACCGCCACCCGGGGGAGCGTTTTTCGATGAAAACTGCACTGGCAGGGGGCGGTTTTACAGACCGCACCCTCACCATGCGGTTTGGTTGCAGATCGCACTCCCACCATGCGGGTTGGTTGCAGATCGCACCCCCACCATGCGATCTGCTTTTTTTTTTTTTTTTTGAAAATCCTAACCTAGGTGGAAACTTCAAACGAACGTATCTTTGTGTTCGGGTATCCTAATGTCGCGAATTTTTTTTGATTCCGCATAACTTTTTGAGATCTTACAAGTCAAAGACTGTCGAAGGTGGTTTGGTCCCGCCTTCGTCCCAAAAAATGTCGTTTGCTACCCCGAACGAGCTTTTTTCCGATTTCGTCAAACTTTGGACAACCATAACTTTGTGCTCCAAAATCCAAACGACATGAATTTTTTTTTATTTCGCATAACTTTTTAAGGACTACAATTTTACTAAGAATGAATTTTCAAAACGGGAATTATTTTTGGATATACTGGATTTTAGGAATAGCTTACCTTCCCTTCTCAGCAATCCACGTACATATTGAAATTATGTCTATGATAAAAGTTGTATTCCTTAAAAAATTATGAGAAATAAAAAAAATTTATGCCGTTTGGATTTTGGAGCACAAAGTTATGGTTGTCCAAAGTTTGACGAAATCGAAAAAAAGCTCGTTCGGGGTAGCAAACGACATTTTTTGGGACGAAGGCGTGACCAAACCACCTTCGGCAGTCTTTGACTTGCAAGATCTCAAAAAGTTATGCGGAATAAAAAAAAATCGTGACGTTCGGATACCCGAACACAAAGATACGTTCGTTTGAAGTTTCCGCCTAGGTTATGATTTTTCAAAAAAAAAAAAAAAGCAGATCGCATGGTGGGGGTGCGATCTGCAACCAAACCGCATGGTGGGGGTGCGGTCTGTAAAACCGCCCCCTGTCAGTGCGTTTTCATCGAAAAACGCGCCCCGGGTGGCGGTTTTTACCTAAACCGCTAGTACGGGTGGCGTTTTTGCAGAAAGGGTGCTATTTTTGAAATTTTTCGGAGTTGTGTGCTATTTTTGGATTTTTTTTTAAACAGTGCTACTTTTGGAAAAATCCCAACAATGCATGCATGGTTTATGTGATAGAACGTAAACTACCAATATAAATGAGTGATTGTTACTTATATCTCAACTTTTAATTGAGATTGTTGATTTTAACTAATAATAACTTATGGAACAAATTAACAAAACCTTCGCATAATTAATTAGTGGAAGTCGTTTTCTCTGCAAATTTGTTTTAAATTGTCAAACTCCTCTATCGCTCACCGGCAGAAAGATTGATTCCATCTTTAATTAATTCCAACCCCAGGAATTAGCTAATCAATTTGAAGCTAAACTCGTTTTTATATTGTGGGGATGGTTAGCGTTGGTAGAATGTGATTGGAGGAAGGATAGTAGGTGTCGTGGAAGAAGAAGAAGAAGAAGTAGTGAAGTAAAGAACAATCTAGAACGACAAAAAACCAACCCCGCAAAAGCTAAATAGAAAAGTGTGGAGGTGAATGTCGGTCGCCCCACCATCCATTAAACCCTATTGATTAACCCCTAAATATTAATTAATTAGTTGAATCATCACTACTAAGAGCATGCTATATTGGCTAGTTATAACAAAAAATTAGTCTCTAATTAGCTATTAAGTTAAAAGTTTTTTAGTCCGTCTACATTTTGTAGGTTTTCCATGTTAGAGAGTGGTTTAAGATACAGCAGAACCTTCTCCCAATAACTCGAGTTATTGGGAGCAACTGGTTTATGACATGGTACCAGAGCTGGTTTGGTCAAATGGGCGTGTGTTCGAAACTCCACGACCCTCAATATTAACATTTGATTAAAGCACAAGGTATGATGGGCCTGTGCAAACTTCAAGCCCATGAGTTGGCGCAATGATGAGCCCGTAGGTTTTACGATTACGATTTTGTTGAGCTGTTTTGATCTTGATTGGTCTGTACCACTTATGGGCTTTAAAATCTTACGCTACTCATAATTTAAATCATTAAAATCTAGTTTTCGAGAGAATTTTAACGATTTTAACTTGCATGTTGAATTAGTTAAATGCAGAGCAAGTTGAACCGAGTTAACGAAACTAGATCAAATTCTTGGATCAATTTTACTCCCCCTCCTCAATTTAGCGAAACATAACGTTTTTTTCCTCTCCAATTCTCCTCCATCAACATCATTTCGTTCTCTCTCGCTTTGGCCACCAACGACTATCATAAATCCACACCAACTTACAGAATCATCAATGATTCATCACTTCCCAACAACCATAAATGCATCAACAACCCAAAGCCGCGCGCCATCCGACAACTGATAATACTTTTCTTTCAACTGTTCATTACAACAACAAACCGGTGGTGTTGAAAGACCCGATACGACAACTGTATATCGACTGCTCATTCATCATCATGTCTACTCGACGATGCTACGACAACGTATAGAATTTTTTTTTATGTTTAAAATGGATATATGAAAGCTTAGAAAAAGAGTGGACAAAGGAAGAGATAGCTACTCTCTGATTGAAAGAGCCACAGATATAGCCATGTCTCGTGGAGCAAGCAACAACCCTTTACTTCTTATCTCTTCCTATTTATTTGGCCAACTTCTCCTTAACGTACCTATAACGTGCATGTTAACATACATAACATAACATGTTCATGTGACCAGCCCGCAGTTGGCAAAGTAACCCAACTTGCTTAGCCAAACTTCATCATGCACCAAATATTCGGGGCCAATATTAAAGTTGTATCAAACCCGGTCTATTATATACTAGATCATCGTGTGCCGATCATTCGAGTTGATTTTTAATATTTAACCGTTGATATCACTTGTACGTATTACTAGGGTTGCAAATGAGTCGAGTCGAGTTTTACCTCAGCCTGAGCTCGGCTCGTTAATAAACGAGTCGAGCTCGAGGTCAGCTCATTTATTAACGAGCCGAGTCGAGTTCGAGCTAGCTTGTTTATTAAAATCTTAACTTTTATTTGATACTTCATTTTGTATATCATAATACATATGATTTATTTTGTTAGCTAATCTCATATTATACTTTGTTGGTATCATATATAATTTAGTTAATAAATTTTAACTACTCCAAATCATGTTATTTCATAGTATCGAAGCAATTTATGATGCATAATTTCTTTTTAAAGTAGAAAATAAGATATATTTGCTCACAAACTCAACGTGCTAAACTTATATATGGTGAGATTTATAATTTAACAACCATATGAATTAAAATCATAAGATATAGATTGATTCGTCCATAAGTTGGTAATCGAGTTGGCTCTCTAGCCACATGTCAAGACATATCATGAGCTCTAAACGAGCCAGCTCACGAGTTTAGCTCAACAAGCCACCGAATCGAGCTAGCTCGCGAGCTTCACGAGCTGAACAAAGGTGAGTTCGTGTTCAGCTCGTTTATTAACGAGTCGAGTTTCGAACGAGCTTTTCTCGAGTCGAACGCCAAGCCGCTCGACTCATTTGCAGCCCTACGTATTATAGATGGCTGAAAACAAACAAGAGATAAAGTCGAACCCAACGAAAGAAGGAAACATCGAAAGAACCTTTACGTTCCACCAAATGGACAACCCTATTCCAAACAAACCAAACACTAAACTGAAACAAACTCACCACGCAAAGTCACGATCTCCTCGAATTGCCCATCTACCATGATGATCTCATTGACTTTATGATGGAACAATGAAAATTGCATGTTACATCTTTTTTCACCACTTGGGCTCTAAGCCCTGGACGCCGGCCCATTTGAAGGAACAGAAATGGGCTTCAACGGAGCCCACTCCTTACTTCTCTCAATTGGCACGTGCATCCCGCTCTCGCCACGTGCGGGTGCCAGTTAGTCCTCCTCGTTCGACGGTCAACCCGAAGAAAAAAGAAAGACGCAGGAAAGCCGGAAAGTGAATCAATCAATCCGAAAATGCAAAAAAGCGACCAGCTAATCGGGAGATCGGAAGAGAAGTGATCGCTTGTTTCTCAGATCACCGGAAAACCTCCCCGTTGCTGTAGTCTCTATTCTACCTGTTGAAAGCTCAGCTCCCAAAATGAAGCTCCTCGTCGGTATTCTCTTCTCCTTCTTCCTCGCTGTTCCCTCCGCCGTCGCCAGAGGCGGCGAGCGCGGCGGCACTCTCTCAGGTCTGCTCCCTCTCTCCCGTCTGCGTTTCATTTGTATAGAAAGTCTAAATCGAATTGTGGAAGTATGGCCGTCGATTGGCGATTATGCATTTCTGATGATGAATGAGGTCTTTAATTGTGGAGCTTAAGGAATTAGCTGATGAAGGTTAATGACATTTGACCGCCTGGTGGGCGTTACAGTCTATAGTTTGCGCCACTTCCCTTTTTTCAGTATAATCCTGGAGTATTGAGTTAACAGTTCCCTTTTCTTCCTCTCTTTCCCGCTGGAAATGGCTTGGATGGATCTAGAGTTTGGTCATCAGTCATCAGTGTATTTCGGTGTTTTTTTTTCTTCTTTCTTTTGTAGATTATGAGAATGATAGGAGCAATGTGGCTACTACTGCACGGATTTTGCTTGAAGATGAGAAGTCACAGAACAAGTAGTGCTGCTTTGGCTTCCTAAATCTGAAATCTCCTGTGTTTCTAATTATAAATGGTTGAAAGTTGGGTTCTAATTAATGCTTCCAGGATCGCTAGAGCTCGTGGTTACATGACGAACTCGGATCTCGAGGAGGCAGTGAAGGATTTTGGGGGAAGATGTAGCAACATTTCTAGGATATACAGGTAGTCCCTGATAAGATCTTGTGTTCTTTTTAGATTGAGTGATAATGATTGGTTAGATGTTGGCAAGTTGTTTGCTTTGAGGCGATGATGCAACTGATTTTCTTATTTGGGTTTGTTTCTTCGAGGGGTTCTCTGGATTCAGTATCGGGGAGAGTGTGAATGGAGTTCCGCTGGTAATACTTTTGCTGAAGTTAGTTCCACTCTTCATCTTCTCTAGTTAACTCTCCTTTTCCCCTTTTTCGGCCATGTGGTCTTATCAAGAAAGTAATTTCACACACATCTCTCAAATTTCTAAATGATCTTTTGTATCTCCATTTTCTTTAGTGGGTAATAGAAATTTCTGACAAGCCTGGAGAAGAAGAGGGTGAGCCTGCGTTCAAGGTAATCAATATAGTATCATCTAAGTAGATGCTAAAGTCCCAGCTTATGTGTTCCTCTGAGAAGCTTCAATGACAATGAATAATGCTTCCCCTTGGCAGTTCTTGAATTTTGAACTCTTTTGAGCTTAGGAATCTACTGAAAGTTAAATTATACATTAATATTAATATCTCAAAATCCTATGGTGCATATGCTCCTGGTTGTCATCTTATGACCAGCTTGGCTTTTGTTTTATTTTATTTCCATAATTGTTTTCTGCAGTATATTGGAAATGTTCATGGGGATGAACCTGTTGGGCGTGAACTTCTTATTCGATTAGCTAATTGGATATGCGACAACCATTTGAAGGATCCTCTGGTATTCTCATTTCTACTCTTATATGTACTTTGTGGATCTCCTTTACCACATAGCCTCCTGGATTTGATACCAGTTTTTAATCTTTACAGGTCAGATCAATTGTGGAAAATAGTCACCTTCACATTCTTCCATCCATTAACCCTGATGGTTTTGCACTACAGAGGCGTGGTAATGCAAAAAATATTGATCTGAATCGTGATTTTCCTGACCAGGTAAGACGTCTTTTCTGGTTCTGTTGTGTTTATCAATTAGGTATAATCATACAAGTACAAAGGTACTTATTCTTCCGTATCTTTTTCTGGATAATATATTGTAATTAGCTGAATAAGTCCAATTGAAATGGTTCAGATATGTGTGCTGCAGTGTACTTTTATAGCTAACAAGTTTTGAGTCCTTACATAAGTCTCGAAAGAACTTCTTAATTCACAGTGTGAAACAGTTGAGAATATTTTGAAATTGCTGCATTAGGTATCATAGAGAAGAGGCACGACAGTCCATATGCTGTGAATATTCCTTTTCAATCTTCTGATAGTATGGCATTGAGCTAATCTTTTTCAACTTCAAGTAAAAGATGCAACAGTGTATTTTGTGGAACTTTGTTCAGTATCAACTCAACTAGAACTATATATTAAAGTTTTGGTCAGCATGGTCAGCTCAGCTTTTCATTTTTCATATTGTAGACTTATGTAAAAAATGCTCTTTTTCACATGAAATGCAGTTCTTTCCTCTGAATGATGATATAAATACGCGTCAGCCTGAAACAGCAGCAGTTATGAAATGGTTGGGAGAGAGACGTTTTACAGGTTCTGCAACTTTGCACGGGGTAAGATTTCATTACCATTTATGATTTTTTCATTCGTTATAATTTAGGAGTTCTTTACTACTCAATCATATCATGCACAACAGTTTAAGAAACAGGTTGTAAGCATAGTAACGGGCAACGGCCTTTGTCTAGGCTAAAGCAACTTCGTTATCATGTGACTGGATATATTTTTGCTCACTGCAGACATTCTTAGCTTGTCTTATCATTTTCAGGGTGCACTTGTTGCAAATTATCCATGGGATGGTACCCGTGATGGAAGGTGAATTTCTTTTATTTGAATGCTTCTTCAGACTTCTTTTTCAGTTAGAATAAATTTGGATTTTCCACCAAGAAGAGCTGACTTCTATACTTGATAAACCTTTTCTTGCTTACACCCTGCTTTGGTGTTGGTGCTATGTTTTTTTTTTTTACCCCTCTGGTTCTTAGACTTTCTTCTATTTTTTTTTTCTTTTTCTTATGAAGCTTAGACTTTCTTCTCAAGTGGCTATTTGCCCTATACTCGTTTGTTGCCTTTCTTTCTCGTTCAATCCTTCTTTGTTGCATTCTTGCGTAGCTAGTAAATTTGTAGCTTTTAACATGATACCCGAGGTGACTGTTTGAGTAAACACCATGTTTGTGTGATCATACTTGCACTTTCTGAACTGGTTAATACAGTTACCTTATGAGTATCATTTTGGTTACCTCAGCCTCGTACTTATTTGTAGCTTGCAGAGGGTTTATTTTCAACTCATTGGTGTGCTCTTGTTTCTCTGTTTTCGAAATCCAGGAAACATTATTATTCATGCCCTGATGATGATACTTTCCGGTTCCTAGCAAGCACTTATAGTCGATCTCACCATAACATGTCTTTGAGCAAGGAGTTCCCAGGGGGCATAACAAATGGAGCACTTTGGTTGGTAGTTTCAGGATCTACTATTTTTGTCACATTTCTTCAGTGTTTCTAAGCATAAGACTACATGAAGGCCAACTTGTTTTTACTACAGGTACCCAATATATGGAGCAATGCAAGATTGGAACTACATACATGCTGGATGTTTCGAGTTGACCTTGGAAATCAGTGATGATAAATGGCCTATGATAGATGAGGTTGGTCCTCGCTCTTGAATCTGTTAGTTTACCCAAATGTTAACTCATATCAAGGTTCAGCTTGCCCCCTTCTTCCTTATGTTGTAACCAAATTTGCTTAATCTTTTGTCCTTTGTATGTGAACAGATCCCTACACTTTGGGAGTACAACAAAATGAGTTTGCTGAACCTTGCAGCTTCAGTTTTGAAGGTATGCTTGTGGTTTCAATACGTTTGTAGCAACACAAGAAAAGAACTTAACTGAGGCATGTGTAGCTTCTAGAAGTAACCATCGTTAAAAGTTAATGCACAGAATGGTGGCTTACCAATCTTGTTATGGGTTTTGGTATTAGTACTTTATTGGACATTAAGATTGGAAGTAATAAATTTTTTTTAGCATACTTCTGGCATTACCTTGATTGATGTATTAAGGTGTACATTTCTCTTACAGACAGGCGTACATGGAAGGATCTTTGCCTCAGATTCTGGAACTCCTTTGCCTGGATTTATCACCATCAAGGGAATAAACTACACGGTATAAAGCTCATCATCTGTGCCACTTTTCTTTTTCTTCTTTCAGTTTTCCCCTGTGGTTCAATTGAAGGTCTTTGTGTTATTGTCCGTGACGAAAACTATTGTTTACTTTGTTTGCCCAATCATTACATAGCCTACATTTTGCTCCAAGATGTTGCATTTATGTATCGCTGTTAATATGTTCAAGCCTACATTTTGCTCCGAGATGTTGCATTTATGTATTGTCGTTGATATGTTCAAGCCTCTTGCCAAACTGCCTTTCCTTTATGACTTTCTTCTGTGCTCGCTTTAACAGGCAAATGACTAATGCAAATGCTAAGTAAACCGATTGGTCATTAACTCTTTGTAGATTAGGGGCTTATTATGCCTCAGACGTTGGTAGCATGCTTTAAACAGTAATAGCGAAACCTTTACTCATGCAACTTGTCTAAAATGTTAATGCGAGGAATCTGCCTTTCCAACTCTTTTTCTCCAGGTTGCTTTTCTTTTTGCTGCCATTCCTTCTTTGGCATGGCTATTCATGTGTATGGAAGCTATCTTGACTTAAAGAACTGTCTATCTGTATTGTTACACTGCGAGCTTAAAGAAGCGCTTCGTTCCTAACCTTCCTTTTGCAGCTTGTAAACTTAATTCATCCATTGAAACTTTAATTGACAGGTGACCGCTGGCAGAGCATTCGGGGACTATCATCGGCTACTGGTCCCTGGAGACAGATACGAAGGTATCTTCAGATACATACATTCAGTTTGGCTGAATTCGTGTCTTTTGAATGCGACCCTCGACTAAATATCATTCAAGTTTGAACCTTGACTAAATATCTACCTAAACGATTTCATTAAAGGTTTAGGTTTAGTGGTAAAGTTCCTTGGTCATTCCTAATAGATGCTGACACAAGGTTAAACAGACCACAGTAAGTCGATTGTCATGCTATATCGTCTGCTATTAATTTACTCTTTAAGAATGGCCAAGTTACATGCCTACAGTTTGTACTCCAACAAATAAGTGCATGATTATCTTTGTGTAATTGTGCTTGCAGTCCTGGCTTCTATGTCCGGGTACAAATCTAAGACGACGACCATATCACTAGGAGAGGTAGCCATGACACTGGATTTCATTCTCGATCCAGAGACCACAACCGAGCGGTATTTATGGAGAACTTCTGGTTGCAACTGTGGCAGCAGCAGCAGCGGCGGAGGCAAGTTTGGCCTCGAAATGTTGTGGACGCTGCACTTGGAAGTTTATGCTGTTATCATCATATTACTCTTTTGGTTTCTGTTAAGGAGGAGATTGAAATCCAATCTCTTGAACGATAAACCGCAGGCAGCGCGAAGTTCCTTACTTCCTGCGTAGGCAGCTTGTAGTAAACTTGTACAACAATTTGTACCATGGTTATATGAAAAGTTCAGGCCATACACAAGAAAACTTCTTTGACCAATTTAAAAATATGTTAAACTAATAATTTATCGGCCCCTCCTACACAAAATTTATGGCTCCAAGCCCTCCAACCCTGAACCCGAGTGAATTTTTAGCGTCACAAGTGTTTGGTGAAATTTGTGGTCGAGGTGTATACACGTGTAGGTTCTGTCATTTTGGTTTGCCTTAAATTTTGGTCTATTTTCAATATGAATGTCCCTCTTTAAATGTACACACATGAGTCCCTCCTCTACACACATAAATGTATTCACCAAGTTGCTCTCAGTTAACGCAATGTCCCACTTGCTGTATATTGGCGGCGAAACAAGGGCCAAGAAAGAGCTACATTTCTATTCCATTGGGTGGTGGTGGTAGAAATTTGAACCCGCCATACCGTGTAGGGTTTTATTCAATCTGATTCGTATCGAGGTGGGTAATATCCAACTCGCAATAGCGTGGGATGGCATACGAGTACCGCTTCCGTTTTGCCTCGCTCCGTTCATGATTCATTCCACCTTAATTTGTGTTAATATTTTAATTATATTTACGTAAGGGTTATTGAAGGATCAAGTCTGACTAACTAGTTGAATAAAAAGTCCAAAATAAGAGAAAATATGAATAGATCTCGTAAGCAATTGAGAATTCAATTGGCCCAAGAAAGCGGGAGGGACATGACGGAACGAAAGTAGATACCCATAACCCATACCCCCAACCCCCAACAATACCACAAATCGAGTAATAGTACCCACCGCATCACGAATCAGATCGTGTAATACACGCAACGCGACGACGAGACGGGTTCAGATTGCCATCCCTCGTACCTACCTGAAATAATCTTTGGCCCACATTTTCTAACCAATTCCACCAAGTTTTTACTTCCCAAAAATGACACTATCTGTCGGCAGTACTCACTCCAGCAACGAGAAAGGAAATGGTACTATCTGCCAGCCTCACAAATTGCAATAGCAAAACACAAATTGTCATCCATTCAAAAACACAGACAGACAAGAAGACCTTCTTCTCTGTTCAGCCAAAAAAACACACAGAGAAAGAAATGGACTCGAAGAAGCCACACGCAGTTTGCATACCTTTCCCAGCTCAGAGCCACATCAAGGCCACACTCATGCTCGCCAAGTTACTCCACAACAGAGGCTTCCACATCACATTCGTCAACACCGAGTTCAACCACCGCCGCTTCCTCAAGAGCAGAGGCCCCCACGCCCTCGCCGGCCTCCCCGACTTCCGATTCGCCACCATCCCCGACGGGATCCCGCCGTCGAGCCTCGACGCCACGCAGGACATCCATGCCATCTGCAGCTCCATCCGCAATTTCATGCTCGCTCCCTTCAGGGACCTCCTCGCCGAGCTGGTGACGTCCGGTGCTCGCGGCGGGGACCCTCCTCCGGTGAGCTGCGTGATCAACGACACGATGCCGTTCGCCGTCGACGCCGCTCGTGAGCTCGGCGTCCCGTCGGTGAGCTACTGGAGCTTCGCTGCTTGTGCATTCATGGGGTTCATGCAGCTCCGCCCCCTCTTCGAAAAGGGCGTCACCCCTTTCAAAGGTAATTAGAGTTATGTTCCTTATCAGAATCGTCGTCAGGAGAATTCCTGACCGTTAACATTTTTTCTTTTTCCTCCTCGGCGGCAGACGTCAGGAATTTGACGAATGGATACCTCGACACGGAAGTCGAGGTGCCGGGGATGAAGAACATGCGACTCAGAGACCTACCGAGCATCCTGCAAACGACGGATGCCGAGGACCCGATTCTCCACTGGCTAATGGAAAGCGCCGATTCAGCCGGCGGAGCTTCCGCCATTCTAATCCACACATTCGACTCCCTCGAAACGGACGTCCTCGCCGCGCTCAGCTCGATCTACCCCGACCGGGTCTACCCGGTCGGACCGATACAGCTCCTCCTGGATCAAATCTCGCCGGACCCGACCATCGACGGCGCAATCAGCTACAGCCTGTGGAAGGAAGACTCGGAGTGCCTCCGCTGGCTCGACGCCAGACCGCGAAACTCCGTAATCTACGTCAATTTCGGGAGCATCATCACGCTGTCGAAACGGGATCTGGTCGAATTCGCGATGGGTTTCGTGAGCAGCGGGGTCTCGTTCCTCTGGGTCATCCGGCCGGACCTCGTCCAAGGGGAACTGGCCGCTCTGCCGGCGGAGGTACGGGAGAAGGCGGAGAGGAATGGGTTCATCTCCGGTTGGTGTCCGCAGGAGGAGGTGCTGAACCATCCGGCTGTCGGAGGGTTTCTGACGCACTGTGGGTGGGGATCGGTGATTGAGAGCTTGACGGCGGGGGTTCCGGTGCTCTGCTTGCCGTTCTACGGCGATCAGATTGTGCATTGCAGGTTTTTGTGCAGGGAGTGGGGGGTCGGGATGGAGATCGAGAAGGAGGTGAAGAGGGCGGCGGTGGAGAAGCTGGTTAGGGATTTGATGAATGGGGAAGAAGGGGAGAAGATGAGGAAGAAGGCGGAGGATTGGGGGAGGTTGGCCCGCGAAGCTACTGGGCCTGGTGGATCGTCGACCGTCAATTTGGATCGATTGGTTAGTGAGGTTCTTCTGCCGAAGTGAGTGGGTTGGGCTTTTCTGGTTTAAGTTTGGGCTGGATCTTGACATTAGATGCATGTCTTTCCAATTCCATCATCATTTGTTTTCAAATATTTCAATAAGATTTCATTGTCTCTTTGTCTTTCCACTGCTTTGATCATTGTTTTTCATTTGTTATAGCAAGAGTATCAATATTAGTATTTGAAGTATGCTTTGTGAACACCAGAATTGCGTTACGTGAACATTATCTATTATTATCTAAAAAAACCGTGTACGAAAATTGATATCAATATCGTTCGATTGAAGAAATACTCTAAACAAACTCGATGAACGGTATTGTGGATGGTACCTCTTTGGATTCATTACTTTCTTACGGGAGTGAAATGTAATTACCTTAACTAGCCCCAGTCGAATAATTGAGGGCAATATATATTTACTGGTTTTCGCCGTAGCTTGTATCATGAACGTAGCTCTCAAGTTGCCCAATTCATCGTCGGACAACTTTGATTCTTCATCATCTCCCACCAAACCACTACTCTTCTGAAGATCCAAGGAGCAATGTTCTCTTAGTTGGTCATTCTGGTACCTAAATTCCTAGTTTTAGGTTGGACTTCACATTACCTAAGAGTTTATGTCGCAACCAAGAGTTCAGCTTTTCCTGCCATATATCCTCAGCGGGTGAATCTGTGTACTCGAAACGGGTGGAACTCCCTTGCAGCCACGTGTTGGTGCGCGAGACGATTTTTCCTCTTTTTCTATGCGAATTTCGCAGCGGTCTGTACCGCGCGCGACAACAGACCACTCGACCACTTTTGTCAAGATCGAACAAGTGAAAGAACAAGGGTAAACTCTATGTTTCATCCAAATAGATTCAAAACTCTTTGATTTATCTTCATTATCAAAGTTGTCGCGTGCAAACAGTTTTTATACCGTTGCGTCGGGTTTAGCAAACAACCCCTCAAAGTCAAGTCTGACCTGATAGTGCCAACCTAAAAAACCTACATAGCTCAATAGATTCTTCACCTCCGTATTCTCTTCAGTCTTTCACTGTGAATGTACAGAGAAAGTAAGCAAACAAATTTACAAACTAAAGGCAGGTCAATAAATTTGACCTACTCCAACTCCCACTTCATATTATCACATGTATATATGTCTCCATCTTTACTGTGAATGTACAAATAAAGTAAGCAAAAAATTACAAACTAAAGACAGGTCAATAAATTTGACCTACTCCATCATACAAATTATGCATTTACTTTGCACATAAATACACGATTTAATTACCTTAACTTATAGAACCGACAATTGCATCCAACTTGTCTTCTGACCGAATGTTGTTTCACATTCTTCTTCGAAGTGACTGGTATTCAGTCACATTGGCAACGTGCTGTTCAATGCCATTGCCATCACCTCCTTCTTCTTCTTCTTCTTGTTCTGCAGAGATCAACTTCTGAAGCTTGTCGACGAGCAAATCGAAATCGTCCCGAGTTTTGATCAGGCTAAGCCTCACGTTTCGATCTGTGGCATAGAACACGGATCCTCCCCGGCCAATGATTCCGGCGGCCTTAAGCACTCCATAGCAATCGCTCTCTTCCTCTCTTTCGCACTTCAACCATCCGTACGCTGCATGCATGCATGTGCATGACATCAAATCGCGCGCTTTAAAAGTTTGAAAGCTTACGCGTTTTTCTACACTTCTACGCAGAATCACGATTTTTTTTACTGCATTGATAATTACAATGCATGGTTTTGAATTAGTTGTATAATTACCTGGGGAGGATTCTCTGACTCGGCCGGAGAAAACGCAGTAGTGGGAGGAAACGTCCTGGAGGGAGAAACGTTTCGACCTCGAAACGACGGTCCTCAGTTTCTCCCACCTGGCCTTCATGGTCTGGTAGCCGAAATCGAAGATGGTCCGCCCGCCGCCTTCCGCCATGACGGTTTTCAGAAGCTTGAGAGCTCGGAGCTGGGTGTCCCGCGAAACTCCCATGGTGTTCAGCTGCATGTACATCAACATTTTGTTGTACACCTTCTCGTCTTTCACGATAGCCCATCTGAAATATATATATATATATATATATACACGTACATCAGTTAATTTCTACACATACAATGTAGAGTGACAAAAAGAGCTATTGTATCGATATTAATGATACAAGTATCTGTCGATAAAAAAAATAATAATGATACAAGTATCTGTTAGTGAATATTAGGGGTGTAACTGGGTCAAACCGAACACTATACTACAAAAGAGAAAAAAAACTCGGCCCCGTTAGGGTTTAGCAGTCGACTTAAATCTGTCTGGTCTTATTCATTAGGTTAGGTTAGATTAGGCCGAATCAATGGGTCTGCTCACATCAATAAACAACCTGTTTTGTAAAAATTATATTTTGGTACGTACCAAACTTGTTATTTCTTATAATTTAGTATCTAATGATTATGTTTTTTTCTTTTTATATATTTTCACCTTGCATTATATTACCTATGTAATGTGTTGGCATGATAAATTTCATATATCACATATCTATATAATGTGTTGGCATGATAAATTTCATATATCACATATCATAGGCCCAAAAATTGTCCAACCCTACCCTACCTTTGAAAGGCAAAAAGATTTCCCGAAACAAAACTTACCCTATAGACAAACTGAACTAGTACGACCATCAAAATTGGGCCGGTCCCGATCAGTGAATATATAGACTCAAACTGACATCCCTACTAAATATCACCGGAAAAGAGTTAACTTAAGAAAATGATATCATATAATAGTATTTTTTTTGTGTGTTTTAAACAAGGATTGTGAAACCGTACCACAGTCCACATGGTAATACCGAAAAATCGATAGTAGGATAATTTGTGTTATAATTGGGTTTCAACCATTTCTTATCGTTAAAACCATCTATCGCTTTGGGTTTGGTATATGGTATTTCTGATCCAATCAATCGGTACGGTTTCTCAAAAACTGGGTTAAATGTAAAATGATCCGTTGCCTTAGGTACATACCCAAATCGGGAGCCGGCGTGGCCGGTGAGCTTGGACAGTGTGAAGATCTTGAGCTCCCCGTCGTCCGCCGCCGGAATCGGAGTGAAATGCGGCCAGAAGTAAGCCCGGTCGTAAATCGCCTTGAAATTCGGGCCCTTAAGAACCGCCTCGTTCAACTTCCCGTCCGGATTATTCGGCGACGTCACAAATTCAATGATCGTCTTCCCGTCGGGAACATTCTTCTCCTCCGACGTACTGTTCCCGCCGCCGGCGACCCAGAGCGACGTGTCCCCCTGGTACTGGAAATCCACCGACGCGAAGTACTCCGTCTGCAGCTCGTAGATCGGGTAGAACGGGGCGGTGGCCACCACGCCGGCGGGGATCCCGCCGCCGCCGCCGCCGGTGGAGGCGGTGGATGGGACGTCGGGGGAGAGGGCGTGGACGGCGGCGTTGAGGAGCTGGGTGGATCCGGCCCCGAAGACGATGAACCTGCCCTCGGTGACGGCGTTTCCGACGGCGGCGTGGAGCCGGCGGACATGGCGCTCGAGCTCCGGCGATATGGAGGTGCCGTCGGGGAAGGAGTAGCCCATCCGGTGCCAGCCGGAGACCACGAGGGCGCTCGCGGCGGCGCGTTTCCTCCAGAACGGCTCCAGAAACAGGGGATTGCCGCTGCCATGTCATCATTATCACGAAAATTAATTAATTAATGTTAGCAAAATTCAAGGGTGATAAATGAGAAATACGAAAAGTCCATCATAATTATAATGATAATTAATTAGTGACAAAGCTAGCTTAACATCAATCATTTCGTCAACAGTTGTAGTTAGCTAGTTGTTGGTTGTGTTGTGCATATACATCACCTAATTAATGTTTAAGTTAAGTATGATATCGTTCGTCAACAACAACAACAACAAAAAATTCATTGGTAACTCTAGCGAGAAATAATATAGATATGAAAGATATTTAAGATCTTTGCAAGTCAGGTTACATAACAATAACAACCGAAAGAAAAAATATAGAAACAATATGGACAAATTTCTCAAACTAATGATACAAGGTAACAGTTCTCGATCCAATGCATCAATCCATTAAAAATATCCAACTAATCTAATCCATTTGATCCAAATCCAATTGGATTGGTGGATTCATGGATTGGATTCATAGATCGTTGACAAATTATCGTTTAGTAACTATAATTTTTATTTTTCATTTTGATACCTGAAATTTAATTATTAAATGAAAAATATCATTGAAAAATTACATTTTGATACCTAAATTTTTTCATTATGACATTTTAGTACCTAAACTTTCACATTTTACATTTTGGTCCAAGGTTGAGGATGTCATTTTGATTCATGGATAATCCGCCAATCCACTTGATCCAATCCATAAATCCACCAATCCATTTGATCCATGGACCACCAATCTACGAATCCAATCCATTTGCCACCTCTATAGACAACCCTATTAATTATCAAACCTACAAAGCGCGGAAAAAAAAAACGTAGCACGTTGAAACGATGATGGTAGCACCAAAACTACTATTGATATTTATGTTTGACAAATTTGTCCATAATTGTGACTGGTGTAAAATTGATGGGCTTTATTTATCTACTTCTAAATTTTTCTGTAGGGCGGAATTATAAGGCATATAAGGGCCACAATTAATACGTCACCGCTCACGTATAATAGATTAGATCGGTCCCATAATTGATTTCCTTACAATTATTTCCTTACAAAATAGCAATTAATTAGCCATCGTTGTCTACACTTTTGTATTTTCCTCCAGAAAAGATTCCTTCAAAAAAAAAAATCTCCTAAAGATACCTTTCATTTTCACATGATACTGTGGAACATTTCTTTGGGTGAAGATAAATGTTGCTATAAGATTCCCAAAATTTAAATGGTGGAAATACCATCATTCATCTTATCCTCATAATAAAAGGACCTTTCTATTCACAAAAGAAAAAGCACCTCTAATATATTTCAATAAATGTTTTTAAATTTTCGCATAATATTATTTAACTAAAAGGGTTGATAAAAAAAAAATCAGTATCATTGTTAATTTCAGCTTGAAAATATTAAATTCCATTATTCTAGCTATTAGCATCCCTATGGCCAATTGGCCATCATTAGTATTACACAAAGCTGCACGAGAGTTTCATAAAAACAAAAATAAAACTAATTGCTTGGCGATCTCGACTAACCAACAAACTAACCGATGGTAGCTGCACGATTTGTTCTCACCCATCGACATAATCAAAACTCGAATTCGAGACCTCTAAATCGAAAACCAACGATTTTTTACGTTGTCAAAACCGCTTCCTCGTAATTTACAAGCTATGTAATCCGTTTTTCCCCCGACCTTAATGAGTTGAAAGAACTTACCTATCGACGTCGGCAGAGCAAGAAGGTGAGAACTTGGAGCAATCCCTGCCGCCGTAGCAAGTGTTGCACTCACAAACCGGCAAGTCGCCGGAGGTGACGCCATCTAAGTAAGCTCTGCCGTGGCCGGAGCACGAGATGGCAGCCACCGCCTCTGCTTCCTCCGCCGCTTTCCGGCTCCAGCTCAGCCCTCCGTCGTCGACGGTGGAGAAGTAGAAGTTGTAGCCAAAGAAGAAGAAATTCAAGAGGATGGAAAAGACCAAACATTTCGAGTGTTTTGATAGAGATTTGTTTCCCATATCTTGTGTTTTTTGTGGACGGAGCTTTTGTCTATGGAGAGTTGAGAATTTGTGGGGTTTTTATTTATTTTGGTGAGTGATAATAAAGCTATTGGGTTCTACGTACTTTCGTTGTCACTAAAAAAAATCAACTCATTGATGTTGACAAAATTCAGGGGAAATAAACAACAACAAAAAAATGTAGAATTGATGAGTTGGAACTTCAAAGTTATTGATTTCAATAATTATTCTCATCGGTTGATTTCAATAATTCGAGTTGTTATGAGAGATTTGATAATGGATTTAATGTCATATACAAACATGCTCTCTCAAACGAAAGCCATTTATATAGGATTGAAATTTGTATAACTAGGTCTAGAAAGGTCTAACAAATGGGGAGTTAGCAGGATTCGTACAGAATACCTCTAGCAAGGAGACTTTGTAACCATGTCAAGAACCGATTGATTCTAATAACTCGAGTTGTTGGGAGAGTGTTCAATAATAGTATGAAAAAACACAATAAAAAGAAAGAACTTGGAGAGCCTTATACTCTCCCGTGGACTAATCCCGTTCTCGGAAAAACCACCACGTGAACCGTGTGTTGCTTTCGTTCTTGTTTCTGTTAGTTCCGATTCGTTCGGTTTGATATAACCAACATACTCAACTTAAGAAATTTATTGAATATTATCATATTATTACATTACCATAATGATTTATCTGATTAGATTAACAGATTTCAACACTGACTGACATGACCCTTCTTTACTGTATATGTAGGTTAGAGAGATTGAGTGTAATGGTTAATCTTAATCAGCTTTGGTCTCACCAATTCTGTCTTTGTTGATCGATTATTTTCATGCTCGTCCGATTTTGAGTTCATAGACGGCACGGCTTTTGCTAAGCTATTCCATTAATTGTTCTATACGTTGTTATCAAGGATTAACACATCTTGTTTGTCCCGATTAACCCCAAATTGAATTGATTAAAAGCCCCCCTAATATTAAAATTTTTAGTACTTAATCATGAAAATATCAAATATACGGTTTATTTTTTAGTGTAAATGGACTCACCTGCCAAATAATGCTTCTATAAAGCGATCCCATGGTGTGCGTCCATGTTACACGTTAAGTTTCGAGTGAATAGGATACAATACATTACGTGTTAGTTTAATTTTTTATTATTTTGTGCATTAATTTTTAAATTATAATAGCCAACATTTGCTTTACATGGTGGTATAGTTTAAGATTACAATTAAACGCTACAATTCTACGTATGAGTTTACTTCTGTAATGGTTATTAGATGAATTTGCAAAGTTGCACCGAGGAATCTCAGAATTGCTTATAATACGGGAGATTTTTTTGTTTGAGAATAATTTTGGAATAAATTCACGGTTATTATAAAACTAACGATTTAGACCACTTAAAAATGAATTGTATGATTAAAATTACAATTATATATGTAATGAGAATGCCATTTTCACGCTAAGTCCTTTCTAGTAGCTAGCATCTCTGCTAGAAATTAATATAACACAAATTAATTAAGCTGCAGGCCACTTCCATGGAAGCTAGCTAATCCCATCTTGATTCCCACTAAATATCAATAAACTAATCCCTGATTAGTGGGCTTTACTTTTATTTCTTAAGTGAGGATCCCTCGTTATGATTTTTTTTTTCCCTTCTAAAATGCTTTGCACCCATCAATACTTAATTACAGTGATTTTCTCTCTTGTAACGTGTTGGAAGTTAATCTCTTTTTTATAATTCACCTCAAATCAATCAATATTCATCATCAAAAAAATTAATCTCAAATTAATACAAAGAGCCCACTAATTGAAAAAACTTACCCATCAGCGTCGGCAGAGCAAGAAGGGGAAAACTGAGAACAATCGCTGCCGCCATAGCAAGTGTTGCACTCACAAACCGGCAAGCCGCCGCCGCCGGAGATGACGCCATCCAAGTAAGCCCTGCCGTGGCCGGAGCAGGAGATGGCAGCCACCGCCTCTGCTTCCTCTGCCGCTCCCCTGCTCCAGCTCAGCCCTCTGTCGTCGACGACGGAGAAGTAAAGGTTGTACCCAAAGAAGGCAAAATTCAGGAAGATGGAAAAGACCAAACATCTCCAGTATTTTGATGAGGTTTGGTTCTTAGTACTGATATTATTGTTGTTGTTGTTTCCCATGTTTCTGGGAAGGAAGGAGGAGCTCTCTGTTTCTGGATCCTTTGAGCCCCTTTTTTGTTTTGTGGGTTTTGTTGTTGTCACAACTAGCTGTTGGCTTCCACTTCTTTGCCTTTAAGTGAAAATAATTGGTGCATAGGGTCCACTCTCATGTCGCGTAATGTGATTTTATAATTAAGGGGTGGTTTGGTTTTGACGATAGTTAAATCGATGTATTGACATCAATGCATGCATAATAACATACATGTATATAAGAAAAATTGGTGTATTGTAGTTTATATCGTTTGGTTTCTGTGATAGTTATTGTAGTATTTAAATAAATTATATTACTTTTTGAGTGAAATGTCACTTTTGCCCTTTGTTTTTAATATAAAAAAGCAACACACATAAAAAGGTAGGGACATATTTGGAAGAAGAAGAAAACACAACGATCTCCATCAAACGATCTCACCGAAAACTGGGGATTTAACTATCACTCATTTTGAGCGATAGTTTGTGTCAAATCAAGCGAACAATGCATATATTGTTTGCGCAAAAAATTAAAAAAAACGATACATAATGAACATTACATGCATTATAACTATTTCAACCAAACTATCAGCAAAACCAAACGACCTAGCTGTTGTTGCCGGCTTGGATATCATCGAGATTTTTGTTGGGCAATTGGTTCGAGTATGAATGTGTTGGGCATACTCCAAGAAGGCCCATACAATTAGGCCCGGTGAGTAGGCACGGCAGAGAGGGGCCCGCAGGAAGCCCATAGGGCTACTAAGTGGGCCAGGAACGGGCGCAAGCCCAGTATCAATTATTTAGTAATTAGTATATGCATAATGCATATGTTAACTTGTGTTAAATCTAGGGGTGGCTGTTCGGTTACCGGTTATCGATTAACCGGCTGGTTAAACCGATAATCAGTTGGTTATCCACTAACCGGTAACCGAAGTGACCGAACTTCGGTCGGTTATCGGAGGGTGGACCAAATAATTTTTGGTCTTAAAAGTGATTCGGTTAACCGAGAAACCGAAGCCTATTTCGGTCGGTGTTCGGTAGGGATGGTGGTTATTTCGGTTAACCGATAACCAGCCGGTCGGTTACCTGTTATAACCGAAATAACCGAACTGCCACCCCTAGTTAAATCTCACAAGTAAGAATTAATTGGACAATTTTGATCAACCGTTTACACTAATTTGGTTCATCATATTAGCAGTTATATGTGGTGTTCTTTCAGTGACTCGTAATTCACAAGGATCGACATCTTCACTACCCTAGTTGACCAGTTCAATTGAAAATGCATATGTATCAATGAAAAAAACTGTAGTTGTGTTTCTATATGATGATAAAGATGTTTAAGGTCAACCACATTAGTCTGTACGTCGAGCATTTATAAGAGAAGAAAATTAGTCTATTAGTCCAATTTTATCAGGTCTTTAATTTTACTCTTTTCATAATAAATGCATAATTATATACCTTAGAGAAGAAAATTAGGAACATTAGTTAAGGATCTTATCGCAACATGCAAGGTGTAACTCATAAGATAATAACAAACATTCAAAACAAAAAGGAGAGTCAAAAGCTAAGTGAGCCACACAAAAAACGGAAAAACAGCTACCAACCATGGAAAATCACAAAATTTCACCTATTTTACATTACAATATTATTACAATCATCTCAGGAAACCTATAAATGCACAATGGAAATGATATTGCCTCGCATCCAAAGAGAGCAACAACACAAAATCTTATAGATAATTAAGATCAATTACTATAAGAATGAGGCCAATTACATTTCTCGTTGCGACAACTATTGTTGCTCTCATCTTGTCTACCACTGGAGCGAGCTTTGATAGATGGGAGCAGATAAAGAACTTGAAGGATGAGCACATAAAAGAGATTGCGGAGTTTGCAGTGCAGTATAACAATTTGATATATATCCGGTCGCTACAACTCCTAAAAGTGCAGAAAGGAAAAATCCAACAGGTAGCTGGAAAGAACTACTTGCTTATCGTGGCGGCGGTTACACCAGAAGAGGGACACATGGTGCATCTATATGAAACTCTTGTCCACGAGAGTATTTCTAATGCGAAGGAGCTGATACTTTTTAGACCGTTTCGTGGATCAACACCAACCATAAAAAATTAGTAGCTTTTAGTTTTGTGTTTGTCAAATAAAAATTATTAATAATGGAGAGCTATAAGCTTATGTAATTATACATTTTGCTCTTGCAATTAATTTCGTAGTTTTGTTCTGATAATTGATAGAATACAACTATTGGCTTCTTCATTTACATTTATTTGATAATTGATATTTAGCAAAATGGTAACTATAGAGAAATCCCCTTTCATGCAATAAATATCTTTGAAAAGAGAAGCATAATTAGGGGGGGGGGGGGGGGGGGGGGGGGGGGGGGGGTTGCTCGATAAGTGTAGGAATCAACGCTTAGAGTTTTTTTTTTTGCCACGATATTGAAAGTTTTGAAATACCTACACAACACAAAATGGAACGAAACACGCAGAAAGGAAGACCATAACACCTAAACCTCGTGCGGATAGCCCTCCATTACATGCGACAGATCCTTTGCATTGACCATCCGAATGAACATTTGCGTATCAGCACAAAAACAAAACACGAGAAAACAATAGATGCAAACACCGATGAAGAGCATCTTGGAAGGTAAGAGCTCTATGACGAATGGGTCATGAACTAAGTATGTAGGTGTGATTCTTATGTGCATTGGAAGATTATTCTTGTACGTACTGATGGCAATGGGTCGGGACGGGACGGGTACTGACGCTATTACGGGTTGGGGCGGGTCGACTCATTCTTATATGCTGTTTGAAAAAACTAAGCAAAATTCTAATGTTTACGATAAAACGAATGGGAAAAGACTTCATGAATGATTAATAGTGATAATATAATAGGCAATTGAGTCTATTTAGTTTAAATATGAAGTCTAACTAGTTAATCTTGACCTAGAATAGTCAAAATAGGAGATATATGAATGGATGGCGTAAGAAATTAACCTAAAAAAAAGCCAAGAACGGGGCGGGACGGGGCAGGGCGGGTCGGGTCGGAAGTTGATACTCATATCTCGCTACACGCTACTGCAAACACTGGCTTATTCATGATCCTGATAAGGCATCTCACTAGGAGTACGAAGTACCATATACTCCATATGTACGTCAGTCTAGCATATGGTAACTTGTCTTAAATCTCAAGTAAGAGTTAATTGGACAATTTTGATCAATCGTGTAGACTAATTTGGTTCATCATATAAGCAGTTAAATGTGGACTGGTATTCTTTCAGTGACTCATATTTGATAATTCATAAGGATCGACATCTTCAATACACTAGTTGACCAGTTCAATTGAGAATGCATATGTATCAATAAAAAAAACTATAGTTGTGTTGCTATATGATGATAAAGATGTTTAAGGTCAACCACATTAGTATGTAGGTCGACCATTTATAATATAACAACTGGTGACCAGCAGTCCAGATTCACTCGGTTAATTGCAAATAAGAGTTACTTGTAGTTAACCCAAGTTATTGTAGCTAAGTCGTGTTAATTATTATATAGTGAATAAAATCTTCTAGTTTTTTAATTAGGTTCTATTATCCCGATTTTTTTATCAGGTCTTTAATTTTATTCCTTCTAGAATAAATGCATAATTATATAGCTTAGAGAAGAAAATTAGGAACATTAATTAAGGATCTTATCACAACATGCAAGGTGTAACTCATAAGATAATAACAAACATTCAAAAGAAAATGAGAGTCAAAAGCTAAGTGAGCCGCACAAAAAACGGAAAAACAGCTACCAACCATGGAAAATCACAAAATTTCACCTATTTTACATTACAATATTATTACAATCATCTCAGGAAACCTATAAATGCACAATGGAAATGATATTGCCTCGCATCCAAAGAGAGCAACAACACAAATCTTACAAATAATTAAGATCAATTACTGTAAGAATGAGGCCAATTACATTTCTCGTTGCGATAACTACTGTTGCTCTCATCTTGTCTACTACTGGAGCGAGCTTTGATAGATGGGAGCCGATAAAGAACTTGAAGGACGAGCACATAAAAGAGATTGCAGAGTTTGCAGTGCAGTATAACAATTTGATATCTATCCGGTCGCTACAACTAGTAAAAGTGCAGAAAGGAAAAATCCAACAGGTAGCTGGAAAGAACTACTTGCTCATCGTGGCGGCGGTTACACCAGAAGAGGGACACATGGTGCATCTATATGAAACTCTTGTCCACGAGAGTATTTCTAATGCGAAGGAGCTAATACTTTTTAGACCATTTCGCGGATCAACACCAACCATAAAAAATTAGTAGCTTTTAGTTTTGTGTTTGTCAAATAAAAATGATTAATAATGGAGAGCTATAAGCTTATGTAATTATACATTTTGCTCTTGCAATTAATTTCGTAGTTTTGTTCTGATAATTGATAGAATACAACTATTGGCTTCTTCATTTACATTTATTTGATAATTGATATTTAGCAAAATGGTAACTATAGAGCAATCCCTTTTCATGCAATAAATATCTTTGAAAAGAGAAGCATAATGGGGGTGGGGGGGTGCGTTGCTCGATAATTGTAGGAATCAATGCTTAGAGTTTTTTTTTTTTGCCACGATATTGAAAGTCTTGAAATACCTACACAACACAAAATGGAACGAAACACACAGAAAGGAAGACCATAACACCTAAACCTCGTGCGGATAGCCCTCCATTGCATGCGACAGATCCTTTGCATTGGAAGATTATTTTTGACCATCTGAATGAACATTTGCGTATCATCAGAAAACAAAACACGAGAAAATAATAGATGTAAACACCGATGAAGAGCATCTTGGAAGGTAAGAGCTCTATGACGAATGGGTCATGAACTAAGTATGTAGGTGTGATTCTTATGTGCATTGGAAGATTATTCTTGTACGTACTGATGACAATGGGTTGGGGTGGGGCGGGTCGACCCATTCTTATATGCTATTTGAAAAAAATAAGCAAAATTCTAATGTTTACGATAAAACGAATGGGAAAAGACTTCATGAATGATTAATACTGATAAAATAATAGGTAATTGAGTATATTTAGTTAAAAGATAAAGTCTAACTAGTTAATCTTAACCTAGAATAGTCAAAATTGGAGATATATGAATGGATGGCGTAAGAAATTGACCTAAAAACGGGCCAAGAACGGGGCGGGACGGGGCAGGGCGAGTCGAAAGTTGATACTCATGTCCCGCCCCACGTTACTGCAAACACTGGCTTATTCATGTTCCTCATAAGGCATCTCACTTGGAGTACGAAGTACCGTATACTCCATATGTACGCCAGTCGAGCATATGCTAACCTTATCGCACGACTTACAAGGTGATGCTATTTAGACCTAGAATTAACTGGAATGTAAGGCATTATACAATCGAATAGTTATACGTTCTCCTCTACTAGGTGAAACCAATCCCTAATTCTCAAAACTCAAATCATAACATCAAAATTTTTAATAATATAATTGATGATTATGATTTGTCAAAGAGTACAATATGGGGATTACTGTGTTATCTAGGTTAAATTTGGGGGTTGGGATGAACATTCGGTTAGTTTGGCGCAAACCAAATCGAAATAACCAAAAACTAAACATAAGAGTCACTAAAACCCTTAACAAAATCTGAAACCAATAATAGTTTGGTTGTGAAATTTCGAACCAAATTTACTCGGTTCGATTTACCCCACAAAACCGAATCCAATTAATAGACACAAGGGTTATACAAGATTTTGATTTCACCCTCGTTTATCTACATTGGGTTTTCTTTCTTCCCCGGCGAGTACAGTGGCAATGGGGCGGGTTTGTATTAGGTTTCTCTAAACCATATACATCTTTATTTTCAAGTATCCAAACACATACCCACACCACACATATACGAAAAAGGTTTTGCAACCCCATACTTGTGGTTTTCGTGTACCAATGGGTAATAGGTGCCTCGTACATCCAACATTACTTACTTTAAATTCAAGATGTAGATCTTCAAGCATAAGAAAAACGATACATACAATACTATTCAAATCTTTCATCTTCGACTCTGATACATCTAGTAAGCAATAAATGAAATAGTGAAGGGAGAATCGAGGCAAAGAAATTAAGGTTTGATTTTGTTTGCTCGTTACTAATGAATCTCGAGTTTTGCTTCATTCTACTAGTCCATTTCCATTTCCATTTCCAAAATCAGTACTAGGCCTCCTTGTACCATAAATTTATATGAGAAAACAAACAGGCATAAAAAAGAATAAAAACAAAGGTCTAATAATTTCACATTAAACAATTTATAATCATTTGTGTCGTAAAACTTCCAAGATTGTCTCAAATCGTGATTCCCCCACCCTCCTCCCCTAAAATGGAAGGGAAAATATCCCTTTTCAAGTGTTGCAATTTATAATCACACACTTTCACTTTTCACTGCTTCCCGTGTGATATTTCTCAAGGTATATCATTACATATTACATAATATGGTATATAGCAAAATTTATCTAATCGAGAATTAGATTATATTATCCAGTTTTACCAAGTGTTTTTTTATTTCACTCTATAACTAAATCTATAATTAAGAACCCGTGCATGGCAAAAAAATGAGAATAATGGAAGAGTTCAATGTTTTGGTTAAGAAGATAACAATTATGCGAAAGAAGAGGAGAGTCAATAGCCGAAATAATACAAAGAAGAAAAAAAAAAGAGATATCGCCGTCAATATAGCATATCACTTGCCTAATCTATAAATAAACCATCATTACAATCATGTCTCATACTCATCATAGCCTATAAATACAAACCATAATTAATCTCTCCTGGCATTAAAAAAAAACAACTACATTACTACAACTACAACAACAACAAAATTCGAAATTTATCAAAGACAATGAGGCCAACTACGTTTCTTCTTGCCATCGCCACCATCGCAATCATCTTGTCCGGCGCCGGAGCAATCACCGGCGGATGGCAGCCGATAGAGAATGTAAACAATGAACATGTCAGGGAGATTGCTCAGTTTGCAGTGATGGCTCAAGACATGAGCTTCAAAGGTTTCCCGTTGAGGCTCGTGAGTGTGGTGAGAGGTTTTCACCAATATGTTGCCGGCATAAACTACAAGCTGATTGTGTCGGCGGCCACAATCGGCGGCGAGGGCACGAGGGCAAAGTATTACGAGGCAATTGTTTACGAGAATCTTTCCAATGTAAAGGAATTGGTATCTTTCAGGCCGTTGCTTACAGTTTAGAGTTGTTCGCGATTTAGATTTAAGAGTTGTCGTGAAAATAAGTAGTCTTTTGATTGTTAGTTTGTCAAATAAAAAGATTTGAATAATAATAATAGAGATCGTTTAGCTTATGAAAATGTTTGAGTTTGTCTTTGCAATTAACTTCATATTGTTTGTGTTTGATGTTAATTATACTCAACAAACTGAGATACCCTAAGTGATGACACCATGAGTTATGTTCTTGGCTTGCAAGTAGTGCAAGACTTTTGTTAGTCTTCTCTTTGGCCCAAATCAAGACTTAGAGTTCCCTTTCGATCACTACCCAATAATCATAAGCTGTAGCTGATTTGATATGAGCTGGGTTCGAGGGGGCTCGAACTCGCTTAACAATCAGAATACACGCAACACTCCGTTTTTGGGGGTTTTCTAGGGTTTTCTTCAAGAACGCTAAAAAAGTAAAGATAACGTGGAAATCGGTCATCGAACGATCCCGAACCTGTGGGAAAGGCCAATCGGTATAGTCGTCGCTCGTCACGACCAGATGTGATCGTCTGATTGATATATAAGAGCCTTGTACAATCATTTGGAATCCTCGACGGAGAGTTTGCACAGCCGTTCAAACTTGAACTAAAAAATCTTTCGATTTATTTGATAGATAAAACTTGGTTGATTCCCGCATACCATAGACCTCATCTCCTTATATAGGAGTAGCAAAATAACCCTAAAAACTCATGAAAACGACACTTGAGAACACTAATTAACAGCGTCAAACAGCCCGATCCCATCCCTCGCCATCTGAACTCCCCGATCGGGGGGTTTTGGTTTCATGACCGGGGGGCCGTCTTGACGTGATCTCCAGTCGGGGATTGCCCTCTGCTGGCCGAAGATGTGAGTTCTTCCTCCCAATTTGGCCTACGACCATGTTTCGACCCTCGAACAGCTCCAGCTCCTCCGTCGATAAGCTCTTGGGAAATTAGACCTTTCTCTTTGTCTTCCCGAGACTCTAGAGCTTTCATCTTCAGACCACGATCGTTGTATTTTCTTCGAACTCGAGAGACGTCATGTGGAGTGATCCGAGTTGCATCATGATTTCTCTCTCAAATAAGTATGTGGGTTCTCTGTGAGAGACTTAAGTTGAAAGCCATGAGAGATTATCATCCCACTAAACCTTGAAATATAGATAAAATTTCACGTCAAAATTCATAGCAAAGTTGATAAATAGAGTCACCCTCATTCATATTCACGACTTTGCCACTGTTCTACGCATTCTTTCTCTCCTCCCCTCCTCTTTTAACGTTATTTTCCCATCTGATTTGATAAAACGTTTGGGTTTCAGCACCTTTTACTTCTTACAAGGCTCCAACCCGAAATTTCTGCTACTTAACTTGGTTCTCAACGAGAATCAGATCTTTCTCTGAAAACTAGTAACAAAGCTAGCTAGCTAGGGAAACCTTGACCAACGAAAATGGTGGAATCTCATCTTTGGTCAGAAAAGGCAAAGAACAAAATGGAAGGTTGTTATGCGCGGTTGATCGACTGCCCTTAATTCTGCACATTTCCATCTTATAAAATTGGTTGCAAAATCCACAATCATTTATATTCTGTACAAAAGAGAGTAATCTTTGAAGAGAATAAAGGAGCATTATGGGTCATATACCAAGAAAGTTTTCACTTTGAACGGTTGTAACGATCTGAGACCCTACCAGCTATCCTTTCTAATTAGTTGATAAATTATTCAAGCAAGTTATGGGGTAGATCCAAGACATGGCCATGGCGAGCGGCAACAAGGCTGGGTTTCATCAAACAAACTCTGGAAGATAATCCGCTGATCAAGATCCAGCACATTGGTAGAATGAACAACTCCAAAGCTAGTTGGGTTGCTAGATCATGTGCAAAAAATCAATTGCCATCACAATGGCTTCAGATTCTTGATGTGGTTGCTCCCCTTTTGTCATGTTTGGCTTTTGCTTTCAATCAATGGAAATTCGATGTCCTTTGTCAAAAAAAAGTTATGGGGTAGATATATGACCTACTACTTGAGCATAATAATTGGTGATTCGAAATCTATCTTGGCTTTATGAGATTTGTGTAGTCAATAAAATGAAAATAATCTACCTATTGGGGGAAGGTGTTTTTTTGACCTTATAACCAATATTGTTTGGTCCTAACTCATTTGTAAAAGAAATCATCGAACTTCTTAGTGGATTTACAACGTAAGAGTGATGGTTTCGGATTTTTCGGTTTCTTTCAATAGTTAGTGGTATACTACTGAATGAGTTCTTCTACTATGCTCATAAATGTTGATGGTTTCCAAACTTGATCGTACGGGTATAGTTTTAATTTTTATCTTATTCTTGTGTGGATATGAATGTGAGTACGTAAAACCCCGTGAATTGTAAGTAGGATAATGAATATGAAGTATTCGTCCCAACCGGATCCATTGTCATCGCTAACCATAATTTGTAATGATGTTTGAACTCGTCGTAGATATATCATTCATTCTTACATGAACTTGGTACTTCACCAAAAGAAATATCATGAATTTCGCCAATTAAAACGAAGAAGAAATGAGAAGAAAGATAAACAAAAAATGACAAAAGAAAGGTTGATATAGTTAGACAAATATACTCGTATTAATCAACAGGAAAGAGTCGAGATTGCTTCTTTTCTCATTGTTACTTTATCGAATAGTCCCAAATACACTATGGAGCTTAGCATTTTATATCGAATCAGACTCGACTTCAGCAGAATTAGGAATGTGAACCCTAATTGCAAAAGTACTTTTTCCCCCCCTACAAGAAATCAGATTGTCCCAAACTAATATTAAAAAAGATAACACAACTTTCTGCATAGTACAAAAACGTCGTCATTCAGCTTGTTGTCTTGCTTGACATTTCCCCCCATATCTCTGAAACCGTCACCATCTCCTGCATATTTTCGGTATTTAATCAAATAATAACCAAGATTAGTAGGGAATTTGTTAAAAAATGATTTCTCTCTTAATTATTCCCTTTCGCCCATTACATTATGTATGATGTGACTGTATAATAAATTGGTTGAATTCTACAAATAACATCGTTCGGGACATTAGATCAAGGGTAATTTAGTTTCAAGTCATATATATCTATATCCTAATTATCGACGAACACACATAAAAATATCTTCTATTATCGAGAATCACAATTACAAATTATGCATTTTAATAAGTCAAATTGTTGTAAAATTTCAAATATGAAGCCTATTTAATTAATTATCTGATATATCAATGGGTTAGAGTTTTCTTGTGTAGTACTAATTAAAACACAATAATGTGCTTTGTCAAAATTTGAGTTTACTCATTAAAGATGGGTTTAGTAGGACACAACCATATTAAATCATTAAAAACTTTAAGGCAGCCGAACTTTTGGACTTTCAGCTAAAATAATAATAAACAATTATATGTTTTTAAAACCAAAAGAAATTCCAACCCTTATCCTCAAATGAAATAAATAAATTTAGTAGGGTCCTCCCAGCCCTAAAAAAATATTCGTTTTTTCGGTGCCTTAATTAAACAGGAATTCCCTTATTGGTCCACGAAGTAGTTCACTATTCTATCTCTCTCTGTAGCACATTTTCAACGATTTTACATTACTTCTTCTTCTGTTTGGGAATTGGGGACAGACGAAAGCCAGCCCACCTGCCTTTTATTTTACCTATATTTAAATTATTCTTTCAAATCTTATCCAGAAATCTTACCGGCCTTGTTACAATTATTTTTTTTCGTTGAATCTTGTTACAATTATTGTCTTCAGTGTCCATATTAAAAAAAAAAACGAATATATGTCATAAATGAACATATTTGTGAGGAAATTTTGATATTTTATCATGTTAGACGCATTTAATATAGGCTTTGATTCATGTTATTTTTTTACATATTTAGAAGAATAACATTATTATTGATGCATTAGATCATATAATAAATTAGCGTTATCTTTAGCTTATTTTTAACAAATATTTATGAAAAATACGAGACATGTTAAAACAAATTGAACTTCATCAAGACCCAAACAACAACTTCTTTGCATATTTTTTTAATGTTTTTCGCTTTGATCAATTTGCTTATAATTTTAATTAGTTATGGAACATTTTTAGTGTTGGATTTGTTATTAAACTTAAAAAATAAGGACAAACTAAAAGGGAGGGAAATCAGATTCCCTATATACCTGTCATTTGTGTCACAAAAGGGAGGAAAAAAAGATATTTGTTCGGTGCGGTGTCGTTTTGTGGTCAGAGCCCACCACTTGGCGCCGGTGAAGTGACAGTTAATTTTCTCGCCACAATTTCCTCCATTTTCTCGAGAAAATCCAACCTCCCAGCTTTCCCCGCCATAACTGTTTCCCTAGACCGCGTCGCCAAACAAAACAAAAGAGATTCGTCCAGGGGAGAATCCCCTACGTGGCGACCCATGATTGGTCTGTCGTCCGCTCCCTGCGTCACCGTCTCACAGTTGTAACGAACACGCAATCCAAGATGATGGATTTACGCGGGCAGTTGGCTCGCTCTACTTATTAAGCAAACCCAGCTGGGCGTCGAGAGGTTTGTGAAGTTAAAGAAACATTTCGCCCCGAATTTTCCCCTTTCGCCTTCAAAGATTGAAACTTTATCTCGTCTAATTCAAAGATTCCCCTATATTTCCACTACCCAGATTCTCAATTTTGATTTTTGTGTAATATAAAGCAAAAGATTCAATTTTTGGGGGAATTACTTTGCTGCTGTTGGGTGGGGGTTTTAGGGCTATAAATTCAGAGCAATCCCCTCGCAGATCTTTACCGGGTCATCTTCATTTTTTCTTCTTCTTGCTTCTGTAGTTGGGTTTTTCTTTTCCCCCGCTAGAATTGATTCTCTGTAGCTGTGAATTACCCAACGAAATGGCAATCAAGACAAATGGGTTCATCGATGGGATCTTCCCAGAGGAGCTGAAGAGAGTGCTGCAATCTCTGGCCATGGAATGGGGAGATGTGGTGGAAGACATGAAAGCCTTGCAGGTGATACCAATGAAAGGTGCGATGACTAATGAGGTTTACCAGGTAAACTGGCCGACTAAAGGAGGAGGGGAAGGAATCCACAGGAAGCTGTTGATTAGAATCTATGGCGAAGGGGTTGATCTGTTCTTCAATAGGGATGATGAAGTCAGGACGTTTGAGTGTATGTCTAACCATGGTCAGGGACCTAGGCTTCTTGGCAGGTTCCCTGAAGGCAGGGTTGAAGAGTTCATCCATGCTAGGGTAAGGTTAATGATGATCAAAATTGAACTCTGTTCTTTTCACCCATCAATAGTTCAATTCCCTAATTGAATCCTTTACCTTGACTTTTTTTTTGCTGAATTCCCCAATTTGGACTTATGCAGACACTTTCAGCTGCTGATCTAAGGGACCCTGAGACTTCTGCTCTGATAGCAGCAAAGATGAGGGAGTTTCACAATCTGGAGATGCCTGGCTCAAAGACTGTGTCACTTTGGAACAAAATGAGGTACTGAAATGTTCAGAAAAAAGGAGAAGTTTGTGGGGGGGATCATGACTGTTCCTTTTTTGGTTTTTTGCTTTGTCTAACTTGTGGTTCTGTTGGACTCTTCTTTTCAAGGGATTTGTTGGGTGAGGCTAGAAGCTTGTGCACTGCGAGAGATGCTAAAGAGTTTCGCTTGGATGTTCTGGAAGATGAGATCAATATGCTGGAGAAGGAGATCTCAAAAGGGTGCCATCAGATTGGATTCTGTCACAATGATCTGCAATATGGCAATATAATGATCGATGAAGAAACCAAGGCTATCACTTTGATTGTAAGTTCATTGCACCTTTCTTTCTCTCATGACTTGTTCATCAATTTACGTTACTGTTGTGTTTTGAGCTGTGATTTCTCTTGGTTTCCCAGATGTTGAATGAACCATAACACCATTGATGGACCATATCTGTGTTTAATTGATCTCTAATTTAAGTAGTTTAAGTAGGAAAGAAACAAAGACAACTTCTTTTGTACTTAATCTGAATTTCCTGCTTATAGCCATATTTAACAGTTCCAAATGGGTCATGTGCATGAATGTTTTGCTTGATTACTGACCAAATCCCAAGAAGAACTGTGTTGGATATGTTATAATTCTGATTAATCAACTCCTATTTTGTTTTCAACATGTTCAAAGTGGTCTGTGTGCATATGCATGTTTGTTACTGGTGACGATTGTTTATTTTTTGTTAAAACTGTTGCAGCTCTGAAATTAATTTCCAACCCAAAACAATGAGAACCCAATGAAAAGGTCCTTCCTTTTCTGAGGTATTTCTCCTTCGAGGAAAGGTTCGGTTTGGCTTAATAACTAAAAAAATGGATTTCAGTATATATATATACTTGTTTCTTATAATCTCCTTCATTCCAACCCTTTGCAGGATTACGAGTATGCAAGCTACAACCACATTGCTTATGACCTGGCAAATCACTTCTGCGAAATGGCTGCGAATTACCATTCTGATACTCCACACATCGTGGATTTCAGCAAATACCCAGGTAATCTACCTAACTCAACTCGATCTCTTCCCTTCATGAACATTTTTGTCCATCTACTCTGGTTGCTCAATCCCAGCGCATCATTTCTTGTACCAGGACACGAAGAGCGCTGCAGATTCATCCGTGCTTACCTGAGCTCGTCTGGAGACAAGCCAACGGAAGATGAAGTGTTGCAACTAGCTCAGGCTGTAGAAAACTATAAGCTTGCAAACCATCTTTTCTGGGGGCTATGGGGCATAATTTCGGTACTATATTACACTTCCAACTTGTTCAGCCAAGTCCCTTCCTTTTGTAACACACACAGCCGAATTGAGTTGACATTTCCATTCTATGTTATATTTGCTTGCAGAGATACGTGAATCAAATCGATTTCGACTATCTGGAGTATGCGAGGCAGAGATTGCAGCAGTACTGGAAGATTAAGCCAATGCTTCTTCTGGATTCATCGGTTAATTCATGTGATAGCAATGGATATGCAGGAGTTGGAACAAGGGAAGGGGCTTAAATAAAAAGATTCTGTTTTGATTGGAAATTTGTATAAAAAGAAATGTGTTGGAGAAATGGAGAAGTTAGGGTTCATTAGTTTTTGAACTCAATTATAGACTTCAGAGTGTGTATCCTACTTGATAGTGTAACATATATATAGTTAATCCTTGGTAATAAGAAGTTCGATGTTTACAGAGTATTTCGATTCGGAGCAAATGTGCATTTGATCTAATTTACTACGAGAATCGACTTGGGTTGTTTGTTCGATAGCTAATGTCCCCAACAAGAAAACTAATTTCTGATGCACCAAAATAGAGTAAAATGAAGTATTATTAGCACGACAAATTTGAAAAATACACTAAAAAGGATGCCTTTATTTCACTTTTGACAATATTCTCCTACAATTACATCACTCGACGAGGTACAAAACAGAGTAGCATGCATTTGAGATAACGGGTTTGAATGATTTCCCCATAAATATACACTTGCTGCAACTTCGCTAAACTTATTCACGAAATCTTGGCCAAGGATCGTAGAGCATCAACAATGGAACCAATCAATGCGTGAGAGCCCTTGGTAGCAGAGAAGGTCAGATGCTTTGGAGCTTCAGCACGATCGAAGTAGAATGCACCAGATGTCAACTTCTCTTTTGGCTGCAAAGCTAACCAAACAACAGTGTCTGCACCTTCTTCCTTCGTTCTTAACTTCCCAGCAAACCTGAAAGAAGAAATCATCAGGTGGAGCAGATAACTGGATGACCCACAGCTGAGATCATATCATATGAGTAGATTAATTATTTACCTTTCATTGAAACTAGGCAAGCTCTTGGCAACTCCAGGGGTCTCAGCCCAACCAGGATGCATCGAGTAAAATGATATTCCTTTGTCCTTGTACATTTCTGCCCAGTTTTCGGTTAATGCCACCTGAAGAACAAGTCAGTGCTTCAGGATCATGACTATAGAACTTTAGTCATCCCGCTCACAAAAGTGCTAATTTGGAGACATGAAAGCGAAAAGTCAGTGCTTGCTAACCTGAGCTCGCTTGTTTCGAGCATACTGTGCTACTCCGTCGAAGTTTCCATCTGAAAACTGCATCAGAACATAATGTGTAGTTTGTTTAATGGCAACTCGTGGCGAAACCATAGCATGGGTACATGAGTTTTTAGAAGAAAATCAACCTGGAGATCAGTGGTCAAGGGAGTAGTGTACATTCCCCCGGAGGAAACTGTTATTACGCGAGAATCAGGTGCAGCTTTCTCCAACATGGGCCGCATGAGTTCAGTCATGGTGTAAGTGCCCAACACATTCACAGCAAAATTCAGTTCAAATCTGCATGGAAGATCATGATACTGAAAATTATAAGAGACGGTCTTCTTTGTATCGTTTAATGATTTTAGATTTACTGGGAAAGGAGAGATTCACCCTTCAGAGGTTGTGATCTTGCTATTCTCCAGCAAACCAGCATTGTTGACCTTAAAGGTAACAAAGTATCCAGATTAGTCAATAGACAGACTTGCACTTCGCTATTAGCTTCTAAAACATTTCCTCGGTAGTAAATGAAGAGTAGAGCTATATACCAACACATGAACAGGTACTTCCTTGGAAGAAAATCTGGCTGCGAAAGACTTGATATCGTTGACCGATGAAAGGTCACAAACCTGCGAGCTAAATGTAATAAGCAAACTTGAGAAATACAGCACTGTCACCAATTTGCATGTTTTCAAGCATGGAAAAGCTTGAACTTTCACTTAGGAAATGACTCGTCAAGGAATCTAGGGTAGAGCTTCATGCGCAATAAGCATATAACTGAAGCAAGACTGCTTCAGCAAACTACAAAAGCTCATTGCAGAATCATTCCATCAATGTTACCATTGACATATGGTATTCCCATTCAACATCTTTAAACGATAATGTCAATTGCAAACTCGTGGGCGAATTCTAATATTCATGCTAATGAAGCTCATGACCACACTCAGGTTGATGTACAAGCACAACATTGGGTGGCCATCATTCACTTCATAGTTCATAGTACACAATGCACACACAAACATACCTCCAAATGAACATTTGGGTTCCCTGTGGAAGATCGGATTTCGGAAAGTGCAGCTTCCCCTCTCTCCTTGTTTCGGCAAACCATGTAGACAGTCCCCCCACTGGAAATAGAAGACATCAGTAAGATCAAAACTGACACAAATTTTCAAATGTATCAAGCAGATTAACAGAAAGAGGCTGGAATCTAGATAGTCCTACCGTGAAGCAAGCCCTTCAGCAGTGGCATAGCCAATCCCGGAATTCGCTCCTGTTACTACACAGTTCTTCCCATCAATTCTCTTCTCCATATCCTCGGGCTTGAACTGCTTTGCATGCTCCCTTGAACAAATCACAAATTTGGGAGATACCCAATTCCCATTAAACTAAATTCGCTAGAGAGAATGAGAAAATTTCAATTCCAGCTCAGACCCCAATTGGACTAGAAGGAAAAGACCAAAACTTTGGGGGATTGAAACTCAGAACCCATAATCCCATTTCTAACTTTCGACATGGGAATCGAAGTACAGTAGAAAGAAATGGAGGTAAAAATGAAGGGAGGAAGTGGACTTACAGGAAAGCGGACTTGGTGAAGTTCATGTACCCAAAAACACCGAAAGCGGTTTGTCTCCATGTCTGCGCAGAAACAATGAGCAGCGGCCCCAAGCCATTAACGAATGGAAGGGTCAAGGAAGCGAAGAGAGGAATTGGAAAGTGCGGTTACCTTGAGAAGGAACATGGTCGATTGGTAGAGCAACGGAGTTGTGTGAGTGAGATAGAGATCAATGGAATTTGAAGTTGAAGTTGGACAAAAGGATGGGGGAAGGCAGGAAGGATCCGCCGTTACAGAATCGACATAAGTTAATTGATGGGTAAATGGGTTGGATTTTAACGTACGCGCCAACTCATTGGGGCCACGTTGTAGATCGTTCTACCACAAATCTCCTAAGTACAAACTTCACCTTTTTTCTTTTCATTGATTTTGTAGTTAATGGCCTCCATAGAACTGTTGAAGTTCTAAGACAGTTAAATCAGTTATTATGGTTTCCTTGAAGTCAACTTTTCAGCTCCGGAAGAAATAGACAATGCAACATATTATTAAGATTTTTCGAAGTTCGTCTTCGTGTTTGCAAAATTAAGAACTTCCCGTTGAGGAATCATTTCATTTTTTTTTTTTATGAATTTGAGAAATTAAATTAAAGAGGAGAGAAGATAGTACAAAGGAAACAAAGTTCAGCAGGGCTGAACCTGAAAAACAACTAGAAAAAAAAAGACAAAAATGAGAACCCAGAAAGCGACTGAGAAGTGATCGCCAGGCATCAAAAGACTCAAAGAACATCGAAACAGAAAGCCTTGCGATCAACACTCAAGAAAGACATGATCCATTTCTAATAACAGAAATGATGAACCATTTCTATTATTAGAGAGCTATAAAATTTCACCACAAAATCGAAAATTTGCATGCGACACATGTTGAATTCACAAAAGAATGTTTATTAGATACACCTGAAAATATTTATGTAAACATGTTGAATCTTTTTCAGATAAGATATTGTCCATTTTGAACATAGGCCTTCACGAATTTTTTTATATACAAGAACTTCATTACGAATTTTTTTATATACAAGAACTTCATTTCACCCCAAAACATGTCTCTTCTGTTAAAATCGATTTGTTACTTATGAACCATGAATCTCGCTTACCAACAACTCAAGTGTAGATTTCAAAGAGTATAATTTACAGCTTCAGACTTCCATATCAACATATAACTAGCAAGAGGAGTTCATTCATCTAAAATTTCGAAGAACAAAATAAAAGAGACACATTTACACGTGTACACGTCCCGGGGAAGAACAGTAGTAACAACGAAGACCTTCCATGCTCTTTTATTCACTAAAATTTACTATCTACCCATCTTCTGTACATACTTTCACCTAGATGTAAGAAGAAAAAACCATAGCTCTAGGGGAGTCAAAAAGTAAAAAAAGAAAAGCCCTTCACAGAACTGCAACAAATTACCCAATATGAAGAAACAAATGAACCAGTGACATCATTACTCGTGTAAATCTGGTACTGCTGTTGAATGATCAGTAGGCTGAATGCTTCCTCAGTCGTTTGATCAATGTGGACAGAGACGTGAGCGCATTGTAGCGGCTCGTTCTTTTGTTGCATCTCAGGTGCGTCGCGAATCGCGATCATTCGATTGCAAATCAAACGACTCAGGAGGCATAAGCACAGTAATTACACCTCCATCATTCAGTAGGATAGCCGGAGTGTACTTGGTGGGTGGCATAACATGTGTGTATGAATTGGCAAGCGGCGAGCTTTCTCTTCCCAGCTACTCAGCTATTGCTGCCTAATAGGGTAGTGTGTATATGGTTTCGGTCTCTCAATCTCCCAAACTGAAGTTTCCTGCATCAGATTGTTTTATTCTCTGACAACTTAGACAGACTGTGTAGGAAATGGCAGTACATAAGAGATGGAGCAAAAGACAGAAATCCAGAGCTTTACCTCGTCGAGTTGCAAGTAGCTCATTCCGATATCGATCCCAATCTCCACTTCCTCGTTCTCAATCTCTGCGTCGGTGATGGTGAGCGCACGTTGTAGCTTCTTGGGACAGAACACCTCGACCTCCACCATGTATGTGGCAGTCACTGGTCGATGGTCGGAGAACTTTAGCTCGGTTCTCCTGTAGTTCAGGAGCCTGAATCCTTTCCCACGAGAAAGAATGCGGTCACACCTGAAAAATCATATATTCCTCAGTTTATTGGCAGTGTACTACAACCAAATGTGCGACACAAAATTTGAAGGAGTTCTGTATTACCATGCAGGAGTACGCCTCCCAACCTTTGGATCCTCTCCATAGTATCTATCCGAGTTGAGTTCGTACTTGTATGTTGGTGGAAAGACTAGTTTACCTTCTCGCCATCCATCAAATGCACGGCCTTTTCTAAGTTCTTTTGTGAGCTGCCATGAAAGATGGGCCGAGTTCATATGGACGTAAGTAACTCAGAATCCGATACCCTTTTCTTGGTAAAATATACCATTTTTCTTTTATTTAATGAAATGCTTATTACCTGGTCGTATTCAGCTAGATTTGACCACTCCTTTCTGGCTATGAGTTCACGTGTTTTATCGTACGACAAATTGATACGGTAATTCAGATCGCCCAACCATATAATTCTTCTGCAAAAGATACAATATATTCACATCAGAAATGTTAAACAGACACCAATGTCTTGATTCTTTCCTCACTCCCATGTCATATGTTATGGAAGCAGATTAAGAAAGAGATGGTTGATTAAACATAAAGGTGCTCCAGCATATGATCCCAGTATTCTAACATGACATTAAGCAAACAGAACACTCTGCAGTATCATCATTAGATGCAGGTATACTCACTCGTGATCCTTGATGCTTTTAGGAAGCCCAATCCCTGAAATGGAATGGAAATGTGTTCTTCTATGTATTTCATACACATCAGCATTTCTTTTGAGCTCATCCCCATCCTTTTCGCCAGAAGTCAGGTGGGAACAAACAAAGCAGAAAGGCGTCTGGTATACAGACATGCTCACTGATATTGATCCCTGCATGATTGAATAAGAACAGTCAAGATTTCCGGGGAAAATATCATAAAGCACAATGCATAATAAAAAATAATAAGTTCATCAATAAACAATGACTATACAGGAGAAGAAATTCTGGCAAGTTTTCAAGGCAAGAGAGGAACTGACCTTGTTGCCAATATAGCCCATAACACCAACACCGACTGTCGAAACCTTGACATTCTGAATATGCTTGCGTAAGCTCCTACGAACCCAAATAGTGACGAACACTCCAACCATTTGCTTACTAACTATCCTCACATAAGAAGATCTTCTCTTACGTTTCAAGAGCGATTCCAGGTCAATCTCAGTGAGCAAAGCCAACCCTGATTGCATATCATTTGACACGGACTTAAAAGAGTTGTATCTTCCAAAGGACTTGGTTGCAGTAAACGTTTTTATTGATTTGAAGGAGCCTGGTCTCTGTAAACTATGTTGAGACAGCAGGTTCAATGGTTGCTCAGGCCAACTCAAACCAATCCTTTCAGAACCACTTAGCACTCTAGTCAATATTCTACATTGTTGTTGTTGGTTTACCCCAGATTCCTCTAAATTTTCTGGTGATTCATCCTCGTTGCGAATGCAATTCATTCGATCTAATCTCCTTCGAGAAGTTTGCCTCTCCAGGTCCACTTCTTCATGTATGGTACCCATGTGCCCATCACCAAAGCGTAACTTATCTTTTGTTTCATCAATACCATAGGAATCATCATCCAAAGGATGAACTTCCTCTCCAATATCACTATCGCTTTCGAGTATAAGCTCTTCTTCAACACCTAGAACCTCATCAGATGGATAAAATTTTGATGGAGATGCTGGATCACTATAGCATTTAACCTTTGTCTTCATCGGTCTAATTCTGTTTAGAGTGTCCCGTACAATATTTTCCCACTTAGGGACTGGCCTATTATCTTCAGCGCCAAAGATATTCCCAGCATTCAATGGTACAATTTCCTGAAGCCTGAGAGAGAGTAAAGCAACACCTTATATGATGAGATATAAAGAAAGGAATCTTATGTTTCAGAAGGTAAGAACACAATACATCTAGTAGAATTGCCTCGAGGGACCGCTGGTAGCTTGAATGTAAACTATCATTCAAGGGAACAGATTCCAACACTTATCTACGCACAAGCTAAAAGATCAGAAGCAATACAAATACAAATCCAGGAAAAAAGAAGCAACTAACCCGAGTACATATATATCTGCAGGGTCATGAGTATTAACCCAATCATCGATATCCAGGTCATCTGGTGGTAATTTGCCTCCAACGTTCCATGTAGCAACTCGTACTCTGCCACCGGAAAGATACAACATCAACCACTAAACTTAGAAACAGAAAGACTTAAAAACCATTTTCGGACTTTAATGTGCTTCAATCTTTGTATTGCCATGTTTAAAAGGAAAGAGAAACTGGACCTGAGCTCCTTTGTATTTATGTACTGTGCCCTGAAAGTCTCTGACTTCCGTCTCCTTGACCTTGGAAGTGCATCTGTATATGCAAATACAATGATTTTTGAACATACTCAAGTCAAGTAAACCCCAGAATATGGAAGTCAGAAACTGAAACAAAAACCCTGGTTCTAATGTCGACATATTGACAATTCAGAAGTAGATAAAGCAGGAGACTTTCTGATTTCTCATGTGTTCTCACAGCAGTTTGCAGTACACGCAACAAAAAAACTTGATCACTAGGCCCAGAAACAAAGCATCAAAGTGACCAATCCAAGCCATCATAAATTTTGATGAGCAAATGGCTTTAACTTTTTACCCTAATTACATCAAAACATGATCTAACCACAATTCTAACCCCAAATCCCTGCAACTACTATGTTCTCAGTAAACAAATGAGATAAAGAAACAGGAAATAGGCCCGGCCACTCCGGCTAATACAAATCCTTCAATCTCCTGAAAGTGCCACCCACGTCTCCAACTATACAAATGATCCATTAAAATAGTGATAATGGTTCATTAACTAACGCCAACTTTACATAATTCCACGTGCTAGTCAAGACCCAAAACATTCCCTAATAGTTATGGAGCTCGGTCTAACTCCTAATTCACCATGGCAGAACCAGTTCTTGATCCGATCATTCAATTCCCCAGAAAAAAAAAGTTCTACATAGGTAAAACCCTTACAGTTTCAACTGTAAATCCTATCGGATTACGGATTGATAATTTCTATAAGCTGCAGCAATTGTTGACTGAAACAGACCCATGTACAGTTTCAGATAGCTGCCCTTGATGCACCAATTAGGTTGAAAGATAAAGAGTAAACAATTACCAGATGACGCCAACAACCAACTACTCTTTCTACCTTAAAATTAGCAGTCAAAGGAAGCACCCAATAAAAAAAGAAGTAGGAAACGAGTGAAAAGAAACAAAATGGGCAGGAAGGTAAAAAGGCTAGAATTGGAATTGTGGAAGCATACCGCTGGGATCGATCTGTGCGTCGCCTTCTCTGTTGTCCCGTCCAAACCTCGATGCGGCTCTGCTTCTTCCTTGACCAATCTCTGCGAATCGAGAACCAGCAATGAAACAACAACAAAAATGGGAGGCGGCGATTGATTCACGGGCCGGTGGAAAGGAAAATGGAGGGTTTACCTTCGGAATCGGAAGGAGGATCGGAATCGGAGCCGGAGCCGGAATCGGAGTCGGAGTCGGCGCTGTAATCGGAATCCTTGGCGGTGATGTTGAGTAGCTTGCGGACGACGACCCGCGGCCAGAAGAGCTGTAGGCACCAACAAGCGAAACAACTAGACGGTTCAGGTCTACTTCTCTGCCCGTAATTCCAATCTCAGTTCCAGAACTCCATGGAAACGAAAAACAGGAATAGAAAGAGGGAGAGACGAAGGAAGAAGAAGGGAGAAGAGTGGAAGTGGTGAAATTACCTCCGGGGCTTGTTTGGAGCGAGGCTTCATTACTACAGCAGCGGCATCAACTGATGAGGAAGAAGAGAGTTTACGCTTAGTTTTCATTTTTCGAGTGTGACAATGGAAGCGTTGGATTTTGCTATTTTGGCTGTGAATCTGGATTTGGTAAAGCTAAGGTTGGAAGGTAGGCCAGAGTTGCAGAGAGAATGGAGCCAAGAAGAAGCAGAAGAAGAAGAAGAAGAAATAAATGGGGAAAGCTGGAACGAGGAAGATTTGGTACGAACAGTTTAAACTTTAAAGACGGTATCCCAGCAAAAAAAATTTGACTGCCGACTTGCTTGCTTCTTTGGCAATCAAATTAAAATCTTACCGAATTAACCAAACAAATGATGATGATTTACTTAAAGTACCATAGACGTGCTAAAATATACGAATGATGCTTTTTAACGAGTTGTTGTCTCTGTACATATCGATCGATACGAGATCGACAAGTTAAAGATGAAGAATTTACAGTCAAATTTATAAAAAGATTTCGTACAGGAAAATTGCTCCAATCGAATTTTCGTCAAATTCGACATATCTAATTTGGTGAGTTTAAACTTATATTATCCAGTTTGATCGTACTTTTTCTGATCTCTTCGACAACGTTTTAGAAAACCCTGTCGTACCGATCGCTTCGACCAGCAATACGAGATACAGAACCTCAAGCGATAGACAACTTTATAGATATAAAACAGTTGAACCACGATTTTGACACAAATAACCCTATCACTAATTTTTCCGCTCGGTATGATTTTATGGAATGCATCATTGCTTCCAAACAAATTCATTTTTGTGAGTGACCAACCGAGAAATACTGAAACTAGGACCATATAGTACATATTCACTAGGATAAAGGTCCAAATTGTAATTTGCCTTTCTTCTGCAATCTGGGCCCCGGCCCGTAGTTATTTCTCGCGTTTATTCCCGTAAAATCCATGATTGATTGGTTGCCGCGTAATGGACGGCAGATTCGGGCCCATCTAAAAAACCGGTCCCACGTAGTCACGGCAGTATACTGTTTTCGCCAAAACGATGCTTATACACCTGTCCAGATCGGAAGCCGCTGACAGCTAACAGTTTATTCTTCACCCTCCCAACCGTCCAATACAGATAAAATACAGCGGCGGCTGCGAGGGGAAGAGCCGCCGCCGGGACCGCCGCCGGCCGTGGCAGCCAAAGGAGACGTGACGACAAACCACACGTTTTCACTCGCCAAATAACATAAAGGTAAAAGCTGCTTTCCCCCTTAAAATAGAGGGTTGCCTTGAGAAATTTCCAAATGAACTGACGAAGGAAGCACTCGCCGGCGATTAATGATAAATATGTTTTTTTCCCACCTGAGTGGGGCCTCGTTAATCACGAGATTATGCTAAATGATAATTATTAATTAATAATCATTAGTGATGATATTAAGTGAAAAAGGGGCAAAGCAAAGCAATGCCTCGGAAAGTTGTTATTTACAAATAATATATCACTTTAATTTGTTAACTTTTAGCTTAATGGAATTGGAATATGCGAAGTTGTAAAGTTTTGGAATGTATCCATAAATTCCATGTCATGTCTTTCTCTAATATAATTAATTATTGAAAGCGGAGAAATGCGTTATTTCTTAAATAAAGTATGTTCTCTTTTCATTTTCTAAAGGGGAAAAAATATATATACAAATTAAACCTTAAAATTGGATTCAATAGTTCATACTTTATAGAAGCAATCAGGCCTTTTTATCAGCCATTGCATTGCATGGGTTCTTTTTCCTCTCACTATAGTTAACACGATGCTAATCCCTTTATAGGGTTAGACCTTAGAATATTATTTGATCATGGTTTCTAAGCATGTTGGCCTAAATTGCCCCGATATTAATATTTGCCTCGAGTCATCCTCTCTTCTAACACTTACTTTCTTCGAGCGGGAAAACACAACACGTGTCTCTACACAAACTTGCTCGGGACCTTACCAGGTAGCGTCCCTTGCCCTTATGATCGAGCTCCTGAGCACCTACAGCTCAACTCCATTGTCGAAGACACTCATTCTATTGGCGAGAGACGACCTGGAGTACTAAGGAAATCCTCTGGAGCTCGAGTCTATTGCTCGAAATAATTTTTGTTTAATTTAAATTTATGAGTTTGAGCTTTTTCGCAACGGTAACTTTGATTTGTCGGTCTTTAAGTAACATAACCTCGAGACTTTCTTCATGGGAAAAAAAGAAGTTATGATCCATATATAAATTGTTTTGGACATGAATGTTATTTTCTTTATCTAACATTGTACCTAATTTGTTTCCTATTTTTCAAATTTTTTTTGATAAAGTTGTATAATACTCAATTAAATTTTGTAGTTGGAGTATAGATACCGTTTGTCGACCATTCGATGGACACGTCATTTTCCCTAAACACTATTAGATCAAACGATATTCCCCCACCGCCATGGCCACATGCTCGCTTAGCTTGGTCAATGCATGAACCCGAAAAATCTAATAAAAAAAAAAACTTTATTCCTTTTTTTTATCTTTGTACTTATTATCACTCTTTTCTTTTAATTATTGTAATCATAACCAATTGATGACAGAATATTCATTATCCTTCCAAGTCGCAAGCCAAATTTTATTAGTTGATTGGAAAAAAATAAACATTAAATCATAGAAAATAAACAAAACCCATATGCTGCTAATCTAATAATTTGGCAACATATTTTAATTTAAAATCATTGATAAATGATAAGAGAATATTTCCCAACTCAACATTCGTATAATTCAAGGGAGGGGTTACGGTGCTAATTGTACAATAGTTAGCACCGTACTAACTAAGGGAAAAACTACTACTAGTTTGAATCAGTAGTGATTTAGCTTAGATGTTAAAATATTAAAATTGCCCGCCGAATATTATAATGAATTAATTAACAATTCCGGAGCGTTTCTTTCTTTTTCTTTTTGTTGTTTCTCAATGATTGGCCGGAAATAATTTTTGGTTGAATAATTTACAGAAAACCGATAATAATAATAAAAAAAAAACTCCTCCATAGATTCTGTCAGTCGGTCTCTACTGTACCAGGCAACCAGCTGTTCTCACATAAATGGGAATAGAAGACTATATAGTGAAGCCAATCTTTCTAGTTAGTTCCAGTTATTGCCACATCGACACGTGTCAGGCTTCCATCCTACCCACTAGTTCTTATTAGGGGTGGCTATACGATCCGGTCCGGTCTGCTCTTTTGGAAAATATAAGGACCAAAGATTGGATTGAATACAGTCCGGTCTTGATCCGGTCCGGTACCAATTCGGTCTTGATTTTATATTGAGCTTGTGGGGATTTGAGTGGCCTAAACCCTGAAAGGGTGAGGAGTTGTTAAGTTTTGTACTAAGTGCAAAGGTTTGTGACCGTTTATGCAAATTACCCTTAAGCTTTGGGTGTTGAGCTCTCTTATCCGATCTTATCCAGTTTTTGATCCGGTCCCGAACGGTTTTTTACCTCAAATTTAAGCCCAAATATTGGATTGGATTGTTTACTATTCGGTCCCGATCCGGTCTCGGTCCGGGTTATACGGTTCGGTTTCGGATAAAACCAAAAAATCCGGACCAAATAGCCAACCCTAGTTCTTATCACATACCCAAAAAAAAAAAAAACAAATGATGAATATGCTCTGTTCATTTCTTATCTAAACCAAGGGGTCATTTTTGGAAAGAAAGAAAAAAACACTGTTCCTTCTTGCAAAGAGAATGGAAGTTTCAAAAAGGGAGAGAGCATCCAATGCAAGTACAAATTAGTGGTGGATAATCATAATCATTTTTTTTGGTGAAAAGGATAATCATAATCATATATGTATGCGAATAAAGATTTGATTTCAATCTAGAGGTCTTAAGTTTAAATACATAATATCAAATATGAATTATCTTATCCTTATTAAAAAATTACCAATTCAGCATTACCAATTCAGTAGTTAATTGAATCGAACGAAGGGAGAAAAAGGAAGAGAGAGAAATCAGGATGAAGCAAAAAGATTAACGGACAACAAATTATGAAACCATACCTTTTCTCGTCTTCCTTCCCATACTCGTATTTGTGTGAGCGAATGATATGAGATTCATCGACTTCATGAAGCCGCCGCGATCTGTGGTTTTCCTTAACGACGAATCTAGTAATAAGATCGGAGGAGCTGAGAAGAAAAGTGATGAGAAGAAGGCGAGGTTACTGATTTTAGAGCGGCGGCGGCGCCGTCGTTATATAAAAAGGTCAAGTTTGCGTTTTCTGACGCTACATACCTTGGAATAGAGTGGGTTGACTCGGTGGTACGGTGACTGAGTAGTCGGCTGTCTGGTGGAGGAAGGGGGAAGAAGGCCTGACGGGTCGCTTTTCTTCAGCTTAATTCGTCCCTTTTTAATGGCTGCCGCCGCGCGCGTCGGTGATAAATACAAGGATGGCAATCAGGCAATGGAATGGAAGTGGAACCACCCACCAGGATGTAATTACAGAAAACACCCCTACCTTCGAGCTCCAATGGTGATGCCCCACGTGGTGCAGTGGCGGATACATAGGCCTTTAGGGGTGTCCCGGAACACCCCTAAAATTTGGGAAAACGATTATCCAATTATCGGTAGTAGTTTCGTAAGGATAAAAAAAAATTATAATTGGTAATCTGGAACACCCTTAAATTTTGAAAAACGATTATCCTGTCATCGGTAGTAGTTTGCGTATGGTTAAAAATATATAAGTAGTACTCTGTGTTATTCAAACCTAGGACACTACTACTATTAAACATATTCTCTAGGTTGCAACTCATTTGTTGTTTTATTTTAAACACTGTGTTATAGTAATAATACTATTCTTTATTCCCAATTATTTTCAAAACCTAACAATTAAACTCATTCGAGTTATCCTTAATTTGAATTGATTTTATAGGTATAATGCAAGAGTTGAAAGAGTCTTTCAAGTTTGAGTTACATCAGGAACAATGTTAGAAATTGAATATGCGATCAGTTCGGGAAATTATTGTCTAATATGGTATATTTGCACTAATCAAATATTTTTTTGATTTATGAATTATTTAATTAAATTTTTAATTAAATTTAATTTTTGGAATAGGACACCCCTATAAAAAATTCCTGAATCCGCCACTGCCCACGTGGCCTCCCTGGTGAACTCTAACCCAACATCCACTCTGGACATCATAAGTGATGATATCCATTAAAATATCAATATTATTCAGATGACTCATAAAATGAGGTTAAAATTCTTCGTTATATTTACTGTGACATGACTTTGTGTACGTAGTAAGTATGCTTACTACAAATCAAGTGACAATCACAAATCAAGAGGTAACTTTCTGCAGGAATTATCAGTAACGACTGAATGAATCATATCAAGACTGGAGTAAGGTTTATAGGTTATAATACTCAGCAATATATGACGTTCCTTAAAACTACAAATGTATACTCAACTAGTAAGTCCGACTATCTTCCTCATTCCTGCAAAATAGATCCCTCCGCGTATCTAGCTAGAACCGTTTGATTGTTTGAGTACTGTCTTTGTTATGTCATCGACGAGTGAGTTGAGAATCCATCCAATGATGCGTTGGTGTTGTTCGATCTGGTCCCAGCTGTTGTAGAACCCTAGCTAGATGCGAGAAATCTGGCATATATATATGTAAGATGCCTTTGGTGAAAGTCCGTTTTCTTTTTGTCTTCGGGACAATTTCCACGGCCGAATCTATAGATGGTAATTGTTACCATCAAGTTTGATAAGGATTATGTGTTCCGAGTGACGACTCACGTATGTGTTTATATAAAATATAACAATAATATTAGTCATTCTTCTTGCTCACCGTCACCGAGGAGGCTATGAAGCTCACTCCTCCTGGTGTTCAGATTCAGTATCACAGAATGTCTCGGTTTCTCCCTCCATTTGTATTCGAAACGAAGATAAAATTATCAAAGATAATATAAAAATGAAAAGGTCATGTCTACAAAGCTCTGATACTATCTGAAATTTAAGAGTTATTCAACACGATTCAACTCTATTCAGTTCAAATGGCTCGATTCTTGGGAGATGGGGCCCTAAGCTCAAAATTTAAAAGAATTGTGGGATCTAAACAGATTTAACTATCAAGTTTCGGATTCAATATTGTCTAGAGTAATTATTTCATGGTAACACAATTACTTAAGTGAACGACATTGTTCGACTGTATTTCTAATATAAGGTTCTCAACCCGATTCAACCCTATCCAATCCGAATGGTTTGATCCGTTCTTTCTTTTCAGCTCTGTAATTTGTATCTTTCTTTGTTGCTGCTTTTGCTTCATCACCTTCCTCTTCAAAACATATCAGTTGACAGATGGGCCATAAACACTAAAATTTAAAAAAAAAAAAAACATTGTACGGTCTAAATGAACTCAACTATCAAGTTTCATTTTCATATAATTTGTTTATTAATTGAGGGGTTACTATTTTATTATAAATTTATGGTTAAGGTTCGTCCTCGGTTCCTTTACCATTTATATTTATTAAACTCATTGGCAGAATTGTTGTCATTACATAGGTTGTTTGTAATTAAACTAATTAAGGTAGAGGACCTCATCAGTCACTACAAAATGGGAAAAAAAGGTTACAGCAAAGCTCTCCTGGTATTTAACAATCATATATTGCAAATTGCGATGATGTTGATATTCGCTCTTCCTTAATTTTTTTTTCTCTTCCTAATTATTAATTTTACATCATTACGACCATCGGATGGCGCAACACAAGCTAGTAGTAAACTACTCAATTATCAGCGGGACCGGGATTTTTTTTTTTACAGACGTGTCGGTCCATAAAAATAATTTTAATAAAATTTCAATTCACAATTTGTTATCTTTTATGTCGAATCATGACGACTTCTCATATTTTTGAAAGATTTGTAAAATACATTCTTAGTTTATATTGCGAATCAAACGTTTTAATTTTTTTTTTAGTAACTTTATGGCAACAAATTTGATGTAGTAAGAGGTCTAATATGTTGAAGAAGCTTGGGGGAGGCTAACCTGCAGAGTTCAAATTATTACTGCGCTTATGAAGCATGTTGTATTTCATACCAAAAAGGGTGGAGAAAGAGTTAGCAAGATGGGTTATTCACAAATGACCCGTTTCGAGTTACTTATAAATAACGTGGGACAAGACAACCCATCTCAGAAAATTAGTGCAAAACGAGTTAGTTCGACCTATGAATTCACCAAATGAAAAATCTCGTGATATTTACCGAATCAGGCCCGAGCTATAACTATTTACAAACAGGTCCTATAACTATTCCACCAACATTTTCACATACACATTTATGGTAAATGTGGTCGGCAACCAAAGTGCCATTTATGAAAGCTGTCGAGCACAGAACAGCAGGTCCTACCACAACAACAGCATATAACCCAGGTCCATTCAATTACCCACAAACTCGAGAAGTAACCAATTTGATGAACCAATAAATCGACGGAAGAAAATAAAGCCACATATGGCTCACACAGATGGAATAGAAATGTAGATAAGTACATTGAAGACAACGATATTTCAACGCAGCTTGTCAACATCCCAGCATGTTATAAACGCGCTGCTACGAATCGGGAAATTGCAGGAATCGACAAAGCAAGAATACGAAAACGAGAATCGAAAACACGACACACGATTTACGTGGTTTACTAACACGATGTGTGTTAGCTACGTCCACGGGCGAGAGAGAGCCAATTTCACTATATTGAGGAGATTACAGATTACAGAGGAGTATGAGAAGTATTTATAGTACTTCTCCATGTGGGTCTAAACCTAATCCAATCTGGCAAAGGAAACGGTTACAGACCAGGCCCTGAACCCGAACCCAAATAACATTGAGTCCATACACCGTGGGCCGGGGGCGTTGCCCCTGGACCCCACTCGCTGACCGGGATTACCAGTCGTAGCGGCTGATAGTCCGATTCAAGTCATATCAACACAACCAATGTTTAGTAAACCTACCGTCCGATCGGAAATACTGGATACCGGAATCAAAACGGTAGGCGATTTTTTTTAGCGACGGGAAACGATTGAACCACGGTTTTACTACGAAATAGAAAGTTGCTGAGAGGCGCAACGCCTATAGTTTCATTAGTAATTGTCTATGTTATTCGAAGAGACCTACAATTCACTAAATCGGCAAAAAAATACTTGTTCAATTGCTTTGCTAATTGTCTGTGTGTACTTCAAAGAGCTCCGACCAATTTCAACGATCAATTGTTGGAACTTCGGATTTGGATTTAAAGAATCGAACCCTAAGGTTAAGATGTAGCAGCCACAACGCCATCAGAAAAAGAAAAGCCTATAGAGCCAACATGTGGACTGTGGAAATGGAATCGATTCTCCTGAGAGTTTGTGTAACACTAACACCAACCAAACTCAATAATTATCATTATCATTGGAAAGTCATGACTTGTCATGGTTTACACGTGTCAAAGCCTAATTGAGATTAACTTCTCTAAATTACAATTTAAGGTAGTACAATCATTGTTAATTAACATGGGGTTCATTTTTATAATTAGGTCAGGGGGGAATATGTACAGGTTGCATATGTGCCACGTATGTGTATTGTTACTGCTAGCATGGGAAAAATAAATAAGCTTGCATGTCATGTGTAACCTAGCTAGCTAGGTTAGTTGGGGGTAGAAGACCAAAAAAAAAAAAAAATGAAAGATGGCATCCAATTTAAAAGTCAACACTTTTGCTTACTTCGATTTCATTGTCATCTTGAGTTGTGCTTGGTATCCCAAGGATAGATTTGTTAATTGGATTATATGGATCGGATCGGTGGATTTATAGACTGGATTGATATCTAAGTATTAGATAGTTATGGAATTTTTGATAAGTTTAGATACTAAAATGTTACTGTGGCTGCGAGATTGGGGCCTTTCCTGGTCCGCAGTAATACCGATACTCTGAAAAAGTCGTTCTAAAACGGTTTAGGTATCAAAATGTAGTTTTAATGATATTTTGCATAAATAATTTTAGATATCAAATTGAAAAAAATGTATGTACTAATGATTTTGGATTGAAGCACGATGACTAGTGGATATTTGTTATCCTACTTGAAATATTTCATACTCATACTGTATCAAGAATTGGATTGAAAATCAAAATCATATCAATACTCAATTGGATTTCAGGAATTCACGAGTATCCACAGAGTAATAAATTTTCTTTGTAAAATTCTGAGTCCGAATTTTTGTGGCAAAAATTATGTACATAATTTGGGTTTACACACAACACTTGAAAATGATTGATCTAATTAAATCCCTAATTAATCCCCTAATTAAACTCCCAATTAACCCCTAAAATCTTAAAAAGAAAAAAAAAACCACGTGACGGGCTTTGGTGAGTCTATATATTTTGGGATCCCCCATTTCCATCTCCAAATTTGGGGTTCCATTTGCAGGATCCTCCATTTTTGGAGGCCCAAACCTCCCCATTGGACCATCTCCTCTTTCATTTTTGCAGATTCCTCCATAAATGAGGTGCCCATTGGACTCAGCCTTATAAGCAACCCAAATTTTGTGAAGGAGGTTGGTTCACTTTTGTGTAGGAATATAGTTGGAATAAAAACACCAACAATCTCGTTATCTCGAATCTCGATCCATCCTTGACAACAACTTATCGGACCCATAGTTTTGAGACAACATGATTTTGCCAAAAGTG